ACATATTCTCATCTGTTGCACATGGCGGACTATATCATGATGATGACCTCCGTTAATTGCCGAGCACAACATGAGCCATTCCTGATCTCACTGGCATATTGTTTTGAGATACGATGTGCCGGGAGAGTGCCATTGTGGCAGCTAGAGCAGCTCTGGGCCGTTGGAACAACAGGTGTTCCTTGCATACATCTAAAATATACATACCAAGATGCTCTCCAGCAGGTTAATCAACCCCCAGATGTGATCTGGTCGACGGGACAGACTCTGAATACAACAATGCTTGTCCCACCCGATCCTTGGAGCAATTGGAACATAACGGGGCCTTTGTTCATTGACACATGTTACTAAACTTGACCCATCGCCACAATGAATCTTGCTCACAGATTGGTCGCTTGATCGACCTCGTAGTCGGAGCTGCCACCCCGATAGTGTTGACATACCTCTCTAAGCTCCCAGGGATGTCCACCCTCGTTGAGAGACTAATCCCCTGCCTGATCTGGCCTTCTACCATTTCTGGATCTCATTCTAGGCCGCTGCCATGGTAAATGGGGAAACCCACCTACTGCAGGACAGACTTTGTATAACGCAGCGTTCGTTGTCCTCAACATCGTTCTCTCCTGTGCTGGTTATGTCTTTCAATGGCCACCGCTGGATTGCAGGCCTTTTCGCCGTGCACACTATACATCATTCCATCTTTCTGCTCGTCGCTCGTATAGAGATAAGCACCTATAAGAAAGATCTCAAAACACCATATTGGCGGTGGGGTATCATCGGGACGGTCTTTACCTGTGCAATGCTCGTATTAAGTGTACTCTGGGTACGAAGGCTCTTATACGAAGCGTTTCTGATAAGTCACATCATCATGGCCGTCTTCACAGTGGCGAGGAGCTGGCATCACTTGGTGTATCGGTCTGGATATCGTGGAGACCACGGATATTGGCTCTACGCCGCAGTCGCCGTATAGTTCTTCAACCGGCTACTTCGCGCTCTACGTTTCATAGGCGATGTATACCAAATACGTACATTCGTTCACTTAGTAACGATTCGCAGAATGAAAAGTCGGAGACTCATGTATGTTTAGGCGAGCCTTGCGGAGTAAAAAGACAGTTCGCGAGCCTGGTGTCGCACTCTATGTCTAAAGATCGAAAGGCATGACAAGTAATCTGAAACAACACACAGGGCAACTCACTCTGCTTGACTGTCCTTATTCGAGCAATTTCATCTATAGGGTACTTAGTTGTGTCCAAGTACTGTTGATTGGCGGTGGTATCGGTAATACTGGCCTGTTGAGGTTATTGAGAGCTCACGTTAACACTAAGCCTGCCTGTAGTGTTAAGCAAGATAATGAGCAATCGTCCGTGAACTGAATAATGTATTGCGTAGCGTTAAAGATAGAGAGACCCGGGTTGGAGAGAGATTGTGATACATTTCTCTTTTGCAAATGGAGACTCAAAGTGGATATTGGAAGGTTGGAGTGTTTGTTTGCAGCCCAGTTGGTATGTGCGATGAGGGGCGAGCACTAGTCGCAGGAGACCAAATTCGAGCGGGGAGTGGAAACACCTAGTCGGTAAGGTTATAAGCTTGTAGAAGTTCATGGAGACTCTGTGGGGGCTGGAGATGTCTGCAATGCTCGTCTACGCCATATATGGTGAATGAGTCATGTCTTTTTGAAATGATAAACAACATGACATCGACTGCTTCTCCGATCACAGTACATACGGAGTACCATTGGGGTGTATAGCATGGCCTGGGCTATGGAGCTCTGAACGGTGAACACTGCACCACCTGTACGGAGTAGGAGTAGGAGGAAAGCAGTTACTCTGTACTCTGTACTCCGTTTGAGTGCGGAGTACAGCGCACTGAACAACACGTTTTGAAATTGCATAGACATTTCAACAGGCATTTCTGTTTCACGGGCTCGTAGGTCTTTGAGATGGTTGCGTGGTTTACCATGTTTTTGTGTTCAACAGGAAGTGACTGCTCACATCTTTGCGTTCTCGTGCATTACCACCTCATAGTACACACATTACACCGCTTCCCAACTCGTGTGTTTATTCGTCAACAAGGTAAGACAAGGACAACAAAGGATACGGGAAGCCGCAAGCCACTACCACCCAAGACATAAAAACAAAGCATCCACCAAGGTTTACCCCGTTACCATTTGTCAATTCCCACTCCCTTTCCCCCCCACAAGCCGTTGAGGCTGCTGTGTAACATCTTCAACCGGTATCTCACATGCTTCCCCGCTGCAAATCTTGCCATCGCACAGCATTAACATACTGAATGTCTTCCAGTGATCGACGTTCATTCAGGGTCTATCCACCTCCGAGAACCTACGTCTTGGTTGGATATAATCCGTCCTCCCTTGACTTGTCCACAACTTGGCTCCTTCTTTGGCCTCTGTGATCGAATTACCACCTGCAATCATGCATCGCGCCCATCGAGGATCAAGTTATGCCTCAACAGGTTTATCAAAAACCTCCGATCATGCTCCTTTATCTGCAAAATCTAGAAAGCGCTGCCACGATGAGTTTTCGCGTGGTGACTCTGCCACCACCAGAACGCGCAGATCGCCGAGTTTTACAACTTCGCCTCGGCGGCAAGATGACAGATATTCTCGCCCCAGATTTCCTAGCCATCACATGGAAGACATGGTAGATTCACATCATAGGAGGCGCTCGAAGTATCCTGATATTGGACACGATGCCGACTCGCGTTACGCCCGCGAAGAGGCCAATGATGGAACCTTTTCTCGTCGAGGAACCCTATACGTTAGTTATTCTAATCATCCACAAATGGGCACTTCAGATAACACAGACCTGCAGTCAGCTCACGACGAGGCAGTCGCTATCAAGCGGTCTTACCCCGACAATACAGGAACGCAATTCGATCGAATGCAGGACTGGATGAAAACCACCAATAGCAAGGTAGCTGCCACCAATGCAGATCTCGCTAGACTCACCTTCCGTATGGGGGAGACAGATGATTTCATGCAAAAGCGACTGGATGATATCATGGAAGGTCGAACGCTGTTAGTAGAGGACTTCACGAAACAGTTGTGCGACACGTCTATCTCCAACGACATAGACTTCATCAAGCTTGTTACCGAAATGAAGACCGACGTCTACGAGGAGTTACACAGAGTTAGGGAGCAATGCGGACGTAATGATGCGATCGTAGACAAAGCTGCTTCGAGTATCAGGCTTGCGATGAACTCCCTACAACATACCAACTCAAAAAACAAGGCACAAACTCACAATATCACCACGCACAGCATGGTGGAGAAACTTGACCAGATCAGAGATAATTGTATGAGCGTTACAAATCTATATGACGACTTGAACAAGAAAGTTGAGAAGCTCTCTACCGATGCGGCCACTCAGGCGACAGAATTCACCAAGTATACAGAAGATAAGCGAAATCGAACGAACGAACTGCGTACTGATCTTTCCACCCACATTCACAACAATGCACTGGATCAGAGGGACCTGAGAAGTAACTTTCAAGACCTTCATGCCGCCTTCGACAGACAGGTTCAGGCTGCCAGCGAAGATCGCGATGAATTGCGTAAGCAGATGCAAGAGCAACAGAGTGCTTTCGATACCTTTCTCCATAAGACTACGAACGACAAAAAGCAATTGCAAAAAAAGCTGGCGAAACGCGATGAAATAATATCGACCCTGCGCGTGGATATTGACCTTCTCCGACATTCGTTGGTAGACGAAAGGAAGGCACACAATGATCGTTTCAAGAAGCTTGAGTCAACAATTGCGGACCTCGAGCCACGCGAGGTTCACGAAAAACTGGACAGCCACGAGCAATCGATCATGCATCTCCGGGACGAGAACTGTAACAAGGCTAGCATCGAAGAATTAAGAAGTGACTTCATTTCAAGTCTGGCTGATCACGACGAGCGCATCACAACTTTGTCGAATGATACATCTCACAGTGATATCAAAACCTATGTCAAGGAAGAGTTCGCGAAGATATGTGACCAAATAGCGAAGCTTCAATCCGAACAGGATCTCCGATCCAACAACTCTGCAAGAGCCCAGCATGACTTTGCCGAGCTCAAAGTCGAGGTGCGCACTTACCTAAAGGACACAATCAGAGAGAAGATGCAAGAGGGCCAAGTCCACCTAAGGTCATATCTCGATCACTTACTCGCTCAAATAACAACAGATCAGTATGTCAAACTCAGTGGGTTGGCGAATGGGCACCACACGGGGATGAAAGTATCCTCCCCTCAATTCGACCTGAAATCTCTGTTCAGAAGCGACTGTCATCCTGAATATGGAACGCCGAAGCAAAGCCTAAGCCTGGATTGCGAGCCGGTTGACCTCCGTACGAAGAAAGATCCACTCGTGACTCCAGAAGACGCCACCGAACGCCTCCCAACAACCTGCGGGCCAGTATTGAAAGCAGAAATGGAACAAATATTGGCCCAAAAGTCGAGGAATAAGTGGAATCATTTGATACAGAGCCATATAAACAGCATGAAGCACGAATTGCACATACAATTCTCACAGCTCGTCACAGAGAACGTAGCTGAAATACAAATGCAACTCAGTGACCTGAAAGCCAATACTGACACTCTCCAATCGAGATTCGATACCGCTCTCAAGAGCGGCTCAATGAATCAAAATTTGCACCTACGACGCGATATCGAATCCATACAATCTCGAATCGAGGATCTTGATATCAACATCCGTAACGTCCGACGGGCCTTTACTCCGCAGTCGGACGCGACCATTCTCAAGCAACAATTGAATAACCTGAGTTTGATTCAAGACGATGTTGGTGCCTTCATATACCCACACTGGAATAATTTGACTAATTGTGACACAGCAACGAGCGCACCTGGACGCCCTGGCTTCCCATCAAAATGAGCTGAAGCAAAGACTCGAAACACATGCACGGGAGCCCCAGCTAGCCGAAACTGCCCATCCCATCCAGTCTCTGGAAACCACGAACCCGTCTCCGAGCCATCCCCCACCCGCTCCCGCATGTCCGCCCACGGGACGATCTCAGCGACCGTTACTACCAATGCCTCCTCTGAACTCACCACAAATTACTGAGACCCAGCATCCAGTTCCCATACAAGGACCGCAACGGTTATGGATCCATCGACAGAACGTCACGCAAAGCGACCAGGTAGATCTGGAAGTCCAGAGACAGCAACAGGCACAGTCCCAACCTCATATATACAACTACACTCAGCATCTACAACAACTCCAGTGGCAACAACAGCAACTTGTGCAACACGAATACGAACGACAACGACACCAGCAGCTACAGGGCAACGCAAATCTTGGAATAACAGAATTAATGGGCCACGTACACTCAACTAATCCTGGACTTTAGTACATCTGAGTTACCCCTTCCCTTCCTCCATCAAACCCTGGCAAAGAATCAATCGTCAAAAGAGAACATAGTGAGTTCAATCGGTGGATAGGGATATACCTATGTGCCCCGCCGGCTGAGTCGAGTATAAGTTATGCATCGTTCCAGATCTGGCAGACGGGGCTTTTCGCGGTTCGGATGCTTATTGCGAAATATGTTTTATCCAAAAAGTTGAAGTGCATATATAGTTTCATATATAAGGTATCAACGAATATGATGGGAGGGGTCAGCGCGTGTTTTTCTGCGAGGATGCATTTTATAACGAAAACAATACTATTCCTGTCATGACACTCGTTCATTTATTCGATGCTATTATTACATTTCAACTTGGCTTCATTCTCATGTTGGCACCTCCCCCAGGGGTGACCCTCAGCTTTCGAAGGAAAAGAGAACAGACAGACCATACTCGTGCGACATATGACATACTAACGCAGACCATGAAGAGAAAAAAGAGAAAAAGATAGAGAGAGAAAACGCCTCATTATTGTATCGAAAGACAGGTCTCAGAATGTAGGGCGGTAATAGAGTGCTTCATTCATGGGGCCCTCCTTTCTAGCATGTGGGTCAACGATGCAAGTGACTGTTCGGTGAGATGCATAGACCTAGGAACAGGCTAGACAACGCACTCAAGGTATGAATGCCCGCAGAGCTGGGGAGAAGCAAATATACAGGACAGCCGGTGTCGCGTAATGTATCCTTCCGCTGTAAGGTCTTAGAAGATGGTGCCAAAATTCTCCTCGACAGCAGGCAGAGGCTTCCTGGGGCTGGAAGGTTTGCCGTTCTCGTCGGCAGTCTTCTTGTGTCGGAATGTGACTGTGTATAACACTATTAGCGCGCGATCCCGAACATTGAAAAATGTAGGTAAACTCACAGCCGACAAACAGGCCCTTGCTCATCTTGTCATCCCTATCAGCCATTGACTCAAGAGCAGCTTGCTTGTCATGGACCTCCTTGTACTTCGCCATATCTGCCTCGCTGCCGAAATCATCAAAGTAGCCCGCATCAGTCTCGCTGTCCAGTTCTGGAACAAATGGTGCCTTATTCTCCCGTAGCTTGTTCCAGTCAACCTCAGCGAAGTACTGGTGCGCGTGGATCTCAGATATGCCGCGGAAGCGACTCGACTTCGATGCGACAAGCCGGATTATGAGGTCCCAGGTGCGCTTGGAGAGAAAATAAGACGGGTCCTCATAGACAGGTTTGCGGAGCACTTTTTTCCATGCCTTGAGATTTTGCCAAGTTTCCTCCACGGTTGCTCCGGCGAATGGTGGATAGCCGGCGAGGGCCTCGAAGAGCATGCAGCCTAGACTCCAATAATCAACGGTAAAGTCGTATTCCGATCCTTGCAACACTTCCGGCGCCATGTAATCAGGGCTACCAACGATAGACTTCGCGTAATTCACGTCGCGTTCTCGAAGAGAGCGGTAATTGTCTCGTCGCTCGGCTGCAGTCCGCTCTTCCATAGGGCGACCAAAGGGAGAGACGACATCTCCCACTGACTCGAGCTTGATTCGCATAGACTCGATCTTGGCAGGTGCGAGCATTCCCGCTGCGAGTCCAAAGTCTGTCAACTTGACGTGGCCAGTACTATCTATCAGGAAATTCTCTGGCTTGAGATCACGGTGAATGTAGCCCAACTGGTGAAGTGCATCTACACAGGTGAACATCTCGGCGATATAGAAGCGAGCATGACGATTGTGCAAGACACCCGTGTTGTTCAGCAAGGTCCTGAAGTCTCCTCCTGGCACGTATTCCTGAATCTGTTAGCCCTACTCCTGCTGGATGTAAAGGAAGACTTTACCATGGCAAGGTATATGCTCTTCTCGTCCTGGAAAGCGTAAAGCAATCGCGTAAGCCATTCGCTCTTTGCACTTGTCAAGATATCCCGCTCAGTGAGGACGTGACGAATCTCATCTAGCTTGAACAAAAGCTTCTTGCTCATGACCTTTAGAGCGCAAACCTCGCGGGTATCCTTTTTCTGGGCTAGATAAACCTGCCCGTAGCCACCTTGTCCGACCTGTGTAAGTATTTGGAAGTCGCCTTGCCTCAGACGAGTACGACGCTTGCGAAGGTTGGCTCGTTCACGGCCAAGGTATTGCCTGAGGGCCTCGTCATACTCGGCATTGGCGGTTGTAGGAGGAGGGTTCTGGGCTTTGAACTGCGAAAGGCGGTTCTGGCGAGCGTGTACGTAGGTCAGGAGGTCATAGTAGTAATCGAGGAAGTCTAAAGAATCAGCAGGTGCTAAATGAATGTTATGTCAAGGCAACCTACACAATTGCGTCACATTAGCAAGACGCTTCACAGCAGGCTTCCGTGCCTTTTCTAGTTCTTCGGCAGATAAACGTTGTGGCCCGTTGATATAGCGAGTAGACTGGCTCTCGGCCTCGCGCGTACGGTACGGTTCCTGTCGAGACTGTGCTGCATGGGTCAAGTAGGTAGGTTCTTTCTGTAGACCCGGCCGAGCACTAGGGGGCGTGTTTTCCTTATTTGCTTTTCGGGTGGGACTGCTTGGACCAAATGCTGTGATATCTGATGCGGAGTAGTCTACATCCTCGCCGTAAGTGTTCCCCTTGCCTGGAGAGGTTGGTGTTTGGGGCTTTGATCTGGTCGGCGACCCGATAGTCGGCAGCAATTTCATAGCATTCTCAAATACATGTGGCAGGTCGAATGCACCGGGCGGCTGCTGATGCTTGCTTGGGCTACCTTGAGGAGTTTGATGGGGGCTGATGAATGCCTCTTGCGAAGGCGTTCCCGGACGGTCCATATCTGTAGATCGAGTATGCAATGGTGGAGGTGGGATTGGCAACTGGAACTCTTTCCTGTCCATTGCTATTCTTCCGCCTGGCTATGGGAGGTTAGGCAGGTCGCTGTGCCTTCCGCAGAAGGAGGCTCTTGACCAGATGCAGACACCACCAGCCAGAAATGACGAGCTGGACGAGAAGATCAGAGTAGTGGTTGACCTCACTCTATAGGAGAGAAGAGTGCTCAGTACGGATGACGGCCAGGATGCGGTGGAGGGAAGTCTTGATTCTAGCTGGACTCAGTCGGTTGCGATGAGGGTGGGACGGGATTGTTGGGTTGTATTGTAAACAGAGCGAGCGCGCCAAGGCATGCCCCTCTGTGCAACGGACAACCAATTGCATTCCGCCAATCCCTGCAGCCATGCAGCCATGCTAATCATCTCCCCCTCGATGACTTCACTGCGAATTTACGAGTCGACGAGCATCTACCTCGTACACATGTCCCCGTTCTCGCTATCAGCTTGACCAGCTCCCACGCCCCTACAACTCCACCCACCTCTAGTGTATACCTTGGGTGATTACTCAAAATGCTGCTTGACTAGGGATATCATGCCGGCAGTAATCACAGATCAGAGGTGCCCTTCTCCGCTAATAGTGTTTTTACGTTCACTTCGTATTAACCATCTAATATTACCATACAATACCCATGATTCATTCGCGTCCGTGATCCTCATTACAAGCCTCAACTACCCTTGCGCCCATGGTTTGGTCCCAAAAACTCCACTAGTCCTCCTCAATCCCATCTGAACGCCTTGAAAATGAGCCATTGACAGTCCTTACAAGCAAAATTGATACAGCGCAAGTAGCGCCAGATGCTGTCGCAAATCGTATCGAGAATGGCACTGCTTCCGAGTGACGAAATCAGGGATGGATTATAGTCCTGATTTCGCTTCGTACGCAATGCCAGAAGGAGCGCTCTCCTTGGGCGGAATATGTATGTATGTGCGTGTGGATGTGTATGTATGTATGCTGCGCAAATGCGAAGTCCCAGTCCATCACCAATTTGTGCCGATTAAAATTACATCCGCCTGGCAAGGTGCCCGCTATGAAAGAGCTTAGAGTTCGTCGTCCGGCCCCAAGTTCCTAGAGAGACGAAGAAGTGCTGACTGTTCCGCTGGACCATTGCGGGCAAACAACGAAAATACCTCCGGGATCGCTGCGACAAAGGTAGCCGAGGGAACTCGCGCTGGCTCGATCAAGAGCTTGCGGCACATGGGACACGTGATCTTGTTCTTGTGCGTCTTGCATGTTTCAAACCATGTGTTAATGCAATGCTCGCCGAATACGTGTTTGCAAGGTAGTTGAATGGCTACCTCATCATCCTCAGTTGGCAAGCAGTGTTTGGTTGAGTAGTCCTTCTGGCATATGTCGCAACACGCTGACGATCCCTCGGGAAGTTCACTGGGTAGGAAATGCCGGAGCTTGTCCTTCAAAACCTGCATCTGGGTCATCGATGGAGTTATGCTGTCAACAACGAAATGGTGTCGTGCGAAACGTCGCTCTCGCTCTCGCTGGCGCCGTTGCATCAACCGTGCACGAGCCGTAGCATCGTCAGTCTCGGCAAGATTGTTTGATGGATGCAGGTCGGTGGAGTATCGATCGAAGTTGCGCCTATGTGAAGTTCTGGGGGATGTACTGCGGTCAGAGCGATGATTATGGGCTAGAAACATAGGAGAGCGTCGATCCGTGCTCTGTCCCTGGTGAGATCGTTCGTACGACGGTCGCCGAGGCGGTGATGGAAGATGATGACCGTGCTGCGAGTTCATAGAGCCTCCACCTCCTCTCATGTGTCCTCGCATTGGACCGGGCGATGTGCCGCTTTCGCCAACGCGATCTAAATGAGGTACTGAGGGCGATGGAAGGACTGGGCCAGATCTTCGATTTGCGAAAGGACTGTATCCCTGATATGGGGGCCCGGGAACTTGAGGATAGCTTTGAAAGGGGTAGTTTTGACGTCCAGTGGACATCAACGAGTCCACAGAGGGCAGATTCGATGGGCTACGATTATCTGATGCCTCTGTGGGAGAACTTCCAGGTAACTGTACGCCTTGAAAGGAATTGGGCGCTGTGGTACTCGAATTGTGCGAGAACATATCGGCGGAAGGTGGATAGGCATGATGTCCACCATAGCTGTGCGGAGATAGTAACGGATATTGTGGCAGTCGATTGTGGTTGTGATGGAAAGACCCAGCCATGCCTCGGTTGTTATCAGGATATTGAGGAGGATATTGATTTGGATACCAAGGATGGTATCCGCTGACATCGTACGTCACGGGTGCATAGGGGACGAAACTCGGCTGGAAGACTGGTGGTACGGTGGTTTCTGGGCCTGCAACGTGGGGACCTGGAGGATGCGGCAGCAAGTAGGCGCTTTGCTGCAGAGGAAGATTGAAGTCAGAGTTGGCCATCAGGTGTGGTTTCGTTCTTCCGCGAACGTTGAAAAGGAGATGGCCGATGTGGTGCAACAGGTATATTCACCTAGCTTCTGGGATTCCTGCGTAGGTGATATAGCAAGCTAGCTGGTATGCTGCTACGTACCAAAATGGATCGTGTTAACGGGGTGAATATGTCGCCAACAGCACGATGGGAAGCTTTACTGTGACGTGCTGGGCCTGATATCTTAGGGCAATAAGTGAAGCTTGTAAGGCGGAAGCTTATCAGGCTGAAAGAAAGTAAGGCGGTGGTTGCAACAGCTTTGTTCTGAGGGAAGAAGTGATCACGAGCATCCGGGGCGTTATCTAATGAGAAGCCGACATAGGCAAGCGGTGAGGCGGGGCCTTGATGCGGCGCAAGTGCAATTTACAGAGGTCTCTGCCTGGCGGACAACAGTGGGGTGACGGAGGTAGCAATAGCAATGGATGTAGTCGTAGTGACAGTGAGCGACCGAACAGGTGAACGGAGTGAGAACCCGGAGCTGGCGGAGTCACTTGGGGCGGAATGCTGGAACCGTACAATCAAGCTGATATAGTGGCGAGGAGGAAAGCAGGGGAGAGGAGGGGAGAGGAGCAAATGGGAGTAGAGCAATGTAAACGCTGGAGGAGGATTAGAAAGGGAGGGGGAATGAGAAGAGGGAAAAGGAAGAGGGGACAAGAGAAGAGAAGAAGAGAGGAGGAGAGGGCGAGAAGAGGCGAAAAGAGTGGAGGAGATAGAGGTAAAAGAGGAGAAATCGAACAGATGGGTAGGTCGAGCGGTGATGAGGTGGAGTTGAGAGAGGGGCAGTTCTGACGAAGATTAGTGGGTGTGACGATACGCTGGGCTTGTGGCCATATGAAGTAAAGTAAGGCCTAGCAAAGGCACAAAGAGGTGACGACGAGTACCAGGTAGATACGTTGGCAGGCAGGTAAGTCAAGGCAAGTAAGTAAGTAGGTAAGTAGGTATGTAGGTGGGTGAGCGGGTGAGTGGGTGAGAGGGTGAGCGAGCATCAAGGTAAGTGGGATGATGATGAGAGAGGGACTGGCTGAGGGAGGAGTAGGAGGAGGATGAGTTGGTTAGAGGAGGACAGGAGGACAGTGGCAGGAGGACAGGACAGAACAGGACAAGGACAAGACGAGGCAAGGCAAATAATGCTTAGACTCAGCATAATAGGCGGATTGGACTTGGACCAGAAGCGTCTGCTGAATCGTCGACAGCCAAGCCCAATGTCCTGCTTGTACGCGGGCGGCGCAAGGACGCGGAGATGCGGTGGTATTAGTTAGGTACCTGTAGTTACGAGGTAGCAGGGAGGCAGGGCCAGAAGGATGAACGTAGTAACTAGGGTGGTGATACGTACTCCGTAACTACGGTGTACTGTGTAGGTAGTTAGGTGAAAGGTACTCCGTACTTAGGTTAATAACTACTAGATACCTGGTAAGTAGATGTTAAGGCGAGTAAGTACCAAGTACCTGGGTAGGTATGTACTACATACGTACATAGAAAGTACAGGTACCAGGTAGGCAGGCAATAATGTTAGGTACGAGTAGGTAACTAGGCTTGCGACATGCGGAAAGGCGATAATAAAAGTCAGGCGGTCATTCATGCATAGGTAGGCAGTTGGTCATCTTGTTGGCTGGCTGTACCAAGTATGGAAGAAGTATTAACTACCTAGGTAGGTACCTACCTCAGGTAAGTAAGGAAATACCCAAGTAAGTAACTTAAGTAATAATCAAGAGAAGCGTGGAAGCGAAGGGTATGACTGTACGAGTATGGACAGACCTAATCCTAGCTCTCCCTGTTCCGTCTGGACTCTGCAGAACAAAGCACACCTGAGCCAATTTGAAAGGACGGAGAAATAAGAAAAAGTAGACTGGTAAGCTATGTGAGGTAGCTATATACCTTGTACCGTACCAGTTGAACGATAACTATCGTTCCAGTACGGAGTAATAGTTAGTTAGATACCTACGTAAGTAGTAATCGCCGTGGGAGACGAGGGAGCTTTGAAGAGCAGTGAGGCTTGCTGCTTGAGTCCCGGACAAGCGAGTGCCCGAAGGGAGCCAATGCGGTTACGGGCCGGCTGGAACTGCTTTGATTGCGTTTACATTCATTCTTTGATTGATGGATGGATGCTTGCTCCGTACTTGCGCAACGATCATTATCAGAGATGAACTTGACAGCCAGCCTACCTACTTACGAGTAGCTATAGGCACCTACAAGGAATGAGTTATTAGGTACATATTTGAGAGTGACGGGATTGTTGTATAGAACAGAGCTGGATTGAACTGGACGACCAGTATTACTTGGATTGCCTTACAATGTGAGACGGCGAATGCAGTCCCGGTCAGTTCCAGACTCCCAGTCGCAGTCGTAGCCAGTCTTCGTCCAGATGCCAGTTTCGGTCATTAATAATAGTTGGTGCTCCAAGTCTCTGAGGCCTCTTCGGATGTAATGCCCGTCAGAGATGGATCCACGCTGCAACCTTGCCTTCAGACATACAATCTTCAGTACTCCATACAGGTACGCATGCATTTTGTACTTAGGTGCTGGTATGCACATACTACATACCATAGTTTAAGGGTGCCTTGCAATTATACCTACTGACCCAGGTGAATCGCAACGAGGCAAGAAGAGACCAGGCGACAAAGAGTGTTGTGTGCATATATTCGTTCGTCCTCGATGAAACCATTTGGCGCTGGTAAGGGGACAAAAGGAATTTCTCACGGAAGGTAAAGGTTCCCAGGACATCCAAGAGGATCCAGGCCGTACTTCCAACGCGGTACGACGCGGCGCCGCCTGCCTGTCCTGCAATTCACTGGAACAACCAACTCCACTGCCCAGTGCCGTGGAACGCTTCTGGGAAGATTGTGCGTGTATGGTTGCGGCGGGAGACGATAATGCGCCAGCGAAGGGGCAAGGCAAACAGAAAGAGTGCTAATAGTGATTTGCAGTGTGCAGTGCAATGTGCAGTGTGCAATAACAATGTGCAATGTGCCAGTCTGCCAATAATACTTCTGTACTGTGTCGAGAAACCTGTGATGACGTGCAAAAAATGCTCAAAACCGCCTGTGCCGGAGATGCGGACGACTACAACATACCTAGGTAAGTATCTCAATGGTACGTCTCGGGAACATACATGGTTGGATGGTGTACGGAGTAGTCGCCCCTTGCGGTGGTGTACATGGAAAAAGTTGAAAACAAATTTGGATGGTCAAGATTTTGTGAACGGTGAGCAGAGATTTGGCGTGATTTCGCGTGAGTGTGTCACAGAATGCTGGTGTTAATTACTATTGATGATACTGGTACGGGTAGATGCTTGACACGAAACATGGCCAGTTGATCAAATTGGGATCCAGGTCAGGAATGAGGAAGTGAGAAATAGGCAGATGAGATGGACCAACATATGGATGACTAATGTATGCGTAAGAGGTTGTGAATGAATCCCATAACATTATGATGGTAGTGGTGATGATGATGATGATCTGTGTATTATTATTATCGTGTCTCGTATATATTTGTATTTGTGCGTGTGTGTGTGTGTGTGAGAAGCAGGCACTGCGCGATGGATCCGGGTTTTTCCGGTCTCTTCTCCAGAACCTCCGTGAAGCTCTGCCGAAGGGAAAAAAACAAACCCCCCAAGCCAACCCTAAACTATCTACGTAACGAAACATAGCAAGCTTCTTCTCATCATATATCTCCCAATTCCATCTCCGACGTCGCTGTTTTCGTCCCAATTGCATCAATTCTCTCTCTTTGACTCTTTTCCTCTCTCTCGCTGGAAAGCTCTGGGTTGTCTTCTTCTGATCAGCTCTCATGTTCCGATCCGTCCAAACTAAGCTCCTCCGCCCTGCCGAGGCCGGTGCAATTCGTTCAAGACCACATGTCCGAGTGAACCCCTCCACAGCGACCCCAACTTGGGCCTGCAGTTATGCATCTGCCCGCAGTCTCTCCACATCCCTCCGTCCCACGCCCTCCAGCCTTCGATCTTCCCGTCTGACTACCTACTCTTCCACTCCTCTTCGACACTTCACCTACACCAGCAGGATGGCTTCGACCCGTACAGAATCAGATGCCTTTGGCGAGATCCAGGTCCCCTCCGACAAGTACTGGGGAGCCCAGACAGAGCGTTCGCTGGAGAACTTCAAGATCAACCAGCCCCAGGATCGCATGCCCCCGCCCATCGTTCGTGCTTTCGGTATCCTCAAGGGAGCGGCGGCCAAGGTCAATGTCAAATATGGCCTGGGTACGTTGCAGTCCATCTCTTGCGACTTCTCCCCCGCATTGCTAACTAACACCCATGATCTACAGACCCAAAGCTCGGCGAGGCCATCCAGCAGGCTGCTGCTGAGGTTGCCTCTCTCAAGCTCGTTGACCACTTTCCTCTTGTTGTCTGGCAGACTGGCTCTGGCACCCAGTCTAACATGAACGCAAATGAGGTCATCTCCAACCGTGCCATTGAAATCCTCGGAGGAACAATGGGATCCAAGAAGCCTGTCCACCCTAACGACCACGTCAACAAGTCCGCATCCTCCAACGATACCTTCCCCACCGTTATGCACATTGCTGCTGTCCTCGACCTCGAAGAATCCCTGCTCCCCGCCCTAAAGAGCCTCCGCGACGCCTTGCAGAAGAAGAGTGAGCAGTTCGAGAAGCTCATCAAGATTGGCAGGACTCATTTGCAGGATGCCACTCCTTTGACCCTCGGACAAGAGTTCTCTGGATACGTTCAGCAGCTTGACTTTGGCATCGAGCGTGTGCAATCCTCTTTGCCCCGCCTCCGCATGCTTGCCCAGGGTGGAACCGCCGTCGGCACCGGAATCAACACCTTTAAAGGATTTGCTGAGGATGTTGCTGCCGAGGTCAGCAAGGCCACTGGTTACGAGTTCATCACCGCACCGAACAAATTCGAGGCGTTGGCTGCCCACGATGCCGTCGTCGAGGCTCACGGTCAATTGAACGTTCTCGCAACGTCCCTTTTCAAGATCGCCCAGGACATTCGTTTCCTTGGCTCTGGCCCCCGCTGTGGTCTCGGAGAGCTCAAGCTTCCCGAGAACGAGCCCGGCTCTTCCATCATGCCTGGAAAAGTCAATCCCACGCAGTGCGAGTCCCTTACCATGGTGTGCGCCCAGGTGTTCGGCAACAACGCTGCGACAACCTTTGCTGGCTCCCAGGGCAACTTCGAGCTTAATGTCTTCAAGCCAGTGATGATCCGTAATTTGCTCCACAGCTCCCGGCTTTTGGCGGACGCTATGAGGAGTTTCGAGAAGAATCTTGTCGATGGTCTGGAGGCGGATGAGAAGCGCATCGGTGCTCTACTAAACGAGAGGTAAGTTCGATTATGTGTTGTCACAATACGTCAGCTAACTCTGTACTCAGCTTGATGCTGGTAACATGCCTCAACCCTGTCATTGGCTACGACATGGCCTCCAAGGGTGAGTATAACCTGTTATCTCCTGCTTCAAAAGCATCTTACTGATCCCATTCGCAGTTGCCAAGAATGGACACAAGAAGGGCATCACCCTTCGTGAGAGCGCTCTCGAGCTCAACGCCATCAGTGCAGAGGACTTCGACAAGTATGTGCGTCCAGAGCTCATGATCAACCCCAGCGAGAAGAAATAGAGCCCCAACGCCTATATACCTTATGCAAATAGAAACAGGTTTGTAAATATATAATCCTGGTTATACACCCAAAATTTCAATGATACAATGAGCTACACATGACCTATTTCTTCCTAGAGACATCACATACGTTGTCAACCCTCGATGTGGTCAGGGAATTTGAGACTTGGTATGCAAATATGCCTGAAGTGAATGAGGAATCGCGAGTGAAAGGTGTAGCAGCGCGGAATGTTGCATCGGAAGCAATCGGAATTGTATTCGGTAGTTCCTCGGTCTAAAGGCAAGCCCGGAACAGACGCGTTTTCACACAAACGCCAGATCACGTGAATATCCCGCAATGCACAGACCATCCGTCTACCGCGACGATTGTTCACCACTACTCCGCAGTCAAGGGCGGGCGAGAGTGCCACTGAGGGCTTGTCAACCACAACCATATAGGCCCTGTTTCGATGACCATGCCGGGAATTGTACAGGATCGCCGAAAACGCCCCTCTGAGAATCTGAGCGAGGATGAATCTCTGCCTTCAAGTCCCGGCTCAGAGGGCAGCAAACGCGCTCGCTATGGAAACGACGCGTCACAAGTATGTCTTTGATCAAAACCTGAATATCTCATGAACATAGCTGATCTATGACCAGATTTCAGTAACAACCTTATCAACCGGCCGCAACCGTCCCCGAATGCAACAGCAGCAACATGACAACCTCCACGATGAAGACGAGTATAAGCAAGAGCCCCATAAACCAGGATCAATTGTTCGCGTCAAACTCCGCAATTTTGTGACCTACACCGCGGCGGAATTTCATCCCGGACCAAGTTTGAATATGGTCATTGGTCCAAACGGAACCGGAAAGAGTACATTAGTTTGCGCAATCTGCCTAGGACTTGGTTGGGAGACAAAGGTATGTGGTTGTGGTATGCTATCTTGTGGCAAAAGGCTTACTCTATAGAACCTGGGAAGGGCCAAAGAGATTGGCGAATTCGTGAAACACGGCAGCGCTGAAGCCACCATCGAGGTCGAACTTGCCGCCAGTTCAGATCAACGAACGAACCCTGTGATCCGCCGAGTTGTCAGGAAGGAAGGAAACCGATCCACATTCCATATAAATGGACGATCCGTCACGCAGAAGGAAGTCGTCAGGCTTGCAAAGTCATTCTCTATTCAGATTGACAATTTGTGCCAATTTCTTCCCCAGGATCGAGTTGTAGAGTTCGCGGGACTTACGCCGATCGCTCTCCTTGCCGAAACGCAACGTGCTGCTGCACCGGAATATATGGTACAGTGGCACGAGGACCTGAAGACACTGAGGAACAAAGAGAAGTCTATCGAAATAGATCAATCCCAGGAGAAAGACCATTTGCAACGTTTGCAAGCCTCTCAAAATGCGACCCGGGATGATGTACGGCATTGGCACGAACGGCAAAGTCTCTTAAAAGAAGCAAGCGCTCTGGAGCGGTGTCGACCGCTGATCCAGTCTAATATCCTGAAAGACCAACACGCCCAGGTCAAAGCCCACAGGGAAGCTGCTATCCGGGAACTTCGACAGCTAGAAGCTGAAGTCGCACCAACACGACAAGCACAGGAGGATGCAGAGAAATATCAAGCCGACATTGAAAAGGTCAGAGGTATCCGAAGCAGAGCGGCAATGAGCGCGAATCAACATGCTGAAAAGATTGCCGCCGACATAAAGGAGCAACAGAGCGCACTGAAAGAACTAGAAGGGAACATTGAAGCCGAGAGAGGTGATGAGAAGCAACGTCGCCTAGATGCGAGGCGAATCGAAAAGGTTATTAGCGACCTGGAACTCCAATTAAGTAACCCTCCCGATGATGCAAATGGCGAGACTATGAAGGCGAGACGCACTGAGTTGAGAGCCGAGGCTTCGTCTGCAGAACGACGGTGCATGGAGCTGAGAGAAAATATGGACGCTTTAGCCGACAGGATTCGAAACAAAAAGATGGAACAGGCCAGGAAAGCTAGCGAAAGGAGCAAGCTGGATACCCAATCTGGACAACAGGCCAGTCGTCTACAGTCGATTTCAAGGGACACCGCCGCCGGTTGGGAGTGGATCGAGCGCAACCGAGAAAGTTTACAATTACACGGCGAAGTACACGGTCCCCCAGTGTTAACATGCTCAGTAGCCGATCCTGCGCTTGCAGATGCTGTCGAGGCACAGATGAAAATTACTGATTTTACTGCGATTACCTGCACCGACGGTAGAGATGCCAGACTTCTTTCGAGTAAGCTCCTTGGCGAAATGAAGTTTCATCAAGTATCTATCAGAACGGTACCACAAGCTTTATCCTCGTATCGACCCCCAGTCACTAAGAGCGAGCTTGAGGGATATGGCTTTGATGGCTGGATGTTGGACTACATCAAGGGCCCTGACGCAGTTTTGGCCATGTTGTGTGATAGCGCCGCCTTCCACCGCACGGCTTTCTCTCGCGCTCAACTTTCCAGCAGTAATTATTCTGCTGTTGAGCAAAGCCCCATCGCATCCTGGATTGCCGATGGGCAAAAGTATCGCATCACACGCCGTCGGGAGTATGGACAGTCATCCACATCCGTTATTAGTTTGAAGAAGGCTAGGATCTTCACCGGTCAGCCCATAGATACAGAAAACAAACGACAGCTTGACAACATGTTGAAAGAGCTAGACCAAGACATTCGAGGTATGACAGAGGAACGTGGCAGAGTCAAGATCGAAATGGATAGGTTGCAAGGGGAACGGGATGAAGCAAGAGCCGAACTGGTATGTCAACTATAAATTCTGAAGATTCTGACTAACGAAATGGGCAGGATACTCTCAAAGCAGATATGGATCGAGCAGCAAAAGCAAAAGCCTTTTATGATTCTCTTCCTATCAAAATCGGTAAGTCTAATCCTTATGCAAGACGGCCAGTAGCTAATCAATGGTATGCAGAGCAAAAGAAATGTGAATTAGACACTATACGTCAGGTAATGAGTGAGACCAGTCGACGTGTGTTGGAATATAAAGCCAAGATAGAAGAGGTTGCCCTCCAAACAGCGGGGTATGCAATCGAGTATGCTGTAAGTAATTCACTTACAATTATGTCTAATATGCTGATTCGTTTCCCAGAAAGCTGTGGCTCGTCTACGCCAGATGCATGAAAACCTGGTTGAGGCCGAGATTCGCTTCGTCGAAGCCTGCTCTGAGTCCCAGATTCTCAAGGCCGAGAATGAACACATACTCCAATATGTGAAAGACAAGGAAAAGGAAGTCAACGAACTGAAAGTTTGTCAGCAGGAACTGAAAGCCCGTTACAACGCCATTATATCAGGCATTAGAGAAAGGTTTCAGGAATTGACCGTCGAGGAAAAGGCCTTGCTCGATGATTTCCGACTACGCTTCCAAACCGAGGAAGAATTGGAGAACCAGGTCGAAGCTGTGAAATCGAAGCTAGGCATGATGTCTGATGGTAACGCTAATGCTGTGAAAGCCTTCGAGAAACGCGAGCAAGAAATCGAAACGGTACAGGAGAGACTGCAAAGTTTCCAGGAAGAGTTGGACCAGACGAAAGAGCAAATGAAGGCCACTCGAGACCAATGGGAGCCACAATTAGATGCTCTAGTAGCAAAAATTAGCGATAGCTTCTCCCACAATTTTGCGCAAATTGGTTGCGCTGGACATGTGGAGGTTCACAAGGATGAAGACTTTGAGAATTGGTCTATTCAGATCCAAGTCCGCTTTCGGTAAGTTGTCATCAATGTTGCTATCATCAAAGCAGCTACTGATCATGCATACAGGGAGAACGAAGCTCTTTCTATCCTTGACTCGCAACGCCAGTCCGGCGGCGAACGGGCGGTTTCCACCATCTTCTACCTCATGGCCCTCCAAGACCTTGCCCGGTCGCCTTTCCGTGTGGTCGATGAGATTAATCAAGGCATGGACCCTCGCAACGAACGCATGGTGCACGAACGTATGGTCGATGTCGCATGTCGTGAGCACACAAGCCAATACTTCCTCATTACGCCTAAATTACTCACCGGCTTGAAATTTCACCCAAAAATGACTGTACATTGCATCGCCAGTGGAGATCATATGCCAGATGAAGGACACGAGAAGCTGGATTTCGCCAAAATGGCCAAGATCGCTTTGCGAGTCAAGCGGGGAATCCACATGCCTGCGTAATGTCTCTTCGAGAACATGATTTGCAATGGCGCAACCAACTATATTAATTATATCTGCATCAAACGAAGGGCCATGCTTAACGACGTCATGCAACCTTCTCACTCTTGTCCCAAGTAGATCTAGGGAAGGCAATAATATAACCAATTGTCTCTTCAAGTCACACAAATGCTTGTTCAGAACCGGGCCCTCCTAGCTTCCATCAAGTGCTCTATGACACTAGTCCAATGCTCTATCATAGTCTGGGCAAACATGATTCCATCTTGGTCACTTCTTAGCCTTGCATTGCGCATGTCAATATGTGCCTTGTGCAACTCCTCCTGGGCATTCACGATTTCCACATGCCCTAACCCGTTGGAAACTGCATAGCTCTCTGCCACCACTGGAGTTACTTGGTAAGAGATGTTGGTCGTCGCTGCGGCGTATCTATCGTCTTGTTCCAAGACGGGTGTGACAACCGACCTGGGGTGCTTATAGGCAAGAGAAGACCCAACTTCGAGGTCCTTTTCTTTCTCCTGCTGTTTCCGTGCCTTTCTCGCCGCACGGCCATTTCCTTTGCAGCAACTGCAGCAGAAGATGCACTGCAAGCAAGCAAATAGACAGGTGAAGAAATGCCAGAGAATGTACACGAGCACCAATATACCAAGGATACAGCCTCCAATAATGATGTATTTTCCGTACTTGTCCCACCAGCTCTTCTCTGGTGCACGAGGCTTCACATGCGGTACTTCTCCTTCGGTCTGGATGGTTTCCTTATCGAACAGGATCTTCGGGCCTTCCGTCCAATGCTTGCCTTGGAAGGATCCACTGATGAGGTACCCATTGTTCGAGTCCATAAATGAAAACTCCATCCTCGCCTCCTCCACAGAAACGGAAGCAGACATTCTGGGTTTCACTTTCGCTGACAAGGTCGTCATGGAGAACTGATGCGGACAACCCAATGGATATCCTTGGTCTGTCCCTGTGTTGTTTACAACATAATTCCAATAGTTGTTGTACTGCGCGACGGTACTGAGGAATTCGCCTTGCAGTTCAAATTCGTTGCCGTTGATCTTCGTCTGTTGCAGTTTCCAACCTTGGCTCTTGTGCAGCTCGTCATTGCTCGATTCGAAGTTCACGAACGCCTTGTTCGCGGTTAGTGGGCACTTCGCGTCGCGCAGCGTGCGTCCGAAGTGGAAGTAGAAGCTATTTTCATCGCCGTACACATCCCTCGTGACGTTGTTCCGGGACTGGGGTCCAATACGCAAGAAGGCATTGGGGATGATCTGAGAGTGCAGCTCGGGGCATTCGAGGTATGTTGAGTTTTCCGAGGGTGGTGTGAGAGTTACGTTGAATGTTCCGTTATAGTATGCGTCTAGGACTTCCATCTGCCAGCTTATGTTAGGCTGGCGAGTGGTTATGTAGTTCACGCCTGGCAGTGGCCACTATCAATACTTTTGTCGTAATTATTGGGAAGGGTTATGCTCCCAGTGGGAACGCACGACTTACTATCATTATCGTGTTGCTCATTCCATATCCAATACCAATAAGAGTCCCCAGCTTTTGGGCCCCCAGTATACCCTTCCGTCTCGTTGCCCATACTCCACAAGGGGTTTAGGAAGGCGGCATAGCACTCTTGATCCGTGTAGGCGATGTTTTTGGTGCCTCCTCCTCCACCTCCACCGCCACCGCCGCCTCCACCTCTCCTAGCAGAGACATTTGAGAGAAAGAGAGTGAAGAATGTTATGATTGCCAGAAACATGACTACCTTCAACCAAAGTCCTGAATATTACAATGAAGAGAAAGTCAATATATTCTAGGAGCGTTATGTGGCTGGACACAGATATATGTGATCTCAAACATCGAGACCAACCATGGCAAGTTCCGTGCAGGGAGACCTGCAGCATCTCAATTATAGGCCCTGCTGTGCTCAACTAGGCAGAGCAAGCATGTGTGAAATACCGGTGATACGAAAAGCCTGACCATTTTCCCTTCCGAGTATTCGCAAGTCGCCAATCACAGTTCGCAAACACAAGTCGGAGGCTTGAACCGCAGCAACAACACATCGGAGAAATAATACGCGACACAAGATAGGGGTCCTTCAGAGACGGGCCACTGGGTGGTTACACAAGAAAAAGAAAGAAAAGACCATGAAACTACAGCCTGAAGGGCTGAAGGTACAGCCTTGGCGATGCACATGAAGCTCCAATCTAATCTTCAGATAGGCGAGAGCCACACCGCAGCTGGAAATCTAGGCTCGTATAGCCAAAAGTAGCTTTTTGGAACACATAGAAAGCCGCATTCTTGGCACATAAAGGGCTGAGACCTTTTTTCATCGTTGTTTGATGGTTCATTCGTGTGTACCGCCAATTGGAAGCTTCATCGATCGGCACTAACTATATTTACGACTGGGCTTGTCATTCGGGCGAATACATTCTCCATTGCAGTGATCTCCTTTGGCCGATAGTGATACGGAGCAATGTCCGGTAGTAATCATCGTGCATCAATGATATCTCGAGCGATCTTCTCACCAAGGGCATACGCATTTGCTTGACAATGGCCAGGCAGTGCATATGGAACCACAGATAAATCTGCTACTCTTAAACCTTTGACACCGAATACTCTTCCCTTTGAATCAACCACAGCACTCTTATCGCCTGCCTTCCCCATAGAACAAGTTGAGCTGGCATGCCAGAGTTGATTTCCATTGTTCTTGATGTAACTCAGAATCTCTTCGTCCGTATCGACTGTGTCACCGGGAAGCACTTCGGCCCCCAACCGAATGGTTAGAGCAGGCTCCGACGACCAAGCTTGTCGTACTCGCTTGACTCCTGCAATAAGCACATCTGCATCGGCAGGATCGCTGAACCATCCAAGATCGATGAGCGGGTTGTCCTTGTAGTCTGCGCTCGCGAGAGTCACGCTGCCGCGAGAGAAGGTCCTCGTAAACGTTGAGCTAATGGCCCCCATCGAGCTACCGTTCGCCATCACGAACGTGCCCACGATGTACTGGCTGTCTGGGAAATCAGACGGGAAGTTGTCAAATTTAGCCAGCGTCGCTGGCGGGAGCGTCTGTCGCAAATCATCTGGCAGCCGCTCGTAGGAGATGTAGCCTGCGGCTGAGCTGTACGGCCCCGCAGCCTCCTCGACGTATTTTCGTAGTGCTTCGGGCTCGGTGGCTGGATTTGCAACGATCGACTGTGCATTTGGCGTGTTTACGAAATTTGCGACGTTGATGGACGTGGGGTCCTGTAAGTTCTGTCCCACACCGGGCAGATTGGCTACGACGGGTATGTCAAATGAGGTGAGTACTTCTGTGGGGCCGATGCCTGAGAGCATGAGCAATTTAGGACTATTAAATACACCAGCCGAAACGATGACTTCTTTCGTTGCACTCAAGGTATAGATAGTTCCGTTCGTGTCGACGGAGACGCCAGTAGCTGTTTCATTTTCAAAGAGAACTCTCACAGCAATACTGTACGGATAGACCTTGATTTGCGTGTTCGCATCGGCATAGTCTAGGAACGAGGTTTGCGAGGACTCACGTGTGGCGTGGGCTGGATCAATGGTCGACGGAAGCCACGCACCGCCCTTGAGCTCTCCGCTACTAAAGCCCTTCGGGTTGATGGGGATCCCTATTGCCTGAAGACTCTTCGCTAGCCATGTGAGTGTGGGGTCAACGAAGTTGTTCCAGGAAACATCCAAGGGAGAACCGTCTCCATATGCGGAGGGATCATACTCTGGAGTAGCATTCGCCGAGTTACGCTTCTCAAGATTCGGCGGCGTAAGACGCACTGATTTCTTAAAGAATGGCAGTAGGCTCTTAAACGTATAGTCATTATCTCCGACCATAGATGCCCATCGTTGATACGCGCTAGAGGTGGAGCGCAGGTAAGACATGGTATTGAAGGCACTGGAACCACCCAGAGTCTTTCCTTGAGCATAGTGAACAGTTCGGTTGAAAGCATTGGTTTGAGGAACTGTGACGAGCTCCCAGTCGATTTCCGGGCGGCGAGGAAATTGAGGGCTCGGATCGATGGCATCGATTCTCGTTAGGGAATATAATGGGACAACACTGTTGTTGCCGTACGTAATTTGGTAGTAGCCTCCAGCTTCAATAACCTAGCGGCTGGTAAGCAGGTAGGTCCTGCCGGAGATAGGGTACAAAAGATGCAATCGTACTGCGACTGATGCGTGCTCTGAGAGCCTGGCCGCTACGGTTAAGCCTGTGGTGCCACCACCGACAACTACATTCAATAAGTAGGTGAGGTGAAGATTAAGCGATTGATTTCAAGACATACCAATGTAGTCGAACGTTGCATCTTGTGGTGCCCCGATATGATCGTCACGAAGATGAAGCGGTGTGGCTGCGCTCAATGACGCACATATGCCGAGGAACGTAACGACAACGGCGTGGATGGACAACAACATTGCAATCTTCGCGTCTTGTACAGAATATCAAACGTCAAGAACAGCGTAACTCACCCGTATGATAGCGGGACTTATACAGAAGCACCAGACATCCACTGGCAGGGATGCATGTCTGGAATAACATCAAGGGTTGCAGCAACCCAACATTTCACCTGTGCTGAATTTCAGGTACAAACTATACAGAAAATTCCTAAGCTTTGGGAAGATGTCCAATGGCAAGACAGAAAAAAAATGCACGTTTCTAGCGAAAACCCAGAGAAGTCATCTCAGCACTGAACAGTCGCTAGTTACTGCCGTTAAGACATGTTGACGCATTCACTAAAACTTGAATGGTACGATTTGATTGAAGCGGATAATCTCGAGCACAGGGAACGCATCGACGCTAGTACGTTTGAATACACTCGAGGGTCGATCGAGTAAAGCCCGGGATGCAGCTTAGGTGATCCACTGCCCAGTGTAATAAGTTCGTTCGTCCCTGGTCGTTGGGCTCGTGGACTGGAAAGTGGGTTCAAGATTGAGTCAAGTCCCCTTCCACCTACAAAATGGGATAAAAGCTAAGAACTTAGCAGAAGGAATGCAGCCCATCGCAATTTAATCTGGACATGACGAAGGGTTGCAGCGATACTGTTGTTGAGGTACTAAGGGTCTTACGACAAAGGCAGAGTTTACTACTAATCACACGAAGTGGTATGCACTCAAAGAGTAAGATAATCGATACCTTGAGAAGTGCCGCATGTAAGACCACCTCAAATCATTACAAGACATCGAGAGACTTGCAATGCCCGCAGCTGTATGTCTATGGAGCACGCTCAGTGCATGTACGCTCCTTGTACAATTCTCTCTTCGTGGCATAGAACAAGGTCTCGACATGATTCGGGAGAGTTTCTGTGTTCGTAGAAGCATTGCTTCTTGGTGGCATGTAGTTGGTTCGAACACTCAAGATGTTCGAAAACTCTATATACGGCTATCCAGATCAGCATTCCCATGATGTCTGGCCAACTCTTGGTAAGGACAATTTACAAGGGACAAAGACAGATGAATTGTTTCTGGCTGGGTGCGGCGTATTGTACAAAGAATTTCTAATATTCCCAGGTCCAAGAATTCAAATCCCGGGATACCGGCGGTACATCGTGCTCATTGGGAGGTTCAAGTCAGCGCGGCATCAAGGATACCATTCCATTTCTCATGTTTCCTGAAGTGCTTTGCCTAATTCTATGGCGCTCATCTCTGATGGACTCTCGCCGGATAGAGGTATCGATTCGTCTCCAGCAAACACACCCCTGTGACAGCAGTATTAGTATCGATTGACGTGCTTCGAGCACTGTGTAGATTACACATACATAATAGCCCGACTGAAATCGGCGCTGGTTTCGTACAATTCGTGGTCACAAAATTGAGGCCCGGTATCAGGTAAGCAAAACGGATTCCGGTAGTCCTTTTCCTCCTCGCAAAAGATCGATCGAACGTTGATTGCCTCTATCCAGTCATCATATGCAAGGCTTTGCAGTGATGTTGAGTCGATCTCTGCAAGTCCCAGTTGCCGAGGAATATTCTGTCCGCCCTCGAAGTCTACACTTATGACTCTGAATTCGCAAGGAAACGGGTGGCGAGGCAGAGCGGTGAGCATCAATGATGCGTCCTTCTTGCTTGCGACTCGATGGATGCCCATCAGGAACGCCCTTAGCGTCCAGTAGGCATCGTTTGATCCATCATGAGCTCCGTGGAAGATGGTCATTTTCTTGAATTTCTTTTTTCCGTTCGGCAGTTTGCTTTCATATTTGATCCTCGTCTTCGTCTCAAACTTCTCCCCAAACCTTTTAGAGCTTTTGAACTTGGATTTGTATTGTTCGCATGTAGTGGTGACGCCTATTTACCTTAAATTCCCCTTACTACATCAATGTGGCTCTTTAACTTACTGGCTTTTCGAGCAAGAGGGTCGCTGGCAGCAACATTACAGCCCGCATCGACTAGGTTAAGATCCTCACTGAATATATCGGCATTGGCTTTTCGAAAGTAGTAAAGCTCGAGATTGGTATCGAACGCAACAATAAGTGTTAACTTGCGATGAGCAGCACGGGCAGACTCTATGAAATCCGGGGCAGGTGTTGGACATGGGCGAAGACCGAACAGTGTGGCTGCGTCAAGATAGTTGATGAGTTTGGCCCTCACCTGTGAATTACCTCGTCAGTTAAGTTTCATGTTAGATGTGATAGTAAAATAATGTGCTAGTGGACTGAATGTTAACTCGTTAAACGTACGGATGGGCTTATTTTAGTCATTTTACAATGTATCTCGCCGCTTCAAGCTTGTTGTGAAGACCAAGTGAGAAACCAATCTGAAATCGTTTACGTCGCAGTGGACTGGTCATACTCTGCCTACTTAACCTCGATGTCTATTCTCAGACGTTCTTCGTTCTCATAGGTGGTTCAATACTGGAGGACCCAATCCGAGAAGTATAATAGACAAAGCCTAGACAGAGAGATAAATTGACTTTCAATACGTTGATGATGGTTTACGGCCAGCTCGATTGCAAGGAAGCAGTCATACACGCAAAGACGCTAGTACCGATGTAGAATGTCCCTGCAACGGTTGCAACCTACTCACAGTTGCATCAATAGAACATGTGGAATTGTTGGAAAGAATAATGAAAGCGGGCGGCTCATACGAAATGAGTTGACAGGGTTTGCCGCCATGTCAAATTTTGCGATCATGCGGCCCAACTCTTCAATACATCCCGATAAAGCCATCATACAAGTAGTGCCATATTAATAGTCCAGTACATCGCGTATCAGGCATAGCCCTGGTAGCATTGATGAGATCAGAAGTGAACGTCACGGTGATAACGTATAATTGTGTATACAATTCCCCATTTGTGGGGGGCTTTGTAAGTCCATGGTAATATGTCGCATTCAAGTTGTAATCAAATGCTTATGACAGTTGAAAGTCTCTTGTACAAGTTTCGCCTCTAAACGCCATGCCTCCAAATAAAACACTGATCCTTGGTCCATCATCTGAACTTGCTGTAGATAACAGCAATAATAAGCAAGACCAATACCGTAATGATTGCAATCGTAATGATTCGGTTCGTAGCCATCCTGTGAACATGAAGTCAGTGATCCTGATACTCTGGAAATATCAAAATGGCCACCAAGACCTAGGCTCCGTATCAATACCGGAGAGGTTCGAGGAAACGTCGGCTTCAAGTGTAGACATACCTTCTAGCCATGCCCTTCAGCGTCTTGATACTTCGGTCCGTATAACTCTCACTCTCCAGGAGGACTTGTCTCTGATGCTCGATTTGTTCTCTTTGAGTTCGCAAATCACCCAATGTTCCGGCACCAATCTGCTCCGTTTCCAGCGCAATCCTTTGGCTTTCACGAATTCTGTTGGATGAGCGGCCAAGTCTCTCAGTTCCTGAGAGCAACTGCTGGCGCTGTTCGAGCTGATCATCTCCGGTTGGATTATCGGTATAGCGTGACCCAAAAAGGGCGCGTCGATCGTCGGATAGGGATGTGAGTTTGCGCTTTGCTGCATCGATGTCGGTTTGGAAGTTGCGGTAGCGGGTGTTGATTTTCGATTTCAAGTTGGCGGGAATGTTAGGCTTCTCCAACTGCATTTGTCCGAGCTGATAAGATTAAGTATCAGCGATAAATTTCATTCAATTCCTTGACCATGGTCCCGCTCCATCCGGGTCAGAATGATGTTGTCGCATTGCGACGTGTAGGCAGCGACTTACCAGCTCGTTTGCTTCTTCAAGAGCACGCTCTGCTTTTGCGATCGAAGCTTTTCGAGGCTCTCCCGTAAGCTCAGGTATCTCATCTAGCTGCTGGTTCAAGTCGGCTTGCACCAACTTGAGTTCGGCTTCGTAGCTGGTGAAGCGCTCGGTACCGGCCTCGGTATCCATGAGGTTGGACATGTTGAAAGGCGATTATGCGAAGAGTAAAAGATCGGTAATGAATATGGCGAGCGCAGAACCTGGAGGCCTATTGGAGATGCGTAGAGAGGGTGGTTTGCCAGTCTGGAGAGACGAATCTGAAGTTGCGATGTGACGCTGTGACGTTCAAGGACCATGATGGGGCGCATGTTCGCCAAGTCCGCCGTCGATGTTGGATCACGTGCACTGATCTACACTTCAGCGATCACCCCTTGGGCGGATAGGGTCTTCCTTTCTTTTGGAATTATTGTTGTATCATCCGGCGAGACATTTGTATTTCATGACCATGGGAAAAGGTCTTCCTGTACACAGTTAAATGTAAGGAAACATTCATTCTAAGTTCGACTTAGCGCAAGATCAGCACAGCACATGGACAAACCGTTCCTGGATAACCATTTTGGCCACTTATATCGCTTGGTTGATTTGGCACGACACCAAGAATGCATTTAGGGATATAAACATTCTCGTCTTTTACCTCTTCCACTTCTTCCACTTCTCCATGCCTTCGCTCTCAAGCTTCAACAATTGTGACTAGCCCTGACCAAGCTGAAACGGGCTTCGCTTCATGTTTTGATGACCTCACCACTTCCCATTTAGATCACTGTTGAATTTCTCTAGTTCCCTTTCCAATTCTTTGAATCTCAACTGTTAATCTAGCTTTCTTCACTTTCAGCATCGCATTTTTAGCATTACTCTAGCGTTTTTCTTGCGTGATAGACCGTACTATCCAAAATCATGGAGAAAAAGCGTATTGCCATTGTCGGCAGTGGTGTTTCCGGGCTAAGTGCACTGTGGACACTTCGAAATTCAGGTCACGATGTTCATCTCTTTGAAAAGGAGGAGCGCCTGGGTGGTCATACAAACACAGCGATATGGTCCAAGAACGGTCAAAGTACACCTGTAGATACCGGTTTCATCGTCTTGAATACTGCTACCTATCGTACATCAGCCCTCCCCCTCACGCGATTGATAGAGAATAGACCGCTAATAATCGTAGCTAATTTCATTGCGTTCCTGGAAGCACTGCAAGTGAAAACCATGGCCTCCGAGATGACCTTTGGAATATCGAGAGACCAAGGCGCCTTTGAGTGGTCCGGAACCTCACCGTCAACACTCTTCGCCCAAACATCGAACATCATTAGACCCTCTTTCTGGCGTATGGTCTTCGACATAATCCGATTCAACCAATTTGCACTGGACCTGCTTTCTACTTCACCAACCGAACTATCGTCGTCTTCTCTGACGATTGGTGAGTACCTTGAAAGAGAAGGTTACTCTGATGCTTTTCGAGATGACTACTTGATCCCCATGACCGCGTGCGTCTGGAGCACGGGACCAGATAAATGCGCACTAGAGTTCCCCGCCCTGACGCTGGTAAGGTTCATGTGGAACCACCATCTACTCTCTACAATATCCGAAAGACCGCCATGGCTTACAGTGGAGGGGGGTGCCAAAAGGTACATTGGCGCCGTTCTGAGGGATTGCAAGGGCAAAGTCGACATCCACCTTGGGACCGCCGTGGAGTCCGCCACTAGGAAGGACGGAAAGGTGGTGCTCAAATTGGGTGGTATGGGAGGCCAGAAGTCTGATGTCTTCGACGAGGTGATACTGGCATGTCATGGTGATCAGACAAGGAACATAATGGGTCAAGCAGCCAACCTAGAGGAGAAGGAACTACTATCTGCATTCGAGACGACACCAAACACGGCTTACCTTCATTCCGACCTTTCGGTACGTTTGCCACATGTCTTCCGCTATGGAGTATCAAACTAACCAATATTGCAGCTTATGCCCAGACGACGTACGGCATGGTCAGCGTGGAACTACCTTACCACGTCCCAATCATCTCACGGACTACGTAACCCGGCTTCTGGAGCCCTGCAGACCGTGACACTGACATACAACATGAACATACTCCAAAAGCTACCGACAAGCGCTTTTGGCGATGTTCTGGTGACATTGAATCCGGAGGACCCACCGTTACCCGAGCTCACGCAGGCGGTTTACCAATATCGGCATCCACTGTTCAATTCGCGAATGATAGCGGCTCAAGAAAAGCTGGAAACCATCCAAGGAAAGCGAGGGATCTGGTATGCTGGAGCATGGACGGGTTATGGATTTCACGAAGATGGGTTTGCTAGTGGTATGCGTGTTGGGTTGAGGTTAGGTGGAGATGTTCCTTGGGAAGCGAAAAACGCGAAGTATAGTCGTGGGACGCGGCCGACGTTAGGTTGGAAAGATTATGCTGTGAGGACTGTAGTATTAATTCTGCAGCTGTTGATTGGCTTCGTATCAAGACTCTGGGGTGTATTGGAGGGCCAGAAGGGAAAGCGCTCGTATCCGGCAGCGACCAACGGACATTCCAAGCCTTTGCGAAAGAAGGAGTTGTAGCGGTACATTTGCGTTCGATAGTATTCCAGTATCCAGATGACTCCTCATATTGGCTGTTATGATTGTTAAAGATTCATGCTCATGCTCACGCTCACGATATTTGGCCCTGGATTCGTTCGGATGCTATTTTGTCATTCCATTGATTTTTAAGCCATCATGTATGCTGTAGCCATTGAAAAGTTGGCCTCCCAGTGCCGACGGCAACCCGTGTTTTCTTCCACGTTAGGTTATCCGAAGTTGATATAGCCCGAAGAAACGCCTCCATCCCATGCACACATAACCACTTTAGACCTCAGCAATTTCCCTGAGACGACGGATGGTGGACCTCGTAGCGGCGGCGGCGGGGGTGGACACGGTGTAGGCGCCTCCAGCGCTGACCTTGCGGCAGGCCTTGCACTCCCACTGTAAACTGTAAGCATCCAAGCAAGCTGCTCGTCATCGTTGTACTTACGATACCGACAGCCTTGCGCTTGACGGCAGTCTTTCCGCAGAATTGGCAGGTGGTGCGGGCGTGTTGGGAGATCTACCCAAGTGTTAGCACATGTATCATGGAAGTATGTATATTGATTGCCTTACTTCAATCTTCTTGACCTGCTTCCTCAAAGAGGCACCATAACGGGTACCGTACTCTGCAAAAGGTCAATATCGCTCTGTCGATTGTCGAAATCCATCGTGGGGGTTACGTACTTCCGGTGATACCGACTTTCTGCGCATTTGTTAGCCACGATCATCGCTGGAACCAATTCAGTCTTCGACATACCTTCGTTCGCTTGGTCATTTTGAGATATGTGTGGTGTGGACGGAGTGTGTTGACGGATCAATCTCGCGAAAGTCTAGTAGAGTTTCGTGGTTATGTGCGCAAGACAAACTAACTAAGCGAACTGCGCTTAGTCAGATCTCCAGAATCGGAGTTGCCAAGACTTTGCACCACTACCGTACGGTCACCGATCCTCCCACATATCAGGTAAATTGTATACCAAAGCAATGCAAACGAGAGTTGAAGGGAGTATGGTCTGTGATAATTAGTTGTTGAAACTTTTAATGACTTTCTATGACTTGGTAGCATGCATCGCGCTGAATATGTAAGACGAATGCACGGGCCACTAATGCCTTCTTGAGTCCGCCTTCAATCATAGGCTCGGAGCACAAAATATATCTAGATGAGCGTCATCCATGAAATTCGCATTATCTGTTTTCAAACGCCAGAAATTTAATGGACTATTGCCAGGTTTTCAATACAAATTATCAAAACCTGGATGGGGCCCATCGGTATATACCTCAAATATAGTTAATTGACATTCTACTTGAATAAAAAAGACTAAGATCACAATTCGAAAGCACTCGCTAAATGTATTGCAATATTCTAGGTGCAACCTCGAGTGGTAAATGTCATAAACGCCGATGAGATTTGACGCCTTGTGAGTTTCGACGATACTCACTTAGTTCTTCGTACTACCTACTTTCTCGCGCTGTTGGATCTCCTTTTCCTTCTGTGCCATTTGCTCTGCTTCGGTCTTCTCCCCATTACCACGGCCTCCCCAGATACTGCCAAGTTTCATCTTCTCCATCGCCCAATCCATAGTGCTTTGTTCATTCCTCTTCTTGACTTCATTCTCCAGATCTCTCGCTTCCTCGTCCTCGCTTTTTGCCCCTTTCTCCTTCTTCTCCCGCTCTTTGCGCTCCATCTCTTCTACCACACGCATCTCCTCTTCCTCGCGTTCGACTTCCTTGATGTCGATATCCTCGAAACCAATCTTCTTGAGGATTGAACCGGTGAGATATCTATATCTCAAGTGGCCGTTGACGAGCTCAGACACATCGACGTTCTGGACACCATGGACCCCCAATACTGGCTGAAGACCAGCAATACCGAGCTGAATCGAAGAAGTGCGGTACAAGAAGGCTAGAATATAGTCATTCGTGGAGAAGACATTCACTACGCGGCCAGAGACTACGCTGCGGATCTTACGCCAGTCAGCGGCATCAGATGGTGCGGGCGTTCCAAGAAAGACCACGCTCTCGATGAGGCCGAATGCTTTCCGTTTGGCCAGTGTCTGAAGACAAGTGTAAATCAGGCGCGACCCGAGCGAGTACCCTATCAAGGTAACTGGTCTTTCACCCTGGACTTTGTTGATGAGCGCATCTGCAAGGACTTCGCCAGCCCTATCAGCCCGGTATTTGGCAACCGAGAAAGGGTTGTCTAGTACGGAGCTGACTTTGAGAAGGCCTAATGGCCATAGTCCGGCAGACAATGCGCCAAAGACGGTTCTTTTGATGATTTGACCCTTAGCAATGCTCCATGCTGCGCTTTTTACGAAACTGTCCATTGAATTTCCGAGTTTGAGCATCGTCTCCAGTTCCCATCGAAGCGCGAACCCTTCTACAGTTGGATTTAGATAGCGCCATGGAACCACAACTTCCTCCTTGGCTGTGAGCCATCCCGAGATAGCAATGGCAATTCGAAGGCGTCGGAACTCTTTTTCCAGTTTACGTGGACGGTGGGAATGATGGATAGGAATAAATCCAAAATCTTCGACCTCCCTTGCATAGTCATCCATTGCCTTGCCGGTCATGCGTGCTCCGTACGCACCAAAGAGGCCACCAACGAGAACCGAAGAACTGGCCAGAGTCCCTAAGTATCCAGCGGCTGCAGTAGCTCCAAGCCCAAGCCCGCCCATTACGGTTCCTATACCTGCGGCAAGGAAAGGCGCAGCAAGACCACCAGTTATTCCAATCAATGCAGCGCCGCCTACAGAAGCCAAACCGACCTTCCATTTTCGAGAAGACGAAGCTTCAGCATTGGCTTTCTGGGTCTCGGCATCAGCATTGAGCTGCTGGTTGGCAGCTTCAAGGAGGCCTCTTGCTATTGTTTCTTCGTCTTTCTTTAGGGTGCTCAACTTGAGTTGTAACGAGCTGCAGAGATGAAGGAGAAGAAGTCTTGAGTGACCTGAATAGTGTTCCAAGCTTAGAAGGATCAAGACAAGTGAGTGTAGAACAAGCGCTCGTTTGCTTTCGTCCATTTGAGCCAATGTTGATGAAATGGGAGGGTAAAGCTCCTTGAACACAGCGTCTTCATCTTCGCCCTCGTCGTCGATGGTAGCAATGCTCTTGAGTCCAGTATCTTGACGTTTGACACCTTGTTCTACCTCTACGTCGTTGACAGATTTGCTCTGCCTGTTGGCCTCTTCCCGTGAGTTCACAATTTCACCGACTCGAAGAATGACTCGACCTCGCCATTCATCAAAGTATTTCAGCATCTCCTTTTTGAGATCTTGCACTTCCGGTTTTGCCAATTCTTTCTTTGCATCTTCCTCACGATCCATTCTCTCTTTCTTAAGCTTGTCCTCCTTTTCCACATCAACATCTCCCGGATGTGACGTTGCAGCTTTCAAGGCTTCCTCTTCTGATATGTTAGAGGATTTTGGGGATGTTTGATACTCTTCGGCAGTGAAAGTATCTAGGAGCGATTTCCTCATCGTGGCCGTGATTGTGGCGATCAGAAAAGTCAGCTCAGCGCATTGGTCTGCATCGAGGAGAGTTGTAAGGGAAGCTTCATCTTTGTGCTCGGTCGATTTAGACTTGCCAAAAGGCAAGTGTGACGCGAAGCTCATATTGAAGAGCGAATGCTGGATCCCTAGGAAAATACAAGAGATGCAGTTTCGGTATTTCTTGAGTACAAGCTTGACGATGCAAGTTCAATGAATATGCTGACCTAAAAGGTAACATGTTGCTTCAAGTGTCATCTCAGCCAAGATGACGTATTAGTGGCGGTATCGTGGATCATACGGGAAGTCTAAGCCGGATTAGGACATATGCATGTTATTCAGAAGGGAGCAGGCTCCCCAGGTGTATTAAATTAATGTTGTACATTATTATGGCAGTGAATATGAAGAGAAACCTATCCACCTACTTTGCCAGTCGCACGTGGTGGATTGAAATTCCTAGCACTTAAAAACACACCCTTGACTGCTCTAATATCACCCTTCAGTACCTCTATTTGATCATCCTTTCCATCTTTTGTTTTCGGCATGCCGTACGTGCTGCCATACAATCCCCCAATGTTCGAATAATACTGACTCTGGTAGCTCATATCTTGAAGGTAGCTAGTGAGCTCTGTCAGTTTAGTCTTCAAGGAATCCGATGCTGCGGCGTCGTTTGAACGGGTCGCTGAAAGCTCTTGTAGATGGGATGTTATGATCTTCATTCTCTTTTCATGTCCATCCACGACAGACTTTTCAACGTCAGATGAAGAGACCGAAGCCCTGCGGGATAATGATGGCGAAGTCTGCGTGCCAAAATCGCGATGGAAAAGCTCCGTAGGGTCGGAATCCGCTTCGGATATGTCATCGACGATGTCTGTCACATTGGGCTTTGGCTTCAGTGCGGGATCTTCTGAAACAACCTCCCGCAACCGTGTATTCAACTCGTTCAACTTATCATTCGTGTGTGAGGCAAATTCCTGGCGCGATTCGGCAAGGTTGTGTGTCATAGGAGCAATGATGAATTTGGCTAGGCCGTACATTGTAGCGGCAATGCCTCCAGCGGCATAGGCGGTGGTGACCAGTCGTTGAGTCGTGATTAGGGGTGGTGGTTTGGTCGATGGCGTAAGAAACTCTGGATACGTAACGATGGGCGGGATATCGCGCGTCTGGGGTGGAGGGCGTGAGGTCGACGCGGCTGGTTTTGGAAGAGCCTGTAACAATTTAGAATCGTAAATATGCGAAGGTGCGAAGTAATGCCAGCAACCTACCGATGGCCATGCTCTCTCCCCGTCTGTTGTCAATTTAGATAGGGCATCATTGTTTTCTTGCGTCTCCAATAGCTTCTGGATATGCTCTTGACTGAAGCCCTTGGACTGCAGGAACTCAATCTTCTTCTCCCGAGGCGCCTCCCGGATGGTAGGATCTTCCAGGAATCGAGAGGCTTGATCGAGTAGTGACTGACTCTCTCCTGCTGCCTCGTGCCTTTCTTCTGAGGGCTCCGATGATGCAGGTAACGCTGACTCTGCTTCTGATGTGCCCTCTGCGTCTACTGCGTCTACTGTGTCTGTTGCTGGATTCTCGTTCTCCTCTTTCTCCGAAGTCGGGTGTTGTTCCGAGCTTGTGACTGGCGATGATGCTTCTTCTGAATCGGACGATTGAGCGCGTTGCCACGCTGGGGCAGAGGGTTTATCTGACATGGTGGTCGCAGGAGGGTGTAAACTGCGACTATATGTTGAAGAGGTTCGAGGGTGTTGGGGGGAAAAAGAAGAAGGTCGTCTGCACGAGATTAGGGATGTGAATGGAACTGTTGCGACGATGCGACGGCTGGGCCGAGGTCTCTTCCAGCCTTGGTTGGTTAGCTGGGTGGCTGGCTGATTGGTTGGTTACTGAGAATGAGATGGAGTTGAGTTAAGTGCGCTAATCCGAATGTGGCGCCGCCGGATCGCGCTCTGTCGACGATTCGGAGAATTGCACGCCATCCGTTGTATCACCGCCGGTCTACGCATTCCCCGTTTCAATTGTTCCTACCTATCAAATAATTAACATTATTATTTTTTCTTTTCCTATCTGCTGAAATTATCCATATTCTTATCTATCTTTTTATCAATCATCCATCCTACTGACAACATGGTGGACCGCGCGGCGAAGCGCTTACGGCGGATCAGCCATGAGAACGACTCTGTTGGAGGGAACAACAAAGGCAGTGCCGGCCAGTTCAGCAGGTATGTGGCTATGTGTGGCAGGAATCTCGCCAGACATCCATCCATTCATCGATCCATCCCATTATTCCACAGCCGCCAAGTGTGACGTGGGGAGTACAAGCCCTGACTCCCTCGCCCGACCAGCAATTTACACATGCATGGTCGATATCAACCACACACAACCCCTCGTACTTCACCGCGACCTCGTGTCACCTCTTTGATCCCTGCGCGCATCGTCGCGAACATCTGAACTGAACAAACGCCATCCACTCCACTCTTTCCTATCCTGCCCTACCTGATTGTCTACTCATCACCCACCCGCGACGAGCGAGCCGACAACAATCATGCCTCGTCTACGGTCGCGCGCCAGTCTGACAGCTCCCAGTCCTGCCCAAACCGCATCTTCGACCCGTCCAAGACGTGGCACCACGAACAAATCCCCCCAAGCCGCGCATATCGAGCGCTCATCGCCCGAAGAGAAGCGCCAATCTATCCATCTCACCGTCAAGTCTTCGCCCAATAAGCTCCGGCAAGCAACAAGCGGAAGGGTTGCAAAGTCAAACGTGACTTCACATAACATTGTCTCTGGAAAGCGGTCATCGCGCAATAGCAGAGTCGTTCGGGAGGTCGACAGCGACGAGGATGAAGAAGAGGACGAAGAGCAAGTAGATGCAATGGACGTGGATGAGGAGGAGGAGGACGAAGATGACGACGAAGATGCTGAAGGTGAGGAGGACGATGAGGACATGGATGCTGAAGGCGACGAAGAGGACGAAATGGATATTACGCCTGCTCCCCGAGCAGTAACGTCAAGCAAGGAAAACGTTCGTGTAAAACCTCCTGTCATTTTAAAGGCACCACAAGACTCTGTCGAAGCCAAGGAGATGGCCATGGACGATGATGATGACGATGACGAGTTGTCCGAATTGGACTCCGACCTAGAAGATGAGGAGCAGGAGGAGGATGAGGAAGATGAGGAAGATGAGGAGGAGGATGCGGAAGGAGACGACGACGATGCGGAAGGTGAAGAAGATGATGAGGTGCCCGCTCAAAACGATGACGACGAAGACGAGGAAATGGATAGTGATGATGATACACCCAATTCCCTAAGTCGAAGCCACACGCCCGACTTGAGCAAATTGACCCGTAGGCAGCGGGCTATGGTGGAAGAAGAGGCCAGTGATGCTGCCCTCATGGCGCTCTCGAACGGTAAGCTCTGTCGTCAACAGTTTCAAAGATTGTAGCTGACTGGGTTGCTCCCACAGAGGCACAGAAGAAGAAGCACTTCACTGAAGAAGAGAATGCCATGCGTCGCGCAGAAATGGCCCGCAGGCGGAAGAATCTCAGTGAGAAGCGCAATGAAGAAGAGAAGGTTTGTTGTTTCCACTATTAATCTTATCAGCGCATGCTAATTCCAGCACCAGTTGGACACCATCAATCGCCTTCTCAAGAGACAGCCCTCCAAACGTCAGAAAAAGATCCAAGAAATCACTGAAGACGACCAAGAAAACGAACCCGAGGTTGAGAAGATCGACCCCCTCTATGTTCGCTACATTCAGAATGCCAATGGTACCAGCATGGCTATTCCTGAAGAATGGTTGCAAAGTCCCGCGGGGAATGTATTCGCTGGCACTCCAGCGAAACCCTCGAATCGACCATATGGCCGCCGCATGGTAGAAGAAGTGGCCTGAACAAAAATAGCACAAAAGTCTTGAAGACTGCACCGTTTCAAACCCCATTTCCAGGGTACGTGTGCCCAGGTTCTTTCAGATGCAGAGGTGTATGGCGTTTGGCAAGGGAGTTATTTCATTCGTTCTATTTGTACTCTGCATACCATCTGCGTGGACCGTACGTGCCTTATGGACTTTATTGGCAATGATATGCCCCAGATTCCAGTTCCCTTTCGATGCCATACCCTGTAAGATACTCTAGATAATCAGAACGCACGTTCAAGTGTGGTTTTTCCAACAGCCTAAGTTTCTAGTCCGATCATTGAGAAGGTTGCCCATTATTGAATTGCGTCATATCCATATCAAATGCATCTTTTGAACGGCAGACTCGTTGCTACTCGAAGATCGGGAGTGGAAGAAAATGTTAACAAACGTTCGCATCAACTCGGACAGTTTATAGTTTATCGTGGACGAAGAGTCCAAGAGAGAGACTTATCCTAAAAAGTCTATACGTAACTTGAAGAATGCCGGTCACCAATTCAATTCCTCACGACAGTTTGCGAAATTGAACTCTAGGCAACTGGAAGATTGGCCGGGAAGCCTTGTATTTGAGTATCTCCGAGTCTTCTTTGTAATCCTGAAACATATCCACATGCTATCGTACGATATATGAACGATTCAAGGCCTACGAGTATAATTGCTGCGCGAGTACAAAGTTGAACCCTGATTGTTTCTGTGAGTCGCGAAAAATCAACAAGGCCTCCCGACGGACATTCCAACATTTGGTGTACAAAAACCTAAAATATGGATTACACGATATTTTCTGGACATAAACCTCATGGAGTTGGTGTCCGTTGGGGTTAGGCCTAGGCGACGTTTCAGATATCAAGGGGTTCGTGTCTGAGGTTCACCTCCCGCTTACCCCTCGAAAGTCTCAGCGTTTGGATCGTCGCGGGGAAGGTTTGCAGGTTTCCTGGCTTTCATGTTTCGTCGCGCACGCCTGATTCATCTTCTTGTTAGCGTTCAGTTCTGGAGGAAGTCTCTGCCTGGTAGATACCCTGAAAGACGGGCCTTTGTGAAGCCGAGTATTCGGCCCTGTTGATGTTTCGTATAGTCACCTGCAGCTCTCTTCGTGATGTTCGTGACAATACTGCGCGCCATAGTTCCCACTGCAGGACGGTCCTATTATTGCACCCTACTATGGTTCGTGTCATGTCGTGCCCGTTCCGCCTATTGTTGCGGATTCAAATGCCAACTTTCGGCATTGTATGATGGGTGAACAGTGCGGCCACGAGACGGTTTACAGTTTGTCCTAATGAGAGCGATGCGACGAGCAAAACAATCCGGGATCCCGTTTCTTACGGAGTAAGCCGCTTTTTTCTACAAGTCTTCCAATCAGCTTGAGAGTGTCATGACATCCTGAAGGGTTCAAACACCCCCTGTGATTATTGCCCCGACAATCATACGGGCGACCAACCACGCCACCCATTCCAAGGCTGCTCTGACGCCTCAGAACTGCAACCCGCCTCCCCCATTCTTAGGCCAAGCTCGGAAATAATTCAAAAGCAGTAAGGTCAAGATCCTCATTTGTGGCCCTTCGGTGAATGGTGTGCATCATCACCTGCAGCAGTGCACATTAGGTGTTCGCGCGGTTCGCCTTCGTCTCAAGCTAAACGTAAACCTGGCTCTGCTCTCTCATCCATCACATTGTTTAACGACCCTTTTCTTTCTATTTCTGTATTCTCCCATCGTACTTCCGACTAAGTCGTCGTCGTTGTTCATGCAGTATGGCATAACGGCTTTGGCATCAACATCTCTTTTGTTTCTGCATTATGCTTGCTAGGCAGGACCTTGTAGCAGTTTCTCGTTTCATTGACTTTCATTGACCTGGTGTCGATTTCCTTTTCTTGTATAATTCAATCGCTTGTCCTTGGGGTGCTTTCTACGATATCGGGGTTCCTTACGATCACGACTTAATGGCTTCGCCTGCTGGCTTTCGAGTCAATACAGTCACGCTTGCTTTCACGGTTCTTGCGGGACTGGTTGTCTTTTTTCGTCTAATTACAAGAACTGCAATAGAAAAGAGGTTAAACCTCGAAGATGGTTTGATAGGATTGTCATTGGTAAGTTATGGGACAGGTTCCTTTTGGATGGAATCATAGAACACTAACACATTTTCTCAGGCTTTGTCCATAGGCCTTGCCGTCACAATAGGTGAACAAGTTCGCAATGGTCTAGGATGGCACACGAAAGATGTTGACGACGAAGTCCTAATGGCTACATTAAAGGTAAGCTAGCCATACGACTCACGGGGCCAATGCTAACTATGCGTTCTATAGGCGTTATGGGCAGGCATGTGGATGTACAATCTATCGTTAACCACGACGAAGGTGGCGATTCTAATCCAGTACCTCCGCATCTTTCCAACTCGTCGCTTCCGTCTCTTGTGTAGTGTCGTCCTGGGCTTTGTCACAGCCTATGGTGTGTGGACTCTTTTCGGAAGTATCTTCCTCTGTACCCCAGTCCACTTCTTCTGGGACAGAAGCCTTCCAGATGGAAAATGTTTGGATCAGTTCACCATCTGGTTCATTAACGCTGGTGTCAACATTGCTCAGGGCCTCATCATTCTCTGCATGCCAGTGCCTCTTCTTGGCCGACTGAACCTTTCAAGTGGACAGAAGAGAGCACTTATTGGCGTATTTGCAGTAGGTGGACTGTAAGTAATTCAACTTCAGCCATAGTATATTTGGTCTAACGAGTCTTAGTGTTTGTACGGTCTCTGTTGTCAGACTCCAGTCTCTGATAGCAATATCTACCTCCGATGACCCCACTTTCGATAGCCCAGCTGCGGCTGCGCTTATGGCTGTAGAAGCTAACTTTGGCATTGTTGCTGCAAGCCTACCTCTCATGAGGCCGCTATTGGTGCTCATGATGCCCAGAGCGTTCCCCAAGAATGAACCTCAAGGCCCAGTACTACGCCTTCCTGACGAAGAGCGACCAAAACACGTTCGGTCACATTCTGCCAGTACACGACCTTCCACGGCTGCATCATCTCATTACAGTCATCGCCGTACGAAGAGTGAAACCAGCGCGAGCGAGCTATCGGTCCTTTCCACGCCTCAATCGACAATGGCGAAGCCTGGATCAAGGATGCCTATGCCTACTCGGCAAGGAACAATTACCTCGATTAGGCAACCGCCCATGGTTGTTCCTTATTTACCACGAGTTCCTGAAAACATTGCATTGCTCAGTCCAATCCAATTGAGCAATGACCCAAATCGATACTCTTTAAAGATATCGAGTCCAACGTTTGGAAGACAACGGCCTAGGACACCTAAGACGCCAAAGACACCCAAGACGCCAAAAACACCACGCACGCCGGTTACGAAGCCCCTTCCTATCACGCCTTTCCCTATCCTCGCAGAATGATAGATATAATGATCGTAGTTCCAAATCTCGTCACCGTCTGGCCGCCCATCCTAGGGCCGGCCTCGAGGACGCTCCTTCTGGGTTGATGACATAACCCATATATACATCTCGCCGACTGGTTGTGTTCCCAATCTCAAACATATGTTCATTGTTTCGGTCTCCCCAGCTGGATTGACCTCTCAGTATAATGTTATGAATACGTATATACCCACATTCCTTCAAGCAACGATTGTATTATACTTCACTTTATCAACGCTTTAGTCATAACACTAAAAAAAAAACACGTTTATACACCCCTTTCGAAATTTTATTTTTATTGTGGTTCGAGTAACTAATGTATGTTCCCTGTGCAAGGGATCCACAACCACTTTCGCTTGACAGCGTATTCCCCACCCAAGGCGATGACTAGTCGAGCACCAATTTTCAGCACCAAAGAAATCGACAAAAAAAATCAAAAAACATACAACAGCGGGGATTCGCTGATGGTCACCCACTCAACTACTAGTCCGCCGGTACATTGCTTAAGTATGGCTGAGCGAACGGGAAGCCCTGTTTTCAATGTCCAATGGTCGTATGTGAAAGATGAAGGTCCTTGAAGGCACTATGTATCTGAACGATAAGAACCGTTATTTCCTTCTTCAAATGATCAGTGAATTGAATGTGTAGCTCACGAATACATGTCGAGATATTCAACTCAGTACCTGAAATTTCAAAGACATAAATCAAATTGAGGTGTAAACCACGTCTTGATGTCTAAAGCCCAACTATGAAATAAGTTTCAAGCTCTGAGGGCACCCTCACCTAGCCCTTTCTGCTTGCACTTTCCATATTACCTGAGTAATAGGGGGGATGCAACGAAATTCTACCAGGGTAGAATCTATGGGGCATGACTATCAAGTGGATGAGACAGAATCTGGTGAAACGGCAATCCAAATGGGTTTTCTTTTTCACATGTTATACGTACCTTGGTATTTAATTGACATGGCGAACATCATGGTGAATAAAGTGATTGTAATGTACCTATTTCAGCCCCATTCTGTTGTGGAGTATTGGATGATCTTAGCACCCATTGATTTCGACACAAGTCATGAAATTCATGCACCGCAAATAACACAATCCAGCTGATGCTCGTCGATCCCTCTATGAGACAATAATATCTAAGAGAAATCCTCTCCAGTCTCCTCAATCGTGCTCTTGATCCTCAACAGAAGGGTCGTCTTCCACTTATCAAGCTTGCTAAGCTGGTCGTACTGGAACAACTTGTCGGAGAATTGCTCCTGGTCGCCATCCTGTACAGCAGCAGCAAGATCGGTGAGCAGCTGATGTTCACGTTGCTGAGTAAAGCTCTCGTCCAAGGCACGGTAGCGGTCCAGTGCTGTGTTCACGCCAACCATATCGCCGGTGCATAGCTGACAGATACCAGCCTTGAGTAGATACTCCTTGACAGACCAACGCATCAGATTGTTGTTGATGCTTGACCTAGCCACCTTCTCGTACAGTTCACTAGCATGGAATCAGGGTACTGTTATCAATGGATATGGGGGTACAGGTGCATCTTACATTGCTTTGTAATCTATCATCTTTGGTCAGTATTCAGAGTGAAATTCAGAGATTGAGAAACTCACAGTCTTTGCCCTCGAGTGCTGTAAGATCGGCAGTCTTCAGCCATAACTTGTTTGCAAGAGCCTAGGAAGCATTAGTACTGGTCGGTCGCTTCATGATCTTGGTCCTTACTTCGGCATTGTCCTATGGAAAGTTTCAGTATTTTTTTAAATCACCTTGAGCAATTCATAGAAAGCCACTTACACTCTCATACCAACTGGCAGCCTCCTCGTAAGCTGCAGCGGCTCGTCCTTCATCACCGAGTTCGATTTCGAATAATTCACCGAGATTCTGCTTATGGGTAGCAGCACGGCGAAAGGCACCTTTGCTGCAATAATGGGCAATAGCTAAATCTGCGTTAGTATATGAAGCTGACACGGCAACAGTTAGGCATACCCTTGTCTAGAGATCGAGCTGCGGCTTCTGGGTCATCTTTCTTGTATGCCTCTGTTGGTAATTAGTAATTAGTATAGTGTAACAGTGAGGATCGCTGATGACGCACTAAAGGCCTCTGTCATGGTGTTTGCATGGTCGTCTGGTTCCTTCAGCTGCTCAAGTTGTATTTGTGCTGCCTTCTCGAACGCAAGTCCTGCTTCCTTGCCTGCAGATAGGTTAGAATCGTACAAAAACTGATCAATATTTTGGATGCAGGACTAAAAGTGCATACCTTGCTTCTGCATTCGAAATGCGTTTGCAGCAGCGATGTACTCCTCGGCCGCTTTCTCATCTTCAATAACCGGATACATTAGTGATCCATGTAGGCGATGCAAGGGAGAGATAGATACATTTATCAGCACGACCACCAAAGAAACTGAATCCTCCAGATGCACTTTGCAGCGTCTTATCTGCCTATACGGATTATAAGTATAAGAAGCCAGAAGCTGTGGCTGTGTTTCAAGTGTCCCACCTGACGGAGAAGGGCTCGGGGATCGCCAGCCATGTTCGCGCGTCTTCAAAGGATAATGATGTGGTTCCGGGTATTGAGTTGAATACCAAAGATTTGAATAATTTGAATTTCACGAGTTATAATGTTCTGTTAAAGCAAAGCAGGTTCGAGACAGGTGGCTATCGAGGATGACGACCTTCCCTGATGGTCAATGCGTCAGAAGATGCTGGCGGAGTAAGTTCGGTTACACTAGTCTCACTAGTGGCATTTACTGTTGACGACATCCCATCCATCACTACGTGCAATTGATCCTTAAACCGTAATTGTATCGAATTCTGAATACCTGACACTTCCACCTGGGTTATTTCCTACTGAGCCACTGCGTCACACAGTAGCTTACGAGCTTAATACTGCCCCGCCATGATCTCTCGGCAGTTTTGTACCCACGCGAGATCACTGTACCACCGGGGTGAATCTACCACAACGTTGAGGACAACTTGGAGACACTTTCGCGCATATTCATCCGAACTAAAGCACGACCAAAGGGTCTCGGGTGCTATAAAGTTCTCGCAAGTGGACGCCCTACTCGCAAAGCCAACCTGGTCGGTTGATTCTCTCCTCCCTTCTCAAAGTCAAGCTCTGGACGCACCTCCGATATCTCCCCAGCAACTACAGCGCCTACTTCGATTGTCGGCTCTCCCTCCTCCCAAGACACTAGAAGAAGAGAAGAAGATATTGGATACTCTCGCTTCGCAACTACACTTCGTCGGCGAAATACAACAAGTGAACACAGAAGGCGTACAACCACTGCGTGCCATCAGGGACGAAACCGTAGCCTCGTTGCGCGATCAGACCGTCACTATGGACACACTGAAGGATGCTTTTGCGGCTGAAGAAGTCGTTGGGAAGCACTACAAGAGGATCTATCGAAAGCCAACCGTCACAGATGCCGCGGCAGCTGAGAAGTGGGACGTCCTTGGGTCTGCACAACGGAAAACCGGGGGTTATTTCGTCGTGGAAAGTGAGAGACTCCAGAAGTAGAGTTGGTACTACAGCGCGACGAATTTTTCGAGCGACTTGCATGCGCATTAGTGCATGCTATAGTAAGTTAACGATAAGGCACTCCGGTGAGCAAAATTAATATATTATGGTAGAATGCAAGCGTTTGCTGTCGATTTAGGCAAAGACAAAGGCCGTATTGCCCTTTCAAGGACTCAACTCCCATATATGGAATTCCACGATCAATCTGAATACTCGCTGTATCAACGCCAGGACGCCTTATCAAATTCCATTCATTCGGAACAGAACCCACCCCCTCATGCCTTCTAGAAGAGACTCTGCCGGGGAGTAAGGCCATCGTAATTTCACACATTCAATATCTCGTTCAATACGTTGATTGACTGAGATAGAGTGATTTCGAACCCTCTATGGCGAGGTTCCGTGGAATAATCGAGGCGTATCGCAAGTACAAGAAACACAGTGCTTCCTGCGAGTCTCATTGCAACACGTGCAGAACATAGCTTCTCTGATCCTTTCCAAATCGGGTGTTGGCAATCTCTCTATCTTCGGAGTGGGTGGCGGTGTTGGCACCGTATATGTTTCGAAGAACAGTGAAGGTACATTGTTCACCGTGGGAATCGTCTCCCTGGACTGGACAACGATCACTTTGGCCTTTGCCTTCTTCGATTTGGGCTTGATGGCACATGTCACGTGATCTTTCGATTCACGTTCCTCTTTTCGAGTACCGTCGCCCGCCAACGACTTAGCGATCGACATGCTTCTACCGATATCATTTGAACAAGATTTTGGTCCTAATGGCTGTTGGCAAGAATGCGCACCCATCGCCGGAGGATATGCGGAATCATCAGGTGATGAGCGATGACGACGAGCCTCATGAATTCTAACGACTGGACCATCACGATATGCAGATTTCCGATACCGCGATGGCACGTCTCTTTCCTTTGGAGCAATGATGTGTGTAGTCATAAGAGGCGACGACATGATGCACACAAGCGGGGATTAAGCAACACTACCAACAGATAATATTACTCAAGTCGACACTTGTTTGAGTACTCAGAAGAGCTTGGATTGTGATCAGGTAGTTTTGAGTGCGAATGTTGCGGGATGGATTGATGGGTATGAGTTGGCTGAAGTGGATGATAAGAGAGTTGGTGGGCGAGGGTGGGCGGTGCGGTTCTTATGTGGCAGACAAATGCCAAGGTTTCCACCACCCCCGACACCTTGCCCAACCTCCAAGGACTCTTCGCATGCGTGAGCAGCTCTATTGGGTCTTAAAATCCCATAATTTCCCACGAAAAGTCATTTATATCTCAATAGAGCCGCCAAAAGGTCGAGTATGCAGGAGGTCTTGAGGACATATTTACTTGGTGGTCAATCTGAGCTCTTCCCATGGGCGGCCTCTAGGAGAAGATGGCATTCTCCATGGATGCTTTTATTCGTACCTGGAATTGAAATCAAGGCTAACAGAATGGATATAGCAGTCGATGCATCACCTTTGAATCCACTTTCAAGTCGATCCTCGCTGTCGTTGCCAGGCTATGCCACCACGAAGGGCTTGAGACTCTATTACCTGGCTTTTGTGATCGTAGCCCCAATATCCAAAATCCGTTGGGCTAAGAGTGATCCAATATTGCCATGCCAGAGTTTTCAGCTCTTTCTGACGAGTTGTGCATGAGTTATGTACTTGCGGTCCTGAGGACATTCACTGATGTTGACCGGATGACATAATCAGATTGCTGACATAATCATCTCATACATGGCGCTAGGCGGGCAATGAGTCCACCCCTGCTACCAGCCCTCTATTATAGTCTACGGTACCTACCTAGGTACCTTTGCGAATGTTTCTTTCTATACAAAATAGCACTTGTCTTGCATCTGTGATAAATTAAATTGTCATGTGTCAAAAATGCGATAGCTGCACATGCTTACTGTAGTGGAAACGCAACCATGCGACCGTGTCATTGTCTTCCCGGAAGTGTTTCCTGGGAACACTTTGTGAACCTTCTTTTCAGGTCATGGCTCAGGAATTCATCTATCGATACTTTTAAGAATTTGGGCTGTCTTAGTACGGGCTATTGGTACTTTCTACTTACCATTGTCTTTGCGACTGAATAGTATCTAGGTTAGGTAGGTAGGTAGGTAGGTGTCTAGGTGTACCTTATCTTAGCGTCAAAAACCATGCAACCCACTACAATGCTCTCAGCCCTCCACTTGTCGAACTGTGTGCGGAATATCGATAAGATACGGCAAATGCCTGAAGATTGTTCATTGCTATTGGATTAAACGTCGTGAGAGGCATACAATGGCGCGATGCTCGGCATACATTTACAGACCAACCAGTTACTGGAGACTAAGCTCAAGGAGCTTCACAGCTCAACTGATAGAACGTGCTGGGTCTTGACATCACGGTGTCTGCTGACCCTGAGGGTCCAAGTCTCAAGTACTGCTCCCCACTTAGTGTTTCACCGTTTCGAGTAGGACTTGAGTGTTTCACGAGGTGGACAAACACTGCCCAAAGCTTCCTTCCTGGTGACATTGCTCCCGAGTCTACAAGACTTGTACTTATGGTACCAAGTTCACACGCTGTCCTTGCAAAGCCAGCAAGGTATTGGTATCGTAAGTTACCGGCCATAGGGTGATCACTCCATGAAGACGGAAGGACAATGCTCGTAGGATTTTGGGGGTACATCGGCTTGTGGCTAGACCCAAATGGTGGATGAATTGACTACAAGTACTCGTGTATTGGATCGCTCAAGGACCAACCTCGGCAAGGCATTCCTTGTTAAATCTAAGATCGAATCGCGCCAATGATGCACACTTCCGTCATACTTCGCGGTTTTCATGCATCGCACATGACCTGCTTGATGGTCTCAAACATCGCATTCTTATTATTCCGCATGTCGCCCGCCATGCATTTTCGCATCTTTCGTCCTCATACCCCCCTCCCACCCCCGCAACCCCTTCGCATGCCTCGGGCTCAATCGTACAATGGCTTTGCTCGCGGATCACGCAAAGCAGATCTACCATGACAAGCAGGCTCAAGTGGTGCTGTTCTCGTCGACGGCTATTGCCCTTTATGGGTACGATCAAGGCATGATGTCGTTGATCAATACCAATTACAATTATCTCTCGACCATGGGGATCGCCAGCGACTCTGCAGTCGTGGGTGTCATTGTGAGCGTATATTACCTGTATGTGATGCCCATAACAACATCGCCCCGAGCAGTCGAAGACCTGTAGTAGAACCCAGACGAAAGGCCTAAGTATTTGATTTCGATAGAATTGAATGATACTGACTGTTGGGTCTCTCTCTAGGGGCTGTGCGGCTGGCGCTGTTCTCTTCTCTAAGCTCGCCGACGCCCATGGACGCAAGAAGTCAATCTTCCTTTGTCTAGCTACTGCATCGCTCGGAAATTTCATCATGTTCGTAGCAGGCTTCGGGTATTCAAGGGGAGCTCTTGCAGTCATGCTGGTAGGGAGAGTCATTATGGGTTTAGGCGTCGGTGGTATTGACTCGGTCATCCCAACGTACAGTTCAGAGCTCTCGAAGGATGAGGCACGCGGGAAAGCGCTTGCCCAAGAGTTCCAGTCCAATATCTTCGGCCTCTTGATGGCTTTTGGCATCAACCTCGGCGTCACCGTGGCACTGGGGAAATGGTCTCAATGGGCCTGGAGAACTCCAATCATCGTCATGCAGATCTATCCCCTGCTCCTAATGATCTTTGTCGAAAAATTGCCCGAGAGTCCTCGCTGGTATATCTATCATGGCCGTGGCAGCGAGGCTCAATTAGCACTTAACGAGATATATGGCAACGAAGGTGACGCTCGCTTTGAGGACCTCATAGATGCACATGAGAAGGAAAAGAATGACCATGTCAGTTACTTAGACATGGTAACTCCAAGGCATCCTCAGTTTCACCCCACCGTCGTCACCATAATGGGCCAGGTCAACCAAGCCTTGACGGGCTATGGTGCAGTGTCCGTATACGGTCCTCAAATCTTCGAGGTACGACCAACTTTCATCATCTCCCGCTCTCTTGTCACTTTATACATACTGACTAGCTATCTACAGCTCCTTGGATTCCCCGTCCAAATGTCCGAATACCTCACTCTAGGCAACTACACCTCCTACTTCTTCCTGATGACCGTGGCCTGGCTCTTAATCGACGCTCTAGGCCGCCGTAAACTCCTCCTCCAAGGCTCTGCCATCCTCTCCATCTCCTTCCTCCTTCTCACCCTGTTCGGCGGCCTATCCTCTAACGTCCGCTGCCTCTCCATCGACCCCCTCATTCCGGGAATCCTCGGCACAATCGTCCTCTTCATCGCCACAGGTGCCTTCGGAATCGGCTGGCTCGCAACCGTCTGGCTCATCCCGACAGAGATCTACCCGACCACGGCACGTGCCCAAGGCACCGCCATATCCGTCATCATATGGGGTCTCGCGAACTTCGCCATCACGTTCCTCACGCCCGTCATGTTCAACAATCTCTCGTACTTCATCTTCCTCGTCTTCGCGGCCACGAATGCCGTCGCGGGTGTCTGGACCTGGATCTACCTGCCCGAGACCGGCGGACGCTCGTTCGAGGAGAACCAGCAGTTCTTCCAGGATGCGAGTGAGGAGGCGTCATGGAGGGTCGCGAAGGTGAGCGGTGGGGAGTACGCTACGTTTAGGTATCCGGATGAGGAGGGCGAGGGGAGAGTGGACTCCGAGAGGGTGCCACTGTTGAGCAGGTTGGATGATCAGTTGCCCAGAGTGGAATGAGCGTGTGCGTGTGTGGTCGTCGTGGAGAGGTGAGGACAAGGAGAGAGTGTATTGTTCCCCCCAATTATGGGATTGCCTTAGAATGTATACCCCTGGTTCGTTGCTATCGCTAGCACGATCAATCGTCATGTTTTGTACAGCTTTCTTGTATGTTACAGCTCGCTTCAGCATTGTCGTGAGGTTGAGTTTATTGATGCTCTTTGGCGAAATTGTTACAAGCACAGCTCCGCTCATTGACATTTAAGAATCAATATCACTGCAGTCGGCGCCAAATGCTAGCATGAGAAGAATATATGATATGTCATATATAACATTTACTAACCAGGTGTGCTGTATAAATAAGTTGTATCTATTTATTTAGAGCCTTCTAAGGCGTGGAGATGTGTGATATTCACAAAACGCTGAGCTGTCGCGTTTGCTTGCTATAGATGATGATGATTTAGGAAAACTCTAAGAAATGCAGCGAAGTAAGGGCATGTCGTCGACAATTTGACCAAAACTAGAAATGAGGAGTCTCCCCCGTAACGCCGTCGCTATGCATCTATGATGAAAACAGAATGAAGGGTAGTGATGGCGCAGAATCCGCAGAGCAAACTATCCGTACATGCACAAAATTAGATCCGAAACTTTGTTCTAGCACCTCTCGACCGAGTCGGTACTACCACCGCTAGAAACCTCCGTAAGGACCTTGTCGAGCCCCGGCAGAGTGTCCATAATTTTGCTGCCCGGAGTAGGCTGGAACGGGGGGCGGTGGCTCGAATCGGGATGCTCCTGTAGGTGCGTAACCGGGTGATGGCGAGCTGGACAATATTGGGGCGTAGTTGTCGTGCTGAATCATTCCATACGGTGCCCCTCGAGTTGCAACGGGCGATGTGAAGCCATAATCATCCCCGTAATTGCTTGGACTGGGTGGCGCTGGGCTGTGCCTTAACCCAACCTGTGATTGTCCATACTGCTGGTTTGACCCGTAGCCACCATAGGCTGCTGTTGGGTTTTGGAGCGGCGAAGGGCCTCGGTATCCTGTCGGTTGCGCATCGTAGCTGTTCTGCGAGCCGTACGGCCCTGGGCTAGGGTGCGGGCTGCGGTGGGGTGCTGCACTGACGAACCCATCATTCTGGCCATACGACCCATCGGCAGTGGGGTTCTGGTAGCTGGGAGGAAATCCAAATGAATCCTGGGTTTGCGAACGCTGCAAAGGAGACTTCCGCATGTCTCCGTAAGGTGCGACTCCTGTTGTGCTGCCGTTGTGATCCAACCTGTGCATCTCCATATCGCCTCGCTTTTCTGGCACAGCTTCCTCCACATAGCTGACCTTCGCATCGCTATAGCTCGGCATCGCAGGCAGGGCGTCTTCGTTCACAGGCTTGCTCGGCGACGAGAACCTGGCGTACTGGGGAACGTCTGGAGGAGCGCCGGGTTGGAAAGCCGGGGCATCATGGGCGCGGTATTGTTGATTCATGGAGTAGTTGTCGATTGCTGGAGGAGGAATGGGAGGGCCATTGTAGCCTTGTGGATAGGGACCGTTTTCGCCGCTCTTCATCCGCTTGTGACCAGAGTCACTACTTGAACAACAACTACAACAGCTGCAGCAACACATGGCGCATTTAGCACCGCAAAAGATGCATCGCACGATGCAAAGGATTGTGGAGAGAGCGATGATAGTGCCTATGATTATGACAGCGATCACTGGCCATCTGTAAGGATTGTTAGTAGCGAATTTGGGCGTATAGTTCTGACCACGGCTACTCACTTGCACCAGGACTTGTCCATGCACTTGTCCCATGACGAAAGCGCCTCCTTCGCGTCCGCGAGGGGATCGCGAGCGGCGAGGTAAGGCATTGTGGTATAATGTTGTTGAATTCTGACTTTCGAGAAAATGAGGAAATCGAACGAGTAAAAGAGGCGGACGGCAGGTTCTGGGTGTCGGCAGGGGGCCAAAAGATGGGCTGTAAGAGTCCGTGGTCCGGCGCTTCAGATGGATGGTCCTCGTACCAAGAGGGCGACCGTGAACGGGTGACAAAGGATAACGAGGGACGGCGGACAAATGCAACACCTCATGTCACAGCAAAAAGGTTCAGTGCGCGAAGCGACGAGCGACAGGAGAAAGGATGAAGATGAAGCAGATATGACGGTAGGCAAAGAGTTAAGGCAAAGGAAAGCAAGTTACGAGGTGGTGCAATAGAGTACAATAGGTAACTAACTCGTGGAGTTGGAGCCGGCTAAACACCCTCAGACTACGAGTGTGATCATTGGGATTGGGTAGGAAACGAAATGGCAGGACAAGAGGCTGGATTGGGGGCAACCTGGAGGGAGGGTGATCGACAAGACGGTTTGAGTAAGGTAGGGCAGGGCATAGAGAGGGGAAGAGAGGAAGGAGGAGATGGTGAGTGGACGGGCGGGGAGGGGGTGAATTGGAATTGCGACGCGGGAGATGTGCAGGGAAGAGGGAAGACAAGACAAGGGAGAGACCTGGTTAGAGAGAGAGAAAGAGAGAGAGAGATGGACAAGGGATAGGGATATGGATATGGACCCGTACAGTAACTAATTATTACCTCGTAGGGAGATGGAGATGGATGGATGTGAAACGTGAGACAAGAGCCAAGCCAGAAACGGAACTTGCGCGTCTCCCCCCGTGGCTGAGTTTGGGACATATTAACGTTCATCCTTTGCCTTCGTATCATTACGAGTCCCCTCCTCAATCCCATCTAGTCTATCCACTATTACACCGACACCATCATTCCACTAGCCATCACAACTGTCTGGAGACTCGAGGCTGTGATAATCAACTAATAATTAGATATGCCAATGACTTCTAAATATCTAGAATCATGTCATCCGACCTATAAGGCTATAATTGGCTTTCTCAAGGCCTCCTTCTTCAGCCAAGGCCATACCAGTACTCCCAGATTGCGCGACAGTTTGAGTGCCCCTCGTATTGGACAGCGTTTTGCCGTTGATGTCAATGATAGCCGGAATGAAACGAACTCTTCTTTCTTGTCCTTTACGGAATTGGACCTGATCTGTTCGATACCTTCGATTACATTAACTTGGCGCACCCATTGGTTTAGGGTTCTTCCATCTATAGCGACGGCATAAATACGGAGTACTGTCCGGAGCAAAAATAGCCCTGGACTCCTCCGAATATCTGCTGACTACGTATCCGAAGAAGCGGACTATCAACGTCTAACAGTCTCATTGGGTCCACCGCCATGTTTCTGAACTTAGATTTCTCTTGACATCTGAAATCGCCATCGTGGGTGTCCAACTACCTCCTCGATTAGCAGTAGTCCGCTTGATTCGACTGCGAATGATTACTTTCAGCGTCTAGGCGGTGACATGTTACTCCAATGTTGGAATGTCGTTTGCATAGCGGCAGTCGCTCACAAAAAGGCTAGACTATTGAACTCTGTGCGACATTACGAGTCCATGCGCATTGCGCACTTCGAGTCGATTCAGAATCATATGGGCACCTCTCGATCGTCTGCTTGCGGATACTTTTGATTTCCGACGTGTTCTAGAAACATTCTATAAGCAGCGATACCTTGAGTTCGGCGACGCAGGAGGCGGAACCAGCATTGTTTCAAGCATGGAAGCGTGGATATTCGGATGCTTTGGTGTTAATCCGTCACGCCAAGACATGTTGACACATGACAAGAGTCCTATCGGATCACGTTAACGGATCATCATATAGGAACTACAACTGTTGAAATGTGAGGATTTCTCGTTACCTTAAACTCTGCCATACTCGCTTTCTAATGTTCCCTCTGCGAAATGAATATTGGAATGTCCCTTTCGAACGTCAGATTTCATTTTGGTATCTGTTCGCTAAGTAAACATATAATCGTGCCAACGTTCCGCCTATTTATTGATATACAGAGCCTCAAAGGGAAAGAACCTGACCCGCAAGCCCAGCCTTGATCGCCTCTTCGAAACTCTCCTTTTTCAACCCCAGCTTCTCATTCCAGAGACCCTCTGATGCATGGTCCCCTAGGTTCTCCGAGCTGAACTCGGCAGCTTTGATAAGCGCACTGGTTCCGGCTTTCTTGTCCCCTTGGCTGAGCTTCTTGTGACCGATGGCGAACAGCTCTTTGCTAGTAATATGTTTGACGGTCCATTTCTCTCCTGTCAGCTTCTCGACCGTCGACAGGATTTCCACCTGTGAAGTCTGGAACGATGAGACGTAGACGATTTGGTTTTTGGTCAAGTCAGCATTCTCCAGCGACTTAACCACGGCCTCGCCGACCTGTCGAAGCGGCGTGCAGGAGATCTCCCCCGTTCCCTCATCGATAAGAGTCACAGTCTTGGTAGCAGCATTGTAGCCCAACAATCCAGAGTTCATAGCCTAGTTGCGGCATCAGTATCGCAGACCTCAACATGGCGACGGAACTGAACGTACCCAGTCAATGAAAGGACCCGTGATGATACCAGTCCACGAAATGGCATCCTGCTTGCTGATGAGGTAATCGACAACGCCGTTCTTCACGCCGAAAGCGGGGACGAGCTCGAGGGCCCTGGGATTCTGCGTGTTGCTTCCGAATTCGCTGGGGATGAAACGCTTCACGCCTGCCGCGATGGCGGCGTCGATGTATCGAGGTTGGTCGGGGATGGCGGGGGCTCCTACCGTGAGGACTACAGCATCCTGGCCTTGGAATGCGCTCCTGAGTGCGTCGGGGGCATCGTAGTCTGCGCGGATGACCTTCACGTCGGAGGGAAATATTGATGACAATGTGTGCTGTTCGAGAACTGTGACATTGAACGATGACGCCCGGAGGGCGTCGAGGACAGATGGGCCAAGATTGCCAGTGGCCTATGAGTCCTCAGTACTCGCAGAATATGAAGGGCATCATTATACGGCTGCACGATTTTGGGACATTGGACAATACCCATCGGTGAGATACTTACACCAACAAGAATAACGTTCTTGATGTCAGACATGGTGGAAAAGATTTAGAAGCGTCTGAGATGATTTAATTATTCGCCATTTTGGAGCAGCATTCATAGATTTATACCCCGAAAGACCCTTGACGGGCTGGTATCCAAGATCCCGAGGACGAAAGTCCGTCGTGCTGTTGCAGAGTTGATACAGCGGAATGATGGTGGCACAGGATGAGTAATTCAAAGATACTACTTGGGATTCTTGCTTGACGACATGCTAGGTGTAAATATTTATCTGCTGACATGATATTGGGTCTCTGTTCGAAGAAATTACATACGAAGAAATCATGTGTTTTACCCGAAAGCAAATGAAGGTGCTGCTGAAGCCATGGAAGTAGTGTAATACCAGTCGTGGGATGGGATGTATTTCGGAGTGCAAAGGCCAACATGAACCCTCCATGATTATTGTTTTGGTGAACTAAACGCATGGTTGGCAGGGAATGCAATGCGCCAAAAGTGCGGAATTGTTGCTGCTTATTCTATACAGAGACATTGAGTGTGCCCCGGCAACGACTTGCTTCCGCGTTGGCTAGTAACAGATCTACGAATGGACGCAGTCCATGACGGAACAAGTACCGGTACATTCTCTCAGGACGGCATCTGAAAGATTACAACAGGCCTTCGAAGATTTACAAGCCTTTTAGCATCGTTGACAAGAGTGATCTTTGACAATTCAATTTCCTATTCGGGCCATTGACCTCTGTCTAGTAGGTCGACCAATCTACCTAGGTCCGTTGAAGTGTTACTACACAAACATCTATTGATTACAACAAGATATGCATAACGAGTGGCAAAGCCCATGGGTATCGAGGGATATCAGACTATCTGTATACCCATAAAAAAATTTAAAAGCACATTCATTCTTGATATTTCATTAGTCGTCATCATCAATGTCAAGTCTCTTCTCAATGATGCCCCATTTCTCCAACTGCAACAACAGCTCAAGGGAATCTTCTGCATTCCAAACACTGATCTCCCACTCGTGGTCCTTGTGTCCAAGGCTCTTCTCATATACTCCGGGGATCTTCTCAATTGTCCAGATCAGTCCCTTTTGGCTCGCATTGAGATGTCGGATGTACTCGCTGACCTTAGTCAGTGCATCCTCTGGCCTTCGACGTTGGATGCAATGAAATGGAAGACATTGCGTGGCTGAAGTTTCTTTGGTGGAGTCTTCTTTCATCACCCTTGAGCTCCTTCGGATACTCTCAATATCAGAGATGATCCTGTTGTAACCAGCCTCGGTGAGACCGAGTTCCTCCATCTCGGGTGTGTGAGGTGGGTATAGCGGATGGCGAAAGGCGAACCTGGCAATACGAAGCCTAGTGCCATGCTCGACGGTCCTGCGACATTCCAGTCTGCGATTGTGTTCGTACTTCTTGCTGTTTGAAACGTTACGAGCGCCTTCGCTACTGTCGTTGTAGCCGCGCTTGCATGCGCTCCAAAGGCTAGCTAACTTCGAGATCGGGCTCACGTATGCGAGGCGCATGTTGATAAAGGGGTTGTTCTCTTGCTCTATCATGAACTTGGCATACGTTGTTGAGTGCGTACGGCAGTTTATGTTGGCGCGCATCCACGCTCTGAAGAAGGGATCTTCTCCATAGCGGACAGCATGGCTGGTGATCAAGTCCCGTTTAGACGTCGGTATGGCATTCGGCCATAAAGCCCAGGGGCGAGTTCGATCACGCATGGTACACTGGTGGTGATGATATGGCGGTACAGTGGCCTGTAGAGGGAGAGATCCGGACGACTGGCTGTGTTCGCTTGGACGTCGTCGAGGTCCCGAGACGCTGTTGTCTTCCATCGATTTGGTGGTGATCAATAGACTGAAAGGATCTACGAATGAAAGCCGTTGCCCCTCATTGGGACTGAAGGCAGCCCCCATTGATTTTGGGGATTATAATCCTACGTGAAGTATTTGGATGAGCGAATCCTGAATTCGATTCGGATCCGAACAAGGAAAATGAGCCGACGCAGACCATGACTGGTACACCTCGCGCCCGCCAGTGGAAGGTAATATCAGCCAAGAGCTTGTTCAAAGCCGAAGCCTGTTGTCGAGTATTGTATGAAAGTCCATGGGATTCTCTCGAGATCCTAGGTTGGTGGCTTGAGGTTGTTGTATTGTTGGCACTACTACCTTTTGTGGCGGTTGGGCCAAAGGTAGCATCTCTGTGGCGCCATCTGTGGCTAGGAACTTTGCTGGATGATTTCGAATCCTCTGCGATATCGCTCAAAAGGTTTGACAGCGCATTCAGAAGACGGCAGTAATCACTGTAAGTGATACCGTGATCAGCCAACGTGGTGGTATATTCAATGGGTTCACAGAGGCGCCAATTGGAAACAAAATGAGATCGCGGATGGGGGCACTGATCGCGGTCACAAACTCCTGGTATGACCATTCCAACAGAGTCAATGAAATGCTTTTCTGGATATTCGGGTGGTCTCCGGAAGTCGGCTGGCATGACATCTGGCCGTTGATTGTGGTTGTTCAGTATTGAAGTCGTGCTAATGGACGACCGCAGGCGGCTTAACATTGATGGCCTTCTACCTCTGTAGGTATCCGTAGGCTTGCTTTCCGGGCAAACTTCAACTGTAAGAACACTTGTTGACGTTGCACTTGACTGTAGGCTCGGCCTCCGTGATGATGGAGAACTTGCTCGGGATATAGGCGGTGACGAGCGACATGTGCTGCTTGAACGGCGAGCACCCACCGCTCGCGGCTGCGCATACTGCAATTGAAATGGAATGGCTGGATCGCAGACTATATCGTGCGATTCGTCCACCGAAGAAGTCTCGTGCTCGTTGTAAGAGTAAGATCGAAAATCCGACTTGGGCATGGTTCCTACACGGTCGAAAGGAGCAGGCTTAAGTTGTGCATCGACTGTGTCGAGAGCTAATGTGTTGCACATATCGTTTCTTTCGAAGATAAAGTCATATTGTGGAGCGTCCATTTTGGAATTGACTTCGTACAAGTTGTCGTCAAATGGGTTGGGCTCTGAGAGACATTATACACTGACAATTACGCCTGTATACCAGACCTCGAAACGAAACCCTCCAACAACATATATGATTGTCTCGAGTTCTAGAGCTTCCCCGCTCAAAAGAGCTCTAAGCTCTATCCACGTTGTGCTGAACATTTGTACCGTAACACTGGGACAGTCGGGGTTGGGGCGCCCGCCCACATTCCGTAGGCTGTTGCATAACATTGCGGTACTGGAGATCTCCAATGCTGAAAGACAAGCGGATTTCAATAAAGAAATATATCTATTGCTACCCAGACTCCCGGCGCTGGCCTATTTAGGTATCGGGATCTTCGATAGCTTGCGCTTGTGGCGTGTACCCTCCGCGGCAAGCTTCTGCAATCCCAGAGGCTCGTGGACATACGCGGCAAGGATGGCATTGCCCCAAAGAAGGTTAGAAGCTGCATGGTATACTGCTATTTACTTGGCTATACTCCCGCCATCACATGCGTTTAGTTAGCTCTAGGCCGGGTCCAGGAATGGGGCGTGAACGAACAAAGCCAGAGTACCGAGATCTGGACGCCCATACGTACAAATGCACGGGGAACGCGGATCTGAGCATGAGCTGAACTACAAGAACTGCATTCTCCCAGCATGGGGCTACTTTTGCTGTGCATGAAGCTGTTCATGATGCAATGGCTGCGCGGGGTTTCCGGAAACTTCGTATCTTGGTCAACCAGCGGCCCCTACCATTTTTAATAGCCGCAGAGCTTCCATTACTACACTTCGCATACTGCTTTGTAAACCCTTCATGATCTACAAATCCAGAACTTGGGGGGATTCAATTGCATCAGATAGCTAGTAAACCATGGTGCGCATATTTGGGATGTACTTGGCAGCTCTCTGCAAGGACCTAAAAACTACTAGCTTTCAGCATGAAACGCGTACAATAACATCTCATTCCCAAATTCAAACTAGCAATCAAGTTGAAAGGTGTTCGCGGGTTTGAGTGGTGGCGAAGCATGAAACCGCTAGCGGCACTGCGTAGCTTCTTTCAGTCAATGCTTGATAATTATGTCATAAGCCTATCACTTGACAATGCAATGTCTGGGGAAGAAAGAACCAGAAATTATAAGAACAAAGATTCAAAGAGTTGGGTAACTGTCTATGATGAGAGCTTATAGGCCTGACTCTCTTTACGTGTGACACGAACAGCAGTAGATGAAATAATGAGAAGTGACGCCAATGCAAGCATAATATTTGCTTCGTGAGGAGTGACTGGTTGACTCTGGACTCATACCCTTTTGCAAATCAATGACTTGTTGAACACAGTCATGTGTGTTGCACCTTTCGGATTCTGGTATAAATACGTCTTCACGAAGTGAACCTGCGTTGTTACAACACCTAACCGTATCTACAAACTGCATTTCTCTGGATACATACCATTAACACATTACTTACACCTCGATTTCAGCCTTACGTTATCTTTCAACAGCTTCACACCTGACCCGAAATCCTGAGCGCAAAACGACTGCCCGCATTCTCACAGCCAAATTGATCCAGGACGTGGTGATTAACCAAAAACTTATGACTCGACAAGAAGACGAACGTGGTGAGCAGTATTCTGCATGAACGAAAGGCTAAAGCGTATATTAACGATGATCCAGCAGGCAATATGGTCCCCGTGGGGCGAGGAGATGGAATTATGACCCTAGAAAAGGCTCGTAAAATACTGGGATTTGGTCCACACGAGAGACTCACGTTAGAGTCTGTTGAGACATCGTACAATTTGTCCGCACTGGCCTCTAAAGTGGTCGAAGATCATCCAGGGGTCGATCAGCACTCAATAGACAAAGCCGAAGCGGGCTTCATGAAAGCCCGGGAAGCATTTGAATATCTCAAGAAAGATCTGTAATGTGTACAAGGATCCTGTAAAGAGAGCCTAAGAGAGGTGTTCAAAGATAGAGTGGTGAATGTCCGGCACGCATGACGAGATGTTAAAGTCAGCACAATGCTTTTGTTAACACTTTCTACTTAAGTCATTCTATGATGCTTGTATAATGTTCCTGATCCGTGTTCATGATGCTCATCATTGCACCTGTTCCAAATACCAAGTCCACAGTATATCATAGCCACTCGGGCATGCCAGGAATTCTCACTAGGCTAAGACATCAATTATTCACTTTAGGTACTCCAGAAGTCTTCATCATGGTCTCTTTCCTCGATGTTCTCATAAGCAGTAAACATCAAAAACCTCATAACAAGAGTGCGTCACGGACAAAGACACACCATTGTGGTAAGAGTGCTCTACGTGAACATAGCAGAACTCATACCAGTAGACATCCACCAAGCAATTCTGCCAGTCAGAGTTCACGATTAGTGGATGATGAAGCTATTTTCAGGATGAATGGTTTGCGCGATGATTTGCCATTTACCTCGTTTCCAACGACAATGAGCTCTAGCTGCACCCAGCAAGTCTTTTCGGAGTGTCCTCAGTTTGAGTATGTTGGACTTAGCTACACTGGATCTGCTGATGATTTCTTCGTTGACCCAATTCAAGGACACAAATACTTCGCCTCGCGTAACTATAAACCACTTGAAATTGCCAATGGTTACCGTGTCCAAGAAATTCGACCACAAGGACGCGGTACCTACACCGGTCAGGTTGATGATGGGTTTGCAGCGGCAAGTGGCTACAAGGTCCGTGAGGCTCGACCTCAAGCATTCAATCACTCGGAACCTAGATATCAATCCCCACACGGCGATTCTTACCCGGCTGCCGATCAGCGCGTTCCTCAACATGAATATCGCTCTCAGTTCCAGGAAGCTAACTCTGGAAGGGCACGCGCGACTGCGCAATATAGCTCTTCGACGAAGGGTAATGATATACCATACAATGGCAGTCATCATAGAAATGGGAATAATGCGTATCCCTCTGAAGGAAGTAAGCAGTCGTTCACTTCAAGCGACTATTCTGCCAAATCGTCTTTCAATTATAGCTCCTATCGAACCCGCACTGCCACTCCCAAGAAACCTCCGATTCCAGACACTGACCTGCCGGTGGGCTTAAAGTCTGAAGTCGATCTTTACGCTGTTCTTGGCGTACCCAAGTCTAGTAGTGCCCAGGAGCTGAAGAAGGTGCATCGTCAATTGTCTTTGAAGCATCACCCTGACCGCGTGCCAGCCGAATGCAAGGAGAAAGCCACGGAGCAAATGGCCGAAATCAACCGAGCTTACGATGTCCTAAAGGACAATGAAGCTAGACGAGTGTATGATACCACCGGTAAGGTAGTCGAATCTTCATGAGCCCATATGTTGATGCCGCATGGAAGAATGTCTGTTCGTAGCTGCTATTAAATACAGCCATAAAGGGGGTATGGTATTAATACTGATAGTTAGTAATTTACTGTAGCCTTTGAAATACATGCGTAGTCAGGTCTAAAGGTTCGGAGTTCATTTGAGTCTATATTGAACAATAAGGAACAGCAAGCACGATGTCAAATAAGAAGACGACAGAATTTCCGTGATTTTGGATCCCAGTTAGAGATGCTCCGTAGTCCACCCTTTTGTAGGTGATGGAAGAGAAAAATAACGCCAACGCCGCCAGTAATTGACTTGCTTTCTTATTATTTCACAAATGTGTTCACTGGCAACCGATAGATGTCTATTGTCCAGTACGGCCGGCGGGTGCCATCCCATTGAGAGCTGCCATGGAGACCAGATGGAACCGCGATATCCTCCCATTCGGTGTCAAATCCGGCTTCGTGCAGATCGATTTCAGCGACCTAGGATGAATCAGTATTTGTGAGATATGGCAGATTTTGAATACAAATTACCTTTGTGTAAACATCGTAGCAGATCTGTCGATCGGCACCAAGCCCATTGTACCATCCGAACTTGCCAGCTGGATCTAGGAGCTGGATCACATATTCAGAGAAAAACTCTCTCAGTGCCGCATAGTCTTCGGCAAATGTGTCATAGTAGATTGCATCGAGTACGACACCTTGCTCAACAAGCTTGGGAAGGATGTCCTGCCACCTGCCTTCGTGGATGATGACGTTGGGCTTGTCGTACCAGCCTTGCTCGCGCAGGCGTTGGTGAACCTGGGGGTGTGCCTCAATGATGTGATGCTCAGAAGGATCATGTGTGAGGATAGCCGTATCGACAATACCCATTCCATGGCCGACGTTCATAGTCCTTAGACCGGCTTTCGGGATCAATGTTTCGGCATGCCTTTGCATGATCTGAGTTTCCCAGTCCATCATAACGGCATTGTCGCTCTCGTCCAACAAAATACCAGGTTTATATCGCAACTGACTCTTGAGGTAGGCATGGTTATCCAAAGAAACATCGTCCAACACCTGCTCCTCGACAGCCTCCTCGACGGGCTTGGCTTCCTCCTCAGAAATTTTCTGCTTTTTGGCTGCTGGTTGCTCATCACGTGTTTCGTCCGCTTCCTCATTCTCTTCACCCTCAGCTTCAACACCACCCATTCCTAGGGCTTCCATCTTGGAGAATAGAAGTTCCGCACGCACACCAGCCTCGACCATGGCCTCGTAGATTTTCTTCTGACCCAATCGCAATGCGATACAGCCGGGTGTTTCATCTTCTTTGTTCAGGTCGTTCCAAATTGCACCATTGGCAAGCAGAAGTTCTACAGTCTTGAAAGCATCATCGCCCGCTTCTTTGCCATCCTCGGCTTTTCCGCATGCTGCAATGGCCGCGTGTAATGGTGAAGTAGCGACTGAAGCGGTAGGGTCCTGGACATTGGCGGAGCCCTCTTTCAAGAGGATGTGGAGCGCGGGAATGTCGTGGCGCTCAGCAGCCGATATGATGCGCTTCGCGAGAAGAATCTCTTCTTCAGATGCTTGTTGAGCCATTGTCTTGAGAACACTGTCGCAAATATAGGTTACGATGTTGTGATGCCGAATTTCTAGTGGGGAAGGATGGAAATTTTGGCGCAGGGATTCGCGATAAGATAAGCGAGTATTAGCGTTCACAACAATTACTATTTTGGGCTACTTGCATGTGGGGTAATCTACTATATGAACACTTCCGTGCAATTGGCATTCTCAATTCATGATGGGGACATAATACCAGTAGAAACAGATCAATCCGAGTGAGTGGAGGAACCCTCAATAATGGGTCACGGAGGTGGTGATTTGTAGAATCCACATTTGGCTACCAATGCTGCGTATCAAAGGCGAAGTATCATATGGATTAAAACCATTAAAAGAAACCGAAAATGCACTCATCTACCTGGATATCGATAATGTAAAACATCTCAGTGAGATAGTAACCATTTTCAAAATTGAAAGTCACTTGCCGAACATCCGGAAATCGTGGACCAGTAGACTAGGTGAAGCATAAAGCCGTGGCCTTCATGTTTGACTCTTCAAAGGAAATCAAGCTTTCTTTGTTTTTTTCTTGGGCGGTTCATCTGCTTGGGAAGCGAGCCCAAGCTTCTCAACCAAAGCCCCAAACGTTGTCGTTGGAATATCCATCGCTGCAATCTGGTTGAGTTTATCATCTCCTGGTTTAGTACCCAATACAACGAGCTCTAAAGTCTGTGAAATGCTCTTTGTGAACTTGGCACCTGCACTTTTGAGAAGCTTCTCCGCCGAAGCACGAGTATAGCCCCCAATAGTTCCCGTGATTAAAAGAGTCATACCGTCAATGCTGTCTGGCGGCTCGCCAGACTGAACATCTGCAACCTCTTTCTCGGGCGGGACTTCAATGCCTAACTCAGCAGCCAACGCATTCCACCGGATAGTATCAATTCCAGATTCCTCGATTATTTTCAACTTATCAGGGCCCGCATTCGTGCCCAAGATTGCGACCTCGACCTGCTTGTTGAGTGACTTTGCTACTGTCGCACCTGCGTCTTCGACGATTTTCTGGGCCGATTTACGGTCGTGACCAGGGACGGTGCCGGTGATGAGCACGGTCTTCCCGACAATTGAAGGGGAAGTAGCTGACTCAATGGATGCTGTCTTCTTCTCTGGAGGTGGGTTGGGTTTCCCTCTAGAGTTGGCCTTCGTACCAGCCTTGCCTTTGTCTTTGCGTTTTGGCTGTGCCGCGATTAGCATCAGGAGAACTATCGACGAAAGCCTGCGAAAGAGTGAACCTCAAGGTTGACTGAATGAATGTCGTACCTTATCCTCTTGTTCTGAGTCCTCTAACTCCTCGTCTTGATCATCGTCAGCTCTGATCTCCTCGATCAATTCGTCCCACTCCTTCGTTTCGAGGCCAAGTTCATTGACTTTGTCAAGCTTCTTGTCGCCAGCATTCTCTCCCAGTACAACGAGCTGTACCGTTTTATTCAAGCTCTTCTCGATAATTGCTCCGGAAGTTGAAAGAATTTCATTGGCGGAAGAGCGGGTTTGACCTTCAATGTCGCCAGTTATGATGACTGAGACGCCCTCAAGGGCATTTGGCTTGACGGAAATCCTTGACGCGGCAGCTTTCTTGGGAGGCATTGTTATTAATGGCGAGGTTGTTTACACTTCAAATCCTTGTATCTTTTGTATGATCTTTGGCAATAATTTGTCACGTCACGTTGAGATGAGGGAAATTCAAATCAAGGGAAGGGTGATGAATACAAGGCGACGGGAGCGTTGGGGCATTTGTACCTGCACCTGTAGGATTCGGGGACGCATCCTAGCGCGAATTGGTCCCTTGCGATAACAAGGCAACCACCAGATACGAAAGACTGCCAGCACGACCCTGCCGCCAATTCACGTGTACTTGGCAGCGTTGGTGATGATTTCTTCTGGAATGGGGCAATGTTGAAGATGATGCGGTAATAATCATTTTAACCCGTCGGATGTATCGGTTCTTCTGGCGTCTAATCTTTTGGGTGCTATCAGTACTACAGCCAAAAAGGGAACCCATGTAAGACATTAGGGAATGGGGACCAGTGTACATCGTTACAGGGACGTGGACTGACTTATCTTGCAGAGAACATATTGCGGCACGACGATGTCAGAAAAGGTGACAGCCAATCGGCATCATTCATCGATGGAGAGCTGTGGCTGGGCAAACCCAGCTTATTGTTGCTTGCGCAAATTCTCACTTGCATCAATCCTATTCAATACTCATCATCTTAAGACCATTCGTCAAATTGGGGCGAGTGCAATGAATATGACCAGCCGCATCCTACTTACGTCGCCCTCTCCCCGAACACTTCTCTTTTCACTTTCGACTGTTGCTGTGCCTCGCTATCCCAAGGCATAATATCATTGACAATGAATCCGACTCCTGTGGATCTTGAACCTTTCTCCTCTGTGAAATGGGCCCTGCCGCAAGTCACTTCCCCCGGTTGGTCCATTGGTAATCGCTACCGCGCGGAGTCCCACGGTCTGGCCGATTACTTCTGCCGAGACATCATCACGAGCAATTCAGGAGTTTCGCACTGGGTGGAAGCATACCAAAAGCCTTCTACAGACAGGCCACACGTGGAAAAATCGATATCGCTTTTCAGTTTTGGCAAGGGGCTGGGCGGATATTCGGGCATTTGCCATGGTGGCGCCCTTATGACAATGATGGACGAAGCTCTCGGGTACACCATGGTCAAGGACGAGATCGAGAACAAAGGCAGCGATTGGTCGGGAGAATGGCTGGAGAGGTTAAAGAAGGGAGAGTCGCTCTCGGACTTTCTTGTTGGGTTCATGCTAACCGCAAAGTTGGACTTCACATTCTTTGCTCCGGTGGTATGTCCTGGAGTGATAGGGATCGAGGTTGAGCTCATCGAACATAAAGGGCATAGAATGAAGCTGCAGGGGACCATGCGGGATGCCAAGGGTAGGCCTTTACTCAAAGCTGTTGGAACGTGGGTTCGGCTCAGCCGGGCAGCGAAGATGTAGTCCGAGAAGAGTTCTTAAAATGTTGATTTTCTTTTGTTCCAGACTGCGACAAGAGCACTCAGTGGCCATGTGAACTAGCTGATGTGTCCGTGGGTGTGATTCGAACATATAGCAAATGCATCTCACCAAATCATTAACTTTATACTCCGGCAAAGAAAATGAGAGCATGATCAGATTACTTGAGGGTATTTTAACCTAAGGAAGGGTATCTAACAGTATGAAACGCTAATGCAAAACCAATGCCATAAACGATAGGAAAAACAACTCAGCTTTTGTAGCCTAGCACATGTTCCGGGTATTGTGGTAACGCTCCTTCGTACTCGCTATACTCGGTATGGCCTGTCTTTGTACTTCGTGCTCGTTCCCGAGTGACCGAAGGGGGATGGCCAACTATTTTTGCCGTAGAGTCCACGCTGTTCAGGCGTTTCAAACCGTAGCTATCCTGCTTGTCCGAAACTGCGATGATCCTTCCATTCGCAGTTGCAACGTAGGTCGTATTCTCCGGGTCTCCGTCCATGCCCGGCAAATTACTGTAATTGAGAGACGGTCGCGGTGCAGTATTTTTTCCATACGTCTGAGTACGGGTTTGGTATGATGTGTTGTAATCGGAGAAGTAACGAGGCATTATGTGGCGGAAGAGTCGTTTCATCGCTGGTGCGCATGCTGCGATAATACCGACGGCTGGTTCGACGATGGATATGACCACACCGATATCCCAGGTCCTGTCTTTGTTGGAGGGAGAGAATCGATAGTAATAGATGACAAAACGAACGACGGAGACGGCGGTTGCGCTAGAGTTGTTCAGCAACTTATTGACAGCACGATCGGGGAATACCTACATCCAACCCATGCTCATGATTACCACGACAGCCATCTTTGTTTTGAAACGCATTTGAAGGTTCCAGACCATGGCGGTAGGTATAGGAATGATGATTAGGTCCATGAAGATGCTCAAAGAGCAGCTGGAGAGGATGAAAACGAGCGAATTGATGCATTTACCACCCGCAATGCGATTACCGTTCTCGTCCTTGTGATCCATTTCTGCCCTGAGGTAGGCATATCGGATGGGGGTGCATTGGAAAACGTTTACAATCGAAGTCGAGATCATGTAGCCAGCATTGATCCAGACTAGTTACAACATATGTTAGTGGATAATTTTGATCTGGCATGAGCGTTTACCTACAGACGATGTGGAGCGCCACTCTTACAAGAAGACGCCGATCTTTGACTCGGAATAGAAACATGATAATCGAAGCACGAATGGCTCCCATCAGCGGGTGATAGAACAACTGAACGGCGAAACTCCATTTCGCAGCTAAGATTTGTCCTGCCACGGTTGGCTTTGGGAGGTCATAAACATGAAAACCAGTTCCACTAAGGAGAATGACTGGGACGCGGTCAGAATGGACTCAATAGTGGATTGGGGTTGAGGGCATACACTGGTAGATCGTGATCGTTTGTCCAATCAAAAGTACAAAGGAGAGTAGTATAAGCCAATCGTCCCATCCGAAATTCTGGCCCAGGTATCTTGAATATGTTCTGCCTGCAACGAAGAGGGCTGCCAGTACAGGGAACACAACCGTCACAGTGAGAGCCTGAGTCTGCCTGCTTTCAACCATTGCTTGGGGCAATGTATGGAGTGTTCTCCAAGGAGCTGATCAGACCCAGTTATGGTGAAATCTATGTGTTGGAGGTAGGAGAAGATTAAAGCACAAGTCCAGCCATCAACTTGGATATGAAATCACACACAAAATCAATGGCTGGTGGGACAAACAGCGTTCACGCATCGCTCTGCGGCTGTCGAACATCCTTTATTCATCGGCGGTGCTAATCGGAGGATTACTCCCACTTGTGGCGAACCCATGGCAGTGTCGGCAGCGAGGCATAGTGACAGTAAACATTCGCCTACATGGCGAAAGCGATGACCATTACCATGTTAGGAACTATATAATGCCGATCGTAACTGATTTGGACTGGGTTTCGTCGCGAACGGGTGATGCACTGTGCTTCCGCGAGAGACTTACGAGTCGTGATGTGGATACTGGGTTCGCACGTGACGCCATTCTACACCCAATGCAGCTTGACACGGTCAATACGCTCTCCCCTTAGCCAGGGACCGAAACGCCTCTGAGCAAACACCTCGTACCTTTTTACACACCGTCTTACCCACTTATCTTCTTTCAGAATTTGGCAGTTGAAGTGGCTCTCCTATAGCGTAATGGGCATCATCGGAAAGCCTGGAACTTGGAAAATCCGAGTATTTGGCATACAATTGTAGGGCTTGGAGAACAGAAACTGCTAAGCTAAGACAAATACATGTCTCAATCCCTGCCATTCCCTGATTACGCTGAGCGTATTCGATGTCAGACTGATTCATTCACATCTCCTCGCCTGGGGGTTCCATTCCACGGTCCACACTTTTGGTAGTATTACTTGGTATTCGCAAAGTCATGCAAATGCTACTTCAACGGCGATTCTTCCCAGTCGATTGGTGCAATGGTGCCTGATCCATCTTTGCAAGTCATGGGTGGGTGCGGTAGTTGACCATCTTTAGCCACTCTCGGCTTCTCCACTCATTGCATTCAGAAAAGATCGTCAACCCTTTTACATGGAACGGGCATACCACGGTCTCATTTCAATACCCAACCTGGGGCCTCAAGATCCTCCCGCCTTCCCCATCGTCATCCCTTTTCCGCGCGCGGAAGGCCATTGAAGAACAGGAAAAGAGTTGCGCTGATTCTCGATCTCGTCTCTCTGTACTAAGTTTGGGGACGATCGTTCTTTCACCATCGACGAGGCGCAAAGTCGTTGAAACTACCCGTTGCACCAAGCACGATAGTTCGAACTATTGCGACAATGTCTCACGGTCCCAGAACGACTTCAGCCTTCGGGGTCTGGATCGCCGCTCTATTGGCGTTGCCCGCAAGCGCAACGTCCGCCTACGTCAATGTGGACATCGACTCAGGAGACCTTCTGTCTGCCAAACTTCAAGGTCTACCCTCCAATCTTGCGAAGCTCTTCGCGCCCGAATCATCCAACTCGCCAGTTGTGAATGCCTCAAGGTGCAAAGTCTATCCAGGTGACGCAGAATGGCCCTCCGACAAGGCCTGGTCGACGCTGAACAAGCTCTCTGATGATCGCCTCCTCTCCCCGACTCCACAGGCATCTGCCTGCTACGAAGGTCCCAACTACGATCCAGAAAAATGTGAAGCCATGACTGCGACTTGGGGAAGATCCTACTCTCACATGCATGACCCTATCGAGATGATGAGTCCAGTAGCTCAGGGCATGACCTGCCTACCACCTAACGTGTTTGATTCTCACAACTGCACACGAGGTGGATTTCCTCTGTACGTCATCAATGCCACGAAGCCAGAGCATGTGCAGTTGGGTGTCAATTTCGCACGAAACACTGGAGTCCGCTTGGTGGTCAAGAACACTGGCCATGATTTCCTAGGAAAGAGTGGTGGCAAGGATGCATTGAGCATCTGGACACATTGGTTTAAAGACATCGATTATCTCGAGGAGTATACCGACGAAAAGTTGGGCTACTCTGGACCTGCCTTCAAGGCCGGTGTAGGTGTTCAGGCATTTGAAATCTACAAGGCTGCACATGAGAAAGGCAGGGCCGTGGTTGGAGGAGAAGGCGAGGTACGTTTTCAATCATAGTATCTTGTGACTGAACTTCGTTAACACCTATCGTAGACCGTCGGCATCTTTGGAGGCTACATCCAAGGTGGTGGTCATTCACCACTGACATCGCTGTAAGCCTTTTCTTTTGTTCCTGTTCTCTTGCCGATTTGCGCGACTAATATCAAACCTTCAGGTATGGTACCGGAGCCGATCAAGTTCTTTCGTTCGAAGTTGTCACCGCCGACGGCAAATTCGTTACTGCTAACTCAACATCTTACCCCGACCTGTTCTGGGCTATGCGAGGTGGAGGCGGCAGCACATTTGGAGTAGCCACCAGTGTGACCGTCAAAGCGCATCCTGACATGCCCACTACTGCCTCTCGATTCTCCTTCACATCCGAGAAGATTGGAAACGAAACCTTCTGGGCTGGAATCCGCTCCTATGTCGACTACTTCATTCCAAACGCCGATGCGGGCACATACGCCTACTTCGTACTTATCCCCAATGTCTGGACCGGTATCTTCACCTTCCAGATGTCTCCCTTCTTCGCGCCGAACAAGACACTCGAGCAAACTCAAGCCCTCCTCCAGCCCTGGTTCACGCAACTCAACGAACTTGGTATCCAGTTCGATCCCAACATCACCCACTTCGATTCGTACTATGAGGCATGGCGAAGCTCGTTCCCGCTTGAGGTAGTCCAAAAGGTTAACGCTACCACCGGATCGCGCATGTTTCCCCGCGCGAACTTCGAGACCGAGGAGAAGAGGGAGGAGCTCTATCAAAACCTCCGCCAATCCAGTGAGAACAACCGCGTTCAGGTCCATTTCAACATCAAGGCCGTCGATCCTGCCAATGCTGATAACGCTGTGAACCCCGCTTGGCGACCAAACATTCTCTTTGCGCAGCAGGCCGTCCGTTGGCCCGTTAATGCCAGCAACGAAGAAATCTTGAAGATCAGACAGGAGTTCCAGACCGGTGACATGCAACGCTGGAGAGACATCAGCCCTGGCGCTGGATCTTACCTCGCTGAGGCCGACCGCCTCGAGCCCAACTTTGGCCAGGCGTTCTGGGGCGACAAGTACCCCAGGCTGTTGGAGCTCAAGCAGAAGTGGGATCCCAAAGACGTCTTCTTCGCTACCACCAGCGTCGGCAGCGAGAGGTGGCGAGTTGAGAGCCCCGGCAATCTTCCAAACGAGAACGGAAAGCTCTGCCGGGTGGACCAGTAAGCCAAGTCTGGATGTTTCCCACACCTCTGACATTGTTGGCTTGATCACTTTCCTGCATTGATAGCGTGCAATGACTCGATTCGCATCGAATTTTCTTTTCGTTTTTCCATACCGACGGCCTTCGTCTGCCCTCACTTTTCCCTTGATTTTCCTAGCAATATACCGCAGAAAAGGATGATAGCGTTCTTGTTCAGTAACTAGTTCAGGCTTCCGACACACCACGCGTACCACTTTCCTACTGTAAATAGTTACTTTCCTAATTGATAATGACGGCTCACGGCGCCGGCTCGACCGAAATCATGTCTTTGCTTAACTTCCTCGTCTCTTGTTGGTGATTCTCTAATTTTGTGCTTGAGGTGGCTCGAAGCAACGCTGTGATATCGCTGGATCCGGCACCACGGGGTCTTCTGATCAGTACAATGAGGTATTGAACCTTGCGTTATGATTCGGCGATTAAAAATGCGTACGGATTCGCGACTGTTCCATGCTGTTGCAATATCTACGATACTAGGTGGTTCCAGTTCGGACCCTCATCTTCCTCTCCTAGATTGTAATCTTCGCGTGCGCAGGATTTCTTTCCTATGGAAAAGGTCTGAAGCATTAGTACGTGATATTACGAAGCCCTGAATTGATCCTGGCGCGTGTAAAAAGGGAAGATTCCGAATAATTGGTTGCTTTCTATGGACTGAGTTGTGGTTGCTGGTACGAATGACATCACATGCTTCCGGCCAATCAGCGCTGCAAATCCCCGGTCCCCTGGACACCCAACGTCTGGGCTCACGTAGCCCTAAGCCTTTGGCATGAGTACTGTGCAATTACTGAATACATACATATTATCCAGAAACGGCATACACCATCAGATATTGCAGCGTAATAATTTTGACCACCACTGACTTTGTATATTTTTGTCGCATTGCTGCTCACCAGGAATTGCGTTCCATCGGTGGCAGTTTGTGTGTAGGTGCGTAGTACCGTGTCCTGCATCCCATTGTCTGGTGATATATCCTCATCTATTGAGAGCGCAGGTATTTATTGTCACATCGGGAGACTAATCTGGAGCAATCGAACAATTCTTCGCGGGCGAGATCGGAGACTGCAGGACCTATGTTATCTTTTGAGTTCGTGAGTAGCGGGAATGAGGCCGAAGTGCTTCGCGCTAATTGTGGTTATGATTTTATGCGCGTCAAGGGACCTCGGCCGTTGCGAAGAGGCTTGCAGTTCCGGGATTCGTTGAAGGAGATCTAAGTATTTCAGATATTTTGATTGCGGTAATTAGCAAGAGCAATTCGTTTGATGGGCAAATCGCAACTCAGAGTCCAACCTAGGGCCACATAGCAATCTCTAAAATCGGGCGACATTGCCGTCGGTCAAGATGAGGCAAAAAGTGCTGATGAGGTTACCGTTCTGACGCGAAATCATTTCAGCGGCCCACCACGGCCCAGATATAACGAGAATATGACTATATCAAATGCGTGACCGGAGAATAATAGCTTTGATAAAATATTTTGGATGATGATCGGAAGGGGGCCGGTCTTCGGGTGCAAGGAAAGACTCCCCAAAATAGTCGATCACAGATTCCGTGAATTGCCGGCAGCAAGCTGGAACAAGCTGCAGCATCCGGGCGGTTTCCTTATCTCACGCTTTCGGCAGGAATTATCGGAGGCAAAATTGGAATTGTCATACTATTTTCTCAACATTTGAGAGAGAAAAAGGTGGACAATTTGTGGTGGTGACTGGAAATTGGAGAGTTGGATGTGGAGGGACAAAGTTGAAGATATTGAGAGACGAGGTCTGGTTGGTTGGAATTCCCCCGCGTGCTTGGCGCTGTCACAAGCCGGAGAGCAGCAGCAAAGCAAATGGATGGAGGATGGTCTCTTAGCTCTATTCACTCCCCTACCCTTTCCCCTCTCCCCATCCGACCGAACCAAATCAGATCAATCCTCGCCTCTGCCTCCCGGTCGCCGGCATCGTCATCAGCTCCCGCGGATCTAGCCCCGTTTCAGTCTTCCTTTGCACAAAGCAGATCCTCGGTCCAACTATTCTCTCTAGTATGGGTGACGTCTATCTTATAAACCATACCTCCCCAAGCTCCTCAGCTGCTGGACCTCTTACTTCACTCAATCTTGCCATACTACATATACCTTTTACTTGACCCTAAGCATATCAGTGGACCCTCTTCATACACATCGACCCAACTCATAGATTCATTTATACTCACGCGACCTCAATTGTCATCATGGCTGCGAGCGCAGACTCCATCCTCCGTGAGGTTAACATCCTCGGGTCATTGAACGACCAGAACCGACACATTTTGAGCAAAGATGCTGCCGTGTTCCTTGCCATCCTTCACCGCGCCTTCAATGAGCGCCGAAAAGCTCTTCTCCAGCGACGTGTGGTGCGCCAGGCCGAGCTTGACAAGGGCAACCTCCTCGACTTCCTTCCAGAGACTAAGCACATTCGCGAGAATGATGCATGGAAAGGCGCACCCCCCGCCCCTGGTCTTGTTGATAGACGTGTTGAGATCACTGGTCCAACTGACAGGAAGATGGTCGTGAATGCTTTGAACTCTGATGTGTGGACATATATGGCGGACTTTGAGGGTATGTATGCAGGATTTTGGGAAATCTTCTATATCTGACAATCTACAGACTCCTCCGCACCTACATGGGACAACATGATCAATGGTCAACTTAACCTCTACGATGCCATCCGCAGGCAGGTCGACTTCAAGCAGGGAGAGAAGGAATATAAGCTTCGCACTGACCGCAAGCTTCCAACCTTGATTGCCCGAGCTCGAGGCTGGCACCTTGAGGAGAAGCACTTCACTGTTGATGGTGAGGCCATCTCTGGTAGTCTCTTCGACTTCGGTCTGTACTTTTTCAACAACGCTCGGGAGTTGGTGAAGCGAGGAGCTGGTCCTTACTTCTATCTCCCAAAGATGGAGTCTCACCTTGAGGCTAGGCTTTGGAACGACGTCTTCAACTTCGGACAAGACTACATTGGCATGCCGCGAGGAACCATCCGTGGTACTGTCCTAATTGAGACCATCACTGCTGCGTTTGAGATGGACGAGGTGCGTTTTCGGCATTTATCTACACTCTCGAGCGTACGGCTAATTACAAATAGATTATTTATGAGCTCCGGGATCACTCCTCCGGACTCAACTGTGGTCGCTGGGATTACATCTTCAGCACGATCAAGCGTTTCCGCCAGAACCCCAACTTTGTGCTTCCTGACCGTGCCTCCGTCACCATGACTGTCCCCTTCATGGACGCTTACGTTAAGCTACTCATCAAGACCTGCCACAAGCGAGGAGTTCACGCCATGGGCGGCATGGCTGCTCAGATTCCCATCAAGAACGACCCTGCTGCCAACGATGCAGCCATGGCCAATGTACGTGCTGACAAGCTTCGCGAAGTCCGCGCTGGTCACGATGGAACTTGGGTTGCCCACCCGGCCCTTGCCTCTATCGCATCTGAGATTTTCAACACACACATGCCTACTCCCAACCAGATGCACATCCGCCGCGAGGATGTTCACATCACCGCCAATGACTTGCTCAACATGAACGTTCCCGGAAAGGTCACCGAAGAGGGCATCCGAAAGAACCTCGACATTGGTCTTTCCTACATGGAGGCTTGGATCCGAGGTGTCGGATGTGTCCCCATCAACTACCTGATGGAGGATGCTGCGACTGCCGAGGTCTCACGAAGCCAGCTCTGGCAATGGTCAAGGCACCAGGTCAAGACCGCAGAGGGCAAGACCGTTACTAAGGACTATGCTCTCAAGCTCCTCCGCGAGCAAGCACAGAAGCTTGGTGAGAAGGCACCAAAGGGCAACAAGTTCCCTCTTGCTGCGAAGTACTTTGAAGGCCAGGTTACAGGAGAGGACTACGCCGAGTTCTTGACATCGTAAGCATCTCCATACCCCTCCCATTCTAGGAACATCTACTAACGACATACCAGGTTGCTATACAACGAAATCACAAATGTGGGTCCCGCTAAGGGTGCTTCTAAGTTGTAATTCCCTAGCACGAAGCGTCTTTTACCCCACACCATTGCTGTTATTGTAGCCTTTCATCAAAAATTACCCCCAAATGGCGTTGGGCTTGTATAGTATGCCCCCGAAAAGGACTGAGTAGCTAATGACCCTTTGTTACGAATCCACCTGTTCCAATTATACATTACCTTTGTTTTGAAATTTTGTTGTTTAACCGTTTGTTTTCATAACTAAAGCAATGTGACATGTGAAAATAAGCTAACGTATGTGCTTTCACAGACTCAATCCCCTGTCGCGGCAGCCAAGCTGTGAAGGGGTTCTTATCGATAACCGTCACCATACGAGCCTCGGCTCAACGAACAAAGCATTCCACGGGGAAGGAAACCAACCAAACCGACGATGCGGTGAACAAGCTTGCACATGCCAGCGCGGGATTGGCTAGGAAAGATGGCAGGCATTGTTTAGCGAAAGCATGTGAAAGTTTAGAAACGACCAACGAGAACATAACGGATGAGGTAATGAATTGCATCTGATGCGGGTGAGGCCTTTTAATTTCATGAGTTTCACACTTGAGGAATAGAGATTTGCTGCCTTCTTTTAATGGTTAGGGCGTTATTGGTTTGTAAATAGCATATGCTAATCTTGTACATACACATATTTCTATATGTAAATGTTCGATCGAATGTTGTCCACCGTGCAGTACAATTACCCAACCAAGGCGACATTACATACTCTATTCATACGCAGGACCCAGCCCAAAAAAGTCCTTCGGCCTCGCCATGTGCAACCACATTCCATTTGTAAGCGTCGCATTAATCCACGGGATCAGCGACACTCCAAACCACACAAACACATAAACATATCCCAACACTCTCCACATAGCCGAGTCCTTCAGACCCAGCGACGAACGGGCGATGTCAATAACATGATCTTCGATCAAAATAGCGACAGCTTGAGCCATAAAGACCGCAAAACAGTAATCGTCAGCCCAAAAATCGCGATTGCATAGAATGGCTGAGCCACCGTGAACGCATGCACTGACAAAGAAACCAGCGAATAGTTGGAAGTATTTCGACGCAAATGAACCTTTTCGGAAGCAGAAGACGTGCTTGGTGAGGTAGATGCCAGGGGTGGAGCATATACGACGGCAATTCTGATGCCAGACCAGACTAGTAGTATTCAAGTCAACTTACTGACAGCAGAACAGGATTGGAGAATGACACTTACGACCATGCGTTACGGATCGTATAGCACTTTTGCACGTCACCGAACGCGGAAGGGCAGTCCTTCGGGGGTGAAAGGCCAGTGAGGACGGCGACAACGCTATACGCAGCGCTCGCCATCTCCAAAGAGGTGAATGTTATCATGATGTGTAGCCAGCTCATCATTATCTTATGGCCCAGAGGTAGGCCGTCAGTTCCTACAGGCTTTCTGAGATGTTCGTAACCTCGATAATTCCCATGCGGTGTCGAGGCGCTGTACGAGTTCGTCATATCGACGAGAACATACATCAACCCTGCACGGAGAGTTTTCCGAATCAAGAAGCGCCTGGACTGATTAGAGAAACGATACGAAGGCGCTTCCGAGCTCAATGATTTACCATCTTGGATAGCCAATGGGTACCTCAACAGGTACATTTTTGACTTCCTGCGACCATCCTACGTAGCGATTCGTCGTCGCCAATCTCGCTCCCCACCAAACCCTACCAAGGAAGGATTGAGGCACATCAACCGACTTCTCATCAGTACCATTGGATTTTACTTTGTGCCACCTTTCTTTATCTGGATTTGCAAGAACGATCCAATCAACATTGACGAAGAGGCAATAGAGTGCAAGGCATCCATTGGTGTATCGATCGCCGTAGTATATATCGTCTTCTCTTGGATAGAGGCATTGTGCGACCAGCAACGAAATTATTGAAAAGCTAGCAGCAGTTCTGAACGTGCTAGGCTTGAACCCAAGGGATATGATGTTGGTCGCGTAGAGAAGTGGAATTTGGAGTTGCCGAACAGTTGGTGGCAATGCCATCCTTAACAATGCAAAGTGGATAATTTCGCGTCTAGGGGCAATTCAATATAATCGACAGAAAATTCAATTGAGCAAACAGGCGCACCGCGCCAACTTATAATTATGAAGTTTGGCAAAGCTGACGTCGAGTCGGTCGCCAGACTATGGCGGAGTAAGAGGCGTCTATGCTTTCACACTACCGTCCAACCAATCATGCGACACGGTATACGCAGCTCCACTAAATTGTTCAACATCGCTGGCACGGTTCATCGATGCATTCTCCATCTCCTTAACCCTCTTTCGACAATTTTCCATCCTGTCACGGCTTGCAATTTGCCTTAATTCTTTTCCAATTCGCACGACGACGACTTCTTCTTCTTCTTGCTGCAGATAAGCCCGAATCCCGCCAGGCCACCCCCTAAACCTTCACACTAAAGATTGACCCACTCCCTGTGCTAATGTACAGCGTATCTCTGTCCGCCTGGCCCCTACCTAGAGTAACGGCAGTCGAACTAGATACTGAGGCAATCGTGCTGATTTTCCCATCGCTCGTCACCTTCTGGATTTTGTTCGATCCGCCCGTTGCGACGTACGACGTTCCATCCGGGGTCACCCACAGGTCATCTGCTGTCGTGTCGGACCATATCGTATCGATGGTTCCTGCTTTAGCGCCAGATGTGTCAACGGCGACCTTGTGAAATCGATTGCCAAAGACGTTGGTGAAGTAAAGTACGCCGTTTGAATATCGAAGACCGTCTATTCCCATGGCGGCCCTAGAAGAATATTTCTGTCAGACGATTCCTCCATATAGACTAACAAGAGAAGGCGTAAGTGATCAAAAGTGGCTTACGCAGCACCTGGTACAGGCACCATAGTCTCGTCCTGAATTGCAATGCTGTAATTCCCCGTATTCACATTCATCCTCCACACTGCACCTTTTTCCGCGTCACCGATCAGGATCGTGTCATTATTCAGCGTGGTTAATCCATTGAAGAACCTGGACTCCGGAACCTTCTTCAGCAGAGAAGTCTTGGGAGCACCCGTCGAGAAGTCCACCTTCCATATTCCCCAGGATCCCGCCGTGTTCCCGCCCGCAAATGTGAATTTCCCAGCTACAACGGCGAAAACGTCCGGTGCGATCTCGGTGATGCCACCCGTGCATGTCGCATCGGGGAATGTTGCTACCTTCGAGGCGTTTTTGGTGGTAGGGTCAAGTGACCACAGCTCGCCGCCGTCGAAGAACGAGACGAGGAGCTGGCCGGTGGAACGCGCTGCAATACCCTCGGCCCATGCTGGAGGTCCTGGGAACTTGTAGACTTCTGTCGTTGCGGATTGCCTGAAATTAAGTGTTGCAGCAAATGCAATCGAGCTGGCTGTTGTGATTAGCCCGAGAATATAGGAGCAGCGCATCTTATCGATTTAGAATTTTGGTAAGTATATAATTGCAAATGATAAGAATTGTAGAGGGTCTATAGTCTAGAGAGAGATATCTTGGATGTTTCAAGACAAGCAGATAGTCTTGTCAAGTATTGGCCTTGCATGAGAATGAGATAGAAGTTTAAAGGTTCTAGGTTGATTGACCCTGCAGAAAAGAATTGCAGACGTTGCGGAGTTGCGGAGTCTACAAACTGATCATCAAGTTATAACTATTCGAGAGGTAATGTTTCTCTGCCGGCCTCGTAGATTGATTTTCATAAACATTGTCCCGATGGAATTGCTCTAATTTAGCCATACCAAATTGCCGACATTCGGTGCATCCCGATCCTTGAGATGGGATAGACCACCACGCTTGATTAGGATATGGATGGATAGGTGAATCTAATGTAAACTTTGGACGCCTTTTAACAATTGATCGTTTTGCACGGCGGAAACGTTACATATCATATTATATACGCCAAAAATCGCTAAATGCGGATTAGCAACACGTGGTGATACTTTAGGCAGCTACGACTTGGCAACTGACTCTCTTCTTAAAAATGACATCGCATCTCTAGAGACACGCGATAAATCATCTCGAAACAATAACTACCTAGGTAAAAATCAAAGATGACGTCGATCAATAGTCTCGCGCGCACCACGAACCCGTTTCCTTTCCTCGACCTCCCTGTGGAGTTACAACTGTAAGAATGAATTCCTTCCATCCCTAACTGATCTACAACTAATCCCCTGCCAGATCCGTTTTCTGTAAGTGCGACCTTTCGACTATTCGAAGCTTGTTAAACCATAGCTTCCACTTCAGGACACTTTTCCTCATATGCCCGACGGCGAATGTGGAGGAAATAGTTGCGCGTTTACCGCGTCGGTTGTCCTATCTATTGCGAGTGTCATGGGTACTCCAGCAGCCTGGCATATACCAGGTCAAGCCGCACATGATCATGCATGCCCTAAAGTCTGCAACAATCGACAATTGGATCAATCTCATACCAGAAATTCTGGGTAATGATCGACTTCTTGTCAAGTACATGATCGAATTGGCCGAAGTGCTCGAAGAGGTAAACGAAGCGACGGAGGTATACGCAGAGACCTTAGCTGCTAACGTCTACGCCTTCATGAAGCCTTGGACCCAACCATCATCCCTCGAACTCTCGAGAATGGAACGCCTGCGGCTTGCTACCGCTTGCCTGAATGTCAGAGTTCTCCATCAGCTCCACATGGTCTTTTCGATTCAAAATCGTTCCAATGATTTCATCCCCACGTTCGTGGCAAGCCTCGATCCGTACGAGCGCGAAATTAGTCTTGCACTCGATTACTTCATTCACCATATTAGCCGCGGATCATCGCATGCAGCTACCTGGGATTTTGTAAATCACGAACACTTCTCCATGGAATGTCTTAGAGGAAAATCTTGCTATATGCGTTATGTCCTCGACTTGATGGACGATGCACACTTCCATCACTTTTTCCACAGGCCTTGCGATTGCCGGTCAGTAACATTTAGACGCAGTGAAGGAGCGCCTAGTTGGCACGCAGCGCCGTCCGATTTCGGTCTATCACGCATTGAGGTTGATGACGAGACTAATTTCGCAAATTCCGGCTGGTTTTATCTGGATTCTGTAAGAGAAAAGCACGATGTAACATCGATGCATTACTCAAAGCTGTTTCTACAGTTGGGCATCCTGTTCTGGGACGAGCGTCGTCTGGCTGCGCTCGGATTCAGCGATCCCGATGAGTTTCCAGTGATCCTCCAGATCCTTGCTCTTCGTGAACAACAGACGAGGTCGTTTCGAGCTAGGGTCTTTTATGATGACTACGGCGATAGCTATGAGACCCTCAAACGAAGAATGTTCGACCTTCAGATATTCGAATGGACTCGATACACTACGCCGTGTGATTTCGAGGACTGGGTATATGGCCATTTTGTCACTGACTGGGAAGAAGCGAAAAGATTGTGTGCAGAAGAGTGATGGGGTCGACTTATTATGTCGTATGTATATGTATATATTATCTAGAAATCGTCACGATATTTTCAGTTTATCTCAAATCTCGAGATGAGTGGAGTTAGATAAAGGCAATGTTAGCCAATAAATGCATCCACCAGTAAGGTAAATCTTATGTCTAGTCTTCAACTTTCTGGATGAAGGTGATCAGACCAGCCTCATCGGAAACGCTACTGAATTCGGCAATGTCAATGATCTTGAAGGCATAAATGTAGGGTTTTTATTGACGTAGGACTGCAAAACAAAGACTTGTCCATACGAAACGCACCTAAACAGAACGGCCTCATCGAGTGACCGCATTTTCTGTGCTCTACGGTGAGTACGATCCTCTCAGCCCGTATGCCTTCGCATCGATCCATTTACAATTCTATTTCTGCCGCGCTGAAGCAATGCATCCGACAATCGTAAGTATTGAGAATGCACGTCTGTTTAATTGAGTAACATGTACGGTAGGGATCTACTCGTGTCGCCAATCGATGGGAGGATGGCTCTCCACATCTGGCTAAATCGCTAGAGGAGGACTAGCATTCAGATTGGCTGTGGCGCATCGATCAATCAATATCTGTCCGGCTTCAGTCGTTTTCATATGCAATATGGAACATTCATTTATTGGTGCAGCGTTCCTGCATCTCGCATCGGGGGCAGCAGCGGGGTCAGCGCGAGACATTTTATCTTCCATTTCGTTCTTGATTTACTTGCAATTGTCCTTCAACCTTCTCTTCAGTTTTCCAAGTGAATGGAAAGACGTACGATCGCCAATATCCTTCGACACCACATTCTGTCTAATTGCATGTAATTGATCCAATCACTACAATGGCTCGACGATTCCTAGTCGCCTTGCCTTTCGCTATCTCTGCGGTGCGAGCACAGAACTGGCCAAATTCTACATCCACACAAGCTCCAACACCTACTCCTACGCCAATTGCTCCATGGAACGTCACCCATTACGGAGGTGAGGTGAACATCACCAACGGCCTAGCACAGACTCCACCGATGGGATGGAGCTCTTGGAACAACTTTGGACCCGACATCAACGAGACGCTCATCAAGAATACCATTGACGCTCTTGAGAAGACGGGCCTAAAAGACGCGGGATACATCTACGTCAATCTTGATGATGGCTGGCAACGCTACAAAGGGTCGCGAGAAGAGCATCCGCTTGAAGTCGATCCTGTCAAGTTTCCGAACGGAATGAAAGCTCTCGCCGACTATGCTCACTCGAAAGGCTTCAAGCTGGGTATCTACAGTGGGCCTGGTGTCGATACATGTGCGGGATTTACCGGATCAGAAGGTCATGCAGAAGAGGACGCAAGGACATTTGCTTCGTGGGGAATCGACCACCTCAAGTACGACAGTTGCTGTTCGCACGGTACGGCGCCGCAGTCCGAAGTCCAGCAGGTCATGCTTGACATGAGCAAGGCGCTCATAGCCACGAACCATTCGACCATCTTCCACGCATGTCACTGCGGGTGGGCCAACGTATGGGAGTGGGCGGCCGAAGAGGGAGCCAACCACTGGCGCATCGGACAGGACATTTCCGACGACTTCAACTACCCAGGCAACCGCGAGAAGTATTACTTCGATGTGCTCGATATGTTCGATCGCGGCAATACCCTCACGGAGTACTCTAGACCGGGCCACTGGAACGACTACGACATGCTGATCGTGGGCCTCAACGGTGAGAGCAAGCAACTCGTTGGCAGCGGCCTCAGCAACATCGAATACCGCACGCACTTCAGTCTATGGTCCATCGTCAACTCACCGCTCCTCATTGGCGCCAACATCAACAAGCTCAGCTCCTACGACCTCGAAACGCTCACCAACAAGGAGATCATCGAACTGAATCAAGACCCACTCGGCCAGCCCGCATCCCTGCAGTGGCAGAACGAGAACGGAACGTTGCAGATATACGCCAAGCAGATGAAGGACGAGAGTCTCGCGATTGCGCTGCTGAACCGTGGCAGCACGACCGCAGACATCACAGTCGACATGAGGAGGGATCTCACCGTTCCTTGGGATGTGTATCGATTGAGAGATCTTTGGAAGCACAAGGATTTGGGACCGTACGATATCCCTTACACGACTGAAGTCCGGTCACATGAGGCGAAGATTTACAGAGTCTGGAAGGTCGCCTGCACAATTGGATGTTGATGGTATTAATGTTTTTATGGGACATCCATCAATTCTGATGATGTCAAAATAGCCCGAGGAACCGTTAATTGGTAGAATCGTTGCTGAATTGGCATGCGACGAGTAGAGAAGTGATGAGAAGGTGTTGCCCACATGCCGCTCACTCTAATTCATGTATTTGTTACTCCGTAGTTACCAATTTACTTCTCTCAAAGCAGATCTTGTTCGCAAATCGTAATGGCATACTTTCTCCGCCTCCAATTGAAAGACGGGTACCACATCCCGTTAACTTCCTTCGCAAACAAACCATCTAACATCCCATAATCTTTGAAACCAACCATACAATGTCCATGGTTAGCCTTGCTCCGCTACTGATAATAGTTCGTCATGTCTAGCGTAACTCGAATAGGCTAGTGCGTGGAATTCCGCTCCTAATTGACCTATCAGATACGACTAGCTGACCGAGCATAGTCCGCAAGAGTGGATATGTCGTCAGCTGTTGTACTGCTTGGTACTTAGACTTGTATACTTTTTGTATATTGGTCCTAACATCTGATGTTGTTAGTATGGTGATGTTTCTCATCGGGATAAAGAATGGTGCAATTGGCTTAGAAATCAATTCCGCCTGCATTGGAATTGAGATGAATCGGTACCTTCATGATGAAAGTGTGATTAGAGACAATCAATATATAAAGAGACAGGCAATATAACTCTTCGATTCTCCAGCAGAGACGTCGATCTTAAAACTTCATAATACAGAAGCATTTGAAATCGCCCCTCAAAAGAGATAGCTGATTCCCCTTGATTCACACAACTCCACCAAACATGGCATCTACTACACCTACCAGCAACACTGGCTACACAGTCCCCTCCACTGCGACCGACATTACCCACCTCACCAAGACCTCTCTCCCGGTCCCGGTCCCAGGTCCACAACAAGTCCTCGTCCGCCTAACGGCTGCCGCCCTCAACTACCGAGACTTCCTCATCGCTTCACGCAGCCCCCGCTATCCTGGAAGTCACAAGGCAGATCTCGTCCCCGGATCTGACGGCGCTGGTGCCATTCATTCTGCACACCCGAGCTCTCGTTTCGCGTCCAATGTTGGGCTTTCGGTGGCGGTTCATCCGAATTCCTGGCTCGATGGAGACGTGCGGAATCTGAAGTTCAATGAGGTGTTGGGAGGTTTTAGCGCCGATGGTACGTTGCAAGAGTATCTAGTCGTGGATGACGAGCAGATCATTCCGGCGCCGAAGGGGTGGAAGGGAGAGGAAGTGGCGGGTTTGTTCACGGCTGGGACGACGGCGTGGGCTGCTATTAGGGAATTGCTGGACGGGAGACTTGATGGGACGCTTGGTGGGTGGGAGGGAGACTGGAAGGAGAAGAGGCTGGAGGGAAAATGGGTGCTCACACAAGGGACGGGGGGCGTGAGCTGTGCAGCTATTCAGGTCAGTAATACTTATTTTCTCATGCTGGGGACTCTGCAAGCAGACACAAGGTTGGGAGGGAGAATTGACGGTGCTATAGATTGCTTCGACACTTGGTGCTACGGTCATTGCGACTTCTTCTTCGGATGAGAAGTTAGATATTGCAAAGTCGATCGGTGCTAAATATGTGATCAATTACAAGAAAACTCCTGAATGGGATGAGGAGGTCCTTCGCATCACGGGTGGAACAGGCGTTGATCAGGTTATCGAGGTCGGTGGAGCTCAAACAATCATACAATCCCTCCGAAGCACTCGTCCTGGAGGCCTTATTAGCGTTATCGGCATCTTGTCAGATGCTGATATTATTCCTCCTGAGCTCATACCGGCGGTGCTGTTCGGTGGTAAAATCGGTAAGTCGAAGATGTCCAGGTAGAGCTTTTGAGACTGATGCATGAAATAGTCAAAGGATGTGTATCTTTCAGTCGAGACATTTCGGCCGAGTTTGTCAAGTTCTCCGAGGTAAACAACTTCAAGCCTGTGGTTTCCAAAATCTTCTCTTTTGATCAAGTCGTGGAGTCTTTTGAGGCGCTGCAGAAGCAGAACTCTGTTGGAAAGCTTGTAGTTAGGATCAGTGAAGACTAAAGGGTAGTCTCTGGGCCTAGATAGCCGAGCGCTCCCTTCTTCAATCATGCGTATGTTCCCCGCTCAATAATTAGTAATGAAGATTCGATAGTTGCCATACTTGCAGGTATGATAAAAGAGTTCGAATTTTGACGTTACTGAAAACAGTCATTCAATTGTGTATTATCATCAACTTCTCAACACTCCCATAGTCTTCTTGACAGGCAATCACAAAACTCCCTCTTTCCTCTGACCGGTAAAGAAAGCAAGACCATAGTCGTCCGTTGAGAAGGTGATCTTAGCTCCCTTGGGAAAGAAGAACACGTCTCCAGGCACGGCGTGCACCTTCTTCCCCGTCTCATCCTCGATGTCGAAAGAACCCTCGACGATAATCTTCATCTCGTGGTAGGAGTAGGTGTAGACGAGAGGAGTTCCCTTCTCTAACCTGTAAAATCCAGCGGAGATAGGACTTTCCGAGTCGATTTTGTCACTGCGGAAATAATATTAGACGGGGAGGGAGGAAGGATTGCGGAACAATCTTTTAGGCGCGAGTGTCCTTACCTGGAATATACATCTCCGAGATAGGCGTTCTCATTGGCAACAAGCGGGGGCTTGAAGGAGGATTGTGCCTTGGCGTAGTACTCCATACCAATTGGTGCCATTGTTGTAGGTGCTGTTGAGGGCTTTTGGAAGGCGTGAGGCTGCGCGAATGACAAGTAATGTTAGTCTGGTTAATGGAATGGAGAATCACTGGGAAAGACGAGACGCCCCGTATGTGAATCTTACAGTAAGGGTTGAAGCGTTGAAAGTTGTACTTGGAGGCCGATGAGATGATGGAGAGGATCAGGAGTGAATGGATTGAACATTCTAATATTTGGGAATCGTAAGCCTTTTCAATGGCAGCACAAGGCTGGCCCTACCTACATCCCAATCCATTGTAATCACGGGCATCTATGGAGACCGGGAAGATTTTCCTCAATGTGGTAGAAGAGCAGCAAGAAGCACATTAGGGGCGGCAGCTTTCCGTAGTCAGGGTTCTTTCCGGAGCGGCTGGCGTCCATCATTCTCAGCCTGCTCCCCCTTAACAGCGGATAACAATATGATGAGGATAGATACAGGTGGGGGATTATGCTCGGGGTTGCGGGGCAAGAATTGGTGGTAGGTAGTCGTTGGAGCTCCAGCTTATCGCGTGGATTTGATACCTCTTTTAGGCATAGTGCGACAGAGAGCTACACATGTTTGGATCACTCGCAAAGGCATAGAAGTCAGGACGGAAGGGACCAGTCTGTGTGTCGGAGAACGTGGTAACATGAGCAACTTAATATGGCGACCTGCAAGATAAAGGATGGAATATTTCGAGAAAAAAGGTGGTTGTTATGATTTCAAATGCACAAGTCCAAGACCCGCTAAATCCTCCAGGTATACTACATGCTCCAAGAGGCGTAGGAGACTACTTGGGATGTGTGATCTTCCCAAGTCTGAGAGTCGAATGAAATATTGGAGGTGGTAGGGGGTTTTCGGACGAACTATGTTAGCGACCTCTCCTTCACACCTAGCAATTCCTCGTCGTGCCGTATTGATTGACCGTCTATGCTGGTCGCTCAATCGTGGAACCTTCGGTTTTGGTTCTCGCCAAAGAGAGTCACCCGAATCGAGGGCAATGCGTCGGTCTCAAGAAGTCTTAGGCGTTCCTCAAAGGTGTTATTAATATCGATCCTGCCGCCGGTACCGACAACGAATACGCCTCCAGCTCTGGGGTAAAATGTAAGTCAATGCTAGACCTATCTACGACATAATGATGCCAGGTTTGGGTATGGATGACACTTACGACTCTGCGGGCAAAGGATCACTCTCATCGATGGTAATGGCAGTTGCCTTGCCGGCCTTCTTCTTATATTCCGTCTGCGCTTCTTCAATGGCCTTCTTGACCACATCATAGTCGCCCTTCCTCGCCTTGACCTGGATTTTGTCTTCGTTCAATGCGTATGCACCTTCGAGTATCAAGTTTTTCAGGATGCCCTGGTATTTGCTCTTGTCCTTTGAAACATCCTTCACTTTCTTGCCGGCATCTTCGAACAATTGATCCAGTAGCTCCTGGCGGGAGGAAAGGATCCGTAATCGTGTCTTGTTGGCAACGGTGGAGCGTGTGATCTGCTGGGACATGCTGGCCTGCTTGAACTTCTTCTCATACGAGGTGTCGATGGCGGAAGTTTCTTGGCGGACGAGCTTCGATTTCTCAATTGCGAACTCCTCATCGGCCTTAAGCCTTATCTCATTTGCCTTCTCAAGAGCCTCTTGCCTGATGAAGGCAGTCATCTTCTTGAGCTCGCCGGCGACCTAGCATGGGAAGCTGAGGTTAGCTGCTGCTATGCATAACGTTGGCGGGGGAGCTACGAGGCGGTAGAAAGAAGTGCGATGACGATGGCTGGGGTTGCTTACCTGGTCGTCGGACATGGCGTGGACTTGCGACATGTTTGCAGGTTTGCGATCGGACCAGCAAGCGGAAGAAGATGTAGATGTACTGCTCGGTTGCAGTGGTGGTCACTGAGAGGGAGTCGAGGTAGTGGTGGTGGTGGTTGAGGTGGATGTCGAGGTCGGAGGCAGAAGGTTGGACGGGAGCTCTCTGGTGACGATGTGCCCTTCCTTGCGCAGTAAACGGACAGAGAGGGTCGAACTGGCCAATCAGCGAATGAGAACGAGGCAGAGCAGCATCGGATCGGCCCTGCTATGGTCCCGCGCTCGACGACCAACACGACAACCATGCCGTGCCATGCCTGCATGCGGACAGACAACTCTATGATAGAATATAATACCTGCGATTCTGCATTTGCTCAGCAATAGCTTCCTATCTACAATTTACATCTTCCTTTACCTTCCCTTCCTACAAACACTCAGTCGCTAGCGGTGTTCCAAGGTACTGCAATCCGGCTCCGTCTCCGCAGTATACGTTTCGCCTTGGTCCCTCCCTCCATCCCATCTTGTCTTACTCTCCTTAGCTGGCCAGACCGCCATTACTGCAACATTGCTACAAATATTCCCTTTACATCTATTGTCCTACTACTTTTCAGTTGTAGCCTTAGAGTTCTTAAGTCTGCGCTTCCAAAACCGCTTTCATCATCGTTGCGCCAAACGGCTGTTCCACGCGACAACAATCATCAGACCGCAGTGCAGATCCCTGCTCGCCTCCGTCGGCTGCCCTGCCCTCTCCTCTGTTGTACGTCTCGTGTCTATCGACCTCAGCGTGACGCACCGGACGGACCTGAGACCTAACCGCATCTATTGCGCCGGACGCTGAACACCCAACCCTAACACAACACAGCACAACACAACACCACATCGCACCACACTGCGCTACGCATCACATAACAACACTTCAGCTTCATCTTCTCACAGCATGCGCGGTCCACTCCGGTAGCAATCTCCTCAGTGCGGTGACGGAGCCTATAGCATCGCAGCATGGTGGAGCTCTCCCCGGGCGCCAGCGTCGCCGTGAGTGCCTCCAACGAATGACTCCTACCTCCTCTTCTGTGATTGCTGCTAACACGATTCTGCTCAGGTCGGTGTTATCGTCGGTCTCGTCTCCACAAGCGTCCAGAGCGTTGGCCTTACTCTGCAGCGGAAATCGCATCTTCTCGAGGAAGAAAAGGAAGACGACTATGAAAGGAGACCCCCATACAAGCGACGGCGGTGGCAGGTCGGTTGCGGCAGCTCATTTACCTATATCACGCTGACAACAAACAGCTGGGCATGTTGATGTTTATCGTGGCGAATCTTGTGGGCAGTACAATCCAAATTACGACTTTGCCCCTCCCGGTATTGTCAACATTACAAGCGGTAGGTTGAGTCTACATGGAATCCTAGAGGACACATGGCTGACTACCGAACAGTCCGGACTGGTTTTCAACTCCATATGCGCTTCTATAATCCTTAGTGAACCGTTCACCCGCTACTCCCTGATTGGAACGGTCTTGGTTGCTGCAGGGGCAGTTTTGATTGGAATATTTGGTGCGATAACAGAGCCGTCACATAACTTGGACCAGCTCTTGCAGCTCCTCTGGCGGCGGCATTTCATACTATGGATGATTGGAACATTCATCATAGTCCTAGCGCTATTGGTCGCCAATTGGACCCTAAAGCGCATACATACACGACCAAGCCCTCGGATACGTCTCGTTCGCGGCATGTTCTTTGGAACCATAAGTGGAATCCTTTCTGCGCACTCCCTTTTGATCGCTAAGAGTGCGGTCGAACTCCTGGTCCGAACCATCGTTGATCGCCATAACGAATTCAATAGATGGCAATCCTGGATGATCCTTATTGGTCTCGTCGCTTTTGCTCTGACACAGCTTTATTTCATGCATCGCGGCCTCAAACTTTGCAGCACCAGCGTTCTATACCCACTTGTCTTTTGTGTTTATAACATCATCGCCATCATTGATGGTCTTGTCTACTTCCATCAGTCGGCCAGATTATCGAATCTTCACGCCGGGCTCATCGCAGTTGGTACGGTCATCCTACTTGGTGGAGTCGTGTGCTTGAGCTGGAGACTCGAAGAGGACGAGGACGAGCCTACGTCTCCTTTGCTCCATAGCAAACATAAAGGACGAGTACCGACACCTCAAACGGTTTTAACCCCTGGCATGGGACTTGTTCATGGCTCCATGGAAGAAGACCCCGAGAGTCCTGTTGATCTGGAGTCTCAGGTTCCCGGCGAACATGGGGCCCGAACTGAACAACTCAAGCGTCGAAGTGTGGACGAGAGAACCCCACTACTTGCTCGTGCACCAACGGGCCCTGCTGTAACGGCAAAGCTGCGGTCAAAGAAGAGGCCATCAATCAACACCAATACCGAAGACATTAGTCCCCGCGCCAGCCCATCTCCTCGAAGACCCCCAAGAAGGCGGAGAATGACTATTTCGGAGGAGACCAGCGAGATCTGGAACGAATTGAATGATGTAGACAATCTCCCGTCCCCGCTACGGCGATCAGTCGATATTGAGCGGAGGCCACGATCGGGTACACTGCCGCCTCGACGGAAGAATAACTCTTCGACTTGGTTGCAACAGATGAGGAGACGATCTTGGTGGGAAGGCGCCTCATTCGGGAACCCAAGAGAGCGAAGTGTCTCGCATGGGAATCGACCAGCCGAAAGTGAGGCGCTGCTTGATCCTGCAGCGACCGAAGATGGGAATCAATCTGACCCGGACGCCGTACCCGCACAAAGCAGCAGCAGAAGGCGAGGGACTTGGGGTTTCGGTGGGCAGGACAATCATGAAGAACAAGAGACACTTGGTGACTGGTTTAAACTCAAATGGTGGAGGAAGCGATGGAAAGATGAGCATGAAGAAGATGATAATTGAGGCAAGAATATTAGTTCAATCATACGATACCTTATACGATACCTTGGGTACATCACTGCTCCGTATTCCAATGACTGAAGGCGACGAAAGTGCTGCAACACCATAGTTTTATCCATTCGAGTAATTATAATTATACCAACTCAAGTGTCCTCATTGGTGACGATTCGCTCTAACTACTTGGGGAAACGCCGGATCGTCGTTACTACCTCGAGCTTCAGCTTCCCTAACGAACACCTCTCTAAACACAAGCCTCCACAACACCCATGTCCACCATGCTCGTCTCATTAACCGTTGGAAAGGTCGATGCAGGTGTCGCCGTTCTTCTGACGGAAGATAAACGTCTCGTAAGCTCCTTCTTTCTTTAAAAAATTTACATCAAGCCCCTTGCGCATGATGGATGGAAGCAGACAGACAGTTGAACATTTCCATAGATCGAATTCCCCTCCATTCTCCTCCCTCCCGACATCTCCTCAGGAAGCATCGTCGACATCACTGTCGCGCGGAATCTCAAGTCCGAATCCGACGCTGCAGCCTCCTTCCACTCTCTTCAATCGACCATCTTCCGCACATTTGGGCAGCGCACGCCCTCCCCGCCCGTTCTCCGCTGTCGAAACGCAACGCAGACGTCTGTCGTACTCGAATGGGACCCCATTGACATTGCGACGGCCGAGCTCCGGGGGCTTACACTCTATCGCAATGGCAGCAAGGCGGGTACAATACCCAAACCGACGGAGCTGCACAGCACCAAGCTGAGCGGTCTGGCCGTCGATACCGAATACGTCTTTCACCTCATCCTGCGGACCAGCGCAGGCACGTACAGCAGCGAGAAGTTGAGGGTGCAGACACACAAGATGACGGACCTGTCCGGCATAACGATAACGCCAGGACACATGCCCGCCGCTCTGCGCGAGTCGTTGCAGAAGACGGTCGAGAGGATCGGAGCCAAGATCGTGGACACGGTCAGAATCGACACTACGCATTTTGTCTGCACGGAGGGGAGGGGCCCCGCGTGGGAGAAGGCGGTGGAGAATAACATTCCAGTCGTCGTGCCGGATTGGGTCAAGGGCTGTGAGAGAGATGGCAGGATCGTGGGTGTCAGGGGTTACTATCTCAACGCCGATCCGAGACTTCGACATGTAGGCCCGCCGACAGGTCCCACACCGCAGCCTCAGGGCACGCCGCAATTGCAGGCGGAGCAGGCGAGAAGTCCACCTTTGCCGAGCCCACGGACGGAGGTCACGCCGCCCACGCCAGAGAGGCCAACTCGTGAAAGGGGGCAAGAGCAGGAGAGTAGTGCACCGCCGCCTCCACCGCCTAAGGATGTCGAGAGTGCCTCCCGCTCGCCATCATTACCGTCATCGCCAACACCACCAGAACCAAAGATTCAGACTGAGGAGCAGAAGGTCAGGACAGAGGACTTGAAACCAAGTGCCGAGGAGGACGACGATGAGGCGGAAAGCGAAGGCGAGGGAGCGTCGTCCCGAGATGCGAAAGCTGTGGAAGCGGGTATCCCTGAACGACCCAAGTCAGGGGGACGGGTGAGCGACGCGGATGAAGGGGAAGGAGATGGCGACGGAAGTTTCCAGGATGTGAAGCTTTAAACACGGAATCACCGAAGTATGGCAGCAATCTGGTGGCGTGCGGGAGGGTTGAGATTCCAGCCACACGTTCAAAAGGGACCATTGCTACGTCCTCTTTTCTTCAGAGCATAGAGTGGGTCATTGTTTAATGTTTTGATCGTGTTCAGCGTCGTGTCATCATATTATAGTCCAATGTTAGGATTAGAGCCGGAATGAAATGAATTCAAAGCACACTTTTGTTATGCTAATCTGTCCTGTGATCCCCATCTACAAGCACCAGGTCTAGTAGCCTAAAAGAGAATTCCTATGATGAATGGAGCTATGTGACTGTATGCAAAGAATAGAGGATGCCATATTGTGCAATACTGCCACCCACGAAGCAGCATCGTTCCCCCGCACCCAAACTCTACTCATCCGAATCTTCCCCAATGTCAGAAAAGATATCCCACTCCGTAGATGTCGGTTAAATAGTCTCGAAATAGTGCCCATAATCACACCAAAGTAAGGAAATGTGAAAGTCGCCCGACTAGATGCAACGATACTCCTAGCGCTTGAATCCGCCCATGACCTCATAGAAGTGTCCGAGCCCATTCTCCAGCATTCTCTTCTTTTCCTCCAGGTGGGTACGCTGGGCAATACTCTCTTTAGACTCGGCGGCAATGTATGACACTTCATTGTCAGTCATCTTGGCAACCACGAGAGGAGATAGTATGCTCTCAGGGAGTGGGTTGATCAAGTGGCGTTCAATCACTTGCTTTGTGACTGCGTGCACAAAGTACTTCAGTTCATCCTGTGGCTGATGTCAGCTAAAGATCAAAGAAGGTAGGGATGACAGCTGTACCTTGTAATAGGCTTCTTGGTTGTTGAGGGCTTCTTCGGCGGCGAACTTGTCCATGTCCTGCTCGATGAACGTGTCCATTTGTTTGCTGAATTCAATCGGGTCGACGAGTTGCCTCTGTTCATTGTACTGCCCAAGAGTATATGTCTTCGTGGTATCTACTTGTGCTCGTGAAACGAGGTTTTTGTAGTTGTCATGACGATTCTGTTGGATGGTGGTAACAAAGTGAGGGTTATAAGTCATGGGATGACGAGCCTTGTCATTGATCAACCGTACCAGCTCTTTGCGAGCCCGCAATAACGCTTTTTCGAGGATGTCGTCGACAGCCACTACTGCAAGACGCTCCTTGAACTCAGGAGCCGCGTATTGGAGGACCTGCCGCATGAAAGTCCTGCAGACCCGTACTATATCTTCGATGTGGAAATTGGCGATCTCCTTCTATGGCATTGACTATTCCCAAAAAAGATGACTGATGACATCCGGATTGAATGTTCCTGGTAGCTCGTGGCCTCGGGATCGGACCATAACACTCCTTACCCATGCAATAGCATGCTCATGAGACAAGCTCTTGGGATTTGGCAGCTTAGCAGCGTCCTCATTGATATCGTCATGTACAGGTAAATTCCTCTTCTTTTCAGGTTGTTCAAGGCCCCCTACGGGCTGGATCTCATATCGGTGACCCCTGATACGCATTATCTCGGAGAAGCGGCTGTTGTGATGTTGAATAACAGCTCTCAACCTGCGAACGTTGGCGTCTGCATCTATCTTGCTTTTCGTATCTACGGCGTCAAAAAATTCGTTACTGTAATGACCATTCACCGCCGCTGTCAGTATGGCAGTGATATTGGTGCTTATTTTAGTGAGCAGTACCCTCTGCTCTGTCATCGTGTCTCGCTTCTCCCCGAGACTTTCAAGCTGTTTCTTCGTCTCTTGCATCTTCTTGTCCATTTCTTCTTTCAATGCGGGAAGCTCCTTGATGAGATCGGAAAGCAGAAGATTGCTTAATCGTGTACGTAACGAATCAATGCCAACAGTGTTGCGTGGCAAACCCACAAATCGGCCAGTGTTAAAAAAGGCCTCCTCTTTCTCGTGTCGTTGCTCAAAAGTGAAATCCATCTCATTGTCGGCACGATTTCTGAGAATATGCCAACCTCGTTCGAGATAGATGTCTTTGTTCAGAGCCAGGTCGATCCAGCTCTTTTCGTTCTCGGATCCTTGACGAAGGTAGTCGGGTTTAGTGATGATACCCAAAGTCCGGCGGCCATTCTTGTCAATCTTTTGGCAGTGGTCGAGAATGACCTGGTTGGCAAAGTCGTTTTTGGCGGAAACCACGGCAAGAATGATCGTGCGCGGATTGCTCATGTATTTCTGTACCATTTTTTGTATTACGTCTTTGTCTTTAGCAGTCTGTGCCTTGTTGGTTGCGTGAATCAATCCAGGTAGATCGACAAGGGTACTGTCATTAAAATTAGCACCAGGCATTTGAAGATGACAACAAGACTGCTTACAGTTGAGGTCGATTCGGGCCACAGATCTCAACGCAGAGCACATCGCTCGAAAATGCACGCGATTTAGATGTTCCCACAGGCCCCAACCCCATTGCCAACGTTGCCTCCTCGATGATCTTAGGTATCATGTGGAGACTTTCAATAGTCTTTGTGAACTCCATCAACTTAGTCCTCTCTTCTTCGTTGCGGAAATCCCCTGGACTGATTGTGATAGACACTCTATCGGTGGACTGGCGTCGTAATACAATCTCCGTGGCAAATCGTGTGCAGAGATTCTCTTTTCGCGGGAACGGAATCTCGGTGATGGCTTCCAGAACGGAGCTTTTGCCAGAAGACTGGTCACCGCAGACTACCAGTTGAGGAAGCTCCAATATACTGTTCAAACCTTGCCGACGAAGTTTATCGACAATATCCATCACCTTCCGTTCGCCATCGCTTTGCAAGTTCTGTAGAGACTGCGTCGTGAGATCTGTCATATTGGCCGTATCGGAAGGTAGGGAGGGTGGTGGTTTCCTGGCCTTTGCTTTCGGCATTTTTAATTAGTGGCTATGCCGTGGGAGTAGTTGCCGAGTGGATAATAATAAGAGCAAATGATGAGTGAGGAGGGGAATCGATTAGTGATGAAGCTCTGTTTGTGCTGAGGTGGTACTGATTGGTGAGATTGTATGAGGATTAAGGGAAGGAGTTCAAGAGAAAGGAAAATTGGAGACTAGCTAGTGTTCGATTGGCTGCAAGACCTCGTTATTTAAATAGAGGTGATAGTAGTGGATTAGCGTGGTAGACGAACAATTAGAAAGTTAAAGTGAAGGTAGGTGAAGTGAAAGTTAGGTGAAGTGGAAGTCAGATAAAGTGGAAGTCAGGTGAAGTGAAAGCTAAATGAAGTGAAGGCTAGGAGAAGAGGAAGCTAGGCAAAGAGAAAGCTAGGTAAAATAAAAGTTAGGTATTAAAGTGAATTCTATGCAGTTACTAAAATGCAACAATCATAAAACATGAGGGCCTATATAATATGTCTCACTAGTGCTAGAAACATAAACTGATGCAATTCCTAGTGAACTTTCCAGATCAATCATGTCAGATGCCGGTTAACCAACCTCGATGTTGCTCTAGTAAGGAGCCGCACGATGCATTGGAGACAAGAAAATGTAAGCTTGGACGTTTCTAAGAGCGACCCAGAGTACTGACAGTCATCGTTTTCTTCGAAGGCACAGCCATGACACCAAGTCAAGGCGCGAAGTCGTGCTATGGCACCGAGCTATAGCGAGTCACCGACGAGACTGTCAACATTCCATTCTAAATGTTGACCAATGATGCACGCGGAAAATGAACTCCAGTTCATGGGGTTTTTGATCTTTTGCGCTGACAGAATTGATGACGTGTCGTTGTTATAGAAAGCGACTTCACGAAGCCAACCGGGCACCATCATTCTTCGTCAGTGCAGCCAGGCATACAACACAAACAAGGAAGACAGGGCAAATTCTGCCAGCAAAAGAAAAGATAGATTCGATCGAGCGACATGCAGTGCATCTATAATCTTGCCGTTTGGGCGTCCTTCCTTAGACCGTCCGAATCTTCCAAGGTGAAAACAACGTATCCTTGATCGTCCACTTGAGCACCTTTCACGTTGCTCAAAGATGCTGGACACCAATAAAAAGTATCATACTGGACATCTCCTGCGGCAAGCCCTTTCTCCGATGCCTCTTTATCCGTCCGCTCAATTAACTTTCTTAGGTCGCATCCATCGTTCCGAAGGGGTACCTTATTTTGCTTGTTGTTGTGCATTGTCGTGATATTATTGAGGACTCGGAGGAAAACAGGAACTGCATATTTCGGAAGTTTTTCTTGTGAGTGCCTCAACAAAGCGTTGAAGTCGAAACTGTCCTTCTGAGCAGGGTCGATATAGAGTGCAGCACAACCTGCCCGACCATCGTGGCCAGGCACTTCTACGCCATAGACGTTGGCCTCGACGACGCCTGGGAAATTTCCGAGCACTTCGCTGACTTCGGCGGTGCTAACATTTTCTGACTTCCACCGGAAAGTGTCACCTAAGCGGTCCATAAAATACCACAGTCCATCTGGTGTCCGCCTCAGAGCGTCCCCAGTCCGATAGAAAAGATCGCCTTTTCTGAAAACGTTACGTTCAAATTTGCTTTGAGTGGCCTTCTCATTGTTGTGATAGCCAACGAAAGCTTTCTCGTTGGGAAGTTGGACAATAATTTCACCACCTTCCTCATACGGCCTTCTCTTTGCAAACCCTGTCTTTGGGTCCCGCCAGATTTCGTTGGTCTCGTGGTCAATCTCAACGGGGATGAAGGTGTTCTTGAGTCTGCTGCGCATGATAGCCCCGTGATGGCCAACGGCTGTTGCGGAATAAGGTCCCTCGCTGACGTTCATGAGAGCGAAAACACCTTCCGTGCTGTTGAAAAACTCGGCTACCATTGGAATGCCAAAACGATCAACAAAACGGTGCCACACGTCGGGGCGCATGCCATTACCAAACATGACTTTGACATTGTGTTTCTTGTCATCCGGGCTAGGGGGGTTGGCGAGCAAATATCGTGCTGTCTCACCAACATATACGAAAGCGGTGGATCGAGATTCACGGACTTCGGTCCAGAACCTAGACGTAGAGAACTTCTTGCCAATGCAAAGCGTTATGCCAGACAGCAAGCAAGATACAGCGGTAGTGTATCCAGTCCCATGGTACAACGGCATACACACATACCATCGGTCGCCGTTGGGTCCCGGTTGTAAGCCCAGATCTCGGATGCGGCCACCGGCCAGTCCTCCTGCTCGCTGACTTTCAAATGGACAAGCCTTGGGATGCCCAGTCGTTCCACTTTGATTGTTAACTTCATTGCCACAGGAAAGCTTCGAATGACTAACCTAGTATAGAACAAGCACATTGGGAAGGTGCCTGTCAAACCTTTGCGCAACTCGTCTTCGGGTCTCTTTGGCTCAAGACGACATATCTCTCCCTTTAGTGATTTATCGAGAACCTGGATCGTCATGCCCAGCTCTCCTTCAATCCTGTCTCGCACAGCTTCAATCCTTTCTCTCGCATCCGAAGCTTCGTCCACGATCAATATCTTTCCCCCAGCGACCTTGAGACAATGGATGAGAGCATCGCCGGCAAGATGATGGTTGATCAAAGCGGGTGCAGAGCCAACTCCCCACGATCCCAGGACCGCAAAGACGAATTCCGGCTGGTTTGTAAGATACAAGGACACGAATTCACCGGTCTTGACACCATGTTGACGGAAAAATTGCGAGTACCGACATGCCTGAGCGTATGTCTCGCCCCATGTATAGCACCCTTCTCGCGACCAGATAGCTTCTTCGGTTTCGGGGAGGCGGTGGACTTGTTCTTCGAAGAAATGCCAGAGGCTGCCGCGTTTGTAACCACCTATTTATGGGAGTTGTCAGTGTCCGATCTCGTTGTTATCGTTGGGTGATGAAAGTCTAGGGCCTCTAGACATTGTGTTGCGGGGCCATGACGGGCTCACCTTGCCGTGCGAACTCCTTCTCCGACGCTTTGCCACGCCGTATCGCCTGGAGGTCTTTTGTGATGTGGAATTTGGCGTCAATGTAAGCGGCAGCTGCAGTGGCGCCTGCAATTGCTCCAGCGACAGGTACTGCTGTGGGTGTATTGTCAGTTTCGATTCGAAAAGGAGGAATGGCGGAGATGTGGAGCAGGTAGGTTGCGCCGCCTGTCTGGAGAGCGGTTTCCCTGATTAAGAAGACATACCGAGATCCATTCTTCCTTCGTGATTTCTTCTGGATACTTGGGAATCGGGTGGGAAGATACTACCTAAAGGGAATAACAAAAACAAAGAAGATAGTCCAAGGTATTTGAATAAATATACAACAGTTTCTTTGGACCCGGTAGTTGATAATATATTTGGCGGAATGTCTCTTTGGAGTTGCCGAAGCCGAGGGCATGTCCACGTGACTCAGGCACATACAGATTGGGACAGCTCCCCACATTTCTCCACATTCCGTCTTGTGCTAGTTACATAGTTACTCAGATACTGTGTATGTAATTGGTTATTTAGCTCAAACCGCTAATAATCAACAAACCAACGGAACAATGATTCGGATAAGACCAAAGGCATCTCAATTGGGTGAGAGGTAACTTAACCTCACGAGCAAGGCACCACGGCTATTCGTATCAATGCTATGCGTTCTAGTCGACGTAGACGGCTTAACTACAAACCCCCCAAGTTGTGGCCCCCCAAAATATGGCGCCACTTGGGACTGGCGGATCTTGATGGGATTATTAGTTAAGGACTACAATTACGGTAGAATCAAGGATTAGCTCGAACATATACACAATACTTAATGGTATCTGCAAAGGAGGATCTGTTGATATTACATCGCTGCTATCCAAGCGCCATCTCGAGCACCATGTCTGCAGCCCACTTGTTGCAATATTCCCCGATTCCTCCTGTTGGCAAATAGCTGTTACCAAGCATCCTCTTCAGCCGAGGACATGGTATCGCCAATCTACTATGAAGAGAAAAGAGCTGCAGTAGCAATGCTGACCATCGCTACTGCTACGAAAGAACTGAAGTCTGAGCGCAGTAGCGGAAATAAAATCACAGAGCAGCACTACAAGACCTAGGATATTGTACGACTTCGAGAACACTTTAGTGTGTACGCTATCTAATCATATTATTTTACTTCACTATGTCGGTTCATTCGGGATTGTACTCAATACCGGCACGTGACTGTAGCAGTGATCCTATCTTCACTTCCCCTCTTCTGTCAAGACAAGACCTTTGCTATATTATTGAGTGATTTGCTATTATGCTATCATTATAATAGTAAATACACATCTCAAGTCATCCACCGCCTGGGCTTACAAAATGACCTTGTGGGGAGCCTCCTGCTCTTCAGGAGTTCCAAAGATGTTGACGGGCCACCTAGGCTTGTCTAAAGTGTCTACGTCAGTACGGCTCAACATGGTACGTCAACAAAAGCACTCACTGGCAATGTATGGGATGTTGAATCGCCTAGGCTCGACCTTTCCAATGTTCTCAACAGCATCAAAGTCCTCCTTGGAGAGCTCGATCTCCTTGAAGTTCTCTTGGATGCGGGATGCGGTCACGGACTTGGGGATCACACTGTGGCCACCAACCTGGGACCAGGCAAGGCTATTAAGAAAATTATGTTAGAAGACAATGATCGAAAATATAGCGGAAGGTCAATACTTACATGACTTGAGCAGGGGAAGCACCGAGGCGGCTGGCAATCTCCTTGATGGTGTTGTGCTGAACCAGCAGCGGAACACCAAGCATGTTGTTACCAAATGCCTGCAAAAACGTTAGCTTACAGTGCTCCGAAACAGTCCAATTTTTTGGGATTTTGGCGGGCTAGCTTACAGAGTATGCTGTGATGTGAATGTTCTTCTCTTTGCAGAACTCGATAAGCTCGGACTGAAGTAGTCTTGGATGGCGCTCGACCTGGTTTGCGGCGGGTGTCACACCAGTTCCATCAATAAGAGCTTGGAGATGCTCCTTCGTGTGGTTGGATACACCGACGGCCCGGGCCTTTGACTTGGGCAGCTGGGTCATTGCTTTCCAGGTGTCGACAATCGAGACGCCGTCGAACATCTTGACATCGCCATCAGGGTGGCTGGAGCTCTCTTGCATCGGGAACAGCTGCTCGTTGGGGTTGCTGGGCTCATCGAAGGCGACCGGGAAATGTACCAGGTAGAGGTCGAGGTACTCCAGTCCGAGCTCAGCAAGACAATCGTCTAGAGCGGCGCTGACGTGCTCTGGGCGATGCTGCGAGTTCCAGAGCTTGGATGTGATGAAAACATCCTCACGCTTCAGACCGGGAACACCTCCGTTAAATGCGTCCTTGAATGCCTCGGCAATCTCCTTCTGGTTGCCGTACCTTTAATTTGATCATCGTCAGCAAGGTTTTGTGTGAAAAAGACAACATCAATTGCGAGCGTTTTTGGCGCAGAAATTATGAAAATTCACATAGTTGCCTCGCTCGATTCTGAAAAGCAGTGGGGGTACTCACACCTTGGCAAGATCCTAATAGCAGAATTGTTAGCTTCTATGATGAATAGTGTGGATAGCAAAGCACCTACGATGTGACGATAACCAGCCTTCAAAGCTTCGAAAACCGCATCCTTAACCTGGCCAGGCTCCGCTTGCCATGTTCCAAAACCCAGGGTACTGACAATGTCGGTTAGCAAAAAGGATCCAGAGTGGATTGAAGCGACCGTTCGCCATTACAGGTAGTGTGTACATACGGGATTTTGACTCCAGTGTTCAAGGTAAAAGTCTTGCCGAGAGACATCTTTGGTAGCTATCTATGAAAGAACTTCAAGATTGATAAATGGAGAGAAAGAATGTGGAGTTTTAGCGCTGCACGTAGAGGGAGGGACCGAACTACTTTTAAATAAGGCAGTGAGCAGCGGTGAAGGATACGGGCCCACGGGGTCAGTATCGACAGCAAAAGCAAGGACAGATTTGTAAGATTTTGCCTCCTGGGAGCTTGGGGAATATGCAGAGGAAGTCTCCACCTATGGGTTGTCACTAATCCAATTGCAGATCAAGTATGTTCGAGAAGGAGACGGAGATCCTAGGGCAACGGCTTTGAAAGCTCGCAATTGGCGGCCACATATCGGGGGAAGATAGATACTACTAGTAGAGCTTCGAGGCCACTCCGAGTCTGTACTAGGGTAGTAGCATACCGAGTAGAAAAATTGACATGTCGGACTTCTCTCTGCAAAGCCACCCCACCGACCTTGGTAGGGTAGGTTACTCGTAGTTGATCAAATGTGTGATGTAACGCTGTTTGACCAGATCATGAGTATTGTTTAGTGCAGCTAGCTGTTCTTCAACTCCCCACTTTAATTTTTCCGATTATCTTCCAAGCCATGTTACATACTGCTCTGAAGATTATAACGAATATCTTGGTCCCTTAGTGCTGCTGGTTCGAGTAAGGCCCAACTGTTTACTATCCCTTTGTTCAATGAGACATTTGCTGGAACTGGGTGAAGAGAACTACAATTCTGGTGGATGCCAGTCCATTTCAAAGGGCAACAGAGCATAAATATCAACAATGTTTAAGCTACCTATCAAGCATGTTATTCGTTGAGAGAAACAGGTCATAACCTTATGCTCGCGCCATATCAGATCGGTTCGATCATCCTTTGAAGTTTTGATGGAACGTAAATGAGGGGCGAGGTGAGGGGTCTAGTGCGGGCCCATCGATATTTCAGTCTGTGCGTGGTACGAGTACCTTGGACTGCTTGGACACGTTAGGTACCACATACACGTACCTAAGCTAAAGCAGAGCCCCTCCAAAGATAATAAACATAAGATCAATCGACTGTCATTGTGTTGCTCTTTGAAAGACATGGTGCGACGGTAGCATCAGTGGGGTATATATGGTATGCTTCGCGGCACATCTATTACAATCACCAATGTTTTCAACCTCCCACCACACTACCTCCCTACAGATTCAAACCTTTTAGCCCAAATCTTTCGATGAATTGCCTCTCCAGCTCATAGATATCGCCAGTCAACTTACAAATCATCTCCGGATTGTGAAAATGCTCCTTTGAACCCAATGAAACCTCAACTCTGGTTGTCTCGAACAGAAGAAACAACAACATGGCAAATAACAAATCTAGCCCAATATCCTTATAGGCAACCGTGAAGTGAAGTGGTCCATAGCCTTTCCGGGATATTCCTTTTCCACAAGAGCTGCAATCTTGCCGAGTTGCTCGTACAATCGATCTGTTGCAGCCCTCCTACTCTTCCGCCGGTGTCGCTTACTGTGATCAACTTGATCGACAGTTGACTGATTTCTTATGAAATACGATTCAAACTCTGACGACTGTCGATGAATACCTTTGCTCTCTATCAGGCCCTCGATTAGTGCAGCATGAGCACTAGTTGCTACTACATCACCAAATCAGGATCCCCCCCCCCCTTAAGTATCCGCAAAGACCAATGGGGAAAATCAGAATGTGCGAGCAGCAGGATGAGCCGCAAAATGAGCTCAAAGAACTTCATTCTGTTTATTTTCCAGCGCGCTCTGATAATGATATTAATGATATAGGAATGCCTCTTTTGGTGGCTACCGAACGGGATGCCCCTATTCGTACTAGTAGTAGTTGAGCAAGTATACCTACCTAAGTGAGTAATCACCTAGGTAGGTACCTATCGACGAAGTCACGTTTTCCACTCTTCAACTGAACAGAGCTTGTAATTATATGTATATGCATTATCTTTTCACTTAACTATATAGGTACATACGCGATCGTGCTAGCGGTTCTATCTCGATATTTTTCCTTAACTCCAGAAACGACTTTTCCCATATCACCAACCATTCTGCCATCATGCCAACAGGCCAACAGCTGCCATCATTGCAAGAGTAAAACCGCACCCTTTCACACCCACCGACAGACCCGAGGCGCTGTTCACAGATTGAAGAGCTGGATCGGCAGTGCTGGTTGATGTACCTGCTCCTGCCCCCGCCCCTGTCTCTGTGGCTTCGGGAACTGGATTGCTGGTAAGGAACAGTGTCGATGTCACAACACCAGGGGCACTTCCGTTGATGCGTGAGGTCGGAACAAGAGATGTGAGGAGGCCCGATGCTGACGTAGCTATGCTAGCACCATTCGTTCGAGATGATGGTACCGGTATGGTTCCATTTCTAGTAGTCGACGAGCCTGTTGGTGTGGCTACAGCAGAGGAGCCTTGAGCAATGGTTGAATCCACAACTGAGGCCGCGCTCGTTGCGACTGAGGCCGCGCTCGTTGGAGCAGCACTTGTAGCAGCACTTGTAGCAGGAACGCTTGACTCTACTGGATTTCCGGGAGTGGTTCCACCGTTGCAACTGGATTCTCCTCCTAGCTTGACGACCATCCCAACACCAGCCTGTGGCTCTTGGAACCCATTGTCTTCTTCGAACTTCTTTGCGTCAAAGATGGCACCCTCTTCAGGCAGCTTGAGCTCACTAATCTCTTTGTTCGACGGCTGTCCATACATGAGAAAAGTGTACTTCCTGTCATCTCCCGTCTCTTGAAACGCGCCTGGTGCCTTGTATGATAGCACAGGCTCAGTCTCGCTTTCGATCCTCGTAAATTCGAAGATAGTCTTAAAGTTTGTACGTGCGTAGTGCAGCTTCCTTGCCTCGTCGCAGGTTGTGTCCACCATCAGAATGGTGTAACGATTGCGAGGGGCTACTCCTGTACTGCCACCTAGTGCAAAGGAAGGTACTTGTCCAACCGCTGAATTTTATAGATTAGTACTAAGGTACATGCTGGCGATTTCGTTTTCTACTCACCATCTTTCTCGAATGTTTCTCCATCGCTGAAGCCATTCTCCGCTTCACCTTCGTAGGATACTTGCACACCCGTCCCTGACCTAAAGCCCTGGCTTAGGTCTGCGGGTATTGAGTCTTGGGCAGTTGCGAATTTAAGCAGCGTAATGGCGAGCGCCGCATATTGAAAACATCTGGGTGCCATTCTGGAATGTTTTGAGAGTTGGAAGGGAAAATCGCAATGAAGAAATAAAGAAGTAAAACCAAACTAATATTAGTGCAGTTTTTTGTAAGTGTAGGGCAAATATCGGGCAAAAAGTAAGAAAAGTACTCTTCAAATAATGTTGCCTATCTTCCTGAACAGCCTTTATATCAACCTTAGAACTCATTGTTGCACGCCGCCACACGTTCTACAATAAGCTCAGCCCCCAGAGTGTAACGAACATATAACAGACAAGGCTGGGCACGAGCTGGAAAACGTAGCTCATACTTAGTTTGGTTCGTTGGTACGTCTTTGTCGACTGTTTCCGTTTCAGATGTGTTTGGGTGACGACTTCTGCCGGATGATCGCTGGGCCGAGCGGTAACAGCACTAACATGGACACTTGATCGCGGGGAAATCTCAACGGGTTCAGAGATGCAATAATAGTGCTATAAAGACATTGTATCACCATCTGTTTCTAATGGAAAAGTATGTTTTCTTTGCCTTGGCCGGGCGTGCCATGCTTGCTTAAAGAATCCGACAACGTACCATTGTTATTTATAGCTGCCAAGAGACGACGAATTCGTGCGAGGGGAACAAGGGTCTTGGAGAGTTAACAATGCACATGAGGAACATCGAAAATGAAGTGACCAAATGGAGTAGGTGAATAACTGTTTATGGTTGAGTGTTTCTACCTTTTGACTACAGTACTTCTTGAATACCAAAAATTGTGATGGCGTTGGATTAACGTACATCCCTTCGCAACGGACAAAACACTAGATACTTAGACTTTGCAGCTGTTCTCAGCTTGATTGGCACTTCGATAATTCTAGGCTCCCTTATAATGTATACTAGGACAACTCCTGAGTCAATCTGCGTCCTTATGTAGAGATATTACAGTAGCGCGGCTATTCAACCTAATTGCCACGAAATGACTGGCTTTATAGCGATAGCTGATCCTTTACTAAGTCAAGGCCGCCACCATTGGGTTTCGGCGATAGTATATCCGCCTTCATTAATCTTTATTGAAAATCAGATGTGGTCTTGCTAAGGAGCATTTTTAACATGTGTAACGATAGGCCCAGGGTTTACCAAATGTAAGCAGTGTCATCGCAGAGGTTGTAGTAGTACTGAGAAGCAAGTCACAAGATAAGTATAATATTTCTGGCCAGTTGGGTAACTGGTTACCATTGCAGGGTTGATGGCGAGACTCAAGTGCAACGTTGTATTGACTAAGAAGAACTCCTAACATAGGAAAGTATCATATATTCGTCCTTCCTAGTCCTTGCTTGACCTGCTCTATCCTCTTAGCAATCGAGCATGTCGAGAACGTCACGTGATGTTGGGTTCCGTGACCTGGCCTTGGGTGTCATCAGGCTCCTCTTCTCTGATCTCCGACTTTCTTCCCAAGTCTTCAGTGTCTTCTTTATCCTCATAGGTTCCGGTGTCGTGACACACAGTCATCTCGAGGCAGTCTCAGGTTGTGATTGATGGCAACGCGTGCTTCCAGACTTAGCCTCCTCAATCGACGAAAACAGAAAACAAAAAAACTAAAGATCTATGAAAGATCTATTTTTATGCCTACAAAGCCGGATTCGATCGTCGACAATGACAACTTGTTCCTCCATTAATTTGAAATTGCCTACTTCTTATATCTTTGACAAACCTGCTGCTATAATACGCTTAGTAGATCTATACGTTCTGATAATAATCATATACTAGAGGATCGATGATTGCTCTTACGGCTTGACATTCATTTCACAAGTAACTTCCATTTCAAACTAACTGGCCATTCATGCAGATCTCCAGTGTCCTCGTCGCAGCAGCTTTCTGCCGTTATGTACATGCTACGTGCCAGTCCTACTGGGACGGTGCTGCCCCATGGTGCGAAGGTTCTTGTCCGGCAACACATGTAGCAAAACAAACCAGCGACTGTGGCGATGGATCATGCTGCTGGAGCGGTCACAAAGTCTGGTGTGAGTGCAAGAGTTCAGATTCTTTCTGCCAGAACTTCTGGTCTGGAACCGCGCCGTTTTGTAATGGTGAATGCCCTGTGGGATTTACGGCAGCTGGGACAAGTAAGACTGGCAATGGCGGGTAAGAGACGGTTCCTGTCCTCTCCTTCGTACACTACGTGCTGATTGCAAGTCACGATAGCGTGTGTGTTACTGGTTCCAAGGTCCTCTGTGTTAGACCTGACTGCCGTCCCGCTTGCGTTCCAGGACAAATCAGTTTTGATTGCTTTTTGGGAGTTTTTGGGATCTGCGATAACGGATGCCAGAAGTACACTTGTGGGGCTTGTCTGTCTGGCGGAGGAGGTCCATGTAAGTGAAAACCACATGCCCTTGATATCAGACTAGCAATCTCTTTAATGCAGATGCTTACACATTACTACTATTAGCTACGCCGCCACCAGATGTGCCCCAGTGGCCAAATTTCAGCGCCGCGCAAACCCGCGCATTTCTTAACTCTCGATTTCTCGATGTTCAACACGGCCTTAACTTAGAAAGTCTCTCAGAGCAAGAGCTGCAAGACTTAATCAAGCAGCACTGGAACGACAAGAGTTTCCACTCCATACGCAACAATGGCACAGTGAATTTCCCGTTGCCGATCTCAGACATACCTAGAGGAGACACTCCCCCAATGGGAGAGATTGAAGGGTTTGGGTTTTGCAACTGAACATAGACAGTGTGGGACTACCCGAATGCTCTAGGGGAGAATGCTGCTCTAGCATTCCTTACAGGACCCAATTTTGTTATTTAGTGGTCAATATGTGTTTAAAGAAGAGTGACATATTTGCTATGTAGCAGCTGTTTTTGTTAAATGTAATTCTACCGCTGCTAATTGAAATCATATGAAGTATTGTTCAATAATGAGACTACGAGAATGTATTGTGAACTGTAGTCATAGTTGCGTAGAGATTAATTCCTGGACATTATTGATGAAAGCACCCAGCTTCCGTCGACTAGCGGCCAACGGTGCATGAATTCCATTGTTAGAATTTGGGAATCGATTTCAGATACATAAACATAACTAATTAATCTCTAAACATTTCAAGTAGAAGGTCTTTTCTGCACAGCATCTGCTGCATTCAGCTCATCGGGTATTTCACATGTTGGTAGAGTTGGGTGGTTTAAAGATGCTATTCACCTAGGTTCCGCCGCGCGCCACCGATGATTAAACTCATGCTGACACTTGCAGTAAACGACGGTCCTTCATACTCAGCTTTGACTACTTAAGGGCGATCCATAATCCATAATGCTCCAGTCTGGAGGACGAAGCGGGGATCACCATCTTATCTGCATGTGGCGAAGACATCAGAAGCGGGAACTGTGAATATAATAGGCTTACCAGCTTGATGTGTCTCACAAGTACCATATGGGAAGCTTTCCATGTCGTCAAAAGACCTTGTAGTCTTGCGTATTGAATATATAATGTGGCACAGAAAATCAAGGTCCAGAAAATGCGGCACCAAATATCGATCCTCCTGGACTTTATAATCCCTTCCATTGCTTCGAATTCAACCTTTGAACGAGCTCAGCATTATATTTCTTCAAGTAGTGAATCGACCTTGGAAATAACGCAAAATCATCCATAATCACAACTTTTAAACAAAGCACGTCTTACACTCTTGCTCCATGCCGCAACCCGAGATGTCTTCCCTAATTCATAACCTCGCAAGGTTTTTGGAGATGAACCGCGACCAATATCTGTGGCATGCTATTTCCGTGGTTTTTTACTGGGTAAGTCTCCAATCACATTGATAATTTAATGGTGTTAACTTGTCTACAATCCAGTATATTGCTATCGCTATCCATGACATCTTCTTCCACCCTCTAGCACGATGTCCTGGCCCCTGGATTTCCAAATTCTCGCAGCTGCCCAACTTCTATCATGCAATAAAAGGAGACCGACACATTTGGATTTGGCAGAACCATCAGATCTATGGTAATGGATGATGTAACCCGTGAACTTCCTTCAGACTTTCTGACGAGCATGTATCAGGAGACAAGGTCCGTATCCAGCCGAACGAGGTCGTCTTCCTTGCCCCGCAGGCGTCTCGAGATATCTATGGATCCAAGGCCAATGTGAGGCGATCGAAATCATATGAGGCCTGGAAGACTGTAAAAGAGGCCAATACTATCTTGACTATTGATCCGGCGGCTCATGCACGAAAGAGAAGGATACTAAACCAAGCATTCACAGAGAAGTCAGTCAAGCATGCCACGGAATTTGTGAGCGTGCACACCGAACGGTGGATCGATCTTATTTCACAGGAAAAGGACATCACTACTGATGATGGCTGGACCAGAACACGGAATATGTCCGACTGGAATGACTGGCTTGTGTTCGATATTCTGGGCGATATATGTTTCGGCCGATCGTTCGATATCAAGGAGCCTGGACCGAATCCCATCCGGGTTATGCCTCGCCTAGTCATTAAGCATGTTCAGATGTTCTACCCAGTAAGTTACCCCGTCCGCAAGGGCCACAAACACTCATAGTCCTAGATTCTCCAATCTCCCTTCATGAAGTTCTTCGTCTGGGCCAAACCGAAAGGCCTCGACTATTTACTGAAATTAGTCACACCTCAAGAAGTGAAGAACTACTACAAGTTCATCGGCGACAGTGTTTCTGAGAGGCTGAAGATGGAAAAGAGTGCAAGTCTGAGCAAGACTCCAGGCTTGATATGTTCCATTTCTTGTGCAATGCACGCGATCCTGTAACCAACGAACCTTACACTGAGAGTGCGCTTCGCGGCGAAGCCGCCATGCTCATCGTCGCAGGATCTGACAGCACCTCCAGCGTCCTTGCCGGATTCTGGTTTTACATATCAAGAAACGAGCGAGCGTACAGGCGCCTGACAGACGAGATCCGAACCACGTTCACTGCTTCTGAGGAAATCAAAAGCGGCCCCAAATTAGCTTCCTGTGTCTACCTCTATGCTTGCATAGATGAGTCGTTGCGTATGGTGCCTGCTGGACCCAGCGAACTTGCCCGTGAAGTTCTTGCTGGAGGTGCGACCATCAACGGTGAACACTTCCCGCCAGGCGTAGTAGTTGGATGTGCTCCTTGGGCCATGGGTAGAAACGAGCTGATCTTCGGCGATTCAACTAAATTTCGCCCGGAAAGATATATACCTTCAGAGACCACAGGCATAAGCGTAGAGGACGTCAGCCGAATCAAATCTTACTACAACCCATTCTTGATAGGACCTGGTAACTGCGCAGGGAAGAACATCGCGATGGCAGAGATTGCCATCGTTATTGCGAAGACGTTGTTTCGAGTTGACTTGAGAGCCGTTCCTGGAGAGGATCTTGGTGCTGGACATCCCAGTATGGGGTGGGGGAGGAGAGACGAAAATCAATATCAGGTTGAGGATGCATACATTACTGTTCATGAGGGTCCAATGTTGCAATTCAAAAAACGAATGGTGTAGTGATGAGTTGGAAGGATCCCTTGATCTGTATGCTATAATTTGGCGTTCGTATGCATCTTACTTTTATGAATTCAAATCGTAGTCGCGCCTACTTCAATTTTAACAGCGCAATGGAAAGGCTTTTCGTTGACGATTTAATGTCTATTCTACTGCTTGAGCTGCTAGAATCACCACTGTCGTAATTTCCAAATTTCAACCTTCCACATATCATCTCCTTCCTTATAATCATCAATAGACTGGCCGGAACTTGTGCCACCGCGAAGCCGGTAATAATTTTCAACTGCAAGTCAAACCCATGACCAAAATTTCGCCTTACAAGTTCTTGAGCTTCACTGGGAAGATGAGGCAAGATATCTAGCCTCTCAAGTATTGCATGGGTCTGCTCCGGCGAAACGGCCTCGAGTAGCATGCCCCGTACCACTGGAGTAGAAACGCAAGTCGCGACCGCGAGACCAATGACACTGCCTAAGATCCTGAACTGAGCCACCATGCCCGTCAGTTCCTACAGCTGAGGAAAAAAAGCCAGTAGATACCGCAAATACAATTTGAGAGAACGGCGTTTGTGTTCTAACGTACCCAAATCCCGCGTATCCATCTTAATCGGGACCAGGAGGAAGTTTGCTGTCCAATGAACCCGATTCCGAACCCAATCATCACCTAAAGATTCTGCGCGTAGGTCTAGAGTTTTTTACGTGAGGTTAGCATGTTGCTGTCGATGAGATGGGTACTCGCCGACATAGGGGCTTTGATAGTTATTAACATTGGGGTAGCTCGTGAACATAGAATTCGGAAAGAGTCGAAAATAAGTAACAATTGAATGAACTAGTTAGTGAATCTACATGGAGAACTACATAATGAAATCTGCAGGAGAGGTTGCTTGCCCCATCACCGTCTGTAAGTCGCCCTGTCAGACCGCACCCTTTGAGAACGGCATACAATGAAGCAACCATAGTGTCTGGAAACAGTATGTCGCAGACCTGACCCTTCTGGAAGATAAATGATGTTGACAAAGAAATGAGAGGAGGTATAGAGCAATAAATGGAGAGCAAGGAGGACGTAGTGATAGAAGACTCGATGAATTCAAACAGACTGGGTCAATGCAGTTCGTGTTTGTAGTTGATGCTATGCACATAGTTGAATTGTACTCGATAGTGGATTTACAATCTGGTCAAATGTTCTGTCAAGCATCATTTAATCAGCCCGGAAGCCGGGCGTTGACGTTATTCTTTTCATATGTATCTCTCCTTAGTTCATCGGTCAGGAATCATATTTACATCCTCCGCGACAAAGAGTTGAGGGCACCTGGTGTTCAGTCCAAGTCGTCTTTCCGCAAAATCTAAGCATTCCAAGGGAAGAAGCATTGTAGTTGATAATAGTGTTAGGGTCGAGTCAGTAGGCGATGATATTCGGCAGCTCGAGTGTCACCTTCTCGATATGGAGATTGCCCCTCTCTGCTCACATGGGAAACATGCGAACATGCGATCCCGAACCTGCGGGGCTCGAGTCAAAGTTTCTAAGCGCAATCTATGAGCCCCTGTCCCGGCCGCAACTTTGAGAGTTGACGCGTAGACGGGAGGGTGTGCAGGCGGACGGTTGATTCCGGGCCTGAATGGAATGGGCGCTCGAGACGGGAAAAGAAGAAGAAGCAATGCGAGTCAACTGATAACGAGATTCCGGGGTGGCAGCGATGCTTCATGTCGCTAGCCCGAGTATGGAGATGTCAGGAATAAATGTCTGGAAGCATCGCAATCAGATGCGCGCGCGAGGTTGTGGAAGGTTTCGCCTCGGTTTGTTTGTTACGCAGGTTGATACTTGGATAGATGGTGGTGCATCGACTAGTGTAGAGGTATGGGCATAGGGCTGCATCAGGGGTGAGCAGGATGAAAGGATGAATTGAAGGGAGAGGGTCATCCCTGATGGAGTGAGTGATGGAGTGTTGGAGTGTTGGAGGGATGGAGTGGTGGTGGTGATGGTGGTGTAGAGTGTAGTTGCTTCTTCGGCGGCATTTCCCAATTCCATTTGACCTGCTTGGCGGAGGTGGTCGTTTGGAGTCGTTGGGGGAGGTTATGGGCGAATGGCAGCGAAGGGCGAATGACGATGGCTGAATGGCTGATGGCGGTCTGCACCACCACCACAACCACATCCACCACCATTATACTATTCAACCTCCACTACAACCCCCCCTTCCTCCACATCCAACTCTTCGTACGACTTATATCCTTCCTCCATTTCCCAAATCGTTCCGTGGAACCGTCACCTCCAAGTCGAATCCGCTGAGACACTGCACGCTCCTTTCGTCCTTCGCGCGCCCTCGGTGCCATGAGCATCGCGTCGTTGGTTTCGACCATGTGGTTAAGATAACAGTGTGATGTCCACCTCCATCCCCGACACTCAACTGGGCCTCTCTCAGAGCGAAATCCAACTCCTCCGCCAGCATCAACAAATCGCACTCTCCCAAGCCGGCAGTTCCTCCTCTCGCGCCGCCTCTCGCGCCGCTTCCAGTCAAGGCCGTCTCCTGCTGGATCCCTCCAGTCTCCAGGCGCTGGGCGCCCACTTCGACCGATTAATGTACTCCATCCAGCAGCGATGGCAGCATGTATGATCCCTACCCACAATGCGTCAAGCACTCAATTGTCTGGTTACCATACATATGCACACATATATCTGACACCCACCTCCAGTTATCACAGCAGACCCAAGTAGCCACCCAAGTCCAATACGATCGTGCCGGCAACGCAATCCAAATGGCTGACGCTGAAATCGCCCGCTTCCGTTCGATCCTCCGCGAAATCGACGAACTGGAAGTGGAATTTGACAAGGTGCGCCGCATTGGTGAGATTGTCAAAGGTTTCAGAGCCCGCGTTCAGCATTTGGAACGACATCTATAACAAACATACGTACCGGACTGCCCCTTTCCTTGGACCTAAGGCCTGAACTTTTTTCCTTTTCACAAACGTAACGAATTTCATGACACTCTATATCGGAATTATCCACCTCCTCGCGGACTATACCCTACAGAAGCGCCTCACGGCACCCTATATACCTACCTACCTACCTTTACCAACCGGTGGTTAATCTTGGAGAGAGACTATGGCGCCTCGCGGCATGCCGCTTTCTTTTCTTTCAATCTTCCTTCATGCAGTACAGCGCTATTTAATCGTCAGCCACAGCGAGATTTTGGCATTTCCAGTCTCCTGACCGTGTTTTGTTTTTCTTCTACTAACTACTTGCTTTTGCCTGATTGTAGTCTGGACGGACGGATTCGTCTCGTCCGTCCCTTTACGTACCACACGTGCGACACTGACCGATTGGACCAATCGATCTCATTCTTGCCTTCTTCCTTTTCTTCTCTTAGATTCTTCTTCGTTACCCCGTACGTCTAGCCAAATCAAATATTTGCTACCTCTCTCAATTGGAGAGGAAAAAGTCCAAGACCCTCGAGTCCATGACCAGAACCTTTTCTCCCTCCATCATCCGTACCTTTCCACAAAAGAACCCGCCAACCCCCCAATAGAGAAGACCAAAATGCCCACTGCTTCCAAACCATAACGTCACACAAACTCTCCACCCCCTTTCTCCTCTCTCTCCCCTCGAACGAGAACACCCCTGGCCTTCCCCATTTCGTACGTACTTGCATGCTGTGGCTTTTCTTCATCGGCCATTTTGGGGCGGGTGGAGTGTAGCAGTAGCAGTAACACCTACCTTCTCTTACCTCTTACGACTTGACTTGCATCCACTTCCAACATCCTGATCTGGAAACTCGTTACTACTTTGCGCATCCTGAGACGAAGCTTGCGCTCGCTGTTGAAACTGGTGATGTGGGTGGGGGTGTGAGATATGTCGTCCGCAGCAGGCCAAATATCTCTTTTCCGTTTATCTTCGTCTGTTTTTGGGGTACTCTGCTTGACCCTCTTCGCCTCTTTTTCATTTTCTTTTGGTTTGATGTCAGTTGGTGCGTTGTATATCGAGGACTCGCGTGCGCTTTTCTTCAATGGGGGAGGAGAAGGGAGGAGAAGGGGGTCGGGAGATGTGTAATGGCGAAAGGGCCTCACGTGGGAAAAGGTAAGAGGGTAGAGAAATAGGGTATGGATTGATTTGGTGTAGTTTTGTTCTCTCTTTGGTTCGGAAAACTGAAGTATTGCAGTGATGCCAATGTCAGTGCTCTGATATGGTATGGTATGGTATGGGGAGAGATAATCTATTAAATTGCTATCTAGCATGCTCGCAATCTCCTCCGCTAATATTCGTGTAGAGTTCTGAGGTCCGACCAACCCGTTCAGCCTCTCCGAGAGCCTGGAGTATAGTTACACGCAGGTATATCTTAAAGTTTCGTCAGGGCCTTGGAGCATTTCCCCTTCCGCCTGGGACGGTCGATTCCCCCATCATCCGTCCTTGCTTTCTGGGCCTCAGTTTTGCGGCCTTACAAGGTCTCGGCGACGACCATCGGTCCAGCCACTTCATCCCTCTTCGACTTGCCAGCAATCGCCTCTACTATGGCAAGCGAGAATCCCAACGCCGTGCCTGGTCTGTTCCGCACGTATCAGCATCGTCTTCCAGCGATATTTCCAAACTGCAAGATTGAAAAATAGACAGGATGCAAAAGGTTTGAAATTCACACTTACCCCCTAGAAGTAATCACCTTCCCATCGACGACAACCCTCTCAACACTGTACTCCCACCCGCCCTCGCCCTCCACCTTCTCCTGCACGCTCGGATGGCTCGTGACCCTCACCTTCTCGCCCCCGTGCTTCTTCTGCGCAGCCACCAGGGCCGTCGTGCCGGCGCAGATGGCGGCGACGTACTTCCCGGCGGTCCGGAAAGCGGCGATGAGCTCGAGGACCGTGTCGTTGTTGGAGAAGGTCTGCGCGCCGGGGCCGCCGCCGGGGAGAATCAGGATGTCGAAGGATTCGTGGGCGGTCTGGTGCGGGACGGAGGAGAGGGTCGGGTGGTCGGGGATGATGCGGATGTTGCGCGTCATGCTGGTGGGAGAATTAAGTACAGTGGGGTCGAAAAAGAATAGAGTTACATGATTGTTGAATGGACGAAGGTGGAGGATTGCCGACGGTGATGATTGACTTACTGTGCGATGCCATCGTCCTTGAGCTGCACACCAGCAGACACGACCTCGAACCCGGCACGAATCAGAACTGTATTTTACAATTGATATCAGTATCTTGATTTCCTCTGTTGTGTCTCTTGTTCCTCCTCGTTCTTTCCCATTTCTGTCTAACCCAACAATCCAGCCCGGCACGAAGATGGTAACACCTATCTTTCTCTGCCAGGTGGAATGACATTCCGCATCTCGATACTGCGAATGCTACATACCGTCATAAGGCGTGACGAACTCAATCTCCTCAGAACCGTCCGCGACGAGAATCAATGCTCTCGGCATGTTTGTCAATGTCTGTCTCGTTTTTCTGTTCTTATCCTTGCTCTTTTCTCTTCTCTCTCCAGTCGTCGTCGACGTAAGGTATCGACGTCGATATCAAGACCTAATACTCCTGATACGATATCGAATGTTGGAATCCTCAAGTATCAACCAACCTTTTCACAGGTCAGGTTCGCCAGTTAGGCAAGTGCGAAATCAAGGCAAGCGAAAAGATTTAGAAACCAGTTGGTCAGGTAGTCGAATTATTTCTTTCTGTCTTGTAACTCAAGGAATTTTCCTCGTTATCAAAACGGCTTGGAAGTTTCTTGATTGTTTGTTTGCTAGTTGGTCGGTTTGTCACGTCGCGGTGACGTTTAGGTGGGCTGTTTGTTGGCCAGAGCTTCCCAGGGACTCACCCCACATTGGGGGAGAGGGGACCTATTACTCGTAGCTATCGATAGAGGGCGGTGATTGGTGGGGGCGGGGCGGGGCAGGGAAATAGCGGAGGAGGAGGGGCGGGAGTTGCCAAGGTTGGGATGGGTGAAGGATGATGGATTGATGGTACAAGGTCATACCATGTTCAATGTCAATTCTGTCACCGCTATTTGGGAGACCAGATTAGGCTTGTTTGAGAGGGCGGTCTGCTGTATCGTAATATGCACACGCAGAGAGAGATGGAAGATTAGCAGGGCCATGTAACCAACGATCGATTCTGGTGCACTTGGAGATTCACGGAAATGGTCAAAGGTACAATTGTGTGGATTAGAGATCATTTCATTCTCCTTATTTATATGTCCTCATCTTCCTTCATCATCGCTCCAGACAAGAACATCTCGGAAAAAGGTATCAAACGAACTGACTGCAGGTCGACTTCCTGTCCTCCACAGGTGTAAAGACGGCCATACCATTCTTCATCTTCTCCGTATCATAACATAACGACCAAATTACGCAGCAACCCGCGGAAACAACGCTGCCAGAACCCATTTCTAACTCACACCGGTATCAGGGGAATCTCTCATAAGCTCATGCAAGTGACGAAGGAAAAATGCGTGTTGGGGTCGGATGCCAACCGGGGCCAGAGTCCTCCCCCCAAAGCGTCTCTCGTTCGTGACATTAGGTGATGCACAGCCTGATGGAGCGCCTGCCTCCTCCACCTGCTGACATACGTGTATCGAGATGGAAATAAAAGAGAAAAGAAGAAAGGAAAAGTACGAAAAGAAATCGAGATTGAACAAAATAATCAGTATACGTGAACCAAGCCATGTCTATATAAACGCTCGATGTAAAGCATCAAACCCGAGGTATCGCATTCAAATAAAATGGCGAATCCGCGCTGTATTCAATGGGAATTTCAACGACAGACGGAAAAGCAAAGGCCCGGAAAGAATCGGAACCATTAACACCGGCAATCAGGGGCGTTCATCGTGATATGGATGAGAGAGAGAGAAAGAGCGTTGAGCTCTATGTGAAATCGAAAAGAACGAAGAGTCGGGAGGGAGCGAGGAGTACCGTGAATCGCTGCATCAAGATGACCAAGGTCGGCAGGGCCTGGAGATGTGCACTCTGCTGAAGCACAATCTCCGTAAGCACTCTGTGTTTGTCTCCCAGCTAAAGCAGCTGGAGCACAAAGAGCGACGCTCCACTAGAGACTCATCGTGAGCCATTCCCACTCTTGAGGACCACTCGCTGCCAGTCCCTGGCCCATGGCACCCATGGGAAGACTGCCCAGGTTCTGAGAAGGTGGTGGATTGGTGGTCAGTATCGTTGGCTCTTTTCGCCTCGTCACGGGCGGCGCCTTTCCGCTCGTGTCGTCCGCGTCTGCCATTTCTAACTCCTGCACACCGCTCCTGCTCTGTTGTCGAACACGCTTCGGGGCGACAGTGATGGTGCGGCTTTGGGGCGCACTTGTCGGCGTGGTCGGCTGTGTCTTGGGAGGTCCTGGTGCGATGGGGACCACCCCACCAGACTTAAGACTGCCTGAGCCCGTAGCGCCGCTTGCGCCGGTGGGTCCAGTGCCTGCAGAGCCGGTCGATTTAGGAGACTCGGAATCAGCATGACTGGCCTTTGCGGATATCGGTGTCGCAACAGGTGTATGGGCAAGGGAATTCTTGCGTGACGACTTCTTTGAAGACCTTGTAGACGAAGTCACCGGGGCAGAGTTACCACTGCCACGGTTGCGCTTCTTGATGACATCTGTCTTCAACGACAATGGGCGCACCACACCATGAAGCTTCAAGAAGAGCCCGCATGCGTTGCAGAGGGGATGGCCTTCGGGGTTGCGTCGCCAGAGGGGGGTGGTCTGGGTAAAGCAGTTGGTGCAAGTGGTAGGAGCTCCGTTCTGCTCACCCGGCTTCGTGCCGCCAGGACTTGACGGCCTGGATGGCGCTGCCGAGCTGTAGGCAGATTCAGGCGGTGAGTTTGGTGACGATTGTGGGCGGCTGAGCATGCCCTGTACCATGCCGGCTGCATTGGGTGTGGAACTCGTGCGGGGGATCTTTTGGCGTCTGGGATCGTTTCCTCGATTGCGGATGTCGCTGACGGAGGCGGCAGAGCCATGTCCACGGCCGAGGCTGCCTCCCTGCCACGAATCCTGAGGCGACGAGACCATCTCAGTCTGTCCGATCGTCACAGTCTTACGTGGCGGGCCCGCTGGGTACCTCGCAGGAGTGGGATTGAACTGGTTGGATAGGTTGGTCTCCCACTGGAAGCCCCCACTGAAGTCAATGGAGCTCTCTTCCATCGGCGAGTAATCAGCCTGGGAGATGGTCCTGTCTGGGAATGCTCCACCATCGTCATCTTCAGCATCAGAATCACCGCCAAAGGAGAACATGCTCTCTCGTTGTCCGATCTGCATAGGCTCTGTCCTGAATGGGAGGTTGTTGTGCAGAACCTGTGACGGGTCGACGTGTCCAGATTGAGCGAACGAGTTCGGTGCAGAAAAGGGCGTAGAGCCAGCGTTTGTCACTGCACTGAATATGGAGTCACTGTTGTTGTTGGGATCGAAGATGTACTGGGTTTGCATGGAGTTGGACAATGCCGAGGGGCGGTGGGGTCCATAGTTGTTACCTCCATGTGCCCCACGAATGTCCATGCCGGTACGATCGAAGTACATGGAGCCCTCCTCCTGAATGGGCTGTGGAGTCGACACCGTCGAAGGGAAGGCGGAGCTAGATGGTGAGTAGTAGTCGTTGGTGGAATTGAGAGACGACGCTATCGAATTGGGGTTGTACATGTTCGAGAACGACGAGGAGCTGTTCATCATGGGCGAACCCACTGGCGAGAAGCCGAAGGTCTGCTGGAAAGGACCGGCGGAGTTGATGATAGGGTCAGGGTCACTCAGTTGGAAGGTGTCGAGAGCGAAGGGGACCTGAGCCTGGGAGGAGGGGAAGTTGGAGTGTTGCATGGTCTGGTCGAGGGAGTAGTGGTTCAAAGCGGCCTCTGCATCGGGGTCGTTCGGTATCATGATGCTGTTCACGGCAGGGACCTGCGGCGAGGCCTCTGCTCGTCGTTTGGGGGGCTGATAAGAGAGTCAGTAGGAGGGTAGAGGGAAAGATAAGAGGTGTAGGAGGGAGGAGGAGGCAGTAGAAGGAGGCAGTAGGTTGGTAACTCACCCTTCGCTCGTCGATACTTGTCTTGCGAACGTGACGGGGAACATATGCGAACTCATTCTCCCGGATGTCGAGAGGAGGAACTGAGGGAGCAGAGGCGCGGGCGAGGGAGAAGTTATGGTCGTGGAGTTGGTTGGGTTTCCTTATCGCTATCGCAGGGGCCGTTGTATGCGAGGCGGCTCTCGTATCGTTAGACGGAGAAGGTGGCAAGCCCGCTGGTGATCCCACAGACGACTCATATATAAAATCGTCCAAGTTCATTGTATCCGACGGTGGTGTCTGCGCTCGCTGATCGACCGACTTTCTCAACTGTGCAATGCCGCTTGGCGCTGTCCTCGGTGCAGGCCTCGCGCTCGCGCTCGCACTCGGGCTCACGCTCGCAGATGCCGTGGAGGGAGGCGGAGGCCTCATTTCGTGGATCGGACCTAACCTGCAAGCAGGGAAAGACGAATTGTCAGTAACGGGGAACAGAGTTGAAGTTGCACGCGAACTGGGGCATTGGTAACATGGCGTGTTGCGTACCCTCTATTGCGATCGATCTCGGCACGCCTCATGTTCATGGCCATCATTCGCCAGGTGAGATTCTCCATGCGCTCCGCGTTGGGGAGCTGGGTCTTTGCTTTGGAATACAGTTTCCATATCTGCGTGCCCAAGGGATCGTTCTTCTGCATTTCCTCTGGAGTATCTACGTTGGCGTTGGCGGCATCGTTGCTGAAGGGAGGGAAGATGGAGGTATCGAGCATGCCCTTGCGAGCAGCCGCTTCTTCGGAGGAGAAATCCAGTTTGCTGTCGAGTGTGCTGTTGGAGGTGAGGGAGTGTACGGCGGAGTTTGCACCGGACGAGTCCTCGAAGTGAGCGTGAGTCTGACTCTGACGTGAACCTGAGCTGCTGAAGGTGGAGAATGGAGTGGGAATCGGCGGTTGGCGATCTGCAGAATACATCCCACGCCCACGCTCACGCTCGAAAGGCGTATACATGGGTGGGTGGGTGGTGGTGGTGTTACAAAACGGATCCGGGGACTCCAGATGCGCCCGCGCAGACGGCTGGTTGGGGTATTATTGCCGGAGACGCACGGCAGCAGCAGGAGCAGGAGCAGCAGAAGCAGTGAGAATCGCACGGGGAGGGGTGTGGGTTGGTCAAGGAATTGCTTTTTGTGCTGTTCCTATTTCCCTTCCCTTGTTTTCTTTCTTTCTGGCTTCCTTCGTTTTCCTTTCTGTGCGCCTGCAGGGGAGTAGAGAGAGCAGGGTGGGAGTGGCGTTGAAATGGCGGGAGGATAATTGCGAATGAGTAAGAAGAGGGAGAAGAAGGAGAAAGGGAAGAGAGGTATAGAGAGAGTGTATGAGTGTGTATATGTGTATGTGTAGAAGAGGGTAAAAGAATAAGAGGCAGGGTAGTGGTCGTGGTTGTGACGATGATGGTGGTGGAGGTGGTGGATGCGATGGTGGTGGTGGGTAGTGGGAGGTGGTTTGTGCTTGCGCCTATGATGGTGGGACAGAACACACACACACACACGCACACACGAACACCCAGACAGAGACAGACAAGACAGACGGACAGACAGACGCCAGCCAGGCCAGGACAGGCAGACGGAGCGATTGACCAGTGGGCAATTTCGAACAGAAAAAAAAGAAGACGGGCTGCAATGCACGCACGCACGTTCCACTGCTAGTTACCGTACAAGAGTTACAAGTCCAAGACTACAGCAGTCCAGTACGGAACGGTACAGAACGGTAAATACAAAGTACAGTCAGTACAGGGCTGGGTCTGAGACTGGCGACAAGCTTGGCCGATGGCTTGACGAAGCAGCGGATGCGGCGATGTAAGCTGTAAGTCTCTAAGAGTAGGTACATTAGGGTATACTTGTACTTGTAGGGTATACAAGTGCAAGTGCAGCGGTAGCGGACTGTATCTAAGTAGCGGAAAATCGAATGAAGCGATGGATGGATCCAGGATGATGGGGTGGTTAATGGATCAATAATGGAACAATGGATGATGCACAGCAGATGAGTGGATGGGTGGAATGGGTGGATGGAGGCAAGAAAAGCGTCTTGATTCTAATTCTAGTGAGGGAAGGATGGGCGTCGACGGACACGGCGGCGGCGGATGGCGGTCAGTGAGTCGACCATAACCTGGCGTTGTCGGGCCTTGCTAGCTCATAAACGATGGTTTAATACGGAATGGGTACAGGTACTGGATTTAGTTCGGTCAAGATGGCTCAAGTTGGGTTGCTCTACGGGTATGCCTTGTTGGGAGGGACGGATGGATGGATGGATGGATGGATGGAGGAGGTTTCTAACTGTGATGATACATATCGTACTGTGCTTTATTGGGGAGAGTGGGTTATGGACTATTCACCATGTACCATCTAGTAGGTAGTAGGTAGCAACTAAGCATGTGAGTATATGCCTATTGTACCGTGATGAAGATGGAAAGAATCAGAATGGAGATGAAGAACATGGGTATAGTATGGATATGGATGGATCTGGCAGACTGACTCCACATATTCCATGGAGGGGGAGAGATACGGAAAGAGACCGACCGACATGGATATGATGGAGTCGAATACTCAAACACTTGAACACGCATGTTATTGTTTGAACCTGAATTTGAACCCGAACTTGGACAATACCTAGGCAGACATGGGCCGCCATATGGGACGACGACGAGGGACAAGAAGACATGGGACAAGGGGACAAGGTACAGGGGATATAGGATAATACCCTGGATGTTGACATGGGAGAGACAACAAGAGACGAGACGAGAGAGACATGGAGATGGGATGGGATGGGATGGGATGGGATGGGATGGGATGGAACATGTCTGTGCATCGATGCCTGTGGGGGGCCCATACAATACCAATACAACAACAATTGCGCCGCCAGGATCATCATTATTGTATGTACTGTGTAGTTCAACAAAGTACGGAGTAACTACACTGTAACTACTTGTACGTACGTGTACACGGTACGAATACTAAATAATACTACCGAGTGCTTTGTACGGCTAACCACCACGGCCACGGCTACTGGAAATGCACTCGTATGTCGGCCCTCCACTCTATTTCACATGCCTACGGTAGTAAGTACCCAGCTATTGATTTGCATATCCGTCATCCCTCTCTCACAGTTAATAACAACAACAACAGTAAGGGTCTCCATTAGGACAAAGACGGGAAAGGTCACCACAGCATGAAAAGTGATCGAGTGTTGTTTACCATATAAGAACATCTTGGAGAAATGAAAGATGATGTTCATGTACTTCGACCATAACTGTGTCGCATATGTATGTACTCGAAGGTACGGAGTACATTCTGAGCATCTGAGACATCCAGAAGCCAGAGCAGTGGACAGAAGCCAGCCAAAAGCGGGTCTTCCGGGCGGCGGTAGAAGGGGCGGAGGGGGGGAGGGGAGGGACTCGAGGGAGAGACAGAGGGGTGGCTAATAATCCCCATTCATCGATCCAATAAAGACAGCTTTGGAGGACGGGTGAGCACACGACAGCGCGCGAAATACTCGTAGTGTACGAGTTGACTACTGTAGTAGCGTACTTGTACATGTACATCACTGCTCCGGAGGCTGTGTTAGAGAGTCGTCTAGAGGTTTGGCTGGCGTCATAGCCAGAAGTAAAGAAAGAAGATGCGCGCGCAGAGTAATTTCTGCCGGGCAGGGCATCATGATAATTGCGGATCCTCCTTGTCCCTCTCTCTCTATAGACTCTGAGGTGCAGTACTACTCGTAATCTGTATGTATGTACTCCGTACAGTACCAGACGCCAACATCGTAACGAGACTGCACAACAATTACGGCAGCCTCTCGAATCAAAGGAATAACAGGTTTGTCGATGTAGATGTAAATGTTCGATTTGGACGACGCCAGGGCAGAACCGCCTGGGCCGTGCTGAAGAACCTCGAACCGTTCAGGACCCCGGCACGACTTGTACGCAGCACTACATACTGTACTATAACTACCCTACGAATAGGGTGCAGCTATACGGAGTTAAGTAGTGCGGTAGCTGTTTATGTTGAATGATGGACGGTGGACCACCACCCACATGCTGGGATCGGAGATGAACAGTGCTGACCATGCCATGCGGATGGATGCAGCAGCAACCGCGGACGGGCATATCATTGGAGAGAACCTTTGGGGGTTCGCGTGGGGAGAGAATGTGGATTTGCTGTGTTCATACTGTGTACGGAGTACAGTACGAGGAGAATGCTGTAGCAAACGACCAGAACAGCAACAGAAGGAATGGACTGACACTTTACACGGAACCCCCATTCATCCATCCCTACATACACCACTCGTACTACATACACATGCATGCATGAGGCAAAGAGAAGGAAGAGAAAAAAGTAAACACAGCAATGTCCCCTCCCCATGTCCCACTTCAGCCGTCGTTGTCGTCGTCGTCGTTGTCGTCACAGCCTCACGAGTCACGAGCGAGTGACTCTCCCCCATTCGTTTGCCTCGAGAAACCCAAAGTTACATGAATCATGCAAACCCACTCTGCCGACCATCATCCGGCTCAGATGCAAGATGTGCGGAAAGGCAAGAAAATGAAATAACGTTCCACATGGGCTCTGATTGGGCACCTCCCACTTCCCATATGCATTTGCCCGGTACATACATACGGTATGCGACATGCCTAGGTAGCTAACAAGTCTCCATCCCGTTGCAACAACAACTTGCGCTGTCCTGCGCTGCGCCAGCGCCGCCTAATTCCCTAGCGAGACCCGACATTCATTCTGCAAGATGGCTGATGGATGGTCACGGCCTACCTGCTACTGGCATGGTATGGTGATTTATGGTTTACAAGTCATTACATATGGTCGTAGTTCAGGTTCAGGTTCAGGAAAAGCCACTCACTTCAACGCGCGCCCGCCCGTCCCAATAATTACAATGGAATGTCTCGCGAGTGGTCCTGCAGAAGTTAGTGGCCGTAGTAGTCCATGTTCTGAGCCGAACCCGGAATTAGGGCTTTGCTGACAACGCCCACTTGCATGCGCCTTCTCGTGGCAAACGGCAGGGAAGAACCCATACTGTCACTCTGTCAGTCAGTCTTGTAGAGGCGGCTAGATCTTCGTATCATCCTCGTGAGGCAAAAAGATGAAGAAAAAAAACCAGGAAAACATTTGTCGATGCTTACAATTCCTGCACGCACGAGAAATTTCTTCTCTAGGCATGCGTGCAATGCTTGTAAATCAAACGAGGACCATTTGGATGTTGTATAGAAAGTGAATTCGATACTGTCCGCATTCGTCAGTAACACTGCTGGCGAGCACAACTCTCCCTGGTTCCGATACTCCTCCCGACAGATTACTATGCTCTGAACAGAACTGCCTTTCACCGTTTGGGAGTTAACCTTTCGGTCGGTCGGGCTGGCAAAGCACCAAGTTCAAGATCCATATTAGCTCTCCACCGAGGTCACCACTGACACTGCCAAAAACCATGATTTCGTCCCTACATCTTCCGATAGCTGATCCATCCATTCCCGGTTCTTCCCCCTTCCCGATCATCTTTCATTCAGGGTCTACAAGTTCGTCTCCACTTATCGTTGCTCGCGTGGCTGAAACGCACGTGGATTGGGCCATAGTCGCCCAATACACAACGACACTACTCGTACCAACTTCGATTCCCACCACTCCAAACCAGAACCATCTTAGAACCACCCTACTATTCTCTCCCTTCTCGAATCCCCAAGGGCCTCAACAGTGTCAACGCACCGGCATCGGCCAAGCTTGCACGCATTCGGGGTCGGGACCACCGAGGGGTTCGGTACCTAGGCATGTAGACTCGCATGACGAACGATGGATTGTCTCAACAACAAACAACAACAGGCTCCCGCAACAACCTCGTCAGGGTCCTGCTGCGACTGAGGCAGCGATGCTTGCTACAGACTAGGTAGGTCCTAAATAAACCACACCACGTTATGCCTGCTTTCCAACGCCACACTATTCAAACCGCCTTTGGTCTCATACGCCCCTTTCTAGAAATGCATCCAGACGTCTGTCCCACTTCGCACCCACCAACCCCTAGAATACGCCTCTGAGCTTCCATCTCGACGCTTGGATCCATCCGTCTTGCTCGTGACAATCCTCTACATTCCAAATTCCTACCTTTCCCTCATTACACACCCCTTACGATGGCAAACCCAAAAGTCTCACTGCTTGCATATCTAACTACGATCTATCTATCAATCACTTGATCTATTCCCTTGTACCTTTGCTTGTAGAAGAGAACTAGGAGGTTCGAAGCCCGCTGGTTCTCCAGAAATAGATGCATAGATCACACTAGCCACATACCCTCTACCCATGCCCTATACCTATCCTGACCGGACACTCTCTCCCGTCCACTCGCTACGAGCATGGTTCCAAGTCATGAACAACCCACACCACCAACGATCCTCCTCGTAATCCCAATCCCTTTATAAAACCACGAAACACGAATGGGTACTCGTAAGATGTAAAGTGCATTGCAGTGTAATTACTGTGTACGGTATGGGAAAGATGGGTAGATTTTGTACTTGGTTGGTGGAGAATTATACTGGGAAGGATTGGCGGATGATCGTCAGATCTTCATTGTTGCTCATCGTCGTCGTTGTTGTTGTTGGTCTGGGATGAGATTGAGGATCACGATGATACTCGCCGTGCGGATGTATGCACTTGTAACTTATGCGTGATATCTACACAGGTTGTGCATGAGGAAGATGTAAGCAATGGTATGTAGGTCTACGGCTAAGTCACGGTTACAGCCAAATCAATATCAAGATCAAGATCATAATCGAGATCTGGAGCAGGTAGTATCGGATCCAGGTGAACGCATGTGTATGTTGGAAGGCGAGCATGAGGTGAAGCAAGCAGCCAATCACAGCCCTTCGATCGCTGGAATATCGAGACCATTCCGTGGCGCCCGATATCGAGCCAATGGCGAGAGCATTAATTCTGATTTGGCGCAATGACGGGCGGTCAGAGTTGGTGAGTAAGTAACATTATTTGTACGGTAAATGACTTGGCGAAGAATGGTAGTGGCTTTTCCGGAGTGCTAAAGCCGGCCGGATTGGGAATTGGGATGGATCTTCATTTGTTCGTTTGTCTGGGATCATTTGAGATGTTATTTGCTCTACGGTGACTTCTGCAGGTATAACTGCTGGATTCAATTCAATTCATTTGGTCGACAAGGTTGAGTTGGTAGGTACAAGTACAAGTACTCCGTACGAATACCCAAATTACGTGAAGTGGAGAGCGTTCGGATGAGAGCTGAACGAGACGAGACAGAAACAGCAAGCTCGACAGAAAGTAATACCGACGGACCGTTGCTGCGAAAGCGGGTCTTCATTCAAGATTTAGCCGTTCGCCTTGCTGGACAGTAGTTACAAGTATACCTAGGGTACGAGAGGTAAGGTGCTCGGCCTGCACCGTGAGTGGGAGGGGACATATTGACCCTAGATCTCGGGAGTTTGGACATCCAATCTGTGAACCCTGGAAAATTAGAGTCGAGAACGCCAGCTCGTAAGTACATGTTGGGTGCTCGCATTTGTTATGCAAGACCCATTACCTAGCTGGACATTCATTTCCACCTGAGACCATGCTTGAAATGAAAGGTACTCTACGGAGTACGATTACAATTATGTTTTGTTTTCCTGAATGCACATACTCTTGGTCTCGAAAGGTGACGTCTCGGGACGAGGTACATGGTATACGTAGATACATCACTGTAGACAAGGACCATAAATCCGACCTGTTCCCCTTTGCCTCTAGGCTCGGGGCTGTACATGCCTACCTACATACATACAGTACCTCGGAGCATAACGATGATTCCGAAGGGATCGACTTCGCCTGTGCTCACTGGGCTTGGTGACCCCTGCACTCCTTGGATTCGATTCTAGCGAGAGAGGGTCTTCGAAGTTTGTACAACCAAGTAGCTCGACTTTCACATGCTAACAATATTGCACTGGACGGCAGGTAGACGGTACGTTCATGATTGCGTATGTAGGTACTGTGTACGTACGTACCCGGTAGCGACATGAACATTCGATTCTTCGAGACCACGGTGAATAATACATGGTGGCTTGAAACGAGAGGCGCACGTCTACACATTCGACAGCCGTCCCTTTGGATATTGTTTGGGGGTGGAGGGGAGGGCTTGTCGCGTTAAACGTTTATCCCGGCTTAGTCGGTGCCACCGCCCAACCCAAACCGGAGCTAAATAGGTTACTTTGCTTTGTGAGGTTGAGATGATTATCAGGTCAGGTCAGGCCCTCCGTGGTGGTGCATCGTTGATTATTGTCCTGCTCTGTTCTCAAGACCGATTCCCGAATGTGGTTATCCACTCCATCATGGTGACGGACGCGAGGGAGCGGGTGGGCGGTTGATGCACATAGTAAGTTTGTGTCCCATGCATATGCTGCAGCATAATCCAATAAATGAAATAATGATGATGAATGCGCAGGAAAAGGTATTGTATACAGTGTATGGAGCACAATAGAGTAGAGTAGGGTAGGGTACGGAGAAACTACAAGTAGAGTGGAGGAGACGAGACGAGTAGATGACCGGGATTGCGTGGGGGGAATATGCTCTGTTCGGCATGGATCTATCTGCTAATGCGAGTCACAAAGGATACTAGGCCTTGAACCGACTGAATCCGTTCGACAAGCGGGTGTTGCGGGCCTGGAGGTTTTCCATTCCTCCTCTCACAGCTTGTCCTTGTAGGTATCCTCACACCCCTCCGAATCTCTGATGCGCCCACTCTCCACTTTCGAATCCACGGAATCCACAAAACTCCACCCAATTCGAGATTGTCGAGATAGCTGCTAGATATGGAGTGTAAAACCATTTCTTACAGTTATTCGATAATGCCTTCCGGTCCGTTTCCCATTGGATCGTCTTGTATGACGTTGCCTACCAACGACCATCACCACCAACTACCACTCCCACTACCACATATGCCAGTAACTATACCAGTGCATACCATAACCACCGGCTCCGGTAATTAGACGAGCAGAGATTCAGTTGCCACGGTCGTACTTGCATGTATGACTTAGATGGCTGGTCTCTACTCCGCAAAAAACTGTATGAAGAAAATCATCATCTCCGCGCCCACGTAGATGCACATGCAATCCCATTTCCCTTTGATTCTTCCATTCATTTCCCTATACCCGCCGCTGCCGAGCTATGGGCTTATGCGTGCAGCACAGATAGGCAATATGGGGCAGGGTGAACCCTTCTGGACCTGAACTTGGCGGGGTCTTCAACCGGAGCACAGGGCTCCAGGCGTTGTGGGCGCGGGATGACATCTGTGGGGGGGCCGTAATATGAGCATATCGTTTTGGCTCATAGCCTCTCCCTATCGACGACGAGGGAATGCAAGTGTCGTCAGACTCGTCGCCGATCAACGGTAAAAGGTCTCTTTGCAGGTGTTGGATGATTGCATACCGTGTGAGCGCAGTAGCGCTCCTCGTATCGGCGGCTGGTTCAATCGTCCACACGACACTAGGTAGGTATACTGGGCCTTGCCTTGCCCTGCCCTGCCTTGTGGAAGACGGCGACGACGTCGTCGTTGCTGGTGGGTGGATTGCTTCGCGGCCCTAGTCGTGTGCGCTATTTCCCTTCCCCATCTGCTTCGTCCAACTCGTATCAGGCCCTCCTCAACAATACGGAAATTGCCATGCTTGCTTCATGCGGACCATGGCTTCGCATGTCCGGCCGGTAGGTAGACTGTAGGACCCCGTATGTCGAAGAGATGGGTAGCATGCCTCAACCCATTCTTTGTGTGTGCTTGGTTGTAATTACCCTCCACCTTCCAGGCTCTCAGTAGATACCCACTGGAGCCACCAGCAGTAGTGGGTATCCCCCAAGTTTCCCCCCTCTTGAACCAGGAAATGAATACCATATCAAATGTCCCACCCCTCCTCTGGTAAATAGGAAGACTCCATCGTGTGTTGTCTTGGCAGATCCAAATGCAGGGACGGGAGAAAACGTGACCCGAGTGTGGGCGGAGCGGAGACGGGAGCGGAGGAGTCGAATCGTAGGGTTAGCGATGCCAAAACTTATTTCTCCCCTATGCAGGGCAACCGAGTTTCCCAGGGGGTGGATGGGCGGGACAGCCGTTTTCTTTATACTCCAAAATTTTCCATCAACATCGAGTCGGAGCCCAGAAGGCGGCAGCAAGCCAGCAGAGTTCGCAATGATAGCTTATCATGACGAGCTTGATAACGCCTTGTCCAGCTTCTCGTTCCAGTTCAGTTGCGATTGGGGGTCAGATTGCTCATTATTGGATTATTGGACGTGCAACTCAAGTACAAGGCTGCTCAAGCCCCATGGTGACACATTTTTTCCATTTTTTAGGCGACTCTTTATCATCCATCGCCTTTGGTCTGCCCTCTTGTGCAAGGCCCAGCTTCCTATCAGGGCACTGGGGAGCAATCTTATCTGAATGCGGAGAGGGGAGGGAGCAATGACTTGCATATGCGTATCAGAACCGCCGTCCGAGAGCCGCTGAAGCGAAAGACAAATCTTGTAATGCGAGATAACGACGGGCAAAGAATTCGATTTGATAGGATGCGAGCGGATTGTAGTTTGGTTTCCCACTCATCTGCTAAAGCTTGTGTAACCCCCTATCGTATCAGGGACCTTTGATGAAGAGCTGGCGATCATTTCAGGTACATGCTTCATACTACATGCTTCATCAGGTAAGCTTGAATTTGAAGCCCTTATTATCCTATCTCTCTAACTGTGAATTTCGACCGATACCCCACAAGGGATATCTGGGGAAAGTATGTTTGCAAAAGGTGATTAGCCCAACCCCCAATGCTTGATGGGACTGGTCTACTACTGTGGTAGCTGCTTCTATCCATCCATCATCTGCATTCCCTATCATCTGCAGTCCTCTTCGGCAACAACTACCGCTGCATAGGCAATCTCATTCGCTTGATGCTCGACTTCTGATAAGACCTTCCTCTTCCATTGACACGATAATTAGTCCGGGCATCGTATCTGCCCTAATCAGGGCGAATATCCTGGAGAGTCTCCGCATTATCCTATCTCTTCCCCAGAATGCCTGCGCCATTTCTGTGCATCAGCATCAGCATCTTTGCTGGGAGTTACGTGTCGAAATCTTCCCGTATCAGATCGCTTCCACCAATTGCTCCTATAATCTTAATCGTGTTGTCGTATCTGTCCCCCATCTTTGGTTGATGCGTTGGCTCGCTTCAAGATTTCTCTTGATTGTGTCCTTGTGTTTGCCCGGAGGCACCAGCCTCTACGCCTCCTTTCACCGTCTCTTCTCCAAGAACCTTGCTCGCTGCCATGAACCTGCGATCCCGAATCCATTAGCTAAGTGCACGGCAAGTTGAGATATCTCCCCTCAAATTGGTATCTAGCGAGAATGGGTCGCTCACATTCCTCCCGCGTATCCCCCTAGTCCACGCATGCTCTGCGCCTGAATCGCAGTCATCCGCATCAGGTTCTCCAGATCCGCGACATTTGCTGTCAACTGCCCGAGCTGTGCTTGCAGGTGTGCGAGCTGACGGGGTTTCTGCGAGGGCATCGTGCTGAGGCGCGAGGAATTCGTCTGTGGACGCTGGAAGTTCGACATCGTGGATCGCCGAGAGTGTTCCTATATTGGAACGCGGGTAAAGGAATCGTGGGAGGTGAGCAGTGACGGTCGTAACTCGTTGCAGGGACCAGATTCCCTTTGTTTTGTTTGTTCTGGGAAGGCGTTCGCGTGTGTGGGTGTGGGGGCAGATGTCGCGATGTTCCCGCGGAGATGTCAAATTCACAAAGCTTAGCCTTGGCCCTCCCCTGTCATCCGCGTGCCTGTGGAGCTCCCTCTTACCTAAAAGTTGTAAACTCGATCGTCGTTCGGGAGGAAACGATTTCTCCTTCCTCCCAATCTTTATTTCAACGTACAAAGAGCACCCTGCTAACCCCAGATCTATAAAGACCTCCTGCGTGCCTCGTCTTTGTCGCGATCTGAGGTTTTCACTCCCGTCGGACCCTGCCGATCAACGCCACCATGACTACCCAGCAGGCGGTGCGCAGATGGATCATGACTGGTGCAGTCACAGCCATCACAGTTACTGGAACATTGTATGGAGCTGGATTGAAAGGCAGCCAAGAGCTCAAACAGGTACGATTGATTGTTTTACTCTAACTATCAGTTCTTCCAATCGCTAATCTGCATTCTCTCCCGCGCAGAAACAACAAGAGATCAGACAAGCCACACCCGAGGATAAGATAGCCCAGCTCGAAGTCGTCCGCTCTCAACTCGTCAGTAGGAAGGAGGAATTGGAGAGGAAGCTTGAGAAATTTGCCGACCGTCGTCGTGAAAGGGAATCTGCAAAAGAAGCGAAATGAAACTACTTGGATGCATATTGAAGATTGGGGCTCTTTACAATTCCTAGATGCAGGGGGAACACGACCGCCATCGATGCACAATCATAATGTCGACCCACAGGTATCGCCGGACGATCCACGCCTACCCAAACCGATGTCCTACAACTATCCATCTCACCCCGTACATGGGGGAGAAATCGCATCAATCCGTATTCAACCACATCAGATCGACGAACGGGAGCATAATCGAACTTTAGCACTGGCTGATGGCATGCACACACATCGATCCCTCTCTGCTGTTCTGAGATCTTCCCAACATGGGAAATTTGCTCGGCTACCGGGGACTTCGAAGAAGCATTCAACTGTGCCGGTATACTGACGTCGACGATTTCGGAGTCTTGTCCGCAATACGAATGGCTTTGTCCATATGCAGTCGAGATTATGCAGAACGACGGTTGCAGAGATTCGAAGACTAATTCAGCGCAAGAATTAGTGCTCATGGCTGAAAGGTTGGAAAGTACAGCTTTGCCGAGAACTACCTGACACAGCTTCAACGAGATCGCAATACCGGACTTGTGCCGACTAGTCTTCCGCCAACATCCTAGTCGCCACGATGCATATTCACGATTTCTCCATAGCGTTCTGCAGGAATACCTCTCGAGACGGTAACGACAATCGGGATCAGCGGAACCCAAGCCGTGGGCATGATTGGAGTTCGCGCTGGCGGCCAGGCACATGCGAAAAACACGAGGGCGAGCGGGCGCCATGCACTAGATCCATTCGTTGTTGGATTCACGACACTAACTCGGCGCAATACACGGGGCTTCGCTGACCCACTAACGCGGCGGCATTCACATGTGGTTTTCGTTGTTGTCGTGTAATTCTACGATTACATTGTACGCTGAGCTTTGACGTTCTGGAATAGAACCCCATACGGGACGAGTCGTTCGCTCTTCCAGCCTTTCCAATTCGTATAATGGGAAATCTCGTATAAAGTTGTCAAACAAAAGGGAAAGAAATCTGGCCCGCTTTCGAGATCGCGTCGTCCAAGCTATTGTTATGCACATCGTTTGGGCCTACAACCATGTTCTCAACCGAAAGTCAATGCATCGTCCTGTTTAGTTGTCGACGGCGAAACCAACAAAGTCGGGTGGGGTTAATACAGTCAGCGCAATTAAGGGCCTACATTGATCGACCCGTAAATCGTGAATTCGAAGAGCTTTTGCGACCTTAGGATTTGTTGTTGATTTATTTGTTTATACGACAAGGGCCGTGGTGGAATTTGCTTAAGAGCGACCGCATCGCATTAGAAGTCAATATCAGATGCGCTTGTGCAGTATCAAGGATGGCGAGATATGAGGTGTCCAAAGACTTTGTCGACGCACTTTCGAGCTTTTGAGCTTGCGGATCAAGTATACTTCGTGCTTAGACTGTTTCTTGAATATACATTCAACATTGGCAAATCAAGAGGCCAGAAGAACTTTTGCTCCTCGAATCCCGAAATCGTTCTTTGCCTCGTAATTACACCACCTCAATACAGGCTACCATCGTGCATCAACGCTTGTAAATAAAACAATACCATAGCAACGGCCTTGGCTCCTTAAGGAAAGCTTCGGAGAATAATTGAATGAGGGTCGTATTATCTTTTAGGAGTCTGCACCTTGAATGATACTTTCCGAATTTAGTACACAATTCCTAGAGATCTCCGACCAAGCATTCGTTCCTGTCAAAAGAAGTGCATGAAACAATACGAGCGGAATCTGCAACAACAAATAAAGTAAATACATATCCTGAAGGGTATACTAAATGCCAAGCGATGTTCAGGCAACCCTGATGGATTATGTCATCGTTTCATCTCGTGCATTTGCTGTCAGAGGTCAAGGAGACGATTGACGCAATCTGTAGACTACTTTACCAGTATAAGCACGCCCCGCTGTAGTGGCCACATATCAACAACTAGCTGTGCTGTGCTGTGCTGTGCATTACAAATCTTCATATATAAAAATTGATATCGTGTGCAATTGCTTTCTTAAACAATTTCTTTTGCTTTACCGTCCGATACTACACCGACCACTTCATTTTTAATCCGGAAACCATGAGTTCGAGTCTCGTCTCCCAAACTGCGCAGGGTGCTGTGCTCAGCATCATTGCGAATGTTTTGGCGCAAGTGATCGCATCGTACAAGTACAATGTATGTCTCATACAGCTCAATCGTACTAAAACTCTTCAATTGCACGTATTGAAATTGATCTCAGGTACCATTCACCCTTGATTTCGGGCCCATCGCAAAGTTCGTCACGTTTAGCATCATCAGCAACCCACCAAACATCATCTGGCAACGCTTCCTCGAGGATTCCTTCCCGACAACCGTCCGCGAAGCGCCCCCGAAATCCTCAACCGTTGACGGCAAACCACCGCCAGAATCACAGTACAAGACCCGCACTAGCGGGCGCAACATCCTGATCAAGTTTCTCCTCGATCAGACGTTCGGGGCCATCGTCCTCAACAATCTCCTCTTCCTGGTCTTCATGGGTTACGTCAATGCGCCGGTAGGGGGAAAGCAAAATCCGTGGGATATCATCGCACGTGACGTTCAAGAGAAGCTGTGGCCCATCACATTGGACGGTTACAAGCTGTGGCCTGCGTTTTCGCTCATCAGTTTCCTTTGGATTCCTGTTGAGAAGAGGGTCGTCGCTGGATGTTTGGTAGGTGTGGGGTGGAGTATCTACTTGAGCTTGGTGGCGGGTGCTTAACCGATCGCCTTCAATTGCGGAGAGGTTTGGGCTGTGAAAGTTGCATTGGTTTCGGTGTATCGATTCGTTGGTTGCTTGCAAGACAGCTTCGCATGTAGAGCAGCGTGGCCGTCTATCAGAGTCATCATAGACCGGGTTTCATCAAATGCTCACGGATTCGTGAATCCACAAATTCCAGGTACAATCCTGTAAACCTGTTGGGATGGAAAATTTTGCCAAGGACTGGAACAGATATTATTTACAAATAGATTGTACGTGTTCACCGACATGAGGGTTCGTTGCACATCAACCCTTGGTTCTGGGATCCGGTGCATTGGTTCCTGAATCGGGGTTCACGATGTCCCTTGTTTGTGCCTGATCCGGTGTGTGGCTGTCGCAGGTTTCACTATCCCAATTGTCGCTGAATATCCACATTCAACGAGACTTGTCAATCCCTTGTCTGGATTCGAAGGCTAGATTTATTCCTACATGGATTCAATCGCCAGATCTCGCTGGTACAACCTACCGGGTCAGTTAATGGTACTGGAATTGATAAGCGCAGTCGATTCGCGAAGTCAATGGACGAGATGATAAGACATAACCAGAACATACTCAATTTTGTTCTGGTACCCGAATGAGGGATAATGGGTCGACACTTGTCCCTCACCCATCAAATCTACTCACGGAGCGTATTCATTCAACGCCGTTCTGACCAAGTCAATGAGGCTTGACGAAGCGCAAACATGAATCCTAGTGAGCCCCACGATGATGTTGCTCCCATTGAGAAGCAGATTTTACAGCCCCCTGCCCCAAAGACAGCTCCAGTAGCTGGTGATAACGGCAAGGAAGAAACAAATGCCGGACCCTCGAGTCAATCGCAAGCGGATCCGTTCTCAACACCGTATGGATCGTCTCCACGAGACTCCGTCAATGGCTCGACGTCAGATTCACAAACTGGCTCGGCTTCTGGGTCTCATTCCAGGAATCAACCTGCCTCCGCGTCCTCGAGCGGTCTATACCTTCCCAACGGCGAGAAATACTTCAGGAGTCGACGCATCAAGAAGGGCGAGATCGAAAGACCGTGGCTCGAGAAGAGGGACCCTAAAGAGAAATGGGTCACGATCATTCCGATCATTGGTATACTGGTCGGCCTTGGTGTCGCAGGCGTATTGATTTGGGAGGGCCTCCGAGCAGTCTCTCAGCACAAATATTGTCAGGTCTTGGATGAGGACTTCTCGCGAGGTTTAAATAACAAAATATGGACCAAAGAGGTTGAAGTCGGAGGATACGGGTGAATAGCCCACCATATCGCCTATTTCAGTGTTGATGTGCTTACTGTGTAACAGTAATGGTCAATTCGAGATGACGACGAATTCGAATGAGAACGTGTTCATTGAGAATGGAAGGCTCGTAATCAAACCTACCATCCAAGATCGGCGCCTCATCGAAAAAGACACCGTTGTCGACTTGCGAGGACACGGATGCACCGGCCCCAGGTGGACTGACTGCGTCACAGGCACGAACACTACCAACGGAACGATCGTAAACCCAGTCAAGTCGGGTCGAATCAACACCAAGCTCGGTGCGTCAATCAAATTTGGTCGCATTGAAGTTGTAGCAAAGTTGCCTGAGGGAGACTGGCTATGGCCCGCCATCTGGATGCTTCCTAAGAAAGGCGTCTACGGCGAGTGGCCCCGGTCCGGGGAGATTGATATCATGGAGTCGAGAGGCAACAATTACACCTTCGGGCAAGGTGGAAACAACATCGTCAGCAGTGCATTGCACTTTGGTCCAAACTCAGATAATGACGGTTGGTGGCGCAACAACGTCAAGCACAAAGTCTTACACACTACTTATTCCGATGACTTCTATACATTTGGAGTCGAGGTACGTTTCCGTCACATTATCGGCGTTTTTTAAGTTTGCGTTAATTTGGTCAATTCAGTGGAGCGAAAAGTACATCTTTACCTACATTGGCACCAGGCTGATGCAGGTGATGTACACGCATTTCGACGAACCGTTCTGGGACTACGGAAGATTCCCCATCTCCGATGCCAATGGCACCAGGTTCCAGAATCCGTGGGCTTACAAGAACAGCAACACCGCCCCCTTCGACGAGGATTTCTACCTGATCCTCAATGTGGCGGTAGGCGGCACCAATGGCTGGTTCAAAGACGGGAAATCGGGGAAGCCTTGGGTCGATACGAGTCCGACGGCCAGAAGAGACTTCTGGCAGACCCGCGACCAGTGGTATCCTACGTGGAGGGAAAGGGGGCGCATGGAGGTCAAAAGCGTTAAGATGTGGCAACAGGCTGGTTACAATGGCTGTTTCTGATTCGTATTTGTGGCTGGTGAGGCGTTCATGTTGAAGGTATTCCGTGTGATACTTTTCAAATGAGTATGCCATCTAATGGAGAACAGCTGGCGCATCGGAGGTCTGAAGCTATTCTATTCCTATGTTTAGATCGGATGTTGATTATGATATTCCTTGCTTAGGAAGCAAACCTTACTCTACTAGACTTCAACAAACCATTCACATAAGATGGAGAAATGCTCCTCTAGTCAAGGGCTCGATAATTGAATGAGACATCGTTTCATTCAATATGACTCATGGGGCAGTGATCATGTCGTACAGTGGAACATCAACTAGTCTCTTTGAAGAGCTTCTATCAAGACACATTAAGCCTCATGTTTGATCAATCTACTTATCAGCTGACTTGCTCGGAAGTCACCATACCTGCTACTCGCATATGACACTGATTCTAGGAATGTGTGAAAGAATACATAATCATATTTAACACTCGAGGCCTGCACAGTATTTGAGTGCATCGAGTGAATAGCTTCAAAGTATACTCTCAAAGCAAATGCTGGCCCCGATATCTGCCACGCCGTCCAGTATTGGGCCAATCTATTTTGCAATCATCAATTCGCACAGCCATGCTCATACATGTTCGTATTACGTACATCTTCGTCGCTTCGTTCAAAGACACTCATGGTGGTGGCGTGCGATTGTTTTCGTAGCTCGATGCAAGGTCTAAGAGCGATGACACACATCACGTTCTTTGGACATCTGACGCCTAGAGGTGCTCACTCAGATAGAAATGTTCAGAGTACGGCAATCTCGACTGTCAGTATCACTTGAGATGTAGATTTGCCATACTTTCAGCAAGGCCACGCCTGTCTCGTCTCATCTATGTGTACCTATTGTGAGAGATCTTGCCACTGCTATCTGGCTTTCCGACCTTCGGGATGCAAATCACACGGATTCTTTTTTTAATCAATTGATCCTCGCTGGGCAAAATAAAGTGCCTACCTATAGTATCATGCTCAATGCCACATTTTGCTCTTAATAGGGACAACCAACTACCTGGTAAGGATGAAACGCTGGATGTTAAGGTCGTCTCGTCAAGCTGGGTACTTTGCATGATCTCGCTTGACCTGGTACCGTACAACTGGTCTATAAAAGTGTCTGGTACATCTTATGTTCATATGATTGGCGAATTTCCCGCTGTACCAGCTGTTGTGCTACAGCTTGGGCTTGGTGTTGTACATGAAGGAATGTTACGTTAGACAGACTCGCTTCAGTCGAATAGCGTTGCCAAAGGCAAGTCGCAGCAGGCATTCCCTGTCCCAAATCATATCATCACATCGCTGGTTGAGCGACGACAAACACCGTTTGTACAAGGTCATCAGAGGCAGATGTTTCCTTCATTGCGAAGCCCAAAGGCAAATCGCAACTAGGAATCGACCAACCTTTCCGCAGCATTCAATGAATGTAACCGTCAGCCATGACTACTAGATATTACTAGAAGTCTTAGGTCTCGACTATGGAGTTACTGAGCGATAACAGCTGCAAGAAAGCATAACCGAAACACTGTGTAAGGATCACAAGCCGCACTGCCGGATTGGCGTTTATGTGGTCTCAATCACATACTGTTGATAAAGTAAGACACTTCATTTCCTAGCAAGCAAGTCCCTGGTAAAAGGTCATCGAACCTTGCTCATGTCAGTGCTCGGGAGCAGCTTTACATCCTTCAATCTTTGTATCTGACCTTGGACGGCAAATGATACCGTCAGTATCCATTGATCAATACGGGAAATGCTCTTTTGTCATGGAGAGCTAACATCCCTTGATTTCTTTCTGGCAACTGCTTTTCGTGCTGGAGTTTCATGATTGAAGCCTTGTTCGATACTGAATCTGGAGGAGATTGATGCGCAGCGTCTGACCTAAAGTTTCTCATATCTTTCTTAGTATCCGTTCCCTCTCTTCTTGTCCCGCCATTCGCTCGCAAGTCATCCCCCTTTCCTAGTCAAGTGTCAGGACTAACTGAGCATCGTCAAAATCTTCCTAGGCTCTGGAGATACTCTTTAGGCATCAATTACTTGACATGAGCTTCATTATAGATGAGAAACCTCATGATATGGAGTCCGCAGCAGAGGATCGTTCAACTCTTTCAACCCCATCCCAGGACAATGTAACGACCATAATTGGGACACAAAAACCAACTTTCATCAATCATCCATCATCAATTCTTCTAAATCAGGCACCGCCACTCTTATCACCATTGCAATCCGGATCCGCCACACCACAGACTGCTACAGCGAGCGGAACTGCAACGGTTACAGAAACCTCGATTCGAAATTCCCTTTCTCTTTCGTCCAGATCGTACGGAAGCAGTTCAATTTTAGATGAGATCAAACACGAAATTATGACGAACTATCTATTCCAACAGCAATGCGGAAAATTGTGGATTAAGGATGCGAGTGGAGAGCTTGAAGGCGTCCTCATCAGGAAAAGGAGAGGCCATTACCTAGCATGCCCTCCAGCATTGGCACATTCATCATTTGCGTGTCACTGCTCAATAATGAACATTCAGGTAAGATCGATACTCTTTGGGCCTCTCTATTGAGATTCTGATCAGGTTCAGGTCGCAATGACGGTCACGTCACGGATTATATCAACTTTCCTGGCGTGGTCTCCAAATGCCACAGAAGTCCCCTTGTCCAACGGGCTTCGCATTCAAGTTCTCCCTACTCTCGATGATTTTCCTAAAGCACGAAAGAATCATTTCGCCGCTTTTATTGCCGCAGAGGCATTACTTATCGTCTGGGATGATGACCCTCAAAACATTATGTCTCGTGTAACGTCAATCGAAGATGAGTTAATGGACTTTGTTTGGAAGGCTGGCGAGCCAGAACCCGCCCAAGAAGCGGCCAAGAAAGAGCGTGTAAGGTTCGATGAGGAAAGTGGAGAGCTAAATTCAAAGGAACGACCCATCCACATAATGAACTCCGTGCTTGTGGCATGCACTCTATGCCTCATCATAATCATGCTCGGGGCAGGGTCCAGACAGATTGCAATCCAAACGATGGTTGATAAGGGATATCTACGTCTTGCACTGCTCGCACTGGTCCCAATCCAGGTTTTCTTCACTTTGGTAGGTGCTTCACGCGCTTGGTGTACCACTATCTTATTATGTGTATTCTATTACCTGCCCATGATACTTGGCAGAAATTCAGCCAAAGTGCTAAAAGTTCCAACAGTTTTTCGCCCAGGTTTTCGTGGGTTGCATTGCTCAGTGCATTGGACCCGTTCGCCAGATGGCGGCAAACTCCCGCTTCTACTCCGCTATGCCTCCTCGTCGACTCACTGAAAGACTTCCACACGTCACAATCCAATGCCCCGTCTATAAAGAAGGTCTCTCGGCTGTCATCGCGCCCACAATCAGGTCTATCAAGCAGGCAATATCGACATACGAACTCCAAGGTGGTTCCGCCAACATGTTCATCAATGACGATGGTCTTCAGATTCTAGATCCAGTAGAACGACAAGCGCGGATCGACTGTTATGCGGACCATGGCATTGGATGGACAGCAAGGCCTCAGCATGGCTCCGGCGGGTTCGTCCGCAAGGGAAAATTCAAAAAGGCTTCTAACATGAATTTCGGTCTAAAGCTGTCGAACAAAGTTGAAGCTAAGCTCGCAGAAGTTGCAAGGGGAGAAGACTGGAGTCAGTATGATGAGGCGCGGGAGTATGAAAGATGCCTTAAAGAAGTGTTACTCGAGGATGATCGCGCTTGGGCGGACGGTAACATACGCGTCGGCGATTACATTCTGCTTATCGACTCTGATACAAGAGTCCCTGCGGATTGTCTACTTGATGCTTGTAGTGAAATGGAACAGTCTCCTGAGGTTGGAATCATGCAGTTCTCATCTGGCGTTATGCAGGTCGTGAATAATTACTTCGAGGATGGGTAAGTGCCCTTTGGAAATCTAAGTTCAGTGCTGATCTCCTTAGTATCACATTCTTTACTAATCTCATTTACACAGCAATTAAGTACACTGTTTCTAACGGCGACGTTGCTCCTTTCGTCGGACATAATGCCGTACTGCGTTGGTCTGCCATTCAGGAAGTATCCTTCTTCGACGAAGATGGTTACGAAAAGTTCTGGTCCGAGTCCCATGTTTCGGAAGACTTCGACATGTCGCTTCGCCTTCAAGTGAATGGATATATAATTCGGCTCGCATCATGGGCTGGTGAAGGTTTCAAAGAAGGAGTCTCACTAACTGTCTATGATGAACTTGCCCGCTGGGAAAAATATGCATATGGTTGCAACGAGCTTTTATTCTACCCAGTGAGGTTTTGGCTCGTCCGGGGGCCTTTCACGAAGCTGTTCCGCCAATTTCTATTTTCCAACATCCGCTTCACTTCGAAGATTACAATCATTTCTTACATTGGCACATATTATGCGATAGGTGCGGCATGGATCATGACCACAGCGAATTATTTCGCAGTAGGTTGGTTCAATGCTTACCTTGACCAATATTACATCGATAGCTGGTGAGTATTTGAACTTACCTATGTTTCCACATTCACTCATAGATGATGCAGGAAAGTTTGGTTCTCTATCGTGATCGTCTTCAATGGCCTTGGTAACATTGCGCTGGCCGTGATGCGCTATCGCATTGGCACACATTCATTCATTTCCGCACTTCTTGAAAACATGAAGTGGATTCTCATGCTCGCAATCTTCCTCGGCGGCCTCTCCCTCCACGTCTCTCAAGCGATCGTTGCCCACATGTTTGAGGTGGACATGACATGGGGCGCGACCTCCAAAGAAGCCGAGTTCTCAAATTTCTTCCTCGAGGTACCCAAGGTTTTGAAAAGTTTCAAGTGGAGCATAGCTTTCGCATTGATTGGAATCGTGGTGATGGTCACATTCGCTGTCGCACCATTCGTGCCATATTCGTGGCATATCAAGGATTTCGTTGCTATCTTACCGATGGCGACAGTTACGGTTAGCCATTTGTTGCTACCGATTGCTTTGAACCCAGCCCTGATGACCTTCTCATGGTAGTGCAACGGGTATGGCGTTGCGTTGATGTAGTGGCTATCTATATAAGGGATAATGAAAGGCTTTGCTGCATCGTAAGCTAGGGGGCGTTTGAGTGCTTAGAAAAAAAAATATGTTTCTCTTTGATTGTACTAGACCCCATAAGAATGCCTACTTCTACATATTGATACTCACATCACTTGAAACGGTATATATTGACACTACTCGTCATAAGAGGATCACTGTCGATTTAAGTCGTACGACGCTGAGCAAAGTCATGTATAGCATAGTGAAAGACTGCAATAAATTTTCACTGTAATGATTCATTGAAGAGCATGATTCTTATTTGTGAACAGATCTATATGTGTTTTGGAACGGCCGTATACCAGCCGAGGGCACGCCGACCCTTGCTGTGATTAGCATGAATATGTTTATGCTCAGCCTTCATATGATAACTATGTCAGAAGCATCGTAGAAAGACCCTTTGTAGATTTAGACCCGAAAACTCCATGCCATCATGAAGGCCGAAGTATGTTTTCCCATCCAGCATATAATCTCGATGTGAATGGTTGGGAGGCGTGGGATTTGTTGTTAGTCGCCGTAGAGTGAGTTGTAGTCATCGTCACTATCATACCCATCTCCTGCGCTCTCACCTTCCTCTTCTCCCCCCTCCGCATTCTCCATTGAGTGACCGACTTCATTGTCATCTGCATCATGGTTTTGCATCTCGCGCTGAATAGCAAGAGCTTTTGCCGTCAAAGAAAGGCCGATCTCTCCCAGATCAAGATCCTGACGCACATGAAGCAAGCCATTGGTACCGAGTGTGAGAACCATCATCAACCCCTGGCAGGCTATAGCTTTAGTGTTCTCGAAAGGTGGAAGTAGTTCCTCGAACAGAACCTCGTCCATAGTACATGCCTGTTGCTCCACAGCCGCTGGACGATGGATCCGCTTCTCGGCAAGGGCATCAGATACGAAGTTTAGGAAGTTGCCACCTTCAGCAGAAAGTGCCTCGCGGACGCGAATAGAAGTCTGCGTGGCAACCAAAGGCTCGGGATCAGGATCGAGACCGTCAGAGCTAGGGCCCATACCAAAGTCCTCTGGTCCAATGTTACCGAAGTCGTCCTCTCCACTAAACGCCTGAAGAGCTTGAAGTCCTCCTGGTTGTCCACGGCCTTGGAGTGGAGATGCAGAGACCATTCGTCCTCCAAGGGGCCGTGAAGAGCCTCTTGGGCCCGTGCCAGTACCACTGCGAGGGACGGCCGATGAGCCGCGGATGGAAGCACTGATGTTCCATGGCATAGCTGAGAACATTTGCTGATCATCTAGGGCAGAGGGTGCCTCGCGTGGAAGTTCGACCTCTTCGTCATGAACGAGTACTCCCTCATCTTCAGCGGCCCTCCCGATCTCTTCTTCCTCAGTCTTTTGTCGAACGTGGCGGGACTCTGCTTGAGTGTAATCGTCGATACCACTGTCTCGGTCGCGCTTAGTTCCCTTGAAGGCTTTTCGATTGATGCCTGTGAAAAGCTCGAACAATTTATCGCCATAGAGACTGTCAAATGGGGTCTTTGTCACGGATCCTTGGGTGCCGGACCGTCCAATACCTACGCCCCACACATAATGTTCAGCATTACTCTTGGCTTGGGTAGAAGCTCGTTGTATATGCTTGGCGCGTGCTGCATCTTTCATGTTCTGAAGATAGCTGACGTTCCAATCTGATAGAACCTTGTTCCTAAGCTCCATATTCTTGTCGGCAGGAATGACACGACGAGTGCGCTTTTTGCGATGCATAGGTGCTGCCAAGGATGAAGTGGAGGAAGCAATTGTTTCTCTAGGCTGCTCCAATGGCGTATCGTCATTGAGTAGTTCGAGATCTTGTCCAGGCAAGTCATCGTTGAATTGAGGAAGATCGATGTCCATAGGGTCACCGGGAACCTGTGTTTATTTAGCAAAGGTGAAGTAAAGGAGGAGATGAGTGAAAGCGATAAAGGGTATATGTGAATGAAAAGTAAAGGTAAGTTGTAGCCAATTTTATAGTTCAACTCACTGCAGCTGCATTTCCCTGTCCTTCCTCAAAGTCGACTCTCACGCGAGCGCTCAAAGGAGCATCGCTCGGCAACGCTGACTCCGCCATCCTAAAAGGTGTCACTGAATGACCGGCTCGCGGGCTGAATTCTATAAGGTTTCCGTCCTCGTCGATATCAAACTCAGGTTCCGGGAATGGCTCATCGATTCCGCGGCCCGGAAGTCCTATTCGCGCACCGACACTACTGGGCTCATCACCACCTTGTAGCATGAATTCTCCAGGTCCTCCAGACGAAGAAGATGGGATTATAAGCCTGCCAAGGGGCACTGGCGGAGTTCCTTCGGCTACGTTTTGCTGTGACCCAAATGGGGTGAGCGATTGAGTTTCACCCGACCGGCGAGCCTTCTCGGGAGGGTCAAGACCTAGATCTTCGAGCATATCGAGAGGTGGAAGTATAAGCTCCGGAAGAAACGAGGGGTCGTCTTGAAGCAGAAGTTGCTCTGGCCTGGCTTATACGTCAGTGAATTATATCCTGCTCATTGCGAGCTTCGACTATTGACCTTGTCTTTCCTGCCTCAAGATCGATTGCTGCGTCTTTCATGACTTTGACCATTGATCGCATTGAATGGTCTGCCCTCTCAGCGTCTACAAGAACATATCCACATTGTTGGGTATACACGCGCGATACTCCGTACCTGTCAGATGTCAGCAGCTCACTTACATGGCCATTACTAGGGCAGCAAGGGCAACATACAACAAACTGCCTTGTAAACGCAATGCCATGGGTGCGGCCGGATCTCTAATGGTTTGACATGCTTTTGGTACATCGACTCCGAGGATGGCGTTACGGTTGATCTTCTTCGAGTTGGATTTGGCGCCTAGGGTTGCTACCAACCTGTGCTTCGAATGAGCTGCAAAGACATTGAGATCGTGTATGAAGCAAGCCTTACCATACAACTGCAACCCCGTACTCGCGTGAGGTCAATACTGCGCCAGTTAGACGTTGCTTTCTGCTATAGCTGCTCACTTAACGAGAGAGCTTGGGGAGCACAACATACCCTCGTGACTGTAAAACATGACAACTATGCTTTAATAACGTCGAAAGTAAACGAATCGTACAAGAATGGAGATCAGGAACAGGCGTCACAGCATTGGGGCGAGGTGACGGCGCAAGTGAAGGGCGTGGAGAAATACTTGGAGGTATCTCCAGTTCTTGGCAGCATTCAGTCAACCAAGCTCAAGGGCAACTAGGCGCGTGACGCGACAGTCGCACGCGCAATAACGCGCCTAGAAAGAGACATCGACATGAATAGTCGCGGATGCTCCGAATTCCAGCCAACGTCGTCTAATGGGGGGAACATATAAGGCGGGATAGGGGTTTGAGGAAAAGTGAACTGGGTTGAACGTGAGAGATACTACTTAGGATTTGACGGCCAAAAGAACGTTAGAAATGGAGACGCGACAGATTCACACAAATGTTCATGCAAAAGTTACTCAATGGTAGCTTGCAGGTAGGACTTCCCGAATGCCAGTGACGCTGCATTTTTGAGGGATCTAGATTGGTGATCTAATGGATTTTACTCCGCATCGACCTATGCAAATGCAATACCCATGCAATACCCATGCAATACCCATGCAATACATCGCATACAATCTTTTGCCCAAGGTTGCATGTGTTCCAAAGTACTCCAAGTGTGTGAAACACCCTTGTCTAGGAGGGGGTATCTATATCTACTCTTGCATCTGCTCGTCGGCCTCGATCTCGGCCAAGGGAACGGCACGGTACAGGAGGATCAGTGCCGAATGACTTTGTCCTACGATCCATTAGCACTGTAAGATGTTGGAGAAAGGGGATTCACTCACCTCCACCAGCCAAGGTCTCAATTCTCTCAGCCTCGACCTCAGAGACCTTATCGTCATTAAACCACCACCATTTCCCATCTTCTTCCTTGCGCTTTCCCGAGGATGGGTCCTTTGGCGCATCTTTCTTGACAAAGGAGGTGTAATGTCCACTGTCAGCGCTGGCACCCTGATGAGTGATGACGCCACGGAGTTCATAGAGCCCAGTCTGATTGGCACCGATATCAGAAGATAGCTTGGGATCGACAAGGGCCAGAAGCTCCTTCTTGGCGGCAAGAATAGATGCTGCTCGCTCGGCCTCAATCTGTGCCTCCGTTTTGTACTCAACGTCTGGCATCTCAGTATCCTCGGCAGCTTTGGCACCGGCGGCCTTCTTCTCTTCAGCCTCCTTCTTCTTCTGTAGAGGTTCTTTGGTGCTGCTGGCGGGAGTGTCATTCTCTTCGCCAGCACGGATGCGCTTTTGTCGTTTGCGTGCCCGCTCGACATCCTCCTCTTCTTTCCTGATATCTCGAATCTTGTCTCGAACGGGAATCAACAGATTCTTCAAGTCTTCCGTGCAGAACTCGACCACATCCAATTCTTTGGGGAACGTGACTTTCCGCATGATCTTCGCCTTCTTGTTTGTGTCTCTTCTCCAGTCAAATCGAACAAAATGAACCGGCAGATATTTCGGAAGACGCGCTATGCGCGACGTCTTAGTATAGAGTGCATCCCTTCCTAAGACCTCTGATCGTTTCTCGATCTGTTCTTTCAGACCCGCCGTTAAGCCATCGCGAAGATGGTTGGTCTCAACATTGATGTGACAATTGAGCTTGAAAAATGTGTCTTCGCTGTGGACAGGCTCTTCTCCCCCTTCTTTCGCCGCAGGCTCATCGCACTCCATCACAGACTCAAACCTTCCGGACATGTATCTGTCGATGAAGGATACGTCTCGTGCTTTATCATCAGCCGAGTCACTATCTTTGATCTTGAGTTTCTGGCGAAGCTGAGAAACAATCTGTGACCATGCTTCTTCGGCATCTTGTTGTGCATAGCCGTTTCCATCCTTTGCTTTCTGTGCGAATTGTGGGAAAGCCGTTCGAAGGGCGTTGAGGAACATGAGCGGCGGGAAACCTTGCTGAGTCTCGGACATCTGCTTGAACAAGTCGCGGAGGGAACCAGTGAGATCCATCGACGCACCGAGGCCGCCGAGCCCAAACTGGCTAAGTTGGTTGACGGAGCTTGATCCGGCGTTGCTTAAGAAGTGTTAATGGGAGGTCAGAGATATTTCTCGTTTACGAGCATACCTTGCGGAATACCGGAGAAGCTCTTCCTGAAGCTCTGGAATAGATCTCAAAGTTTGTAGGGTAGAGTTCATATAGCAAGTATTGCCTAAGTTCTGTAGACCTGATGGAGTAGCACCCTCAGCCTGCGCAGCTTCGGCCTCGGTCATGTCCTCCAAGAATCTAATCTTCTCCTTGGGTCTCTCGATGATATTGCTCATGTCTCCGGAGGGCGTACCCATCATCATGATGGTTTGTTTGGGCTTAAGACCGAGCTTGGACATATCGGCGTCATCCTTGAGTTGGCCACCTTTGACGAGGATTTTCTGTCGGTCTGGCTCGACACCAGTCATAGAGAAGAGCTGATACTTGAAGGTCTCGCCGTTGGAAGTAGGGTCGACCTCAACATCGTACTTCTTGCCCTGATGTTTCACAACCACTATGATTATAAACTATCAGCGAGCTCTCTTGGCGGGGCATCGGAGCGATCTTACTAACCTGGTATAGCAGCCATGATGAATTCGATGATGATCTCGACGATGCAATCAGTTGTCTATCAAGATCAGTGTCGAGGGAAAGGAAGGTGAAGCTGGAGTATTTAAGGTGGCTCGTGGGGCGAATGTGTTGCGAAATGGCAGTCCATCGAAACAATCGGAACGTCAGTCGCGCCGAGGCCACTAGCGCCACTGCTTCCGCCGCTGATCCCAGCTTCAATCTTCCCCCGCCACGACGTGGTGCCTGAAACTGGCATATTGGAAGGGGATAAGTCGCTTCAAGCTACCAGTACCTTTCGAATCGAGCTCGGGCTACATTTGAAGCTCCAGCAAATATGGTGAGACCCCTCCGAGCCTTCTTTTGCTCCAGAATGTCGAAGCACGCTGATACCGGATAGTCTCAATCCCTCCGACCTTACCTACAATGCGTACGCTCGTCGCTGACCGCCGCCCTCTCCCTCTCGAACTTCGCATCTCAAGCCTCCGAGAGGCATAACGTTCCCGAGATCGAAGCTGCAAGCTCACCGGAGGTACTCCTAAACCCGCTCACGGTATCAAGGAACGAAAATGAGAAGGTCTTTATTGAGCCAAGTATCAACAGTGTGCGAATTAGCATAAAGATCAAGCAGGCCGATGAAATCGAACATATCTTGGTTCATAAGTTCACGCGCTTCTTGACTCAGCGAGCTGAGGCATTCTTCATCCTCCGGCGGAAGCCAGTCAAGGTACACAGCAGCCGGGCAGTCGCGGACTTGATACAATGGCTAACAATAGCACCAGGGTTATGATATCTCCTTTTTGGTAACAAACTTCCACACAGAGGAGATGTTAAAGCACAAACTTGTTGATTTCATTATCCAATTCATGGAAGAGGTTGATAAGGAGATCTCGGAGATGAAGCTTTTCGTATGTTGATGCACCCCCCTGGCGCAAACGAGGACAATGCTAACAATGCCAGCTCAATGCACGAGCCCGTTTTGTGGCCGAATCGTTCCTCACACCAGTAAGTACAATATGGTCAACTTTCATCATTAGTATGCTCACAGGAACGCAGTTTGATTAAAGCCGTTGCATGCGATGATGATTTTAGAAAAGGCTACATCCACGAGCGGGAGATTTCGACGTACAGACCATCGAGAGCTCAAAGGGATGGGCCTGAAGTATAAACCCGATAGAGCAAACCTAGGAGCCGGCAAAGTCGTGCCGCAACCCGTACAGAATCTTAGGAGGACAATGAAAGCGCTGATACCTATGTGAACACAATACATTCGTCAATTTCAAGCTCCCGGAATAGTAGCCAGACAACGTTGATACGTCTTCTTGGTGGGGATTTGTTACCCCTATGGTCCATTGTGATAATTGGCAAAAGTGGTGATTGGCGTAAGCGTGGAAGTAATTGATGCTTTTGGTTGTGTCTGCAGTGGAAGGAATGTGACGATAGAGCTGGGTAGGTTAATTATCGAGAAGCCCAAAGCATCCTCATTCAACACTCCATTCCGACATTGTACCTCCGGCCTAGCTCTTGGCGCTTCGGGGTGATCTTGATTCACGGGATATGTAGAGTAACTTTCCATGTGCGCGATCGATTCCGCTACATACGACTTGGTAAACTAATGCGGGGTAATATAACAGTGCTTGTGAATGTTGGATACAGCCTTGGATGAAGTCTAGCGAGGTTAGATCATATGAGGACGATAGAAACATCCCGCTCCGAGCCTCAGCCCCAGTTCCGGCGAGGCAATGAAGTTTAGTTAGTCAACTAGTAGATGTTCTTAATGTTTCCCTTGCAGAATTATATTTTCTAAATAACAGTCTGAACAACTATAAGTCCCAGGAGCTTAGAGTCGGGCTAGCTAGTCGGTCTGTCGGATATCTGCACCCCTCAGACCTCGGTTGTCTGCGGCTTGTAGAAATTCCCCTCCGTGCTACCACAGTTTCTATTCAGCCAGGCCACTCAAAAGCCAGTATCGCCTCAAATAAAACCCGTACGGCAATTCCCTCCTTCCTTTTCAAAAGCTGCATTGAGGTCGTCAGGGTACGGCAAAAGCTAACTTAAACAATGTCGGCCTTCAGTCGCAACCTGTGCAGCACCGCATCCAGGACCCTTCGACAGCGGTCAACCATCACTTCCAGAGCAATCAGGCCAATTGCATTCCGATCTACTCTTTCTACACCGATTCCTACTCGCACTGCTGTTGCAGCTCCATTCTCGACAATGTCTTCCCTCAAGAGCGCTGCCCCGCCGGTCCCTAGCAAGCGGGAGTATGATCCCGAGATCAAGGACATCGCAAGCTACATCCACAACACCCCAATCGACTCAGAGCTCGCAGTGGGTATTTGATTGAACACAATGGCATCGTAAATGACTGATCAAATATACGTAGTTCGACACCGCTCGCTGGGTATTCCTCGACACCCTTGGCTGTGGTCTCAAGGCTCTCGAGTTCGAGCAATGCAGGAACATCCTCGGCCCTGTTGTTGAGGGCACCGTTGTCCCCAATGGTACCAAAGTACCCGGAACAAACTACCAGCTCGACCCTATCCTAGGTGCCTTCAATATCGGTGCCATGATCCGTTGGTTGGACTTCAATGACTGCTGGTTGGCGGCCGAGTGGGGTCACCCCTCCGACAACTTGGGTGCTATTCTCGCAACTGCTGACTGGATTACCCGAACAAACAAGGCTGGAGGAAATCTTGGAAACGGCAAGGTCTTCAAGGTCAGGGATGTGCTTGAGGCTATGATCAGGGCACACGAGATTCAGGGTGTAATGGCTCTGGAGAACTCTTTCAACAAGGTTGGCTTGGACCACGTCGTGCTTGTCAAGCTTGCCTCTACTGCTGTTGTGTCTAAGATGCTCGGTCTCAACGAGGCCCAGACTCGCGACGCTATCTCTCAAGCTTGGGTTGACGGCCAGTCCATGAGGACCTACAGACACTCTCCCAACACCATGTCCCGAAAGTCCTGGGCTGCTGGTGATGCTTGCCAGAAGGCCGTCGACCTTGCCTTGAAGGTTCTCAAGGGCGAGCCTGGTCTCCCAACCGTCCTCTCTGCCCCCACCTGGGGTTTCTACGACGTCAACTTCGGCGGCAAGCCGTTCCAGTTCCAGCGAGGCTACGGTAGCTATGTCATGGAGAACGTCCTCTTCAAGGTCTCATACCCAGCTGAGTTCCACTCCCAGACCGCTGTTGAGGCTGCTCAGCGTCTCAACAAGAAGTTGAAGGCCATGGGCAAGTCCGCTGAGGACATCGAGGGTGTTGTTAACCGCACACACGAGGCTTGCATCCGCATCATTGACAAGCAGTTCAAGCCCATGGAGAACTTCGCTGATCGTGACCACTGCGTCCAGGTAAGATTGTACATCAGAGTATACAAATTGGCACAACTAATGCGTTGTACAGTACATGGTCTCCACTATGTTCGTCTTCAACCGCCTCGAGGCCACCGACTACCCCGATGACAGCGAGGCTGCCACTTCACAGCTCGTAGAGTCCCTCCGCCAGCGCATCAGCTGTGTGGAAGACCCCCAGTTCACCGCGGATTACCATGACCCCGCGAAGCGCACCATCTCCAACGCCCTTACCGTCACCCTCAAGGATGGCACTGTCCTCGAGGAGGAGGTTGTCGAGGCTCCTCTTGGCCACCGCTGGCGACGTGAAGAGGCTAAGCCAGAGATCCTCACCAAGTACAAGAGGCATCTCGGTCCTCACTACCCCGCCGAGCACGTCGACAAGCTCGTCAGCCTCGCCCAGGATACCAAGGCGCTCGACAATATGGACATTGACCAATATGTCGACCTTTACGTTAAAAACTAGATTTCTAATTAAACTCATGTGGAGTCCTAGGTAGACTTTAGATGACGTTCTGACTGTTACGTATCACGATCAAAAAGTGTTCTTACATGACCATATCTACATGCATTGCCGTGAAGTGTGACCCTCATGCGAGAATTACTCTACCTAGTTTAACAGGATTTCCTATTCGTACGCCATGAGTACTCCTAACTTTAGGAAGGAATGCCCCAAAGTATTTCAAAGTTTCAATCGTTAGATCCCTTGACATCCGTCAATTGCAATCAGAGAATCAACGTCACAGTGCAGTCTACACCATAGTACAGGTTCCATAAGTTCTCAATCTTTGATCGTCCTTGTATTGACCATATGCCAGTCTGGCAAAAGAAGAATTCTTAGGTGCCATTTGCACATTGGAAATATCCTTTGATTGACGGCAGATTTCGGTATTCCTTCGGTGCTTTGTTAGTCAATTCTAGCTGTGAAATGGCGCATGCGAGATCATTAACATTGCCACCCTTTGTGCAGGGCTGCTTGATATCCTGATGGGCTTTTGCATCGCAACTACCAAATCTTGGAAGCAATATCGGATTTCTGATATGGAAACTGCTGTTCAGGGGTGCTGAGGGCCTAATAGTAATTGTAGGAAGCTTTACTGGTAGCACTATTATTTGTGGAAGAATTGAGCTAAACATACGCGTATTGATCGGTCTATCGAACCAGATTGTGTTATATTCTACACGTCTACACTAAACATATATTCGATTACTTCCTCAAAGCACCCTCGGGGTCCTTATTAAACGCTTTACACCACGCCGCCCACTCCACCGCCCCCTTCTTAAACAACTTCTTCACATCCGCCTTCGCCTCCTTCCTCTGCCACTGCTCATCCTGCTCAGGCGTCAACGTCGTCGTAACCTTCTCCTTCATTTCATACTCCAAATCCCTGCCCTGTCTCCTCGTAGGCCGCCACCCAATCGCTTCCAGCACCGTCCCCTCGCTCACATCTCCCGCCGCCGCCTCGATTTGCGGAAACATGTGGAAGTCGGCCTCCAAGCACGCAAGCTCTAGATACCGTCTCAGAATCTCAACCTGCGCGCTCTCCTGCATGCACAGCTCGATGCTCCTCTCCTCGTCCGTCTTCTCCCTCTCCTTCTCCTTGCCCTGCGCCTTCGTGAGCGTCTTCTTCCAGAGCGGCGTCTTGGATACCTGTGCGGCGGAAAGGTCCGGCGTGGAGGGATCCCGGCCGCCGATCTCGATGCCCCGGACGAGCTTCCTGCTGACCTTCGCGCCGAGGAACGAGTTGTAGGCCCACATGCCGGACACCTCGGACAGGCTGCCGAGCGTGACGATGAGAGAGGCATCGAGTGTCGCGGCGATGGGGAGAATCGCGGAGGCCTTGTAGGCGTCTTTGCGGGAGCGGTCGCCGAGCCGGGTGAGGGAGTCGAGGAACTCTTTGCGGATTTCTGTGGGCGGGAGGGCGATGGAGGGGGGGTAGATTAGAGTTAGTTGGTCGAGGATCTTTTCCCTCTCCTTTTCTTTTTCTTGGGAGTTGATGGAATCGGTACGTGTGGTTGCGGTGGAGGATGGAGTCGTGTCGAGTTCGATGCGGCCGATTTGCGCGGCGGAAGGTACCGGGGCATCGAGCTCTACGGCTCCTCCTGCTGGCATTGGGATGCTTGACGATCTGCTAGGTGCTGGGGATCCGATTTGAGTGGATGAGTCGGAAGTTGTAGAGCGATATGAAGATCCTGTGGACATTGGCGAGATCACGGCTGGTGGGGGTGGGGCTCTGGCAGTCGTTCCTGTTCGCATTGGAGATATGATGGATGATGGTGGTAATGCATTCTGAGAGGCTATCTTTTCCTGCGGTCCTATGGGGGTTGGAAGTTCGGCCACGCCTGCTGGTATAGCGTCGTTGCTTGGTGATTCCAATTCCGCAATGCCTGCGTGCATGGAAGGATGAAGTGGTGATTCGAGCTCGGCGACTCCGTGTGGAGCCGCAGTGGGCACGGGGGAAGGCAATTCAACAGCGCCCTGGGTGGGTTCAGGTATGCCCCTCGACGAGGCGGATGCGGATGTCTCGTCCACATTTACAGACGCAATCGAGTCAGCAGCGACTCTATCCAAGAACTCGACATTCGAGGAACGAGTCAAGTCTACGCTCTTGGTAAGGAGCTTGGAAGATTTCGCTTTCATCCCAGCCCAAGTAGCCAGTGAGGCGTTCCTCATCAGGCCTTTTCTGGTGTCTTCTTGCCACTGTCGTCGAGTCTTCCGCCAGCCATTCTCCTTCTCCCCCGGAGCTGGCTTAGCAAGTGGTGGTGGCAGCGGCGTGAAGACGAGGAATCGATCGGGGACTCCTCCTGGTTGCACATCCTTTAGTCGTGGTTTGGGAAATGGTATCAAGTAAGCAGTGAGTTTTCCTGGTTCTCGGGTATGTTGGAGGGCTTCTGTGGAAGAAAGAATCGTTATCCTAGGGAGACTGCTGGCACTGATGGTCGAGCTTGACATTGAGCTAGACATTTGGGGTGTTCTGTGATCTGGCTCGATTTCGAAGCCAGCCTCGCGAGCCTTCGCTGAAGAGAACGCTTGAGCTGGTTCCGGTGCCCTTGAACTTGATGGTGCTCGTGCAGGTATAACATGGAGCGGCGATGGTACTAACGAATTCGCAATTGTGGAATTCGAACTCTGACTTGCCATTGATTGACCTCGACTCAGCGGGAGTCTCTGCTGTCCGGCAACGGCCGGATACGGATGATTCCTCAAGGCATACTCAATTGGATCTGCAGAAGCTGGGGCGTTTGATGGATCTTGGAGTTCATACGGCGGAGGCGGTTCATCTCCATGTTGTGTATGCTGTTTGAAAGGATCTCCACGGTTTAGATAATCTGGGGTAGCTTGAACAGACGAAGCTGAGCGTACTTCTAATGGGTTGGTTTCAGTCTGTGGTGCGAATTGACTCTCATCGTGTGCGCCTGCGCGTATCGAAGTCGGAGGGTGGGAGAAGAGCGGATCTGGCTGCAGCTTCGCATCATTCAACTGCTGTGAATCCATTTTCGTGATGATGTTGATGGAGTATCAAGGCGAAGAGCAATGAATGTCAACAAGCATTTTTTATGTATTAGTGTCTCTGCCGGCCTTATGTACGACTATCAGGCTGCCATTGTCGAGCTTGGGGGCTAAAAGTGGTGTTCGAAATCAAGCAGTGCCCCCATGCTATGCCACACCCGGACATCATTCGTCGTTAGGGCAAGGTTGGGTGCTTAAACGGACGCCATCACGTCCCATCTCGTCTGGTGTCTGCCTTAATTACTAGCGAGGCCTTTCCTCGGGGCTGTCAGCAATAAGCTCGGATGGTTATGGGACCTGGATTGCCTATACGAGTAGTTTCTGTACATACATATGCAGCACACATTTGCGGAGTCTCTTGCGAGCTGAGATGCAAAACATTCAACCTGCCAACCTATGGGGAGAGATATCATGAAGTTGGAACTGGTCACTAAGCACGATCCGCATTTCATTTCTTTTTGAGGTTTTCAGGACTGAGCTCCGAACGTCAAACATGATGCCGTTGTCGTGGCTGGGCTGGGCTGGTTCCGTTACGCGTTCAGTTGTAAGACTAATGAAGATGAAGGGTGTTCGTCCCTTTTCGAAACTTGGACCAAAGGGCCCTATGATTGGCGCGCACATTGAGCACTGATCCGATCATAGCCCAGCACCACGGGAAGCACAGGCTGGCCGCTGCATAGCCCGTACTTAACGACAAATCGTAACGAATACAATTGTACGTATACGGCACAGCACAGTCCACTTGCGCATTCGCACTCAGTGCTTTATATGGTTAGAGATGTGCAGGTATATAGATACATAATTTTGTTAACGTCAATGTGCCGATCAGTAGGCCGTGTAGTCAGACCACAGCCTTGCTCTCAAAATATCTGTTCATCTCTTTCAATGCTACTTCCATTGCTACTCCCACTTCCCAATCTTCTACGTCATTGTTATCTACTCCATCAACTTTGCACCCTTCGTACTTGTACTGTCCCACCGACAAATTCTCATCGTGTTGTCTAGGTTGCTGACCTCACGATTCTACGCATCTCTAGTAACGCATGCATCAACGTAATTGTTGCAGATCTGATAAAATACTTCCTAAGACATTAGGCATATATGACGAATCCAGATTTTCCAAGCACTCAATTGCAATTCATTTACCAGTCATCCTTGCCGTCGTCTTCGTCGTCTGCACACATATCATTAGTAGATGATTCTCAATACCCAATTGGTACACGAGACTTACCGCTATGGCTAACTTTGCTCTTCCTTGCAGCGAGAGCGCTGGCTAAAGCTCCCGCTAACCCAGTGTCTGCACCGCCAGATGACGCACCGCCACCTCCACCACCTGAACCTGCCGAAGGTTCCTGACCAGGTACTGCAGCACCACTTCGATCTCTCTTCTCGGAGTCGGAGACCTTCTTTAACCGTGCACCGCCTCGGATATCTGCCAGTAGGTTGTCGCGTCCTGCTGGAGCTTTCGGTAAGGCAGTGGGTGGCATCGGCGGGGGCGGCGGTCCACCAGGCGGAGGGGGAGGAGGGGGAGGAGCGCCGCTGCTTGGCATGGGGGGCGGGGGAGGGACAGCCTTGTTTGGCATGGGGGGTGGCGGAGGAACAGCGCTGTTTGGCATGGGAGGCGGTGGGGGAACGGCACTGTTCGGCATGGGTGGCGGCGGGGGTACGGCTTTGTTTGGCATGGGAGGGGGTGGAGGAGCAGCAGAAGATGGTAGAGGAGGCGGCGGAGGTACATTGTTCATGGGAGGGAGCGGTGGAGGTGGAGGTGCCGCATTTGTGGGTGCCGCTGGCACTGGTCGCGACGAGGAAGGAGGGAGAGGAGGGGGCGGAGGCACATTGTTCGTTGGTGGAAGCGGAGGAGGTGGAGGAGCCCCTGGAGCTTTCGGCGGCAATGGGGGCGGCGCTGCATGGACGACTGGAGCTGACACTTCACGAGCAGGAGGTGGTGGAGGGACTGGTCCGCGACTCGGGGGAGGTGGTGGGCCAGATGAGGGAATTCTATTTCCTGTGAATGGAGGTGGTACCCCGAATTTCGTGGCCGAGCCCCTCTCCTCGTCCTCAACGGGAGTCTTTGGTGGCCGTGGGGGAGGAGGTGGTCCTGGGTTGGCCACATTGGATGCTGCTCGGGCTCGGCCAGGAGGAGCGGGTGGCTCGTGGGCAAATTTTCCTGCATCTGCAATGGGCGGGGGAGCACGGAATCGAGGGCCTGCTGGAGCTGGGGGCGGTGGAGACGGTTGTCTGGGAGGAGACGGTACTGGGCTCGAGGAAGAGGCACGATTGACGGTGGGCATGTCTGACCGCGTGCCAGTCCTTCGTGCTGGCGGAGGCGCCGGAGGAGGTCCTCGCTTCGATCCACCTGTATTTTGAGGGCTGAGGGATTTGGCAGGAGGTGCACTTGGGGGTGGTGGCGGTGGTGCTCTCGTCTTTTTCTCGTCCGAAACCTTCTCTTGTGCCTTCTTTTGCTCAATGTACATTTTGATGAAGTCGGCATTCTCCTCGATTTGATCTTCCGTAATGCCCATAGCAAGTAGTTCCTTCAGTAATGGCTGCCATGAGGGATCTGTTGTGTCGATAGCGGAGTTCCTTGAGCTCGATGGGTTGGATGCAGACGTGTTCGAATGGGTTGTTCGGGACGGCGAGACGACATTCGCAGGCGGGATGATGGATTGAGGTTGTTGCGTAGGGGTCGAGTGCCTGTGTCCGAATAGACCGCCCAGGCGACTATGGCTATGTCCCTGGTTGGTGTTTCCATTCAAACTCGAACCTGTGCCCAAGGAAGCTCCGAAGGGCTTGTTCTTTGTGTTTTTATGGGCATTCTTCTCGCGATCCTCCATCTTCTTCTTGAAAGTCTTTGCCTCTTTCTCGTCGCTGAAAGACAAACCGGCCATACATTGCTCCAACTCGAAAGTGTGAAAGAAGGTTCGGTCTTGATTGTACGAGAAGGTATCGTAGATCTCTTGATCCCAGATTACTCCACGGCTTGCGGGCTTTTCCCCAAGTTAGCTCTTGACGCTCGACCTTGCCCAGAATAGCTCAACTCACAGATACATCGACAAGCTTAATCCAAAAAGTATTCCCCACCAAATCGTTGGCTAGCACAGCTGCCCCTTGGAGCCCGGTATACGTCCATCGGTGCCGGTCCGGGTAGGCGATGTACAATTTGGCGACGGCGACGGCATGGATCTTGTTGTTAGCTTTGGGTACAGTACGCTTGACCGTCTGCTTGTCGTCGTCAGAGAGAATCGAGGGCATGTCGGCGTTGGTCCGATGAGAAGCGGCTTTGAGCGGGCGGCGAGGTAGGGTGGGAGGTCGTGTGCTAGATAGAGGGCGATGAGGTATGGCTCAGCGGGGGTAACTGTGCGCGATTAGGCAGCACATGAGAAGCCAGCGCTGGCACTGGCGCCAGGGATATGGTGCGTGTGCGTGTCGACACCAGAAATGGCGATGGCACGGTCAATGGCAACGGGAGTACGAAGGTGAGGCGAGGTGGTGGTTGTTACTTGTAAAGTACGAGGAGGATCGTCATGCGGTGAAGCCAACGCAATCGACGCCCAGTTCCCCCGAGCACGCCAAGCCCCAGTTGGAGCCCGTCAATACTTAACACAGATGGAAGCTTCTTCAATCCTTCCAGAATCCCGGCCATGTGTGTATCAACAATTGCAACACTAAAAGTCTTTACTCCATTTAATCACTCAGAAACTTCATTTTAGCCAATATGCGTTAACGGTCGACCGCCAGTTGTTCGTAGAAGGAATTCGTGCTTGTTCCTATCAGCAAAGCCGCACTGGCATTACGTATTGAACCCTTTGCAACCTCATGGTCCAGGCTTCCGACAGGGTCACCGATGTCAATTTAGACAACGCTGAATCCAGCAAATTCTTGAGGACGTGTTCGCAACACTCCGCATTATCCGCTCGTCAATTCAAGAGAAATTTTTGAGCAAAGAGTGATTGTTTGTTTGTTGGTGGAGGGGTATCTGGTCGATTTCTAGGAAGTCTGTTGTAAACATTGGCGTCGTGGAACGGGAAATGCCTTCAATACGATAGGGTGAGCCAAGTAGACGTATGTGATAGTTTAGATTTTCATGAAAATTCGATGCAGAACTAGGTACATGTGTGTTCGGAGTACAGACTTATACTTATGTAAAGATCCGACCGAGTTTGATAACTTACCTAGGTAGGTACCTATGGGATGGACCATGGATGAACAATTAATATAGAGGACCACAGGTACAGTTGACAGTTGACCATCAAGTCGGGAACGGCACGTGCGGCTGGTTTCGCCGGGTCATCGGTGCTTGGAACCGCCGACTTCGAGTCTCGTATTCCCCTCGGATTGCTCGTTTAGTACCGATCTAGTGCACTCCAGCCATACATACACAGTACAGCACTCCGCCCCATAGTCCACGCTAGACTACAGTCCTATAGTCAAGGGCTTACGGGTGATTCCAGATGGTATCAACGTCATGAAACCTCGGTGCTTCTTTCCTGCAACATGCTGCTCAAACTCCATTGAACATACATCATCAATCAATCTCATGTAGTCACAGCCTTTTCTCCGCTCTCTCAACCTCGCGTAATCCTGGTTCCGTGTAGTACGCATACGCCATGTTCTCTGAAGAGTTATTCGATGGCTGGCTGGCCGTCCCGTCCATGGGAAACTTGTTCGAACAGGAAGCCATTGTTACTAGAGTACAGGAAGGTGCAGCCGTTGTGCAGAAACTACATACCGATACCAGTCTGTCAATTCCATTGCAAGCAGACGAACAAAGTGAATCACCACAGTATGTGCATGGTACCACTCCAGATGTTCTCTAGTATTGATACTTTCCAAAGGTCTTCCTCAACCCCTAATGCAGTAAAGTCCACTTCGACAGCTCGAAAGAGAAAGGGACATACGAAATCCAGACTAGGGTGTACATCATGCAAACAACGAAAGATCAAGGTATCTTGGCACTAGGCCTTTAGAGAGAGACGTCCCCTACTAATCACTAGAATAGTGTCCAGAGCAGTGGCCGTCATGTGCACATTGTGTTAAGAAAGGCACAGTCTGTAGATATCCAAAGTATGCTGCCCCAAGACACTCATAGTACGCTCCAGTGATTCATGCTAATAGGCTGTATATAGGGTCTTCAAGGCTGCACAGCATGATCGAATTGTCGGCGAAATGATCAAAAGACAGAGTCCTCGCCAATCTGTCCGCCTTTCTGATACACCAATCTACTCTGCAAACGACATGCGCCTCTTTCACCATTACATAATCACTGCTCATCCGTTCATACCTGAAGAGATGGAGACAAGGTGGGCCACTGAGGTTCCAGCATATAGTCATAAGGTAAATCACTACTTAATCCAGATGGACTTTTCACTGACTATGCCAGTATGACTATTTGATGCATGCAATGCTTGCGCTTGCAAGTTCTCACCTTTCTTCGATATCGACAGACACTCAACATGGAGTTGCATTATCTCACCGCCATAGAGCAATAACTGGCCTAGAGGAAGCATTCACTAGGTGGCCGCCAATCGCCGAAGAAGCACACGTCATGTTAGCAACTTCCTTCTTACTTGCTTTCCAAGCAGGTTATATACCCGACGCTTTCCTCGACCACATTGTCAATCTTCGTGGTTGCCATCTCCTTTCGCAATTGATAGTCGACGGTGGCCTGCCGGGGGTCTTCAAAGTCGACCCTAAAATGCAGAGCTCTGGCCTTAAAAGGAGGCTCATAAACTTCCCGGCCATGAATCAACCACTTGCACGTGGAGCCCTACGGGCATTAACCCTCCTTGTCCCTCTATTAGACGAAGCAAGACCCCTTGAAAGAGCAATATTTGCTCAACTAGTGGGGTGCATCCGTCCCTTACTCACTCCATCAACATCACCTGTTTGTTCACCAATTCTCGTCGACCCTTCTTCGCCTCTACTGTTGAACTACAACTCACCAGGACTATCCTTAGAGCGGATACACCCACCTGTCATTGTCCCCTCACAACTCGCCAGCATCAGCAACCCTCTAATCCACGCAAACCCAGCCCTCAGTTTCGAAAGCATTGTAGAACACGGAATTGACTCCATACTGGAACCACCGCCAGACCAAACCCAACCACGGCCCGACCACTCCTTCGACGCACTCATGTCTTCCCTTCTACTTCTCACCACGGGACCGCAGCACCAAGTCATGCAATTACTAGCTCCCACGAACAAGGTCGGGTGTATCGTCATGCTGTACTTCATGTCAGTCAGGTTCATCGTCTCGCCGTTATCTGCACCTCCCGCCGCCATGCAACATCCGATCGCAGCCATGGTGGAATGGTGCGAGAAACAGCTGGACGAGCTACAACAAGATGATGAAGAAGACAGTGAGGGCGAATTAAAAAAGTACCTCGCGTGGCCAGCGAAGATATTCGCCACGCTCAGACAGCTCTTGAATAGAAAGGGGGTACTGACGTTTGGCGATGCATGTGAGATATTGATGAAGGATCCTGAGGCTTACTTGACCGGCAGAGCGCCTATATTGTGAATATCAATGATACTATATTCACCTTCAGGCGGGAAAGGTGTCAAAAAAGCAAACGATCTTGGGTGTGCAAATTTTTAGAAGCAATCCATAACTAGAATCTAGCGATATTACACTCTCGCACGCAAAATAACCAACAATCTCATCTCCCCAAATTCCCAAATACAGCACAGTCCTTTCTCCCCTTTTCGCGAATCTCGCAACTGGATAACGATCAAAAATATACATCTACCAAATTTCTGCTTTCAGCAAAGCTTGAGCGCAGGTTTAAAAATAAATTCAACCCCAATTCATCTCCACAATCCACACTACACGTACCTGCATAACGCCCGCCGTGAACTACACCAGCCGTCCTCCATCGGAGATTTTCAAAACTAGCCCTGGATAGTGATGGCCGGCCTTACATACAACATACACATCTACTCTCTAGGTATCCAAGATACACATTAGAAGGAAAGAGTTGTAGGCGGAGGACTAAAAATAAATCCACCACCCATCGTCACTTTGCAGTTTTGCCTTTCGCTCGTTTACCACTTGGGGATGGATGCTATATATCATGCAATAAGAGACATTCAAACCCCGAGCTTGTCCTCTTAGCGATTGCTGTGTACTCGGTGTCCCCGGGGGTGGAGGAAAGAGGGGGAAGGTGCAACAGGGGATTGGGGGGGTCCCCAGCTGGCCACGCCAAATCACGCAAGAAGAAGAATAGAGATCTTGGGTCAGAATAGGCGTTGGAGAGAGATTTCGCTAGATTAATGGAAAGGCTTTTGCATCTACGCGAGGTGTTCTGCCCTACCAGAGCATGTCTGGGCTCAATAGTCGAGTTACACGAGAGATAGTTATGGGATAAAACGTGCGTGCGTGCATAGGTACATACATACCTAGGTATATGCCCTACAGGGAGAAATGTAAATGTTTCTATTGATAAGTTCTGGGTTCGTTTGACGAGGGTGTGTGATTGGGTGGATGTTTCGAAACGGATCTTCGGACGCATGCGGTGAGATGCGGGCAGGCATAGGATGGACGGAAGATTCCGCGGGGCGTCTTGGTGAGAGGAAAAAGTGCCTTGTGGTGTTTATTGGAGTCTTACGGCGGGCAAAGGGGATGACGATGCGGTGACGGGGGGGAAAGGGTTGAGGAGGGGAGAGAATAGATTGGGAGAAAGTTGTACGGCAGGTATTGAGATTGATGAAGGAAAACGGTGAGATCGATCCGAGTGTTAGTGCACTGAAAGAAGGGAAGGACTTTGTGATGGATAGACGGCGCCGGACATGGACTGTAGGCGTTTATCTTTCAAGTATTCGCAGGCGTCACGGGCGGTTAGTTGATGAAGAGCATGTGGCACAGTTGAGCTGGTGATGGAAGCGCACGTTGGAAAGCCACAGGCCCGCTGGGTCAATACATGCCACGAACACATGGCCTGCACTGTTCGCTAGATGCAGCCCAGCACATATTCACACTGTGAGGAGCACTCCGTACATGGACCCCACAATCGGCCGGGCGAATGGTGCATCTTGAATCCTTCTGGCTTCATAGGCCATCTGTACGTACTCCGATCAACAAAGCGCTTCGAGAAGCGGTCCACTTGCCAGAACCTGCAGGCCTTCGGTAAGCAATTGCAGGTAGCGAAACATGCTGAAGCCACCCCGAGCCTGTGTGGGCACTGTGCGTTGTGCCTGGCGATCTAGAGGTCGAGCAGAAAGCATGTTCAGAGATATGTGCCAGACGTCACCGAGGGATTGCTGTAGGGCTGGCGGCAATGCATGTCCGTGGCCCTGAGAAACGGCCTCGCGCGCGCTCTTTGTCTTTCTCCCAGACTGATTCTCTTCAGGGGAGATGATTGTCTCAGCGCCTATGTTGGCTTTCAGGGATGGTCACTTATTTATCCACAACTGAATTGACTTGAGAGAAATTGGAAGACCCCGGGACAGGGCGTGTAGAGACGAGCAATTGCAGGAAACGGTGTGAAAGTCAATGCGACGAATTGTGGAGTAAACTTGAAAGGGAAGGAGACTGGTAGAGACTCGAGGGAGGTAGTACCCGCGAACGGCAGAATAGTGCTGTGCCTCGATTGGACATTAAAACGAGGGAAGATCTTGTTCGAATAGATACTGTACAGACTCAATGATGAGGGGAAGAGTGATGACGATGCTGCCAGATTGGTGGTTAATGCGAGTTGACAAGGGTAGACGGGGGGGAGGGATACGGATTGGTAAGATGTTTAATGCGGTGAACGGAGGCAGGATAAGATAGGTTGATTGAGGGCTTGAGGGCTTGAGGTGGGTGAGGAGGTGAACTCGGGGGAGGAGATGAGGAGACGAGTATGAGGACCATGAGGGTCAGTGGATTCGATGGAACCCTCGTGGCCCGGTTCATCCCACATTAGGGTTAGCCCCTATTCAAGCTTCCACCGTCTCTCAATGCGGGCGGTTACAGAGTCAATGACAACCAATCGATGGAGGGTTCGAATATCAGAAAGCCAACCTGCCAACCTCCCAACCTCGTCCAACCACTCAATGTCCGCTCTCTCTTTCTCACTGCAGGTTCCAATGCATGTCCCGTCCCCCAATCGCGTACTCGTACTTTGCACGAATTGTCTCTCCCTAGACTCCAGTCTTTCCTGCCTCTCCTCCCCTTCATTCGCTGGCCATGCTCAGTCATGCGAACGAAGAAAACCACCGTCTCGGTGTCTATCTGTGCCTTGATTTGACGCTTTTCCACGCGATGGCTTGCTCGTTCGGACGCACACATATTGTTTCTCCCGCTTGTTAGGTGCCATTGTGTAGCTGTTCTGGAACCTGCTCCCGTGCAGAAAAGTGACATTGGGGCCTGCCTCACGACCTCTTGTCTGACCTCAGCATCGGTAACGGTGCTCATGGAATGAATCAATCATCCTTCTGTCGTGCAACAATATCGCTAAACGATGAGCTACACAAAACCAGCACAGGGAGATCACCCATTGCTATTTTTCCTACGATCATTGCAATATCTAATGATCGACCACAAGAGGGGAGCGCAGCTCGGGTAGCGGGATGTCGAATCCGTCCGCTGCAAATGTGAACGCCTCCCGCTGGCACAGTCAGGAATCAGTCTGAGTCTGGCCCTGGCGCCGTATAGTGTCGCTATTGCCAACCCGTTAGACTTGCCACTCATAACCCCCAGTTCGGTTGCTGCTGCTCTCATGCCCACATCGCCTAGGGTCCGTCACTTTTGTTTTTCTCGCAAGCTCGAGTAGTGGAGAGCAGGGGAGTTGATAATACGGCATGGGTCTGTCCCGTTTCGTAAATCAATCCTACTCAGACCCTCTCTTCGGAATTCACTATCACATCTTGGCCCAATAGCGTAAGAGTCGAGGGCTGCGTGAGCGGCAGAATACCTGCCCCAGTTGGTTCAACTTGGTTGTGCGATGCTGGTCCCTGCACCGCTCTCCACCTCAGCCAGGAACATAAGGAATGAGACACCGGCTCATGCTCCCGCTCTCTTGTGATCGATCTTATCAAGCTTGGGCATGGTCTTGTACTGCCATCTTCCCCGCTCCTTCATCCTTCATTCTACCTCCATCTTGATACAAGACGAACTTCCTCAATTACACCCATAAACGGTGTTTGCGACGACAAACAAAGACAGCCTGCAGGCGTTCGACCAAGGACCATAAAGCGATTAGCGAGTGGCTGCGAGCAATTCGCGACCCAATAGCGTTCCTACTGCATCTTCGTCGCATTATCACATCTGCCATCCCGATGCACTCGCAGTCCATGTAGAAAAGCTGGAAAAGTGCCGCCTCCAAGCGTTCGCTGTTTCTCTCAGACTCCAGGCACGTTCCTCGCCTAGAATCAAGCTTCTGCTGGCAGAAGTGTTTCCAAGTGCTCAATACACAGCTGGACGCAGACCTTGCGTTCCACAGAACTCAAGATGCCCGCAGTTCTGGAGACTCTAGTGCAAGGGACCACCGTTGCGCGAGAGCAACTCGAATCAATGGTTTCACAGGCCGGGAGAGAAGTGTTGGAGGCCTCTTCGACTCTTGTGAAGCGGATAGAGATCCCAATAAACAAGACGAGCCCCCAGGGACTTATTGACGCCGCCCATCAGGATCCATGGAGTCAAAGTGGAAAGTACGCATTAGCCTATGTGTACTTTTGCATACCTCTTCTCGCCTTTGCGTGTTTCATTCGATATTACCATCTGTTCACAGATAAGATCCGGTCGGCGCTGCACCAAGAAGAGGTACAGAAATCCTCGGCAACCTCCTCTCCAGACACAGACTACGAGATGTCGGTACTGTATACTGACAAATCCACAATGAAGTTCTTTCCCCGTGAAGGTCCTCTGCCAGGCCCTCAACAGACGCAGTCATCCGTCTCCTCCGTTGGCCCCATCAATAACTGTATCGCCTTTTTCCGATTCATATTCTATCGACCAATACGCCAGATCCAGGTTCGCAAAGGATGGAGGCCAATCGTCTTTCCTTCTTTAAGCGTATGCTTAATCGTAACAGCTGCCTTCGCTTTAGGCATGCTGTACTGTTTTCTCCCACAACCACTTTTCCGAGAGAGCATCAGATATGGATCGCCGCCCTTGGCGATCCGAGCCGGCATGATGGCCGTCGCATTGATGCCCTGGATCGTTGGTCTGAGCATGAAGGCCAACATGATTACTCTTATTACAGGAATTGGCCACGAAAGGCTTAATGTGTTGCATCGCTGGGGTGCTTACATTTGCCTTGCACTGAGCATCATTCACACCGTACCATTCTATATTACCCCAATCTGGGATAAAGGGGCGAGACATGTCTTCGAGTCGTTCTTCGCCACCGAGGGCTTTTATGCATACGGCACGGGTAAGTGCAATATCTCAATAACGAGAACGTGTCTGACCAAACATAGGCATTGCTGCACTCGTTCCCCTTGGGTTTCTTTGCCTTCACTCACTCTCTCCTCTACGCCATCGCATGTACGAACTCTTTGTAACACTGCACGTTCCGGTTGCGATTGTCTTCCTCGCCATGTTGTTTTGGCATTGCCATAATTACCTTACTTCGTGGCACTACCTGTTCGCGACACTCGCCATATGGCTCACTTCTTACATCATGCGCCTCTTTTATCTCAACTGGACCCACCCTTTCAGGATGTCTTGGCTAGTCGGTGATGAGGCTGCTGTGACGATCATGCCTGAAAATGCCATCAAGATCACTATTCCCACCCAGAAGAAATGGAGGCCTGGACAGTATGTCTACCTTCGCATGCCGGGCATTTCTGTCTTCGAAAACCATCCTTTCACAATTGCCTCGCTCTGCGACGAAGACTTTCCTTCGGAGTATGGCCCAGGATATCGAGACATGGTTCTCGTATTCAGGCCATTCGGCGGGTTTACGAGGAAGGTATACCAAAAAGCCTTGGAACATGGACCTTGGCACACCTACCGCGCTTTTATCGATGGCCCGTACGGTGGCATGCAACGGAGATTGGAAGCGTTCGACGACGTTGTTCTCATTGCTGGAGGTAGTGGTATTACTGCCATCATTTCGCAGCTTCTCATGCTTATCAAGAAAATGCGCGACGGAAAGGCAGCGACGCGCAACATACACGTTATCTGGGCACTGAAGCGACCGGAAACTATGGAATGGTTCAAGGAAGAGTTGCGAATTTGTCGTGAATTTGCGCCGCCAGATTCCGTTCAATGTCAGTTCTACATTACAGCCGCAAAACGCATGGCTGGCGGTCAATTGGTCAGCGCAAAGACTCCGACCAGGCCCGTCAGCATGTTCTTTCACGACAAAGTAAATGACGCTTTCCAAAATATTGCGGATCATCGGGACCCACGGGATCATCGCATCTCCGGTATTTCGACTAAGCGACATTCTGCCTTGATCAGGGATGAGGCAAAGGGTGATCCCGAAAGAGAAAAGGAACTACGTCGCGAGAATGAGGACGCAATCACCGCGTTGCCTCAAGCGCATCTATTACCCGTTAACAGGAATCTATCTCGCCCCAGCTTACACAGCAATCACTCCAACCCCAGCCTGGAGGCACCATCTCCTCAATCGTTAGCAGCACGCCGCATGGACCGCAATCTGAGTCTCGACATCTCCCAGGCTGTCGAAGCTGGTAGCGGCGCCTTCAACCCGGATGTTATTTCTCCAAGCGGCAACGGACAAGGTATCCAAGGATTCGACTTCGGCTTCCCATCGACTCCGACCGAATTCCAGAAGAACCTCATGCGCTTTGCTTTCTTGCCCGCAGCCGTGAAAAAGAAGGATGGCTGGAGTACCGAATACGGACGACCAGATATACCGTTCACCCTCCGCCAACTAAGCAAGAACTTCGGGCGGAGAACGTGCGTTTTTGTTTGCGGTCCTCCAAGCATGCGCATTGCCGTTAGTGATACGGTCGCAGAGCTACAACGGAGCGTCTGGAACGACAGCGCAAGGGACGAGATATTCCTGCATGCAGAGAACTACGCTCTGTAATACTTGAACGGAACGAAGAAGAAAAAAAGAAAAACATTCAAAAAGGATCAACAGGAGTAGAGGATGAACAGGACCAAGAGGATACCCCCCATTTACTTTTCTTTTAATCATCATATGTGTGCATAGCGCGGTTTTCAACAAGGCTCTCGATCAGTTTTCGGTTATGTGTCATGTATACCCACCCTTTCTTTTTATCAGACCTTGACATTGAGAGCGACCGGTCTGTTTCCTTGTGTATATTCCCTTCTAGTAGCACTGCCAGGTGGGCGGGCATGCAACACATCTTGCTACCAAGATGGCTGTAAGAGAGACGAATAGTTGTCAGAACAACAATAATAAGATAACTTGAACAAACCTTTTCATGGTCCCTTTGGTGTTTTCGCCCACGCCGTGTATGCTGATTGGCAGCGATGATAATGTATAATTCGGAATTTGAGGTGCTAGTATCACTTGAGCATGATAATTAGTACGCCTTTTAGGCCTTTGGGCTGATCTGTTGCGATAAATAAAGAATGTGTTCATCTGAACACAGTACCATACCAGATTGAGTAGAATAGGTATATTCATTGCTCTAGACACTAATCGTCCCTCCGCGTCTATACATGGAGATAAGACACAGATCCAGACAGTCGGGCCCTAAAGTAGAGAAATATGAAGATCGGTAAGTAGATCATTTGTGTTCCACGTTGAGTGATATTGCATATGAATGTTCTGGATGGATCAAGGTGCAACTACATTTGGGATCGGTCATACAAATCAATGAGCAATAGCGACCGGGGGCAACATCCTTAGAGTGTGTGAGTGTGCTCTTGACTGTCAGTGTTATTCCAATGGCTCATGTCGCCTAAAATGGCGATCTCCTGCCCAAAACCTTCTGACGGACCATCTACCTTCCATTTGGAGAACCTTTTCCAGATGTTTGGAGCGTCGAACAATCCAAACAATGCACCAGGCACAGCAAGTTGAACATGCAAAGTGGCATGCACCATAAAGCCTTTGTCATTAGATACATTCATTCTTCCAAATGAATATCACTACTATGAGCAGTGATTTAATGTCTCTCTGAATAGTGTTGTGCTTGATAGCAAAAATAGTAGCCTACATGAGAACGAGTAGCCTATACAAACAAGGATAATCATCCTTTCGACTCAAAACGATCAAGGCCCAAGCATCTCCCCTCAACTTGGCTGCACGCGTAGCTTCTTGGTAGACATTTGCCGTCAATGGAAGGCTGTCCATTTTCCGGGTTGTATGTGAGTGTTTACTCGAACAAGTTAGGTCGGGGACCGCCGTTGCGACTCCGCCTACCGCTTGACGGCAACAAGTTGACACCATGCAACCCACGCTTTACTTGGCTATCATTATCTAGACATCAGAACACGGCTCATCAGCCGAATTGGCGATGGTGATGTGGGATGGACATGGAATGATGCTGTGTTTATCTCTTCCTCCTCGTGTTCTTGACGCCAGAATCCGGGGCTCCATACTCTTAGTAGCGATCCATTTTGCGGGGAAGCTCTGGGCCTGTGGGTCGGGAGCCTTGGTATACATTCATCGTATCATGATGTTCGGGTTGTGTGGGGACAACTCTCATGAAGGGAGGGGCTTTTCCCCGGAGTTGTGAGCCCTTCATGGATTCCTATAATTGTCACAGATCCGCAATCTGGTTTTCCTCATTCATCTTCCTTCGATAACAATCCCCTTCTCGACTGTGATTGTTTGTCTTCAGGATGACGACTCATCATACCAAAGAAGAGGCTGTCGAGCGTCTCGAACATGTCGAAAAGGGCTTCGGAGAAGAGCGATCTCTGTCGACCAGTTCGACTGAATTCGATCCGAAAGAGTCGGCCAGCATCAGACATCGGATTGATTGGCGTTTGATTCCTGCTCTGGGAGCCATGTACGGCATTTCGCTCATGGACCGCAAGAACGTCAGCAATGCTGCTATTGCAGGCATGTTGAAAGACCTCAAGATGTCGAAAGGTTACGGCTATGTAAGTTGAAGTCTAGGTGGACTGAACAGTCAACGGGCTCGACTGACCTTGATAGAACCTTGTCAACATGTGTTTCTTCATAACATATATCCTCCTTCAACCTTTCATGATCGTCCTCTGCCGCAAAATAGGGCCACGATTCTTTTTACCTGGGATATGTATTCTTTGGGGTTGTGTAATCGTTGGCTTCGGCTTTGCACAAAACTGGCCAACATTGATTCCTCTGCGATTACTTCTCGGCGCTCTTGAATCGGGATACTTCCCAGGTTGTTTATACCTGCTGTCTTGCTGGTATACAAAATGTATGTTCCACATAAACTCGACTAATGTTTGCTTTGTTGACTAATCTACGAAGTCGAGGTGGCTCGTCGGTACTCGCTCTTTTACTTCATTGGAAGTATTGCCTCAGCAATGTCTGGAATCCTTGCCTATGGTCTACAACAGATGGACGGGGCGAGCGGCATCCGCGGATGGCGATGGTAAGTCGGTTTTCATAGTAGTCGTTCAAGATGTTGACATCTCGGATAGGATTTTTATCATGGAAGGAGTGATTACCTGCGCAGTGGCTATCTTTGCAATTTCATTCATTATCAAGTTTCCCGATGAAGAAAAAGCCAAGCCAAGCTGGGGCTTCCTCAAGCCCAACGAGCTAGACCATGTTATTGAAAGATTAAACGCTGATCGCGGAGATGTGGAGCCCGAGGCGTTCACCTGGAAGAAATTCTTAGAGCCAGCGACTGTATGTTTGTCTTATGCCGAGTGACCTGCCGTCCCCAACTAACCTAATTATAGGAATGGTACATCTACGGCTTCCCAATGATCCTTCTTTTTGTCACTAGCATTGCCTACGGTTTCGCATTCTTCCTCCCAATAATCCTCTCCACCAATCTCGGCTTCAGCATGGCCATGTCTCAGTGTCTCGGTGCGCCGCCATATGCCTTTTCCGGCATCATCATGTATGGTGCAGCATGGTTCAGCGACAAGTACAAGACTCGAGGCCCCGTCCTGTGCGCACTGTGCATGGTCTCACTCGTCGGACTCCCAATCATGGCGTTTGTCAACAACCCCTGGGGCCAGTACGTCGGCGTCTTCATCACTGTATCCGGCACCAACTCGGCCATTCCCGCGGTCATGGCGTATCAGGCGAACAACATCCGTGGCCAGTGGAGGAGGGCATACTGCTCTGCTAGTTTGACGGCCATCGGTGGGATTGGAGGGATCACAGGTGCGCTCATCTTCAGGACTGAGGATGCGCCCAAGTACGTTCCGGGCATCGCTGCCTGCATGACTTGCAATGCGCTCACGATCATCACTGTCGGTATTCTCACGATCTACTTCCGCAGGTGCAACAGACAGGCGGACAGAGGTGAGAGGATACTGCTTGGAGATCCAAACTTCAGATTCACTATATAGTTTACATTACATTCTGCTAATACGCCGAAACACCTCATAGTGTAGATACAATGAATAATGATCCGTCTCTACATGGTTTCTGATGAAGTACAGTGTACGCTGTGTGATTTCTCCTCCTAATAGGGTCATAATTTGCCATGTTTCATTTCAGATATCCCAGCCTTCAGATGAATGTATTCGATCGTCATATCCATAGCAGTATACACCATTTGAGACGTTATCATTCGGCTTACTCAGGCTTGGTACCCGAAAGCTAAGTTCACCGCCACTGCTCGACATTGCATGCTCATGCGGAACAGAATCGAACAGATGCCCAAGATCAGAATGGACATCGGCATAGACAGGCGAAGATGAAGCAGGTGTTGAAGCCATACTTTGAGTTGAGCAGATCTGGTGGTAATGGAGTGCTGGAGCGGTCAAGTTGTGATCGTCCGAGTGAAATGAATTACTCCTGTTCAGCGACAGAGGAGAGTGAGCACTGAAGCAACCAGTTGATCAGCTCATGTATGTAAATACCAGATGTGAGTTCACTCACCTGAGAGGGGCTTCTAGCGCGAAATCGATTTCGCTCAACTCGATGCTGGGTACGGAACTTGTTGAAGTTCGATATGAACTGGATGCAGGTACTTGATCCCATTCTGCAGTCGTCAGTCTAGGAACTTGACATCATGTCATGTAGTTGACAATACCGGATGCACTCGATCCAGGCCGAGAAATGAGGCCGTCCCTATGTATTGGAGAAGGCCGCCGCGGATATCGCAGTTCTGGGATAGAGCAGCTCCCATTGTACTCGGGGCTGATCCTATCACCACGGGATATTGGTATCGAGCCTTCAAAATGCGAATCTAAGAATCGTTCAGGGAGTCGTTCCCGTGGAGAACTACAGGAACTAGAGCTTTCGTGTCCCAAACCTCCCAGCCTAGGTTCGGAGGTTGCGCTATCGACCCTGCTTCTCGATGTGATGTATTGCTGATCCAGTAGTGACCGCAGTCGTTCGACTTCTGCCTGTAGCGCGGATCCCTCCCGGACTATTCTTGTTTCATTCGTGCGCAGTTGCAAAACCTCGTTCTCAAGAGTTTTGATGTATGCCTCTTTCCGTTCACGATGGGTCCTATAGTGACCAATTTAGTCAGGTTTCTGATATAGGCAAGCTCTTCCGAGGATACGTACCTTTGCGCTCGCCGTACCTGCTCTCTTCGTTTCAAATATGCGGCATCATTCTTGTCTTTGGAATCAGAGGAGCAGTTCTTGGAATCAGCCATATTGGTGAGACCGTTTATGTGGCTATAATGGGTACGGAGATGTATCAGGTTCCACGAGACTGAGGAATTGGTGTCTTCTAGATTTCCTGTGGAAACATGGTAGTATATGAGGAGATGTTCCCTACCGCCATGATCTCCACATTGTCTCTATCAGGGCATAGGGCTGGCAGGGGTGAAAGAAGAGGTGATCTACAGTCACACCGTCTTTGAAATTCCTATTGGCAGTCATTTGGACCGCAGGGTGACGCGCGCCAATTATGTAGCAATTGTCCAAGTAGATGAAGGTCTGGAATTGGACCCCAAAAGCTTGAGTTCTGCTGTTATGACGAGGAAGTGGAGAGACCAAAATATTTCCCGGTCATCCACGCATTGTTAATTGGGTTTCATGCAAAGGGTGCTGCCGTTGACTCTTCACGAGGCTGGAATACGTACCCTGGCTGATGGTTTGCCAGCACTCAGGAGAATCCCACTACACCATGAAGAGTAGGAGGATAAGCACTCAAACATCTATGCTGCTGAATAGATGTAGTGGGAGCCTGGGTTCCGCCAATCATATTTGTGCATTGCAGGTTGTAGGATGCAATGCTTACTCAGAGAAACGATAAGGCTGCAGAGGGTTGCATCCCATCGATATTTACTACATGATCTCTTGCATTCGTGTGGAGTCAATTCAAATCCCCTGGCGGCTGGGTTGAAGCGGGTCGAAGGAGTTGGTGGTTTTTGGTGAACAATACCACTACCCTAATGCGGTAAGCGAATCGAGACATCAGTCTATCCCAATCGCATGATACGTTCGCTGCTAATTCTTCGAACTATCGAAGAGATGCAACATTAATACTTGTAACTATTGCAGAGCATAGCTCCCTATGATCTTCACGTTCCGCTCACCGTGCAAAAGAAGACATGGTAGCCATGTCAATGCCTAGAAGCTCAGCATTGAAGTTTCTCACCAAGCCTTTCCCGTATGACATGCAGACGAATTTGGAAAAGTTTGCTCACCATCTCCGCGGTTGGGTGCGAATTCCGCATTGCCGGGACTTGTTGGATTTACTAATTCAAGGCTGATTCAGCCTTCACAGAAGCTGTTTCGCTCATTCGCTGGAAGGAATGCCATGTGGTTGTTCTGTGACGATGACGTTCAACTCGGCCCTGGACTGCCATCATGTCTGAAGCCCGCGAGCACGGTACAGCAGGGGTGATACAATAACGTTAAATCTAAAATTCCCACGATGCGTCTCGCTAGGCAAACGCCCGGCATCGGCACACGTAGCATTCTGGAATTTTCGAACATTCGTTGGGTGTCTTCATGTCTGTTCATGATGGATCGAGGCTTCATATCCACGGGGTTCAGGCGGTCTGGGCTACTGACACACGACCAAGAACATAGTAACATGTGTCACTGTGGCGCCTCAAACATGAGCTGAAGTACTGATGAGAGCTGAAGGTAGACTAAATGTTTGTATCGCATAGACGACATGTCGCCGATTCACCGGTAATTACCCATCATTACTGTGCGCAGCATGCAGACATGTGACTATGCCCATTTTCCTGATTCAGAATAGGTGCGGCAGCCAATCAGCGAAGACCTATGGACCTATGGACCTTAAGGACTTTTGGTTTTAAATTTGGCTCTCGTGTCTCAGAATCCATAGTTATGCTCTCTACATCACTAATATGGAATTTGGTAAAGAAGATGAGAACAGTTATTGTTAAATTCCATTATATTACACATTCCAAATACTCCTTATTTTCCATATCTACCAACTCGTAACATCATGAGAGAAGCCATATTAACGTGATCGGGACATTAACACCACGGGCGCCTGAGTCAGTATATTGAACACACCGCCCCTGCGTCAATGATAGGATATCGAAACCAACCTCACCAATGCCTAACCCGCGAAAACCCAAACGCCAAACGAAATATTCAGGTAGCAACTTTCCCTTTTCCTTTGTGGATAACCAGATCCTCGCCGTCTACACGAATAATAACACCCAGCCAGCAATGCCAATGAACCAGCCCTCGACCACTCTGTCCAGTCCCATTGGCCTTTCGATTGCTGCTGCTCCGCTGCTGCTAATGCCTATCCCGCTAGCAATAAAGTTGCCTGGGTCGCGTTCCTGACTTGTCGACGATGACCTTGCGGAATCGGACTTGGATGAAGATCGTGTAGTGGTGGCGCTATTGCTCAGAGGTGTCTTCGGTATTGTGCTCGTTTTTCCGTTGACGACCAATGCGGTACCACTCGGGTCGAGTGAGTATGTTGTACCCGAGACAGTGATGGCATCCCCAGGTCTCAAAGTTGTCCCGGGCCCAAGTACGTATTCAGTCGTTCCATCCCTCACTGTAGCTGAGTAGGTCTTGCCATCAACAGTAAGCACGGCTGCAGCGGTGATTGGTGATTGACCTAGTGTTGTGGTGACACCGTTAATGACTATGACAGTACCTGATGCCGACGCAGGCATGGAAAAGGTAGTTCCAGATACGGTAATTTGGCCTCCAGGTGTGAGTGTTTGCCCAGGACCGAATACAAAAGCCGTTGTGCCTTGGTTCACTGATGCTGTAACTCCTTCTCCTTCTCTCGTCAACACGGGAATGCCGCCACCGTTCAATGTCGACGTCACTCCATTGATAACAATCGTTGATCCATGGCCATCTGCAGGCATGCTGAATGTGTTTCCATTGACTGTGAGAACACCGCCAGGGGTTAATGTCTGACCAGGTGCAACGACGAATTGTGTGGTCCCCCCGATTATCGTTGCAGGAACAGTCAGACTACCAGCCGTGAGTACAGGTGGAGGAGTAATCGGCGGTGCATTTCCAAGGGTTTGCGTCACTCCATTGACGACAGCAATGGTTCCACTTGGCCCAATGCTGACCGTGTTCCCATTCACCGTGATTGCCGGACCTCCGGGACTGAGGGTCTGTGATCCAATGACGAAGTTTCCTCCGGAGTTTGGCGTGACAGTGTTTGTCCCGAAGGTAAGAACGGGAGGATTAGTTGGCGCAGGTGGCCGTTGTGGATTGCTATTTGTCTGGCCTGGGCCAGGTGGTGGAGTATTCACATTGGGATTGTTGGAGGGCGCTGTGGGGTTGTTGGGAGGTGAAGGTGGATCAAGCTTCTCTGACTTTGACGGATCGTTTGGATGATCAGTAGGTGCTGGAAGAATGTTGTCAGGCGTAGAGCATCGAAGGCATCCGTTTCGTGTGACGTGCTTATCCGTTCCGATATAAGTTTTGCTTATATAAGTGCCCGTAGTTACGGTCTGCGGAGGAGGCGTGGGAAATATCTGAGTCATAGACGAGAAGATTGGTTCAACAGTTGGAGTTGAGGCAGGTTCGGACAACATTGGCGGTGAGGGAGTTGCTCCTACTGTACAAGTTGCTATATCCGCGCCGCTGAAATCGGACATAATCTGAGAATTGCTCTTGAGATGATTAATAAGAGCCGGAGGCAACAGTTGGGGTTTGAAAGGATCAATCGTCGGTGCCTTATCCACGAAGGTCTCAATGTAGTATGAGTAGTCTTCTACAGCACTTGGAGTGAGGAAAATCTGAGATGTAGAGACCTGACAAGTCGGTTCTGGCACAGGAGTAATCGGAAACTCGTTCGTAGGGGTTGGAACAGCCAGGGACTCGAGTCCCCCGTAAAATTCTGTGTAAGCAACATATGTGGGCCCAGCAGCACTTGGATAATCAGTTCACATCCCGGAACCAATGGGGGCATCACTTACAGAGTTACGGTCATTCCTGGGGTAGGGAGCCACGTGAAGTAGGGTGCCGTTGCTGTAATAGTCTCATTCGTGATTCCGGTGACAGCACTCGTCTGTTCTATCGTTGTATATTCTGTAATGGTAGCATCGTCGTATGTGATGAAGACAGTCAAAATGGTTTCTGTGACTACAACTGAAGTCCATGTGCTAGACCAAGAGTCTCTAAAAGACAACACGGTGGGCTGAAAGGCCTCGAGTCTACAGCCCGTGCATACTCCTGTACGATGTGGAGCAGACGTATTCGTGCCTTGGCTGGATGAAGTTGATATCGAGGATCCAATGGAATTAGTCAGGGTGCTTGACGAAAACGATGTTGAGACATTATTAGATGTCGAATATTCGGATAGCGAAGTTGCTGAAGGTAGTGGGTATGTTTCCGAAAACGATGTCTGATCTGTTGACCGTGAAACGAAAGAAGATGATGGCAGTGGTGATGATGTCGAAGTTCTGCCCAGTTCAATCCGAGTGGAATTTACTATTGACGTTAACATGCTACGTAGTTTCACATTTGGGGTCAACGAACGTTCTACGATAGATTAGCATTTGTTGGACTGTCCGTTCTCTTCAACATAAGACTTACGCCTAATGGGCAGATGCGGGTTAGCAATAACTGTAGCTGCGAACAGAGTCGAGCTCCACAGAGCTGTTGGCCGCATCGTACGACTTTATGTGCGCAAAACCATGGGATGAAGGACAATACTGGGGTTCTCCTCTAATCTACGAAGTCGTATGATCCGTTTGAACACACAAGCAGCATAGGAAGGTAAAATATTGCCAGGAACAATAGAAAAAGCGAGTGACTCTGACTAGGTGTAGAAGAGGAAGCAAATGGGGCTTTACCTACGGGTGGACGCCCCTATGAATAGACCTGCATGACCCTTGCGCGAATCAACATTGGTCCAGGATTCAGCTGACACCAAGGTAACCTCCCGGGGGCTGGTGAATAGCCACCGCCGAGTGCGAGACACGCATAGCGCGATCTTTTGCCAATTGCCAGCTGTTGACGTGACGCGCACACATGCATCTTAAAGCTCGTAGAAACAGTCGGTGCACTCTGCTTTTGAAGATGTTCAAAGAGTTTTATTATACTCCGTACTCTATAGCAGTCGTTGAACTCCGTGTACTTGTACTTGTACTGAACAAGCCTACCCAAGCGAACATGTTGGGTAGTTAGCCGACTATCAGTAGGATGAATGGGTCACTACAGGAACGGAGTTGCTTGCCGGGAAAAGCTCCATGGGCACATTTCTCCGCCCTCAGCACTAGTTCCCCTGATTTGCTTGTAGCCCTCATATAGTGTGTTGCCTATTGGAGGCTAGGGACACTCCAGGTTTGCAACTTGATCTACGGAGCACCCGAAGCTGCGGGCCAGCAATTGTACAGCCATGATAGCGGTCGAGTTGTGGCAGAAATTTAATCATTCAAGACCAGCAGTAGTGTGTTGGAGGCTGAATGTTTCATCCTCAGGTACGAAGTACGGTGTATGATTCGATGTAGAAAGGGCCTTTAGCTTGACAGCTGTGGTGAAAACATGCTTTGCAGGAAAAGAATTTCTTTTTTTGGACAGCGGGTGAGGTAGACAGGCCGCAAGCGTGAAGCACAAGACACATAGAATGAAGCTGTTTACATAGCCGTGAGAGCGTAAGGTGGATTTACGCACCATAACGGTATGTGAGATGAATTCTTGTGTGTCAATTATTATTCCAGGAAAGTCGCTCCAAAATGTTTTACTGACAACGATAGCACCTCAACATGATGTGTTCCCTCCCTTTCATCTGCCATTTGGCCGCAGGTGCAACCTTAAATCTCAGCTGAACGGCCGCCTAGACCGAGACCATCCAGTGTCTGTCGAATCACAACCTCAAGCCCGCGTTACTTCCAATAGGCCCATGCAATCGGAACCATGGCATGGCATGGCTGTGCTATGCTGTGCTGGGCTTCCCTCTCCTAGACAACCCAGCTCTTGGACCTTAGCCGGTCATCCCCCCATGTCCATTGGGAGGACCAGTTGAGCAACAAGATGCGACCCTAACTTTTGTGTCTTCCTAAGTTTTCACCGGAGGAGGGCCAAATGCTGGTGCAACCCCTCTCTCTGACTTTCTCTCGAATGGACCAAATCGTTCATCACGAACACTTTTTCTAAGTGTGCTCGATACATCGCGATACACCGAGACAGTCACGCTCGCTTCGAATCTCCATTCCTTGTGTTATATTAAAATTACTATTCTCGACATATACTCCAACACCAGTTCTACGCGAACTTCGATCCGACGATTTCAACGTTTTCTCCCACTATGCGCGCAGCGCAGCGTGCCGAGCCGAGTACTATACCAGAGCCGTATGTCGTGCCCACATCCGGCAAGTTCGATGGCAATGATGGAAATTGGAGCACTTTCAAGATAAATATCGGGACACCCGGACAGGACTTCAGGGTACTGGCATCTACACAGAGTGGGCAGGCATTCGTGGTCGTTCCAGATGGATGCCTGGAACAAGATGGCGCAGACTGTCCGAACCTGCGTGGTGCAGAGATATTCCAGAGCTCTCAGAGCCCAGGCTTCCGGGCCAACAATTCAAAAAGCTGGTCGCAAATCGGAATCTTTGGTGTTGACCTGGAAGAGAGGCTTAACATCAACATCACGGGTCAATTTGGATATGACAACATCGCCCTCGGTGACGCTGCTGCTGGCAGCGAAGCGCTTGCGCTGGATCGACAAGTTGTCACAGGCATAGCGGAAATGGACTATTTTTTGGGACATATCCCACTGGGCATAACAAAGTCCAGTTTCAACAGCTTGGGCTTAGCGATCGATTCATTCATATACCAACTGAGGGAACAGTCCAAAATACCCAGCATTTCGTTTGCATATACCGCTGGCGCAAGGTATAGGTTGAAGTCGGTGTTTGGGAGTTTGATATTCGGCGGATACGATTCGACCCGATTCGAAGCAAATGACACTCCTTTCTCATTCACGTTCTCTACAGATCCCTCTCGTCTACTCACGGTAGGGGTCGAGTCAATCACGGCAACCAATACGCTGGATGGGACCTCTTCACTCTCCTCGTCATATCATTTCTCCCTCATCGATTCCACTGTCTCCCATCTTTGGCTTCCGGAAGATATCTGCGACAACTTCGCAGTTGCCTTTGGGCTCACATACGACAACCGCACACAGCTTTACACCGTGAATGATACAATACATGAACAGCTGACCGCCAAAAATCCATCAGTAACAATCAAGCTCGTCAACTCGATGCAAGATTCATCCGTAAACTTTACCAACATCGTTCTACCTTACGCCGCCTTTGACTTACAGGCATCATATCCCTACTATGATAATGCCACAAACTACTTCCCGATTCGCCGTGCCACAAGCGATAAGCAATACGTGCTCGGTCGTGCGTTCCTACAAGAAGCATACCTAATCGTTGACTACGAGCGCGCGAACTTCACAGTCGCCCAAGCCGCTTTTCCGGACCCTCTCCCTGCCGCCGACATAGTAACCATCAAACCTCCCTCCAATTCAACCTCTACCACTTCACCATCCTCTTCAGGGTCAAGCCTTAGCACAGGTGCTATTGTCGGGATCGCGGTTGGCGGTGCCGCCGTCCTCATAATTCTCGGCGTCGTAGCATTCTTCTTCGTACGTCGCAAGAGACGTCGGGCGGCCAACGCGAAGTACGAGCTCGAGAACACCCAACTTCCCGGTTCGACCCCCTACCACGACGCAAATTCACACAAGAATCCACTTTCCGAGCCGCAGGAAATTTCTGGGACGCCGTTGACGGAACTCGCTTCGCCACTCCCACGTTCCGATCCAAAACCTTTCTACAGCCCGACGGATGTTCTGCAAGAGATGGACGCGACTCCCCTTGTGCCGGCCACGCCGAGGTGGGAGGAAGTCACGGCCGGAGACTACCACGAGATGGACACTCTTTCGCCGCGGGCGGCCAACGAGACTTACAGCAGGGCTCCGAGCGAGGATGGGAGACAGTCATCAACGGGCATCTCGCCAATGACGCCGTCGCCAAGAATCGATTATCAGTATCACAGGGGGTAAAACATAATGGATTGAATATGTATGGATTATGGGACTCATTACCCCTGGGCGTTTGGGTTTTCATTTGTAATATCTCTTCTTCTTCTATGAAGTTTTTTGATACCAATCCTTTTAGCGTAGCATATATTTTTGGCATGTCTAAATACAACCAGAGCGACAAAGCTCAAGTAATCAGAAACTGCTCTAACGAGACCAAGTCTATCGTACTTGTAAGGTTATGTACTGCAGAAGAACACTTAAATACGAGCATGAGCAATCATATATATATTATATACATTATACATATTCCTTTTCTCTGCTCAACCACGACCATAAAACGAGCAAGAGGTACTCCATCGCTATGCCATGAATGCGTATAGCTCCCCCATAATCATAATAACGTGATCGTTTAGCCAGTGTCTAACGCCTGTTTCCCTTCAAAGATAACACGTGCCCACAAATGGGAAAGCAGATTCATGAACGTCTGACACGTTTGCCAGCAGGCTCACTTGTGGTGCGATCGACTTCGGTCGACGCATCTTCTGGTTGCTTTTGACCATTAGCGTTTTCCGACTCCAGCACGTTAGAAGGCTTCTTCTTGATAGACCGCGGGCTCTTGAGATCCCACGGGGCCTCAATCGAGAACGAGAGGACTTCTCGCTTGGGCTTATGTCCTACAGTGGCCTGTACCCCAGTCTCCTTCTTTGAATTTCCACTCGGCTCTTGATCAACTTCGTCATCGCTCTCATTTTCGACCTTCAAATGCTTGCTAAAAGCCTTTTTCATGCGATCCTCTCGCTCCTGGCCCTTCTTGTCGGAGAGGGAAAAGAAACTCGAACGTTCTGGTGCAGTAGTACTATTGGTTACGGAGTCAGAACTCTTCTCCCCTTTCACTTCCTCCTCTTCTTCCACAGCTTCGCTGAACCCCCACATCAGGCCAAGCTCGCCACGCACGAGTGCCGTTAGCCATAAACTTCCAAGAACGCCAGGAACGAGATATAGTAGGGCTGGCTGTGCATGCCCCCAGATCTGCATAACACCAAGAGTAGCTAGCATGCCGAGGATATACCCAGTCAAACTGGCCTTGAAGTACACCTTTGGGAAAGTAAAGGGCTGTTCCTGTCGACTGGTGCTGGAGGATTTGAAAAGCGGACGCCCAAACAATGAATGAGTCCAGAAGTGGTCACTCCATCTGCCGGCTAGCGAGAAATACTTCGCCTTTTCTACGGTTTCATGGTCTTGTCCATCAACACCAGCCCGCTTCACGAGTTTCTGCTTGCGAAGATAGAAGACGAAAAGATCGAAGCGTAAGGCCAGGCCTATCATAATACCAGGAAGCACGACATCCCCCAAGCCAAGCATAGCATGGGATGCTGCTGAGCTAGGGGCATCTGGGGGGGATGGGCGAGGAAATACAAGTTTGATTGGGACATCCAGTGACTTCGCTACTGTTACCATCATTGGTCTGGCAATCGTGTCAGTGCCGAGATCGGGTATACGGTTGATGAATGTATACTCACGTAAAGAAAACAAAGTAGATATCGTAGAAGAATAGTGCACACAGGATCAGGCTTCCAGTGCCAAAAGTCGTGGGCGACATCAGTTGCAAGGCGCCATAGGAGAACCCAAATCCCATGAGATTCGTCAAATACCATGGCTTGTCCACAAAATTGAAATAGAGTACGGAACAAAGAGAGATGGCGAAGCCGACAATGCCGTGGGCGCCGAGAAGCACCTTCCCAGCAAATACGCGATGGATATACATCCGTATCGTCCATTTGTTTTTAGGCATTGCCCGATCGCTCCATAGAATGTTTAGAAAGCCCTCCGTCAATGGTATTCGATTCAAGAAGCCCGGAAGTGGAGATTTCTTTTCTTCGTTGCCTTCGATTCTCCCATCGACTGGCAAGGCCTTCTTCTCGTTTCCATCGACATGATAGAGTGCACCTCCTATAGCGAACCTGTGTGGGTATATGAGCGAGTGTCCAATATCCAATGCATCTGTAATTAATCGTGAAACCGAGAAAACCGCAAAGATGGCAAAATAGCCATTCAGGATTTTATTGAGCAGCTTGGGATCGTCGAGCCACTTTATCAAGAAATAGAGCCCTGCAAGTGTGCATCCCGCCAAAAGCGGCATGAGTATTGCATCGGTTGGAGATAGGCCCTCCATCTTGTATTCTTCTTCTTCGTCCTCATCGTCGCTGTCCTCGTCATCATTGCGGTCGGCTTTACGTTTCGTGGGCTTAGCTGCGGAGGTAGGCCGTGATAGAGATGCGTGGGCTCCTGTGTAGATTGGAAATAGCGCGGAAGCTATGAGGTGTATATACGTGGGTAATAATGGACGTATCTCTACGAACTCGGCGGTCGCGCGACCAAGTAGACGGCCAAACAGATCGGCGTCCATTCTCAGCGGATGCTACAGTGCTTGGACGAAGTGGCGAGTCCAGCGCAAGCAATCTAGCGACAAAGATCGGTATGAACGATTGTGACAGTCGTGCTATATGTCGTTGGCTCGATAGCTATACAAAAGGGTTGTTCGGTCGCGGGATTGACAGTGAAAGTGAATGTGAACGTGGAGTTTTGAACCGCCAAACATGACGCACTAAATGCAGGGACCTGCACAGACCAACCGATCCAGACCCCATACTTGCTGGATAGGTACACGGTACGCAATTAACTACGTTCCTACAAATGGAATAGATGGATTGCCGTTAATTTTTGTCAGTGTTATTCGAAATAGCAGGGCTTGCAAGTATGTATGTGTTCAGTTGTACAAGTGCAAGAATTCGCAGTTCCATGTGTAGGAAACAATTCCTAATTTACCTGCGCATCTACGATACAACCATCCTCGACTAGGTATGTACGTGGACACTGAACAGCGAGATGAGATCCATGCACGGCATCATTGGGCATAAACACATTGAATATTGGTTCAAATACAGACAGAAGCTTTCCTTTTGTAAAAACCTGATCGAAGATAACGCTTCTGTACCGCTAACATTGAACCCTCACCTCTGTACCAATGAGCATCTACGTGTATGGTATCCTAGGGATGTGGCCCTTACAAAATGTCCAGCTGCAATCAAAAAATAGCCAATACCATTCATCACGATTAACGTGATAATTCAAGTATATGCCCAGGACCAGGACGCAGACCTCGCTGGCTTAGATACTACAGTCGGGAACTATGCTCTCTCTGATCGCAGCTCATTCTGCAAAGACAAGCCACCAGAGGGGAATACGTCATTAATTAACGCCTAGTTGTTGTATGGCGCCTGGTGTTATATGGGTTACTACTGTGTATGATGCGGCTTATCCAACACAGGTGGTACTCTTGGATTACTAGATGTAAGAGCTTGAAACAACGACGCAAAATCATCCTCATCACATACGCGGTCCTCAAGAAATTCAAAATCATAATGATGCGGGCCCAAGTCAAGAGAGATGACTGCCGAAGAAATATGACTGTATGCTCTTGGTGGTTTCCAGGATTCCCACGTATGAAGCATATGGTACTGACACACGAGTACGAGTAGTATCAAAGGGCAAGGTCAAAGTTTGGGACTGGACCGGAACGGTGCGGCAAGCGCCTTCAGGAAAGACCGAATTAGAAAGATCGACTTCTCTGATAGGCAAATTCTTTGCAAGGATTTAAAAGCACTGCACTTCATGGGCGGCGAGTGCAAGCAGCGGTGCTATTGTTTCAATGCAGATTTGTGGGCCGACGAAGATCAGGGTTGTTGTGGTCATAGATGTGGTCGGAGGAGTCGGAGGATACAGCTCCCTACAGTCCAGCAATAGTCGGAGCCTTCCATGACGTCTTTCGACACGCCCTTGTTTTTTTTTCTACAGAGCAATGTGCACACTTGGGCCATGAAAGGAGAGATGGGAGTTATCCATCCTGCCTGGGCGAGAGTCATTTTCCTGTTCGTAGGGCCGAACCCCTTTCGCAACAACCAAGGTTGCGATGAATCTGACTGGGGATTGTTGGCCTGTACGAACCGAAGTCAGCGAAAAGACCAAGCTTGCGAACCTCAGTAAGAGGCCCAAAAGCAGGCTGGGGCGTGCGTGAAGAAACTCAAGGGAGCAAGGCCACGCGCAAGGAGCTATTGTAGGTCTAAGTTGGTTCGCATGGGCTGATGTTTGCATTTGTCTTTAAGCTACGAAAGCCGGAGCAGGATCCTAAGGAAGTTGAGGGGTTGAGATGGCATGGATGCCTGGATAACCCACCTTGGAGCGATTGTGACTCTGGCAGAGTCGGTTCCGAGATGGTGACCAGGTCGGCGGCACTAACACCTAGGCACCTCTCTTTTTGTAAGCACCTGCTCCTGTTAACCGTTTCCGAGGATTATACAAGTGACTATTACTCCGTTTACAAAAGGCAAGAAGTCGCAGCACGGAACAGCTTCCCCACACTAGGCAGTTTGGACCGTGAAGAATTGCTCCTAAGGAGTCATCTTGCCGGGTATGTGCAATGTGATCTGGCGTTGGGCTATGCAAAAGAGCATCTATTGACCGAAGGGAGTATTGACAAGTCTTGGGACAAGCAGTGACCTATAGCAGCATTGGCCTACCCCCTCCCCCTCCTCTATCCTCATCACTCTGAGTCCTCAGACTCCTGAGTCCTCCCTCACACATCTCACACACCCATGCTTGCCATGGTCAGTCCATCTTCTCGCTTCCCTCTTCACGGACTGGCCTGACGTCTTGTCTATTTCGTGGCTATTGTGCGAGGGCAGCAGCAACAGGCGCCGGGGTAGCCGGATGTTCCTGGCAACGAGCAAGTTCTAACGCCTGTTAGTCCTCTCAGTTGGTGCCCAGCTATCTTTCTAGCGTCGCATGCATGCAATGGACCGCCGCCTGCCGCAGGTTTGGGCGAAGAGGTGTGGGTGCGTGCGGTTCTGCCGCTGCGAGCTGCTCGCTGATGGTGGAATTGTTGGTTTTCGATGGCGGTTCAGATCAAAGATCTCATTTTCGCGTGCCCGCCCCGCGGAACACATTCCTCGGGGCGGGAGGGCATGTTTATTGTATGATGAGATGCGGGTTGAACAGCGGCTTTGTGGTTGATCGCTACGCCTGCAATTTAGAATTTTGCAGCGAGTGGCCACTCACGGTGGAGGCGGAAGGGACACATTCATCATTGACAAAGGTTGTGACAGGGCTGATCAGGCATTGGAGAAACACGGACGCTTCGATAAAAGCAAGGATAGTGTCGATCCAAGGTTGATCACCATGTCCAAGTACACACAACACACACACCAGCACACGTCGCCGTCGACGCGGCCAAAGAACGATTGCCATACCATACCATGCCCTACTGTCCATACCTCGCTTGTTGATACACTCGAATAACACGACCTTGGTGCACGAGAAGGCCTGATCGATCGCCCTATGTCAGGGAGATGACGATGCTAGGACCGTGAAACAGTCAGGAACCCAACCCAACAGCCTCGCGGGAGCAGAAAGTTGGATCTACGATGGAGGCAACATTGTGGGGGTGATGGCATTGGTGCTATGGGCGTATGGGCGTTATGGCTTATGGGCTTATGGGTGTGGTTAGGGTGGAGTTCGTGGGAAGATGGCGCTCCGAATCGACCGATACGGTGCGACAAGATGCGACCACCACGGCTTCTTCTTCTGCTTCTGCTTCTGCTTCTGATTCTGATTCTGCTAACTAACAAATTACTAGGGGAGCGTGAGGGGGAGAGTTGGGGTTTAGTATGCTTGATGATTTTCCAACCACAGTTCTCATGTTGATTGCCACAGTTCTTAGCATGTGTACGCGACCCATGTAAGAATACTTCGGCGGTAGACCTACTTGTACAAGTACATGTACAAGCCTGCCAGCATACAAGCAAATGACTATCATCGCAAGTAACTACTAAAAGTGTGGCATGGATGATGGGATGATGGGGACGGTGCCTCGTAGGTGTAGGGGACAGGGATGCTTGTGGTGAATGGAAGAAGGAGATAGGGGACGTGATTGGCGGTAACACCTTGACACTAGCGGGTTCCGGCAGAGGTTCAACCCTGAAGGTCTTTTTCCTCGTCTGTCCAAGGCACAACCACGACTGTGGTTTACAGCTCTTCTAAACGTCATGTGGACTTGGACAATGCTCGCCAACGGCGCTGGCGGCCTCGTCTAACCTGCGTGGACCAACTAGGTAGACTACTATTACGAGTACTATTTCCAGGAGCCTGCACTAAGAAACGAGAACTGGCCCACTCATATCTCATATCAGCCTGATGCTCCGTCGAGTAAGATCCGTTTCGACCGAACGGTTTTTTCTTTCTCTCTGCTACATCTACCTCGTAACTATCCTTCATTAAGGTTTATTACCTTCCTTACGCCGAGTTGTAGTTGGTTATATGCACGCTTCGCTCTCTCAACTCGATCAAGCCGATCAACACCCACCATATAGGCTCTGCCATCTAATACACACACTCTCTTCTCGCAACGGTCTTCCATTCCTCCCTCCCTACTTACCTCCCTCTCTCAACCAGCCAGCATATCATCGCTGATCTCTACCTCCTCCGCTCATCCCAATCGAACGCTTTATTAATCGATACCCGTCCCATTCCGCAATATCAATCTGCTGCCTCGCGGCAATGTACATACATTGACCCATAGACTACCAATCGTTCCAATATGATCCAACGACACTCCTCTCCATACTCCAGAACAGCCAGCCCCCGGCCTGAGACATTCAGAAAAAGAAGCAATTCCTTCCCTCTCGTGGATGTCCTAGGATGCTCGACACCAGAAGCAGAGCTGATACTTGCCGAGGGCAGAGCTGCGGTTCGAAGTCGCCTTGCTCAACAGAAAAGGCGTGGACGGAGGAATCGATCAGCGGACGACGACACTTTTCCTATGAGGCCAACCGATCATATCCACTACCTAGAGCAGCGCGTTCAAGTCGAAGAGCCAGACACCGGATTCTCTGAAGCCCAAATTCCCGACACTCGCCACGCCCGGGTATCGTCCAACATTACTGACAAGAGTGGCTCGACGATAACGGGACTTGCACCACCTGTCCGAACAATGACTTCGCCTCCTCTTTGTCCTGCCAGTCCTTTGGGAGATTATTCTGCCAATCTCGCGAGGTTCATTCAGTCTCAACTCGAATCTATTGCGTCGTACCAGCCATCACCAACCTCTCCACGCTCATGTTCAGATCTTGCGGTGCAAGTCAAGTTGCAGCCTCGGTCACCTATCAGTCCAACAAAGCGGCAGTCCGTCGCCCCAAACTTGATTGACATACCTCCTGTTCGACCTCCACTTCGTAGCCAGTTCTCTGCCTGGAGCTCCGCGGACGACAGCGAGGATGGAGGCGACAACGAATTAGGATATTCCCTAGGACCAGTGCCGACCTTGTCATCTGTCCCTAGATCTTGTACAGGAGCCACACCATCGATTTTGCAATACTATGAGACCGCCAACAACGCATCCTTTTTGTTCTCCTCAACGCCACTCGAAGAGGAACACAAGGAAGGGGAGCATCCCAATGCCGAGGGTTTTACTTTTCCCAGTAAGCCGCCGTTAGCGGCTCACGAGACGGACCCAGGTTCCACCCAATACGATTCAGACTATCCCTCATCCGCACTCTCCTCCCGACCTCAACTCACAGCCTCATCTGCCCCATCTTTTACCTCTAGTTCTACGGCGTCCTATTTCGATTGCAAGCGTCCAATAGCTGCTATCCCGCCACAGGTACGGGATCGGATAATCGCTGCCGTCTCTCCTCGAGATCCAACTAAGAAGGTTGTTCATGCCACTTCGCCATTTGAGGGTGATGCCCTGGCAAATGTCCATGAAATCTTAATCGAATCTCAGCACAGGGTTCTCGTCGATGGTCTGTCGTTCGACCTGGTGCAGAACATGGATGTGTCCGATGTCGTACCGCGAGTAACGACACAATGCTAATCTCCCGACTAAGCATCACATATCACCCTCGTGTCAATCCCCAACAGCACGCGACAGTGCTCCAACATTTCCTTCGCATTCGCAAGTTGTTTTATTACCAACTTCTTCTTTACCAGTACGGACCGATTGCGCCTCCAAAGGATTGGTTATCCCGGAACAGCCGGTCTGACCTGGCTGCCGCTCCCTTGGCGCGTACTCGCAAAAGATTATCGTATCCTCTTGTAATCATTATTGTTTTTTCTGTTCATGCGCACACCATTATTCAGCGGGGTTCGGCGTACATGAAAGACTCTAGACTGAACACGGTCGCTGACCTGGTTTACTCGTTACGGCAAATTTCGTTTCCTTTGTAACCGCTTCTACGGCCTTCGTGTCCCTTTTTTGTTCTTTGTCGATACTTTGTTTTCTCTTCATTTCGTTGTTCTGGGCTGTTTCAATTTCCTTTTGAAGATATCCCTCGTACATTACGAATTTGACGTACACGTAGCGCTCCTTTCCAAAAGGCATTTCATTAGCATTGAAGTATTTGCAGGAGGCAGAATTGCAGGTCTTCCCAGGCTGGAAGAGGAGGAACAGTATATTATCATATCCGCTGGGTCAATACAAATATTCTCGATCCAATCAATATATGAATATCGAGAGTCATTGCCATTTCCCATTTGAAGTATTGTTGTGAGGGAGACAAGAAGTAACAGTTGATCGAAATCAGCTTACAACTTCTTCGTATCCGACTACCACCCAACTTGACCATCCTGCAGCAGACATACTAATCATCTTCTTTCCCCTCAACCTAGATACCTCAGTGAAGTCGTCTACAAACTTTGATGTCACCCCCAGACCTAGTTGCCCACTCTCGTTAAGTCCAGCAGAAAAGACGGTTCCCATCGCACGACCGCTTTGCTCAACCTCCACCGCCACCAGAAGATGCCCCGACCCGATAGCGACATCGGTAATGCGAGCCTCCTGCCCATCAATCGCGATAGAAACGCATTGGACAAACTCGTCGCCAGCTTCATCCCCGGATTCGCCGTCATCATTGACATCAGTCCGCCTTAGGGCTTTGATTTCTCCCTCCGTACCTGGACACGCCTGACCCCACAGAAACAGTTCACCCTCCTCGCTTACTGCCGCTGACATGTACCCGCCCGAGGCAATCTTCACAATCCGGGTTTCGGAGAGATACGGGATGGGATTTGGAGTGTCAGAGGGCGCATCGTCGGGCGAGGACGGACGACCCAAGCATTGAGGGAAGCGAGGGTCCAACGTCCAGGTGTAGACTTGCCCCGATATCGTGAGGGCCGTTGTGGTGGTCGCATTTGAAACGAGTTGCTTACACGGAGGAATGGCCTGAACGGGAGGACTGCTTGAGAATTGTGGGTTACGCAGCCAGAGTTCGGCATCTTGCAGAGAGGTAAATGAGAGTATTGTGTTGTTGGTTGATTTTGGGTCGTTCTGAGACTGGCTTCCTTCCATCAAGAGTATCACATGTCCGCCGTTGGTGATGGAGATGTTCAGGATATCGTGCTCGTGTCTCAATACGGTACCAAGTTCCACGGCATCCTCATCTTGGTGAAAAAATGTGACTGTTGGTGGGCATATCTTGATAATCCCATTGAGGCCTTCTGAAAGTGAGTTGCCGAAATAGCGAGTGACAAGCGTCTCATTCTGTCGGAGGTAAAGCGCCTGGCTTTCTGTCACGCCTTGACCAACATAATGCAGAGTAGTAGTCTCATTCGCAGGGTAACGATTCTCTCTATTTTTCACTGTTTCAATCAATGAGCACTTGTGTTGCTCGATCTGTGGATGGACATGCTGTGAGAGAACACACCTACGGCATCACACCAAGACGTCCACACCACTTCTATTGAAGCACTCCGAAGGATACAGATCGGGATAGCGGCAAGTTGGTTCTGGGTATCTCTATTGATTGCTTCGCCAACATCGAATTGAGCATGACCGTTGAAGCCAAAGCCATAGAGTTCCATACCAATGTATTGTTACCCACCCTTTCTTTCAATATTAATCGGGTACCTCCTTGGTACGATTGACAATTCAATTGATTCGGACAGGAGCCTTCTTTCCTTTGTAACCCTTGCCACTCACTGGGCTGCTGCATACGCAAATACTAGCTAGGAACGTCGTCGTCGGAGAAGATGGCCAAGGTCGTCGTGGGGCAGACACGACGCAGGATGATAGACAGTCGACAGTATTGAATATGCGCCCGAACGGGAAAGGCGCCGGCACCAGCTACCTGGATCAGAAGATGGACGGGGGACCCCTGAATAGTCACGTGTGGTCGCGAGTCATCATCCCAATCTAAACCCACCAAAGTCATCAGTCAATCCCTCAGGGACTTCAGGGCAGCATCTCTACTCACGACTCCACGAGTCACATCTCCACAATCTCACAGTTCACGGTTCACATTATGCTTCAACACAGATCGTGCAGCAATAGATTCGCGATGGCCAGCAACTCTGGAGCCCCTGAGCCGATCGCGACCTAGAGGATATTTAGGTCTTCATTTTATCCAGGGACAATGACATCACAGAAACAGAACACAGACGGAGACACAGACCCTCTTTTCCCACGACGATCATCGGTTTTTTTTTAATGTCATTACATTCGCCTGGCCGCCCAACGCGCATAAGGCATTCATTTTTGTCCCTGACCTGATTGACTGTTGCCTTGACGCGATGGCTTGTCGCCCTTGTGTCGCCGCCAATCCACCGCATATTGATCAGCGCGGTGACTGAACGCTCATTCAACGGCAGTCCGCAGACAGCATCATCATCGAAAGCCTTCCTGCCTTGTTTGTCCCCCAAAGCCGACACCAAATTGTCATCTTGCATTAATGCTGAAACCCCAGTATGCAAGCCAGCGATGCAAGGGGCGGGTACCCAGGCGATTTGCGTACCTGCATGAAAGATGATGGGCTAAAAGTCTTAGATGATATTGCCCGGAACCCATACTCTAATCGCGCGAGGACCTCCCCTCCGTCGTGATGCTTGATTGCAATTCTCTGTCAGACTTATGTACTTCCTGCACATGCACGTCTCGGAGCATTAACACCAAGTTGCGGACAATAACAAAGAGCCTTTTGTGCAGGTACCAGGTTGATTATTGCTCTTCTGTCACCGGGTTTGCCGATTTGCTGTTGCTACCCCGCACAGGGACAGCCATGCAGCGTTGACCGTACCGCATTATCCCTTGTACTAGGTAACAACGAACAGTTATTACTCCAAATGCCAGTCCGTACAATGAAGGCTCTTGGCCTTATTGCTGGCTTACTCTTGCGTATGCCAAGAACTGGATTGAAGGATTGAAGACTCATAACAAAAGAGTTCATCCAGTGTAACTCCGCCACCAACGACGTCTATTGGTGCTCACTCAGCGCAACTGGAGTTTCATCCCTCATTAACCAACCACATTCACTCTTATCCACTTGAAACATAAATCTTCAAACAAACATTTCGTCATAGGCAGGCGGAGGTGTGTTGTCTGTTTAAAGTTTTCAGAATTACCAACACACCTCTGGTTTCCGTTGAGCAGATCCATCGGAGTTGGTCGTGGTTTCAATGTGAGACAAACAAACACTCTCGGATGTCTCGCGAGATAAGCTTTTATCCTTTCAACCTGCAGCCCACCTATGCACGAAGATCGGTGATCTCTCTTGTAGTGCACCATCCAGGAAAGTTTGCTAGATGTTGCGACTGAAACTAAGGTCCCGTAATTCTACAACGGAAAGGTTTGATCTGAAGACTGATTGATGTGGGATCTCAGCGTTGTTTTTGAAGCCTTTGCAGGTTTCGCAGAGCATCTAAATTCTAGTCATTGAAATGCTCTCATGTTGGTGCTACCGTTGAGGGTGAAAGATCTCACGAACTGGATGATCTTTTTGGGATCAGATTGGCATATTGCTTCACCATCTCACAAGTATATTGCCAGAAAGAATAAAGATATACACAAAGCATGTTCTCATTACACAATCTACAGGAGCAGGACCCATGTTTGATATACTAGAGCAAGTACGAATGTGTCTTTGCTGTCCAAGAAAATCGCGGGTAGGTACATCGCTAGGTAGTTGCTGGTAATCAACCCTCACTTCAAGTTGACTTACCTTCATTAATATTGCCTCTCTCAGTAGCTACTTCGATCGGTAGCCTAGAACTTCACCCTCAATGCATTGACGAGCTTTCTGATAACTCTCAGTGCCTCTCACTATATATCGTGAACGATATTGCTTCCAATTGCACCACAAAAGAATTTCTCTCACCTTTCTACTTCTTCAAACTTACACTCCAGCTCTATCTTCCACCCATTCTTACTCAGTCTATATCAATCATATATCGATACACCATGGGTGGACATGCCTTTCCTCGCCTCCACACCCCACGTATATCCCGAGAACTCTATCTCAAAACCCGCAGTACAGCCACCAAGGCTCTCAGCAAGATATTCCGCCACATCGTGGTTCCTTCCGAGCTGCCCTCGAAGCTCGACTTTGGCGATGTCGACTTACTGGTCGCAGCTCCATGCACTGTTGCCCCATCTCTCCACTTCGACTACGACCACCATGTCTCCCTCATCAAGGCCGCCCTCAATACTCCATATGGCCGCAAGGGAGTCAAGGCGGAGGAGACCATGTTCTTTGCTGTTCCTGCCACTGATCAAGACGGTGACATCTTCATACAGATCGATGTCAAAGTGTGTGAGCGTCCAGAATTGTTCGAGTGGGCGCACTTCCAGACATTGTACGCGAGTGCCTCGAAGATGATAGGCAGTATGTGACGATCGAGACTCGCCATGTTTGAATCAATTGACTCACTTCACATAGGTATGATCAAGCCACTCGGTCTTACCATGGATCCAACTGGACTCCACATACGGGTGGAGGGAATGGAGAAAGTCAACTTGGCCGAAAGCATGATCTATCTGACCCGTGAACCGGGGGAGGCGCTGAGTCTTCTTGGTCTGGACAAGAGAATCCTAGGTGCCGGATTCCAGGAAAATATTGAGTGCAAGTATCAACCTTACTGGAGAGTTTCTCGCGATTGGGTCTCTGACTTCCTTGCAGTGTTCGAGTATCTAACCAACTTCTGGCTGTTCAATCCAGCTCATTTTGCCGAGCGGCTCAGGGAGGAGAATTATGTCAAACATTTGACTGAGCGCTCGCTGGCATTCGTGAAGTTCGTCAAGGAGTGGATACCTGATCGATACCCAGGCTACCAGTTCTTGAACCAAGAGGCGCAAGGTAGGCCTCTTTTATTATATCTTCCCGTTTAGTGGTTTACTTGTCGCAGACATCAACCGGTGGTACGAAATGAAACGAGTTGCCCTAAGAGAGACGGTCTTCACCAAGTACCCATCAGTCGCGATGATATACTACAAGAAACGAAAGTCCTATCTCAGGGATGTCGAGGAATTGCGTCTACGTGATCTTCTGAAGAAAACCATACCCGTAGGCTTGGACGGCTGGAACGAAGATCTCACTCCACCACGCATTATCACTCTGCCCGCCAATACTACCACACACTTACAATCAATGCCGTTGAAGGCACTCGAATCCGTGGATTCCGAGCTCGTCGAAATCTCACCGCCATCTTCACGACGAGACAGCGCCATCGGTTCCGATGACGGTTCTCGTTCACCGCCTTATTCAGCATCATCCGTTGATTCAGATGATAGTAAGGCATTATGCCCTATCGCTCCGCACGATGTCGCACTCCTGCTGGAGTCGCTTCCTCGCGACCCACCAGACAACATGAAACACATCCCGCGACCCCCTCCCTCTAACATGTCCATCGATGCTAAGTTGATATGCATTGCACGATGGACTTCGTTCACGTCTCAGGGCGAGCCTTATATTAGGCAGAGTACGCGCGAAAAGACCTTCGAAATGGCTTGGGCGGATAGTGGAGCCGAAGATAAGGTTCTCGTTCGGTGGGTGCGAGAAATGTGGTGGCCGATCTGGATGAGGCAGTCCAGAGTCAATTGGGTCGGGATGTGGAAGAAGAGGTTCGAGAAAGAAGACGCCAGGAGGGCCAAAGTAGAGCTCGAGGCACGGGAAGCTACGAATATGCAGATGGAAAAGGACGAAAGGCATGCGAAAGTCATGGAGAGGCTCCAGCTTGTGAATGAGTCACTCAAAGGTCATTTATGTGTATGAGAGGTACACATGGGCAGATTCCGAAGGCACAACAGTAGTCATTGGCGTGCAGATGCTTCAAGGTCGATTAGTAGTCTGAGAGACCGATTCATGGTTCCTGGATCTATTTTACTAGATAGCCCATCATTTGAGAAACCTCCAATTATTCCAACCCTGAATACTATTCACACGGAATTCATAGCATGGTCTTCGCAAAGTGCAAACCTGCCGCCCAATGCCATAACCTTGCATCGACCCTCTTGCCCTCCTCGCTGTACTTCTCCAAGCGCTGGAAGAGTTCATCAAGCGGCACGATGACTCTCTCAATGTACTCTCCATCTTCAAGCGCCTGCTCAGGCTCCTTATCACCTTCTTTCAGATTCACCTCGACGGTCGCAAGTTGCATGTTTGCGGTGATCATGCCCGGGTCGCTGACTATCGTCGGGCTGATGTAGGTTAGTTTCCCCTTGTATCCAGTCTCTTCGTGCAGCTCTCGGACGCTGGCTTCGCTTGGCGTCTCTTTCGCATCGATCAAACCTGCGGGGAACTCTACGCAGATTGCATCGACGGGCGGGCGATACTGCAGGATGATGATGGTTGATGGTGGGCGTGAAGGATGACGAATAATCTATGATGATAATCAATCTCTAATCGCATAGCTACTTTCATAAAAGCCATTGTGTATCGCTATTGAGAAGAGAGGGATAATTGTTCAAACGCACGGTACTGATAGCAACGGCATCCACACCCGATTGTCCGCGAGTCTTGCGCGCCGCCGCCTCCCATATGCGACCTTTACCCTCCTGGTCGCTCCAAGATATCTTCTGGAATTCGATCCATTTAGCCTCCGAGGCCGGCAGCGGCTCCACGTTTGTAACTTTGGGTGCTGAAGGCATGTCGTATGCGGGGCGGCGGAGCGGAGCTAGAAAGTGGAAGGAGCAAACAGCCCTCGATGATGATAGAGCCTTATGCGCAGGTCTAGATATTACGGAGCTGAGGTGTATAGAGCGCGGGCGAATGGGCATCGATTGGGTGTTTGTTGTTGTTGTTGTCGTTTGATCTAGTTGAGAGTACTGGGGGGTTCAAGGAGCTTTGGCCTCCCGTGCCCCGCGCGCGTCATAGATGATACGACGGCTCTCGCGACCTCACGTGGATAGCGTTCAAATATGAAGCCACTAAGTACGGCAATAATCAAGTCATGATATGTGAAAGCGGAGAATATCCCCTTTGTTAGACATTCTCAGAGGATATCGCCATTATAAAGGAAGCTCAAATTTGCACTTTATATGCGGAAGGCCCATCTCCGGATAGTGCAATTTGCGGAACACTATCGATCCTCAAAAACATACGATACACGGACGATATGTGAGAAAAGGCTCACATGATTGCGCTCTGGAATGAGGCATGATAGAAACCACTCTGTAGTGGAGATATTTCACCGATCGTATGTCGTCACAACTTAGCTTGACAATTGCCTAAGGGGACAAAAGAGATGTATGTGCAAGGTAGGTATCTAACAAGCACTGGGCTGGAGCATGGTTTCAATGATGGCTCCAACATGTATGAATTATGCGCAGAATATGAGACTGAATTAATGCGATCTCCTACTTCCCCGTTGCGTTGACCATAGACATGGCGTCACAAAGCAATGTAGAAAACAAGGCTATTACTATCTTGACTTGTGGAAATCGTAAAGATTTAACATGGTAAGATGATGTGACTCTCAGCGGCAGAGAGAGCATGATTGAGCATAAGGCATCGATTTGTTGCAGCTCTTCGTCCAAATTCCGACATTCTGAAATTCCGAGTTCGGCGTTGACGCATCTGGGAAGATTGAAATCATAGAAGATGGCAGGCGAAGTCGGCATTTAGAAAACGTAAGGAAGCGTCTGGTTTGATCAGTTCAAGTGACGCAGTACATCATGGTGGCTTTTAAATCATAACACACATTTCTAGATTCCGCGTTCAAACGCAGGAGCTTACGAGTAAGGATACAAGTTTTAGATACAACTGACATCAAATAGCGAAGAGATGCCCGCTTCAGAAACCTACCCAAGTGATATTATTGCCATATCTTGCCCAAGATTCTAACTAGCAGTTGCACATGTCCAAATTTCCTCCCCGGATAGACTTGGGCTAATCGCCGATCAAATGTTTCTCAGGAGCAAGTATCTATCGAAGGTACGTTGTGCTGGCCACTTGAACATCTCACCTCAATCGCATTGGTAGCCACATTGAGTATATCGTATCGTATCCTACCATACACCCGTGACTTCACGTCGCACCTCCGTATGTCCTCCCGCCGGTTATGCATCCACCCTAGCTCGTCCGATTCAGGAAAACCGACCCCTAAATGTGAGTGACAGTCATACCCGCCCGTCACCCCGTAATAGATCCAAAGAACCCCGTATTTGGCATCATAGGATCTCTATGAATTGTGCTAGATCCTTTGTCATCTATCTCTCACACATCCCACATTCGAGGATCCAACCAGCAGTGATGAAGCCAAAGTCCAAGTAACCCAGGAAGCCATTTCCCACCACACATTTCCTATTCTCTCCCCTCGAGTCTCGCAGTTCCTATCACCAACTTTTCATGCAACAGAGCTAATGATCCTCAAGTCCAGAGAGTAGAAAATAAACTCATATGCTTCGCACGATCACGCTCTCACAAGAAAAAGTAACAGAGCACTGGATGCTCCACTTTCCACTATCCCGAAACCAACCATCTCCAAGCCTCCTCCCTCCACTCAGTTCATCTACGCCAAACATACCAACAAACCCAATGAAAGAAAATACGATCGGTGGGTCCAATCAACGTTACGCGCAACCGTCACACAGCATGTATGACTTGCGTCTCATCTGACGCACACGGGAGCCCCGGGGGGGAAGGTGTGGAGTGGAGTGGAGTGGAGTGGGCCCTCTAGAGAATACACAGCCAAGTGGAAAAGCTGGATAACTACGGAGTACCTAGTGTTTGATTTCTTCAGCGGGCATGCCGACGAGCAAATCGGGTGCGTGCATGCATGGAGCTGCATGAGCGGCAACCGCGATAGGCGTTACATTCGATCGTACGGGAGGGAAGGAGAGAAAGCCAGGATGAACGGACAGGGGGTTGGTTTGATTCGATTTCACCGATGGGGGAGGGGGGTGAATGAATATGACGCCTTTAGTCTTTGCTTTTTATATCTAGTTTTCGTCTGGTTTCTCCCTCAAAGGGGACCGGATGAGATGGGAACATGAGCTGCAAGGAAGAGTTCTGGGGGACAAATGGTAAAGAGTCGCGAGTAGCAGGATGGTCGTTGAACGAATATACGCATGCAACGATGATAGTGGTGGCAACTGAGAAGCTATTGGAGGTTAAGACCTCTCCCGGTAATACTCACACATATACGAAGTTTACCCAATGTCTATTATGTATCTGCCGATCATCACTCCTCGAGGCCACTGAGAGTAAAGCAACATTCGATCTGATGGCGAATGAGCTGAGAGAAGATGACTCTCACAAACTCAAAATCCACTCTTTGGGTTTGTTCGTTATGTGTTCACGCATCATTGTGAGATAGTCAGATGAAGGATCCGCATTATCCTTAACAACCATAAGGAGATGCACATCTATGCAACGTGACCGAATACGATGATCGTGGAACCTTTCATGATTGGCTGCGTAATCTTAAGATTGTCACATAATCGACGGCTTAATCAATGTGAAGGAAACGCCGGAAATTCATAAGTGTGATTCGCGAGACTCTGATCGATAGTGATAATACAGATAGCGTAGCACCTTGGCGTAGCTCCGAGATAAGCCCAAAGGTTGAACGCCGGGCCTCGTAGTCTGTAAGCTCGATGGATGGATGGATACCCATTTATTGTTTCCAAATAAAATGCCTGCCAAACTTTGTCCTGGGTATAGACTCCTTCTCCGTATATTATGCAGTACTTCCCTTGTTCCCAAATCCGTTCAAACCCCAAAAAAGAGAACCGAGAAGAATATTGAACGCTAGTGCTGTGAGTTGTGACTGCGCCCGCAAAACAGATTCGAAAAGCAATAACAGAGCTTAAATCGGAAAGTGATAGGATAATGTCACCGTGTTTTCCAAAAATGTGAGAGTCAAATATACGGAGATAATAATACCGGATAGCGGTCGTGTACTTCATTATGCAATGTGGACGGAGGCATTTTTTCATCATCCTGTTGAATGGATGCACCGCACAGGATTCGTCATGGTGAGCATTTTCGTACAGGACGATATGCATCATGGATGTTAGTCGGGAAATGGACAGCAGCCAAGTAAAGCTGTAGATCAGCCTAGCAATACTGTACATGGTCAGAATGGTAACGTAACAGTAATGAAGCTAGAATTTCTTTACCTTCCCAGCCCCAGCCTTTCATGACACCCAGCCAGTGTAGACGACCCTTAACGGTCATATCAGGATGTAGTATTTCAGTCCGTGATTCGGACCGGTGTCTGACTTCAGTTGTATCCAGCTTGACAGGCTGTGTTTGAGGAAAGCCCATGAGGTCCTCAGCTGCTCGGCGTTTATTGTTGACATTTGGCCAGCAGACAAGGCCACTCTCTTCAGCATCATCTGTAAACTCATCAAAATCGCGCTTTAGCGTGGGTGTCGAAAGCGGATTGAGTTCATCATAGGCACTGGCGGCAAACGCATCGCGACGACTCCAGACTTCTTTGGTTATTTCTAAGCATCTCTCAACGATGCCCAATTTCATGCGTGCCGAAAGTAGCTCCCATCTCTCTTGTACCCATCTGCGGTCCTCAGGCTCAGTCATTTCACAACCAGCAGCGATAAGAGGAAAGATGTGAACAATTACTGAGCGAGACTTGATATTGACGGTGGCTAGCTCACATAAAGCCCTCTTGGCAAGTTCTGTTGCTGGCAAGGAGGGGACTTCAGGGACCGCTTGGTGGAGATAGAGTAGAGTGGCATATTGGTATGCTGCCGCCGTTCTCATGGTGTCGTGAGGGGTGGTAGATTCATCTTCGGGGTCTTCGATAAAAGCCGGTGGCGTCCATTTCTCGATCTGTGCCTTGAGTTCTATCGCTTGAGAAATGATACTCGGGCCGTTGCTGCCTGTTCTTCGGACCTTACGAACTAGATTGGCTATGCGGCCTATGATTGGAAAAAGGCTGCTCGCACATCCCATGAGAGGATCGACGCTTGAATCGTTTCCACCATTACTATATATGGCATCCGAGACAAAGTCGAAGTCGTTGGATTCGTCCTCGTCCGCAGAAGTAAGCCGAGCAATGACGTCCATGTAGATCCAGAGGTTGCAGAGGAATTTGAGTCGATCGAAGTCCTCTCCCCGCTGCGGTAAGTGACTGCGGTCTGAGAGTGCCCTGTGAATTAATATCTTCGCCCCTTTGATATGATTGATACCTGTCCTGATGTGTTGATCCCAAGATTCGGAGAAAGCCAGTGCAAGTGTCGTGGATATGGCTGCATCGACGCGCATATTGCCCAGATTTGCTCGCAGCGCGTGGACGGACTCATGCATGTGGTTGATCCCATGGATTCTGAGCATCGGGGAGTCTTTGGAGCAGTGAAAAGATGTCATTGAAGCTACTGCGTGGAACAGAGCTGGACAGTCCTTGGCCAAAGGCCATACCAGAGTGCGCCATGGATTTTCGGTGGGGCCATCTTTGACAGAGAGGACGCCACAGGTGTTGAGATCGAATCGACGAATGAGCATTTCGGGGGAAGACATTGACAAGACTGGTTGAGTCAACAGAGTCAATTTGCCAGATTCGGGGGAAGAGGCAGATGAGTCGGGAGGACTCGCTGATGAGCGACGTAGCGTCCATTGCTCGGGAGTTAGATCGAAGTTGCGTGGTATTTCCTCTATATCGTCATCTATCGTCTCTGTAGGTGGAGTGTATCCAGATGATTGGTAAAACGATTCAGGACACAGAGAACGAAAGGAGAAGTATTCCTCTGGCGGAACAGTGAGGTCTGTTCCAGGGAGCAGGAGATCGACCAGGCGTGGCGACTGCCCAGAGGATACGCTTGAAGCTGCAACTGTCTTCGTTTGGCTAGTTCCGATGCTATCGGCTTCGTAGGAATTGCTCGAGCTTTCGACTGAGCTAGGAGCATACTGTTCCAGTGGTGTTACCGGTGGAGGGGCGATAGTGTACTGTGGCACTTGTGGAATTGGATAGGGCTCCGTCGTCATGGGTTGGTATGGTGCATCGAAGTAAGTCTGAGTAGGGGGGAAGAAGTACATCAGCGGTGCCTCAGAATGACTGGGTGGGTAGTGGGATTGGGTGAAGCCAGGGTTGTATGCTGGTAGTGGCGCGGTCGCTGGCTGTGGAGAAGCTGGACTGTTGTTAGATTTTCCCGATGATGCATGCACACAGAATGTTGATGCTTGTAGGTGGAAACAAACCTTTCTTAGTCTTGGTGGTCGGTTTTCCCGTAAAGTTGCCTTCCTCGAAGGACCTCCATTTGAAGTCCTTCTTGTAGCCTCCACACTGGACATTGCGACGCGCGCACTGTTGACAGGTGGGTTTCGTCTCATCGCATTTCAGCCGTTTAGCTTTACATGTTATACAACCTGTATGAGAGTGAATTAGTATCAGCGATTTGCCCTTTCCCCTAAGCTAGACTCATTTTATTCTTAATTATGCTCGAATCTCGAGTAGCGGTAAACATCGCATGGTCGTGAACGGAAAGGGAGTGGGTGAACATACCGTTGCGGCTCTTGGATTGTTTCCTTTTAGTAACGGATACATTCGCACCGTTGGGATCTGCTACCTTTGGATCATCAGTTTTAGTAGAAGGCTGCTGCTGTGATGATCGATGGATGGATGTCTTCTTCAAGGGTGGAGGGCTGGGCAGGCCGGGGTTGGGAGAGCTGAGGAATAAGGACGGGGAGGGAACGGTCACCGTCTCCGCCATCTGCCGCGTGACGAGCTGCTAGCAGCGCGGGCCCTTCCCAGGCACAACAGCGTCTCGCCCACGGCGGTAGTTTTGCGATGGCGAAATACGAGTGGGAGATGAGATGTAGGTACGGAATAGTAGCGGAGATGGGTGTGCGTGTTGTGTGTATGTATGTACGAATGTATGTGCGTATGTATGTATGTAGTCTTATCGTTCGTTCGTCCCCTTCCGTTGCTTGGTAGGTAGGGTAGGTAGGTGGATACCTAGTTATCGAAGGTGTAGCGAAGAGGTTATCCGTTATCATGTGGAGGCGGCAGCGCGCGGGAGGGACTGACTGGGGTAATCATCCACAATAGGATAGACTTGAGGGGTTGGACTGTATAACTTGATCCTAGTATATGCCTAGACGCCTAGGTGCCTCCTTAGGTGTCGCCCGTAGGTGTCGCCTGTAGGAGTAGAGTGGGATGGGGGGGGATGTGGGTTTATTGTACAAGCGATGTGGAGGAGGGTCAGGGCGGCGCTCAGGCCCTCGGTCACTTTAATAGAACCTCAACCCCCCCAGTATGAGGTAAGTTCGATGGATGATGGAGGATAAGTGGCTTGATAGGTGGATGGATGGTGGATGATGATGAATGGATGGGTATGCAGACAGGCGACGGGCAGGACGGGAGGGTGTACTACCGTAGAACTACTGTACGGAGTACTTTAGGTACTTGATTGTACAGCAGCAGAACTACGGTATTCCGTAGATGGATGCTTCGCGGATGGATCGTGGCCAGGGTCGTATAGTATAAGACCTAATAATGTACAATCAGAGTGGAGGTAGGGAGCGAGAGAGTTAAAGGAGATGTGAACCAGAGGGGGAAGGGGGGTGGGAAGGGTGAAGGAGGTTAATAGAGGAGAGTTGGGATGGGAGGACGACGGGAACCCTGGAAACGCGAATCAAATACCTCTGAACTGCTTGCTGACTTGCTTCTGTGATCATACACCAATCTTAACATACCTTATTCTTCTTCCTCTTTTTACTCGTGGTCGAGATGATGATGATGATGATGATGCTTTTCTTCACCGTTATTTATATACGCCCATTGATCGACCGGCAAGTCTTTATCTGGTATACCACCCCCTCCCCACCCCCCCTTGGGTGTATACACAGATAGGTGGTAAATACATACGTGCATACATGTACACCTTGAGGTGCGTTGCGATCTACTCCGCCGATTGTTATGCGTAGAGTGCACCTGACCGTCGTCCTTGGACACACGAACGTGATGGATGTGGAGTACGGGAGTCGTCAGTGTGAGTACGGAAGTAGTGGGCCATTGCATGCATTTATCACCTTTGGAAATCAATCCCTTTGCATCATTCTGACCAAGCCACCCAGAATACAGGATACATGAGGTACCCAGGGACACGCCAGCGTACCTACCCACCGTGTGAATGGTCCCGTCCATCCACTCGATACATTCACAACCATTGTACATGTGCCAATGCACCGTACCGTATCAACGTATCTGGGTAGCCTTTTTGGCAATGTCCCCGTTGTATCCACCGCTTGCCGCTGTCGTTCTTCCTCCTTCTCCTCGAGTCCACACTCTTGAGACACATGTGGCAGGTGGGCTCTCGGATCCCTCATCCGCTCTGACTTTAGTATGTCTGTCTTGTGTTCCCGTTGCTTGTTCCGCTGTTCCCTCCATGTCTAATCTGTCTAATCTGTCTGTCCGTCCTGTCTTGTCCTTTCTTGTGCCTCCGTCAAAGCATTAGAAAAAAGTGTCAGTGCCCGTTATGGAGTATTGTCGCCGGTCTTGTAACCACTCCAATAGACACATATACCACGCCAGTAACACATACATATACACACACCCACACGCCCAGTCAACGGGTAGTCACCTACGTAGTCACTTGTACCGTATCCATGAACGGAGTATGTAGTCCATTGTACCTCGTACCGTACCGTTCCATAGTGGACTTCCAGTACCAAGTTTACCCCCGGCTCATACGAACGCGTTAGGAGTAATTAGCGACAATCGACCCTCATTTGACCCGCCCGGTCTCCACTTCCCCGTGTGCCCATGTACTCTAAATGTACGAGTACCGTACCATGATTCAGTCCAACGTCTTTGCCGACAACGCCTCCGCCGCCGTCAACATCGCCATCGCCAACAGCCAGGGTACAAAGTATTAGGTCACTCCAGATTCAGTCCAGTCTGGTCCAGCCCAATCCAAGTTCCAGTTTCAAAGATCAGCCTCAGTGACTCGCACCATCCTACGATACTTCCCCGTGATGGGGCTAAGTCCCAGCCTTGTTTTCCCTAACGTACGCTGTTCCTGATATAGTACCAATGTAGTCGAGTGCGCTTGTTTGTTGCTTCGCTGTTTGCGCCCAATAAGCCGCCCGTTGTCTATCATTCTATGGCTCTCCGATGGGATCTGTTCCGTACCCGCGGGTCACGACCGTTGACTACTCGTATTGTACCTGGCACGACCCCTCCTCAGGCACAGGGGTTTGTGTTAATGATATCCCATCAACTCATCACAAAGCCTCATCAATTTTTTCCTTGAATTCTTCGGGAAATTATCGTCGGACGATTGGTTCGCAAGGAGAATGAAATAGTGGTCTAGCAACAACTGGAGGGGAAGAAGGAGGACAAGCCAGAACTAGTTACTGGCATAGGGCGGGTGATACATGCGTTTCGAAACTTTTTGAAAGAATGCAGACAAGTCCGACACAATAATCGGTGATCGATCCGATCCATCCATCAACACTGACACACAAAAATGCTTGCCGAGATCATCGCGCCGGATCAATCGTTGCCCAAAACTTTCATGCATAGTTGTCTTTTCTTGTGATCGACTTCATGGCATTATGGCCAGGGTAATTGCCGCATCCCTCAATTCCGAATCCAGATTATCAATCAACAGTCTGACTGAGGGAGCAAGTTGCTCTGATAAGACGGAGTATCAGGTCTGGAATTTGCAACCGTCAACACTGCCGCTCCCTTTCTGATCCATCGACTTGTACGCCGTTGGTTCACGACCATCGCGATGATCATCACATGCCGGCCACGTTAACGAGGAACGGCAAGCTGTATCATCAGTCATTTAGTCGCCATATGCGCGAGACAAGACATATAGTCGACGCCGCCCTCCGCTCCCACTCATATCACCAATAGAACAACCCACAGAAACACCACTATTGAGCAACAAATGAATTCAGATACAACAATACATGGAAAATAAGGCAAAGTAAAACCATTATCACCGCCGCCACCGCCACTCCAGTCCTGTCCTGTCTCGACAGAGGTGAAAGCCACCGAAAGTCCAGGCCAAAAGGGTAGGAGAGCCCCCGAAACCTACAGCTTATATTGCTTGCCTTGTTTTGAAACTTTCCCTTCTTCCTAAGCCCCCTCAATAATCGTTCAATAATGCTGGGATGAAGAAAAGCAGGAGGAAGAATGAGTCCTGAGTAGCCCGAGCCTCCCTTAGCACGCGGGTCCTTCCCAGGAATCGGCCGTTGATCGAACATTTTCATGCGCTCCTCCATACTTTTCCTGCAAGGGGCAACAGAACAAAAAGATTGCGAACCAATATTGGGGACCAGACAGGGGTGAGAAAGAACGCATGCCTCCCAGACAGTCTCCGCGTGCTTGACCTTTCAATAGACTACTATCTGATTAGTTCTCCCGGGGAAAGGGATTGGAATCGTGCTGCGTGCTATTAACTCTTCCCAATATTTCTCAATCAGTCACGCCTTCTATCTTCCTCCCTTCCTGCGGATAGACCCCTACGCCGCAAGCCTAGACCCTTGAGCCTTTCTTTCTGGAGAAATACAAGGCAGGCGAAAGCATGAACAGCCGTTGACACATCCTGTTGCCGTCGGAGTGCTGTCTTGCCTTGCCTTGTCTTGTTCCTCCTTTGGTGTGGACAGGCGGATGGGAGGGTGGGAGGACTGGCTGAATGGCTTCCTCTTGTGCGACCTCCTTGTTTGACATCTCAGTCACTCACCCGGGCCACCATACCACACCACAGCCACCACACTTGTGCACCGTACCTTCTGCTGGCTCTGCTAGTTACGCCTTTCCTTTGCTATGCTCTGCTATTTTATTCCTTGCCATGCCACTTGCCGCCTCCTCCGCCGGTACCGCGCATCACCTTCGCCATCGCCGTTCGCCGCCTGCGACATGAACATACAACCGACACACAAGAAAAAAGCCCCAACTCCAGCACCGTTTCGCCTCCTTCCCCCTCCCATCTCCCCCGTGAGAATCCAAGAACGTTTTCTGACATGTACAAAAGTCTAAGTGTTTGTGTGGATGGTTGCACTCATATGCATCGAGCCATAGATCCACTGATCCACACACACACACACACACACACACACACACACACACACACACACACACACACACATGCCCACATCCAGACGCAGAAAAGTACCGGGAGTTCGAGAACGGGGCCTGTCTCACTCAATCTGTGCTTTCCACTTTTTGTTTCTTCTTGTTCTTCTGCAATCATCTTTGATCAATGCGTGAAGTACTTATGAAAAACAAAAAAGATCCCCCGCGATCAAAGTCACGCCCGCAACGCTGGTAAAAGGTGAGGAAACGAAACGAAAGGGCATGCCCTGTCAGTCCATTCAAGTCAGGTTCCACATCTGCTCGAACTGGATGTACCCCAACCGTCAGTCTTCTCCCCATGAGCACTCACCCTGCACTCCGAACGTAGAATTGGGACCGAGAAGGAAGAATAGATTGGCCTCTGTGGCCGACACGATGGATGGATGATAATGAAAAGCGCTTCGAAATAATATACATCTACCTACCTATGCATCCATAGATTCATCCATGTACTACTTAACCATCCACGTAAACAACCCACCCATTACTATCCCTGGTAGACCATCCATCCCATCTACCTTCAGAACTAATCAGAAAGTCAATAAACTGAGCACGTTTCTATCCTTTGCACGTTTCTATCCTTTGCACGCAACGTTCAGCATACAAATATGACACTAGTGCTATTTGATAACCTTACCTCTTTCATTTTGTTCTGTCGTTATTTAGCTAGCGAAGAAGAATAGGTATGCTCGGTTGGAGTAAATGAAAGGAACTTCGCATCCGCCATACACGCCGCGGGAAGGAGTGTAGACCAAGCCCTGTGGTTCTGTATTCAGAAGATATATATCTATCTATTTTGGGCGAGAGTTGGTAGTGTGTGTGTGTCGTACGAATCCTAATGTGATACATCTGCTCCGTCTTCCGCATTGTTGTTGCCTTTGCTTGCCTGCAAGTTAGATACCATGCCGCGGGTACACACCCACCCACCTCCCCCGCTGAAGAACCAAAAGAATTGTTCACACCCATAAGTTTATACACAATGAAGTGCATATATAATAATAATTAAATAGTATACAATGTACATTGTCTAATTTCAAAAAAAAAAAAATCATCCTTGAAAAGGTTACCCCCTGGTTTGCAAAAAATTGTCCCTCATCCACGACCTCGTCCACGACATAAAAAGGCAATAGAAAAGAGACAAAAAGAAATACAAGACGCCCGACGGGAGGCTCGAACTCCCAACCTTGAGATCTCTCAGGGCGAATACCATAGGTATTACTTAAAAGTCTCACGCGCTAACCAATTGTGCCAGCCGGGCTTTTGGACATTTGATTCATGTGAATTTTTTGGATTTGTTAGGATTATGTAGAGAGTAGATGTCCCTCGACTTGAATGAAAGGCATCAGACGGTGTTTTTGATGAGTCGTAGGATCGGGGTGGGTTCTGCATTCGTTTGGGATTGTGGGCGCTAAGAGGAGTGGGGCGGCGGCGGGGCGGACTTTTTGGACGTCTGACATCATATACGATGATTCATGGACGCGTGAGATGATAATCGCGACTGGCGCACTACGAAGTACAGTTCATACAATGGTTTGGTCTCTTGGGTGGAATAAAAATGATCGTGCCTTCATTCTTGACCGAAATCTTGTCTGAAGAGACATGGTCGTGTCATCATATTCAAATCGCTATCAATAAGCTACAAGAAAGCAAAGGTGAACTGTCCTGTGTGGGCACAACAGCGTATCCAGAAACCCCCTTTTTGTGTGTTCAAAAACCCTAAACGCCAACTGCGCAGAGACTCGTTCCCTCTGGGCACCCTGCTCATGCCGATCACGCAGCAGCAACACGTCCTGCTACAAGTGCGATCAGGGCGGCTCCGACACCAGACCCGTCCTTCGCAATGCCAATCCTGATCCTCTTCTCACCGGCCTCACCAATCTCCTCGACCTCCCTAAGGGCCTCTCGAATATGATCTTCGAAGCGGGGATAGAACTCGACCAAGGATCCGTCAACACCCACGTCAATGACATCTTCCTCCGCAACCTCTCCACGGCCACTGGAAGAGACATCGCCCCTAGGTGGTTCGATTCCGGCCTTGTCCTCGGTAGTGGCTGCACCAGAGGAGGAGTCCAAACGACCGGTGTTCAGGACGATGGCTGCAATGGCGACCGCCGAGAGACGGGCTGCACGGCGACCGATGGCGCCAGCAATTTCACGCACCGCCTCTGCGTCCTCGGAGCTTGCGGCAGAAATGCCATAGTCCTTGTCGAGTGTTTGCCTCAAGACCCTGAGGCCGGGACTCTGGTCACCTGCGCAGATACTCAGAAGGCTGGTATCGAAGCCCCACTGTTGCCAGATTGGGCTGTTATCATGGACCTGTGTGGTGCTATGAATGTCGTTTGTTGCCGAGTTCTCGTCCCGGAAAAGGGGAATCTGTGGATCCTTAAGTAGGCCGACGAGCGAAAGACGGAGGATCTCGCCCAAGAACATGCCAGACACTCGCTTCTCGAACATCTGGATTCCCGGGTTGACGGATTTGGCATCGAGTTCCACATCATAGGGGGTATTTGGAAGCGTACGGAGGCTGTTGTCGAACGAGCCCCATTCTGTGTTCACAATCATCTCGCCAGTGGACTTGTCGTAGTCACCAGCATCCTTGCTTTGGGTCAGCTTGGTGACCTTGTTCAACTTCTCGACGTAGGCGCCATTGGTCCCGGTGCCGAAGATGGCACCCAATAGAGTTCCGGTCTTTCCGGGAGACGTATAGGAGCGTGCCATGAGAGTTCCGACAGTGTCATTGACCAATGCGGCTACGCGCACGGGCAGGTGAAGCTCATCGATCTCTGCCTGGAGAAGGGCACACACATCTTGGCCCACTGTCTCCTGGATGTCAAAGCCTTTGGTCCAGCGCATGAGGAGGCCTTTGTTAATTCCAACCTGGTGGACGGGGAAGGAGAAGGTGAAACCCAAATCGAATATCTCTTCCTCTTTCACTTGGTCCCCAGCCTGCTTGCGCTTGACATGAGATGTGTAGTGGTCCTCATGGTGGGCCTTGAGGAAAGACTCGATTTGCTTCGCAAGGAAGGAGAACAGCTCTTTTGAGGTCTTCGCAACCATGAGTTCTTGGGGAATGGCAACCTTGCTTTGGGTGAGGGAGAATGTGGTATTTCCATGCAATTGGATCGAACAGACGCGGAAATTGGTGCCACCGAGATCGACAGCCATGTAGAGTCCCTGATAGAAGGTTAGTATAGGCATTGATCACACGACAGGCGGAGACAGCAGTGCATTACCTTCTCGGTTCCATTGGGAACAGCCGTGACGTAGGTAGGGATTTGGCTCAGTTCGGTACCTTCCTTTTGAAGACCCTCATCTACAGAGTGTTAACATTTTCTGTACTCTCTGAAGCATCATACAACACAGTGTAGAGTATGGACCTTACCCATCTCCCGTATGAATTCCTTCACGGATTTGCGAACAGCGTCCGGACCGAAGTCGAACTCTGCGGCAACCCGCTTCGCCTGATCTGCTAGAGCCATGCTGCGTTCTGTGTCTGTGTAGAAGGTGCCGGTGAATTCGACTTGTTCTTGGGGTTGGGCCCTCGATTGTGGGCCGACGAGAGGGGTTTTATGGAAGACGACGGGGTTACGTAGTGTGAATGCGGGAGATGTAACACGCCAATGCTTATGTTCCCCGAGGAGGTGCAGGATGTTGGGAAGACGCGGGGTCAGGAGGGGGGAGAGGAGGATGGCTAGCAATACTACGACAATGGCGCTGAGCACACGGTAGGGTGACGATGCCGAGGAGGAATAGGAATAAGAAGAGAAGGTGGAGGAGGTGGAGGTGGAAGAGGAAGAATTGGAGGTGTCACGACTTCGAGCGGAAGGATTGGATTGAGTCTTAAGTGGGCGTTGTGGGTGTTGGTGGTGGTGTGCCAGGTGTGGTGGTAGTCGGCGCGATGAAGTGGTATTAGTAGGAGAAGAAGAAGAAGAAGACATGGTTGTGGTGGTCATCGGTGATGGACCCAATTGATCGGGCAGCCCCGCCATGACAAGCAAGTACGGTAGAGCCAGAGGTCACCTCTTCCAAGGTACCATGCCACTCTCCCCCCAATAATAATGCAACTCAACTCAATATTGAGCAAGAAAAAGGAAAACCCCTTCGCTCACCCGACTATGGATCGATACGGTCGAACCCCAATATGCGCGTGGACAGTAATGTGACAATAATGCGACAATGCGAGAGGGGAAGGCAATGACAAGCGCATGTGTGTTCAATAATGGCAACCCAACAATTGATAGTATCGTGAAGCGGCTCTGCTCGCTATGCACCTTGGAGCGGGTAATGTATGGAGACAATTGGTCTCTACTTTTCCGACTTGAGCCCAATTATAAGTTGTTGAAGAGGCCAATTTCCCTGCCATGTCCTGCAGAACGGACGGTTAAGGGGGGGGGGTGGGGGAGGGGAGGAGAGTCGGAGACACGGGCAGTAAAGAGAGGGAAAGAGAAGGAGACAAGAGGGAGAGAGAGACATCATGACCAGGTTGTGACGATGGCTAGTGTCTTGAGCAATTGAGAGTTACCTGCTTAAAGAAGGACTAGTTACTAGAAGAGTAATCCAAACGAGACAAGTACTTTGTAGTGTAGGAGTACTACTGTGCAAGTCCTCCGTAGTGAATCGAGTAATAGTGCAATACCTATATAGTGGAGTGGAGTCGCAAATTTGCAAACCAGAAGACTTGAAGGATACGAAGCTATCGAGTAGAAAAGACAAAATCAATCAATATCCCCCAGTGGTGGTAGTCGTACGAGGAGTAATAGTAGTAGTATTGTAGACTGGAAGCCATCCAGCGGACGCCCATACGAGGTGCCTATAACTACGGGTACGTTTACAATAATACACCGTAACTATAGTTAATCACAATCAATATATTTACTAACCAATTTGTTTGATTCAGAGGAAATACGGACGAGTGTCCCGAGGCTTGGATGATACTCGTAAAAGGTTCCAGACGCGCCATAAAAGGTGCCCCTCACTAGAGCGTCGTCAGTCGTCACCCACCAAACCCGCCCACCAGTAGTGCCACCACTGGTGGGCCGACCACCAAAAAGCAGCTGCAACCTGTTACGTCGGCGGCTGAAAAACAAGAAAAACAAAAACCAACCGTAGTTATCCGTTCCCCAGCCTTTGGGGCCTCGGCCGATCTGTCGGCCAAACACCCCGTGACCTACCGACCTTGCGCGTCGTATACGCGATTCATGGTTGGCTAGTTGCCCTGTTGCCCTGTTGCTTTGTTTGTTTGCACTACGACATCATCCATTCTACTCATATACAAATATACCTAACATAGTAGACTGTAGACTCAACACCATACATATATCATAGATCATCACACCTGAACTAGACCAATGTCACAGAGGAAACCATTCAATTGGAAAGGGAGAAGTCACCTCCTTTTATTTTTTGGATAATCAACCACACTAGATATATATTCATGTATGCTTTGCCTTTGTCTAAGTCCTTCAGTCTCTTCTCGCCTTCTCCAACCTTCCACCATGCCCGTCCCCTGGCTCAAGCCATGGCTGCTTTGTAATCCCACTTTTCGCCGCTGCAAGAATAGATAGTACAAGCTGTCGGTCCTCCAAAACCAACAAAGACCCCATTATGTGAATAGCAGCCCTCTCCGTTCAATTTCAGATGCCTTCAAAACCAACGGCAGCATATGCATGTATCGCCAACATCGCCACAAGAAAAGGTTGCCCCGTGCCCACTGCGCTACCCATGCAGGAATAAATGATTAACGGGTGCCAGTATCGTATAGAAGAAGAAGAGGAAGAAGAAAGCAAAAGAGAGCAAGGAGAAGAAAGCAGTGTAAAGAGGGGAATGAGGAGACGTTGCCGTTGGATAAAAGAACGTCTACAGTATGTACGATAGTGACAAAAGAGAAAAAAAACCAGAAGAAACGACCTTGCGCTAAGGTCGGTTTGTATACGTGCAATATGCCCTCCCTGTTCCGCCTTCTAATGTTCGTCATTAATTATCTGCCAAACAGGCTCGATGAGCCCGAGCCCGATTGGCATCTCATAATACCTCTTCACCATCACACACGCTCGGGCGCACACACACAACCCGGGGATCAAGTCATGGTATGGGCACGCTCAGGTGGCCAAAGCCGCGATCGAGGAGCAAAGTTCGGTTACAGGAATCGAAAACGGATAGAAATTTGCCGTCAACAGCAGAATAAGGAAGGCGAAAAAGGAAGACACCTCGGTGGCATCAATCCCCACCCAAGCTGTCAAGAAAGTAGATGATGAATCGTCAAAGTGTTGCCCGGACCGAAACAGGATGGATGTAAACTCCCAACATACTCCAATTCGAATGTCGCAGATGCCGATATGAAAAAGATTCCCTTTATTACCGAACGCCGAGCGGGGGTCGAGGTCCCAGACTACTCTGGCTGCTGTGCGCAGAGTTCTCCGAATCTAGTTGAGCGCTGGCACTGCTACTAGAGCCCGCGCTAGCAGAAGCATCTCCAGTCAGACTTCGAACATAAGGACGAGGTTTGGGCGGGTTAAGTTTGCTCACCCCAGCGTGTTGCTCAACTTGATGCGGCGCCACTGCATTCCCATGCCCGGGAGGGTGGTGGGGGACGGGTTGTCTCATACCTGGCGGGGACGGTCTGCCATTTGGCGGCATACCGTTCGATGGGTAGCCATTCGGTGGGTATCCATTCGGAGGATGACCGTTCGGAGGAGAGGGTCGGCCCATAGGTCTGGGACCAGGGCTCAAAGGATTGCCGGGCGATTGGCTAGTGCGACGGCTCATTGGGGGATAACCACCATAACCGGCTCCCTGTTGCAACTCGTCAAGACGAGCAGCAGTCAGCGAATTTGCTCTGGACTGCTGGCCCATCTCGCCGCGGTCAACGTTCCCATAACGGTTGGATGAATAGCCTAGAAGAGGGTTGTTCATGATGGAGTCATGTAGACCAGGAACATCTTGCATCATCCTTGCGCTGGTCCGGTTTTGCTTGTTGGGCCGCGAGAAAGGGTTCCTGGAGCGCCCCGAAGACTGCGGTCCAAAGCCTGACATCTCGGGATTCTTGCGAATCTGACTGGCGCTAGGAACCTTGCGGTTGCGGCGCGACGTCACGCTCATCATGTCGAAATTATCTGGATCGATCATAGGACCTGGACCTCGTTGAGCCATGGGGTCGAAATAATCGTCCTCATCATCGTCTTCGTCGAATCCGCCCATGTGAGAAGGGGGAGCACGCGGGCGTGGGCCACGACGCATGTTGAGCTCTTGTTCTCGTAGCTGGAGCTCCTTTTGGCGAATCATCAATTCACGTTCACGAAGAGCGATGTCGCTCGATGGGCCGTTCGGGTTATCATAGCCTCCACCTGCACCTGCATCGTCACCCATTTGATCGTAGAGCATCAAGTGGCTGAACTCCTCGAGGTTGCTGTCATCGAGAGAGCCACGTCGTTGGCCGGGAGGACCTTGCGGCGGGTATCCATTTTGCCTGGGAGGGTACCCGTTCATTGGCCCAGGAGGTCCTCTCCGCATCATAGGTGGAGCTCCTGTGATCGATGGCGCTCTGCTTCCAGGACGAGGGCCACCCTTCATAGGGCCATTGCCGTTCATCATTGGTGGACCTCCTTGCCGTGGCAGAGGAGCCGAAGACATACGTGGAGGGGGGGGTCCTGCTCCATTCGGTGGAGCTGCGGCAGGGCCTGGAGGTGGCCGCGTCCTATTCACAATATTGATGTGATGAAGCATGGCGTAGAGTGTTTCGACGCGGGGAATGGCAACTCCATTCTCCTGTGCCAATTTGAGGGGTGATCCAAGAAATGTTTCAACCTCCATTGGTGCTTTCCTTTCAAAGTCTCGATACATTATACTGTGCTCTTCCTGTGGCTGTGTCATTTTTTGCATGGTTGTGTCTCGGAAGTCCGCCGGGAACGAGCAACCCTGTGCTTTTGCTAGCGAGAGCAGCTCGTCCATGACACCTGTGATGAGGCTACGAACGCCGACCTTCTCGAGTAATTCGGTGTGATTAGGCGTTTCAAAAAGTACGCTCGCAGGATGGAAGGCAATGGGACTAGAAACAGCCGAATTAGCAGCTGCATATCATGATATATTGGAACGTGGAACCCACCCTATCATCCGCTCGTATTGTTGCTGTCGAATATTAGGAGAAACTTTGCAATCCACTTGGCCTGAACCCAGTGTCATGGCAAGAGCTTCCGCCATATCGTTCTGAATCTGTCCGGGAATTGCCGTGTTTGAATTAGTAGAGCCGACCCAAACGTCAGTCGCACCCTTGTGTTCGAACTCGCTCGTGGCGAGCTGTAAAACCTCTGCACCCGATACCAATGAAAGAACCACATTTGTGGGAAACCGTTGTTCCAGATATGATTCAACTCCAAGACTGTGTGTAGTGTTGATAAGGATGCAGGTGTGTTGAGGGGAGACGACGGATTCGATAATGTTGGCGATATCGTATACATCGGGAAGGGCTTTGATGCAAAGGAGGACGTAGTCGAATGGCTGTTTCGATGAGTGTGCGGCGTCTTCTGGAGTTCGAACGACTGTGGAAAGGCTATTTAGCTTCTTGTCTCAACGATGAAATGGAGGCGGTAGCATACCTGAATAGGGCTTGAAACGTTCATTTCCATATAAAGTAGATCTACACAGCGATGGTTAGTCAATGAAAGCAGTCATAGCCCAACTTTGCGAAGCTTACTTGAACGAGATACCGTATTGGGCTACACTGTCGAATCCGTTCTTCCACACCAGAGTGACATCGCAGGCATTAGTAGCTTGAAGCCGCCACGACAGGAAGGCCGAGGTGCCATTGCCTCCCACTAGAATAGAGAAAACATTAGCCCGGGCCAGAAAATGCGTCCAAAGACGACGGTCAGCAACGTTGAACGGGGATGCTTGGCCAACGGCGCAGTTGCCGTTGCCAACACGGTTGGGTCGGGTGAATCCAACAATGAGCGTGACAACCCGCTGAAGTACGGCCTAGCAACAAACAGACGTACCTGAGAGTATCCGCAACCGAGGGACAGCTGGAGCCATGACGAGGACCCGTCAATGTTGTGGTGAAGTTGTTGGCAACGTTGGAAGTGGTGGTGGGCGCGGCAAAAGGTGAGGAGAGCCAACGGATTGGCGTTGGTCGCAGGCCGCGTTATCCAGTGGAGCGCGGCGTATCCAGCAACAACCGACAACGACAACGACTGACAAACGGATGCACGTTATTACTGATTAAGATAAATTCTGGGAGGTGGGAAATGAGCGTGCGGCGGTCGGAAGGACGAGTGACTAAGTCGACATGTAACCGGGCGATAAAAGAGAGGCGTGGGTGAGAGGACGTAAAGAGACTTTTTGGGAGTGAGCGGTTGTATGTAGGTAGGTGAGGTAAGGTAGGTAAGTGGTAGGGTAGGTGGTAGGTGGTTAGGTAGGTAGGTAGGGCCGGCTCGAGGAAAAGTCGTAAGCGTGTGCGTGCGTACGTGTGTATGTGTGCGTGTGTGTGTAAGAAAGAGAGAGGGAAAGAGAGCGAGAGCGAGAGAGAAGGGAGAGAGTAGTGAAAGAGTTGGGAGTAGGAAGTAGTAGCAGTAGCAGTAGTAGCGATGGTGGTGATGAGTGGAGGATGCGACGTGTGCGGAGGAGGGCAACTGCGGCCGAACTGGATGGGATAAAACTTGGAGCGGAAGTGAGCGACGGCGAACTCGCGATTGCGCGACTACGGATTGCTTGCTTGCGGCTTGTTCGCCTGTCTACCTGCCTGCTTGCAAAAGTTGCAAGGCGCGGAGCCAAGGAAGTAAGAGGGGGCACGGTCGAACGTGCCACGACAGGATAGGACTGCGACGAGCAACAGGAGCAGAGCGGAGCGAGTGGATGCTATCGCGACTGGACAGCGCGCGCGAGGGAGTTCCGGGGATGGCTGGATGGATTGGACTTGAACTTTGAGGTTTACTCCGTACATACACACTACTGGGATGCCAGGGTCGTTCCGCTGTACAGTAGAGGTATGTTTGGTATGTATACCACCTTAGGTAGGGTAGCCAAGCTAACCGTAGATGGGCACAATTTAAGAGAGTGGCGGGTGGAGGATCGGAGAGAAGGACGAGTGAGGGAGGAGAAAGGAAGTGAATAGATGAGGTAGGAGGAGGTAGGTACTCGGTAAGTACTGGGTAAAGGTACTATACTGAGTGGGGTTGGAGTGAATGAGATAGATGGAGGAGGTGGAGGGAGAGTAAAAGAGGAATTGGAAAGGATTGAAGCAGAATAGTATTACTCCGTGATTATAAAACAACAAAGATGGGATATGGATGAACTGCATGCAAGACTGCTAGTAATCTCTACCTAGGAATACTCGTAGGTAGATTCAGTACGGAGGAGCTGGTACCTGACACCAGGTATCTATCCAGTATCTACATAGTACATACACACAGCAGGTAGCCTAAGGTAGGTGGGCAGATACCGTGCAAGCATTAATGGACCAGGAACAAGGACCAGGACGGACCAACAGGGCATATGCGACCGGGGAGTGAAAGTAATTAACTACGCGTAGCAGTGGTAGTCGTAATCAGTAGCAATACTCCAAGAATCAAGGAACGCAGTACATAGTCAATGGCAGTGAATGAGCAGTATTACCTTCCCCTGAGCAGTATCAAAGTCATACTGAAACAGTAATGATCGATACTCATGAGAGAGAGAGAGAGAGCACGCGTACGAGGTTGAACTGATCCTCGATGCAGACGAATGAAACTACAAATCATATCATCATATCTTTCCAAAGAATTGACGGGTTCATGGGATAATATTACTCTCGCCGAATCGGGAGTATCGAGCGAGTTAGGAACTTGTACTGTATCGGTGGCGGCCCTAGGATCGTCACATAAACCTGTAGTTCGTACTATGTACGGAGGGACGGAGTTTATGAATTGACTCCATGTCGAATAGTCTCATCTTATCTGTAATTCTCTTTCTTTGTTTATTTACTCCGTACAAAGTATGTCGTTATATCACTTCCAAGATACCTCCTTTAACCATTTCCCCTCGATCTCCGAACTACCACAACCTGCTCTTCGAATGGATGTAATCAGGTACAACTACGGAGTACTCCGTACTAGAGGCAAGAATCGATGACGAAGTTTCTTGATCACCTCAACATGGGCATGGGCATGGGCTCGGGCATGGACGTGGACATGAACAATGCACGCGCGCAAACGTCTTCGACATTCGAGCTTTTGCATCCGCCGCGCACCCCCAGAAGTTGATCATGATCAGGTACCCACAGCCCACTACTAATTCCCGCTAACACCAACACTAAACACTGCCACTTTCCTCTACCAGGTACAAGTAGGTATCCAGGCACGCCAGGTATTGTACACAGTACACCAGTAATTACCAATAGATACCAGTACTTACTCGTACCCACATCCAAGTCTTTTCACACAGCCGCGTATTCCCAGATACGTTGTACGAGTCCATCTCCCGACTTGTACTTGTATGTACAGGTAATTATTCAAGCGAAGCGAACTGTTCGATATCCTAAGATCTCGCACCGCATAACACGATCGATACAACATGATAAAACATCGCATGGTTTCATAGTACAGCATGATCTCGCGATACATAGGCGCGGGGAGGATACATGCATAACAACAAGTGAAAAATGCGACTGATAGACCGAGAACCTACTGCACCGTCTGTCTCCCTGAGTCCCTTTGCATCGACAGACGAAAGCAACCAACAAACCCTGCGTGCGTGGCCAGGCGCCCGATATAGAATGGAGATCATCTACTTTTGCCCGCCCGACTCCTTGGTGCATCCTGTCATCCTCCCCTTTTGGTTCTCCACCCGTACTCGTACCTTGCCCTTTTTCCCACCCTTCCCGGCAAGCAAACCATCGTTCCATTCTGCGTGGATCATTGATAATCACTTGCAATTGATAATACTGTATCTAGACGGTCAATCGAGCAACTCTACCTACCCTACCTTCATGATCGCTCGTTCTACTGCCACTACTCCGTGCGACATTGGAGACAGCGTACAACAAAACACACAGCATGCACCACGAAGATACCTACAGCAACCTCACAGCATTCTTGCATTCCCCAAACGCAGCCGGCGCTCCGGGCTTTCTCTCCCTATCTTCTGTGTATCTGCCCTTTGGCCCCCTCTCACCCCTCCAACCCTCCCACCTCCAACCCCCGTCACTGGGAGCAATGAAGGAGGAATCCTCGCAAGCGGCGAATTCTCCATACCTTCTCCCGCCTCCCACCAGGACCATTCTTGAATCCTTTCCCTTCAAACGTGCTGAGTATGTACGGGATACGTACCGCATAGTAAGAGGTATAGCACCAATATTCCATCGGGATTCATAATGCAGTAGTGAGGAGATTGGGACCATCCATACGGCATTTTCTCAGTTGTTGACCTGCCTTGTCCGTTTCCCCTCGTGTCTATTGATGCCAAGATCATATCATTCCCAGAGAGGACTAGCCTCATTCGCCGCCTGTCCCATCAAATTCATCAATCATTTCTCGGTGGAGGTCCGTGCGCGATTGACAAGGTCCTTATTCCTCAACGGCAAGCCTTGCAACTTACCACCACCACCTCTTTCTCACCCCCCCTCTCCCTCCAAGCCTAGGGACGCATTGCATGTGGCATGGCGCTGTGCCTGATATGATCCAGAAGCAACAAATCTCTTAATATTGCTTCCTCGTCCGAGCTCGTCCTTATCAGTCTCCAATTACCTGTTCATTACGCGGCGGAAAGAGCTGGTATACGGAGTATACGGAGTAGTACATACATGTCGGTAACAAGTACCACGGGGCTGCAAGGGCATCATATCCTCTCAGTATTGCGGCGTAGTTGACAGTAACAATGCATGGGAGAGCACGCGACGCTCGTTGTTCGCCCTTCGCCTTTACACAGAACTCCGTAGCTAGACACTACACTCTCAAACTTTCGTGCCAGTCCCAGTAAACGCCTTTTCTCCAACGGCGGACCAGCCGGAAGCGCCCCCTATTTCCCGACCTCACTACCCACAGCCAATCTAATACATCAACGTTGGAGGCGTGCCGGCGCATGCTTCGTCGAGTAATGGTCTGGCAAGTCAGACACCCGTTCCGAGCCTACTGCAACTGGGCGTTGTGGATTGCAAATCCTCGCGCCGTAGAAGCACCGCAGCACATTGGGAAGGGAACGAAAGGGAATTGCCATTATTCGGGACAATAGAACGCCCAATAATGGTTCGTGAATGCGTGATATCGGGTTCTCTACCAGACACAACAGGCACCCAAGGCGCAAAAGAGCCGCGAAGGTTTGAGGTTTATCGCACTCTCTACGCCGAGAGTAATAACACAAGTTTGATATCAACGACACATGCTCTTTCCTTTTGCAGCTTGCCTGATTGCAATTTGCATTTTCGAACGTCGCATATCAGTATGGGGACTCCTGCAATCATCGTACATGCGTCGTCCCTGCACCAACCATCACACAAACCTAGATTCTCAAAGGTCTCTGACTTTCTTCCAAGAAGAGAGAGCAGAGCCTATCTACGAGGTAGTGTCAATACATCGTCAACTCGGTCAGATGCCAGCACATTGTTACACGTCCGCCAAAAGCAGACCACTTTCATTTGCACCATTCGACGCGGTCGCATAGTGCAATCCTAGTCTCTGATGTCATTCGTGCTCGGCTGGCTATGTGGAGCATCCGTCCCGTCCACGCACCGCCTCGACGTCTCCACAGCAAATCAAGATCGCGATCTTTCAACTGCACAACAATGTTTCATAATTCTTTACCCATCACCCATGAATTTCCATGGCAGTCCTATGTGTACAGCACTACAGTGTGACCTATCATTGCCCTATTTGGCTCGTCTTTCTGTCGGATTTGCCACTCCACTTACCAAAGCATCAGTCTCTGTTATTGATTTACAACAACCATTTCGAAACGTTGCTTTGGTGGTCAGCTTGAACTTCCGGTGCGCGGCTCTCCACTCGTATCATGGAAATCTGATTTCCTCGCGTTCGCTTGCCGGATCTTCGTGGTCCCGGGCACCTCCTCGCCTTGTCCGAGAGGCTAGCGACCGTTTTAACATTTGACAGCGGGCACGGTCTCGCGTGCACTTCACTGTTTCTTGAGTCTTACGGTGTATGCATGAGGAAGAGCTTCCCCCAATATTCCACACACGCGTTTGCCATGAGGAATATATGTTTGTCTCACTGGACTGGCGTCGCTACATGACATTCACGTTCTCTCCCCCAGTGCCCAGGTGCGGGCCAGAAAACATGCGACATAGACTCTCTACTCCGTAATTGTGTTGCATGGTCAACATGGAGACTCTCACAACGCCGAGTAACAACAGCATCTGTCGTATCTTCCCAAAGTGGAGTTCTGCGATGGATATGTCCCTCCCGTTATAGCAGGTTCGAGCATGGTACATGGTGAACACGGTCTTGCTTGACAGGTCCCACGGACATCGGTAGGCGCCAGGTATTCCATTACACATCATGGCCCCATGGGAGAAGCATTTCAGACATCGCTTCGACCATGGGGAAATTGAACAATTGCGGTCTTTTCCCCAATCCGTGCACATAGCGCATGGCCTTTTACCCACGATACCCATATCGTCGATCCGGCATCGGTACTTGACTGATGACTTGATTGCGATCCTAGATGCATCGTGAAAACGGGAAATACCTCCCATCCTGAACCTTCTTGCTTGACGCTTGACTCGTTGAGGGCTTCGAGGATAGTGATGCGAGGGATGCTCTCACTTTGCCACGTCGCCTACCCTCTCGCTTGTGATTTATTGACTGTGATTTCTATCGCCACGGCGATCATCATTCTTCTTTGCAGCCAATTCAAGCTCAGAAAGCACCAGATGAAGATGGTGGCGATACGCTATACACCCAATTCGATATCCAATTACTATCTCTGTCGTTTTGATTTCGTGAATTTGGTGGCCCCTTTTGCCTCTGCTACACTTCTGGTCTAGCCGGTTCGAACAAAGCCAGCCTCAGACATCAGGAGGAGCCGCAAACCCCTGCTCCAAAATGATCCTCCACCCAGCATGTCTGCGAGCAGGTGACGAAGCGAGAACCGTTCCTGTTCCTGAATTGTGGCGCTCGGTTGGCACCCCTCACCGAATCGCGCGCTGCCACCGCCGCCCTCTCCTCATGTCGAGTTCCAATCGGTCTGCTATTCACGTTTGCCGGCAGATTCCTTCCTTTGGTCGTTCGATGGTGGCATGCCCACATGATCTTCAACCAGTGTGCATCTACCCAGGCGACGATGGCATTCAAACGTCAGTGCTCGTGCGAAGCTCTCCAATTTTCATTAGCATGCATAAAAGGATTGTCGACCAACGCAAGGAAGCTTCCGAAGCATCATAATCAACCCTCATCCCACCCTAGGTGTCCATGTAACTATGAGAACAGCACGATTACCAGCAACCGCTCACCCCTCAACCAACTATTCGTCCACGATGAGAGTTTGGAGTAAACCACCTACCAACCGTAGTTACATACAAAGGTACATACATAACCGTACCAGAAACCCCCCCGATCCATGGATCCATGCCAATCTCTCTTGCTCACCGGTTAATAATAATAAAACAAAAATCCATCAACCCCTTGGGCTATATCATCCCCCAACTATCCATTCATCCCAAGGCCCTTTTTTCCGCCTTCTAATTTCGAATCTTCCAACAAACAGGAAACCGTTCCAACCTGTCTTACTTGCTTCCTGGTCACAGGTTCCAGGCATCATTGTGAGTGCATGGGTAGTAAGGCAGGGTGGCAGGTCACCACCTCCCCAACGTTCACACATACACACAGTAGTAGCACGGAGTAGTCTCGTCGGTACGCGTGTAGTTGTCCGGTTCGCTTTGCCTTACCCAACTTTGGCCCTTTATTATTGTTATTGTCGTTTAGTATCATCTCACTTGCATCAAGACCTGGACCTTGCAAAAGAACAAACCAGAAAAGCGTCTCTTGCACGCGCGATATAACGTTTCGACGGAACGGTCAATGTGTGGGGGGAAGGTAGAGGGGGTCACTCTTTTGTGTTGCATTTGTCACAAAGCGAGATTGGGCTTTGGGATAATTGCGGACATCGTATTTGTGAATATGGAAGATGTGACAGGATCACGGGGAGGCAAGCATGATGCCAACTTTCGAAACTTGGTCCTGAGACAGGTACGTTCCCAAGTCTGCAGTCGGTAAAGAAACGAGACATGCGGGCGTACGCCAGGTGAGTGTGGTACGTTGACAGTACGCAACCTAAATTATGACGGGCATCCCGTTCGAGAAGTATGCACGTTGGGACATGATGGAGAAAGAGATGTGGCGATCGATGTATTCTTAAATCTTCTGTACAAGACAGCCCTAGAGGAGGAAACAGCTATCCACCTTCAGGGTACAAGGCGCCCTAATTTCTGAACCAAACCATCCAACGCCGAGCTGGATTTTCCTGCAATACAATTGATAGGGCTTTCGGATCCGAGGATATTTTGTTTCCCAAACAAAGAAGAACAATTGAAGAAATGGAGTCCATCTGAATGTGCATTTGCACCTTCTCGTCACTGAACTACCTTAGTTGTCCATGTAGGTACCGGAGTCAACACCATCCTCGGGGAATTCGCTGTTTAGATGTTAGCGAGGGATTCAGAATCAAGTAGCGAGGAATATCTTACGGAAGTGCGACATCGAATCGTTCCTCAATCGACTTCAAGACAGCTTCGTCCTCGGGGCTGCTGACGAAAGAGATACTGAGACCCTTGGTACCGAAACGGCCAGCACGTCCGACACGATGCAGATAGGCGTCCGCCTTCTCGGGCATGTCATAGTTGATGGCAACGTTGATGCGCTCAACATCGATACCACGGCCGAAGATGTCAGTGGAGACGCAGATTCGGGTACGGAACTCCTTGAACTCCCGGTATCGCTTGATACTGCAAATGTTATTAGACTACGGGTCCACGACATTGATTCTTCCGTACTTACCGCTCTTCTTGACCAATGCCTGAATGAACCGCAGTGCTGGGGAAGTTGCACTCTCGGAGCAACTTGTCGAGCTCAGTGCAGCGCAGGGTAGAACGCACGAAAATGATGACCTGGTTGAACTCAAGGGTGTCTAGCAAGTCATTAAGCTTGCGGTTCTTCTCGCGCTCGTCAAGCTTCATGTAATACTGTTGCAGACCGTGGAGAGTCAATTTCTTCTCGTCGTCGACGTAGATCTCGAGAGGATTCTGCATGAACTTCTTGCAGATGACTCGAATCTCCTTGGCCAACGTGGCAGAAAACATCATAACCTGCTTGTGCGAAGGTGTGGCCCTGAAGATGGACTGGACATCGTTGCGCATATCTTCGTCTACATTAGCTCGTGATCGATTGTAGCGATTGCATGTAATGCTTACCGGGCTGGTCAAGCATCTTGTCGCATTCGTCGAGAACAAAGTGCTTGAGGTTAGCAAGTCTAAGCTTCTTGTCGCGAACGAGGGCATGGATACGGCCGGGAGTTCCAACAATAATGTGAGGATGGGTGTCCTTGTTGGCAAGGATATCGATGTCCTTCTGGACCGGAGTACCGCCGTAGAAGACAGAAACTCTCAAATCAGGCAAGAACTTCGCGAATCGGGCATACTCGTTCTTGATCTGGTAGGCCAACTCACGGGTGTGGCACATAACGAGGACCGTCGCAACACCGGCCTCTGGCTTTTCGTCCATTTGTTGAAGAGTTGCAAGGACAAAGACTGCAGTCTTTCCGAGACCAGATTTGGCTTGGCAGAGAACATCGTTGCCAAGAATGGCTTGAGGGATCGTGACTTGCTGGACTATAGGGTAGAGACACCATGTCAGAATGATCTGTCAAAACGGTCGAAGAACGAAGTGGTAGGGAGTGAAAGCGAAGCGTCCGTCCATCCTGCAATCTTGCATTCCATCAAAACCACCAACGGGCACATCTTGAAATCCGTCATGAGCGTTGTTCATCGCACCCCGGCCATCCCACGCCTTACATTCCCAACATGGGATACTGTCCCTTATTTCTTTCCAACCTAGAAAGCAAAGAAGCCAGAGACAGCAAGCTGCAACACAGGGAGGCCGGGCGGGCTATATGTGAATGATTTATGGACCAAAACACAATTCTTTCTAGAGCACACATAAAACATGTGGGCTGCAATTTCGCCAATCTTCCAGAATATCTCGATGGCCGGATCATCGCATCGATTTGCGGGGATGGACGGACGCTTTCAGGTAGGTGGTGGAAGGCTGAGGGGAATGATTAGACTAACCCTCGGAAGGATGCTCGAAACCACAGTCCGTAATCGCTCGCACAAGTTCGTCCTTCAACAAGAAATCGCGGAATCCAGTCGAGTGAATGCCGACGTAGCTGCCCTTCTTGTCACCGGCGCCTCCGGGGGCGAGGTCGCCTTTGACTGCGGCAGCATCGCCGTTGGCTGGCGCCTCCGTGGGCTGGATCTCCTCATCGGAGTAATCGATGAGATCTTCCTCGTGAGACATGATGGGTGAGTTGAACCGTCGATGGGCTGAGGTATGACTAGTAGGTTCGATGTAGCTCAAGAAGCTGGTCGAGCGCGACTGCCGAGCTGTCGAGGATCGAGAACAGGCGGCTGTGTCGGACTGGTCAAATGCCCGATTATACTGCTTAAGAAAGCGCGGATTGAAGCTCTACAAATGTAAGCCTCTTGAATGGTGAAAGCAAAGGGTAGCGGGTTGAGTGGGGTTGTAGTGAGAAGGAGGAGGTGAGGCGGAGGCCGCAGGCGCGACTTGAACTTGAAAAAGCGAGACTGGCTTGGCGGGTCTAAACTCATTTTGTCCTTAGCGGCGATCATGTCCTTGCTTCTGATTGTCTGCTTAAACAAAGACCCATCATTGTCACCCGCCCGAATATCATCGATTGAGCGCCAGACATCGTCTCCTGTCGCCTCACTAGACATGGTCAAGGCCAAAGGAATTCCAAACAAGCACCTTCACGCTCGAGCATCGTTTTTGTACCAAGCAGCCACCTATCTGAGCTTACAAAGGACCACGGAGTCTTCTTTGAGCGAACGGGATGATCCAAGCACGGCAGTAGATACTAGAAATCCTTTCAACGACAATGCAGTATCAAAGCCTGCTCTCGTACTAGCCTCGCACCTTCGTGCAGTAACTTTGAAAGGCCAGATCCGGCTTGCTGCAGATCTCAAGCGTACTATTTGCAAGACTTGTAGCGCCATCCTGATCCCTGGTCAAACCTCCACTCATTCTCTTGAAAATGAGAGTACGAGAGGCGAAAAGCCTTGGGCTGATGTATTAAAGATCACATGCAACGCATGTAGCAGCACAAAGAGATATCCAATTGGGACAACTAAGCGGCAAAACAAGGCAGGACGAAGAAACGCACACAGAAGGAAATCAAACCCAAGGACTCCTGTCTATGACGAGCGCGAAGCTTCATCCGACACACGATCGCGGCCTGGGAAGGTTAAGACACTTTCAGCTGCTTGAGTATTTCTCACTCGTGTTCCGATATCAAGCTCTCATTGTTGTTCCTATCCAGACAAGCTTCAATGACAGCCTGCAAATTGAGCGACCTCCACTTACAGACACGTCTCAATCATTGAAAAGTGGACACAAATTATCTGGGACGCAAAGTTGAAAGCATTTGTCTTTTCAAAAGCGAGCAGTGCCCTAGAATGGGCTGGTAATTGGATTCAATGGGCCTCCCTTTCCGCACCAGCGTACTTTCTAAGCTTGAAGTTATCCTGCAACAGCCGAAGATCACAAATATCCCGAGGCTACAGTACATAGATGGCTGAGTCCTGACAACCAGCATCATTTAACGGAGCATCATGGGTGAAGATGCAGCCGTACATCCATTCAGTGGCGCAAATCAATTGGTTCATGATTCAGCATCTCTTGAGTTAGATACACTGTGGGGGCAATCACTAATGACATGGACGAACTCCCAGAGTAAATACATCGGTATTTCTGTTTGGTGCTGTCCAGGCTGAGGGTGGTTATAAGAGAAAGCCTTTCTTCTTGGATGATCGGCATTCATTCATTGAGTCCGAGAAGACAATCGAACAACCACCACGGTAAAATTGCCGGAACCTTGTCATTATTCCCCTCAGAAGATGTTTCAGGACTGCTCGGCAAGCAGCATCACCTCCTGCTCCCGAATCTCGCGTACATTCCGATTGCCATCTATCAGCCCCTCGACTTGGAGGCCCTTGTTTCGACTGAGAGAGGTCCGAGAGGGTGGAGGTATCGAACAGGCCTTTATTATCTGGAGACTTGCATATCATGTTGGGAATAGAGATATCATTAGTAAGTTCGCTGGCCGTACTGCTTCGTCCAGGTAGACGAATCACAGTACACAGTATGGCCACGTGAATGTTCTTGGCGAGGTTCGACAATGAAAGCATCTGAAGCAATAGCTTGATGAGAAGGAAGTGTACACTCAAAGGGGCAGGTGTACTTTGTATTTTATGATATACTGTAGAATATTACTCTTGGGCAGTAATACCAGAATGTGATGAATGTGATGCAACCTTTTCCTAATCACACATTCCTTATTCTGTATTGAGACGCGGAGAGGAGACTTTGAACCCATGAGGGTCAATGACCGGGCTCAATGACATTCACAGTGCTCGTACAGTAGTTCTCTTATACAGGTGAATACTGTCAGTACCTTAGTCGTAGAACAAAACGTGGATATGTTCACTGTTTCATCCTACAGATGTCACAGCCGTGACATCAGTACTTTCTTGATTATGAGTCTATGCAATTGCCAACTAAGGCTACCATATTTCTTTCTACAAAACCAAGACTTGCGCTTCAGCTACATTATACTCTTTTGATGCGCACTCATGTCCGTAAATCTTTTCATTCTCTACCTGGTGCTGGAGTGTACCTTCATATACGTATATCTCCTGCTGCCACTCACTGAATTTGCATCAAATCTACTCTCATGTCGTGGGATTAAAGGCGACCGATATCAATAGTATATATACTATATTTCTCAAAGATTAGTGGTGGAAAATCCTTCTGATACTCAATGGCCCATGTTCTACTACCGTGAGCATGGCGCTATTTCAGCAAGCACAAAGCTGCAGTTGAGCAGAATGGCTTCAATCATTCTCCACCGTCGATGATCCCAACTTGACTTCAAGGAGTAAATTTGGTGCTTGCCAACAGTATATATCGATTAATGTGACATTATATTCATGGAATTTCCCTTTGTTGGTTAAAGATACCATGTGTGCAGCGCTGGTTGGGTAATCCCTTGGGCAGTCATGATTTTTTGTTGTAAGAAATTAATGATATAACCTGTGGTTGAATCGATATTTCTGATCACTATTGTATGTGGATTTCTCATGTCTCGTTGCGTCAAGAATACCTTTCACCAGAATGTGTTAGGCTTCACATGCATTGAAATATATATCCTTTCGATTTCGGAAGGCATTCTTCGATAGGCTTCGACCGTTCGCACATTGTACCATCATGGGCAATTACATTAGGTATTCAGGAGGGATTCAGACAGATAGAGAGATAGACAGACACAATCAGAATGGAGTGAACCCTCAAGCATGCTATTGATTTCTTACTACTAAATTTGCCCTGGTCCTTTAGATGTCCCCCTCAAGCTACGTCTCAATGTCATCTACCGTTGAAGAATTGTATTAGCTAAGAAGCATACCCAGGTGAAATTGTTTTGTTTACTAGTGGGTGTTGAACGCGTGGTTGCCGCGCCGCTCTTTCCTCACTCACCACACCCACCACACTCACTTCAACCACCCTCTCTCTACTCTCCCTCATCCACTCCACGAGTCTCACAGCTTCATATATCAATGTATAACTAATAAACTTTGAAGCAGGCCAATCACCTAATCGCCCTCACTCATTCAAGTTGTGCCCACTGCGCCCGTGCCAATCGAGCCACCAACGGCGTTAGTGAGCAACCACTACGCAGAGTAACCCAAAAACCTTTCCCATCGCCGAGCGAGAGAAGATCTATCTCACTAACCTCTCTCATTTGTCCAGAAGAAGCCGTCAAGAACAATTGATAAGGATCCATCTTGTTGACTTGCTCAACGCTCACCTGACTCTGCAGTCATTTCTCTATCTGTGTTCGGACCAGTTCGAGAAAAGAAAACATCAGGCAAGCCAATTCCACATGAACAATAGCACACAGATCAGAAACTAATGGTGGCCAATATAGCAAGCCAGATGGTGCCTAAACCTCGCCGCCACTTTTGCGGCATATGTGGGCAGTCCTGCGCAACGAAGGACAGCTTGCGCCAACACGAGTCTACGCATGCCGAGATGCAGAATATCTGGACTTGTGAGATATGCCATTGGTCATTCCCTGATGAACTGGCTCTTGAGACACACCAGCTTCATTCTGATCACAAACCCCGGGCGAAACTCACCTTCGCATGCGGGCGTTGCGCAGAGAAGCCATCCTTCGCTACGGAAGAGCAATTAGTGGCTCACCAGAAATTTCCAAGCTTCTGTGCGGATGCATACACTGGATACAAGACCCACACTCCAGTATTGGACTATGGCTTACAACCACTGGAGAACGTGAAGCCGCGTGTCGAAGGCAAACTCACCGAGAATGCGTTCGTCGAGGCAGAGAGCCCCAAGGGTGCCGACATCTCCAAGGGCTCCGACATCTCCAAGGGCTCTGACATCTCAAAAGGCGCCGGCATCTCCAAGGCCTCCTACATCACCAAGGGTGCCGGCATCTCCAAGGGCACCGATATCTTCAAGGGAATCGATACCTCCAAGGGCATCGATACCTCCAAGGGCATCGATACCTCCAAGGGCATCGATACCTCCAAGGGCATCGATACCTCCAAGGGCTCTGATAGGAAATGTGAGGGATGTAAGAAGAGCTTCGGCAGTGAGGCCTCCTACACTCGTCACTTCTTAGCCTGCAACTTCCAGCAAAATCGTGGCGGTGAAGTGAAGTCAATCAACAAACATACCGGCTCACATGTGCCTGACAGCCCATTGGTTCAAGCATTATCCCGCGCTTCACTGGGGTGCCACAACTATCGTAAAATCGGCGCTACGACAGCCAATCCTGTAGAGAAGAATCTGGTTGTTAAGCCTGACCAACAGAAAGAGCAGTTGGTCACGCCGGAGATCAAGAACCAGTCACAATCAGTGGGTGCTGAACGGTCACGCCAGCCACCAGCCATCCAGCTAATCAATGAGCTGGTTCGTGGTATACCTCAGGGAAACGAGCCGCGCAATGCAGACCTTGTCAGTCCTCAAAATGCTGGAGGAAAGAGCGCAGTTGAAGTAGCTAATGAAGACTGCCACGAGCAGAATGATATCTTCGAAAAGGCGGATATCAAACAGGATGTATCCCAGAGTCAACATGCAGCTGAATACGGTCCCAGAACCAAAACCTCCACAGTGAAGGTTTCAGATATGCCACCAGCGGTACAGAAGATTCTCTTGATGAATGACCCAAGCCTATCAGAAGGCGACCCTCTCTTGGAAGCGTCGAAAAGCCCTCGCCGTAGCAAGCGCATAGCCGCTAAGCAGCGACCCGAGCTTGCCAGATATGTACCAGGACCACGGATGCAAGAACAGGATTCAATTCATCAGCCACTCGAGGACCATACTGAGGACCATACCGAGGATGCTAGGCTGGCTGAGACTTTGTCTAAACAGATCATGCGACTCGCCCTGCAGTCTGACATCAACATCATGCATGAAGGCAAGATTGAATGCAATGGTGAAAACTGGATTCGGATTCCCGTTACCAAGTACGGCGATGCCATTGAAATGCTTGACGGTCTTTGTCACTTGCCGCGCGAACTTCAAAAGGAACATTATCTGCCTGTCCCCAAGACTTTCAGCAAGAATTATACGGCTTCCTACCTGGTCACAGATTTCGAGCCTTCTCCTGAGGTGGGCAAATATGGAACTGCATTAAAGGCCATTGCACTGTCAACTAGCAAGATTGAGCTGCCTAACAAATGCCTTGAAGCAATCAAAATTGGAGCAGTCGATGTTCTGTCAGGTCGTGTCATACTCAATCACCTCATCTGCATCGACCCCATATCCCAAGTCTCTGACTGGAACGCCAAGATCACCGGATTCGCAAGCTATGAGGACCTAGAATATGCCCGCATGAATGGATACAAGGTCTTCAAGGGATGGGAGGCTGTGCGATCCGCACTTTTCAGATTCATCAACAAGGAGACCATAGTCGTTGGACATAACCTACGAAGCGACCTCGATGCCGTTCGACTGATCCATGGACGTGGAGTTGACATTGTCAAAGTGATTGAGAAAGCGGCCAAAGGACCCGTGTCCGAGCCACAGCTGGGTCTGGACAGCTTGTGTCGGGACATTTTGAAGAAGACTCTCAACACCACTCCTTACTTTGGTCGCGACTGTCTCCAAGATGCGTTCGCAGCTCGAGAACTTCTTCTATGGAATCTGAAGAACAACGAGAAACTTGTGCAATGGGCAAAGGCCAGATCCGAGGATTTCTGTCGTTTGCGCCTTGAGATACGCTCCTAGTCTGGGAATGTACCACTGTTCCATAAATTCTGACCGTATTCTAGAGACAACTTCGCCCTCGCACGCGAGTATCGATGATTACGGAGTGTGTGTCTGATCACAGCTTCGCTAAAGAATATAGGGAGGAAATGGTAATCAACGTGTGACCACAATAATGACAAAGAGAGAGTTGCAGGTTTCGATGCTTATTATCGGGAAATGGCTGAAGGTGTTCATGTAGCAATGTAAGGCAAAACAGGGGAGTTAACGGAATCAATGAAACTTATATAATACAATTGTGCCTGTTCACAGTGAAGGAAATACACATGGAACGAAGTCTGAAGACACAGATCGTCTTCAGCACATCCGGCCTGGACGACTCATCTGGCTAGTCGTCATTGGAAACGATGGGTCTGGTTGCATAACACATGTGAGTAGTCCCGTACAAGATGACCTGATTGCACGAAGTCGATTTCCTCGAGAAATGAAACGGATTAAGGAATTAATGATCATAATTATTATGCCAGCATATTGCTTTTATCTGCGGACTGAATGTTCCTGCGTCACAGTAATATCTTTAGGAAAGAACGCCCCCGATATCATTTCTCACTCGACTCCACCACGAACGCACCTCCTAGCAAGATAGCAGGCTCGTCGATATTGTGATGCTCGTAGCTCAAGGTACCCACACCTCCCGCCTCCAAGATCAGCGAAGGGTTGTCCTTCAAGTCCTTTCCGACCCATCGCGAGACGAAAGCTCTCAAGATGTGTCCATGAGCCACGATGAGCACGTCGTTAGGCACGCCGTCTTTTCCCTTCCACCCCGAATCCTTACCAAACCGTCCTGCGTGCCACTTCTGCTTAATCTCCGCGATGAGCTCATCTAGTCGCTTTGTGACGTCGTCGGGGGACTCGCCGCCCTCGCAGCCGTCCCGCCAGATGTCCCAGTCCTCGTTCAGGCCCCTCTCTTTTCTAGAGGCTCTGATCTCGGCGGACTTCAACCCTTCGTAGTTGCCGTAATCCCATTCGCGGATGGAGGGGCAGATAGTGATAGAGGCATCGGAGCGGATGTTGTCGGTCAATGGGGTTGAGTCGTTCCATGGGTAGCGCTCGCGGCATCCAATGTCGAGGAGTTCTAATGTGCGTTGGGCTCGTTTACGAGGGGATACGTAGCTGCAGATACAAAAATCAGCTTTTATACAAGGGAAGTATCGGGCGATTGGGGTACTGACATGTGAGCGAGATTTCCAGGGACAATCAATCTATCGTCGCCGACAAGCGCATTTCCTGTTGCGCGTACTCGCTTCTCGCCATTTGCGGTCAGAGGGAGCTCGGTGGTTCCTGTGTGTCGGCCATTCAGAGACCATTCAGTCTCTCCGTGACGGACGAAGAAGATGCGAGGGTCAGGCATGGTGAATTGGTAATTGGACGCGGGAAGGGAGACGTGTCTAACAGGAGAGGTGTATGCGTGGCGTATGCGTGGAGAGCGGCAGGTATCAGTTAGTACGAATGGAATGCGAATGGAGAAGTTGTTGAGGGGAGGAAGTAATTTATCAAACAAGGACACAGGCAGGCTCAATGGTAGTCATATAAAGAACGAGATGGTAAAGTTCTGGAGTAAGTAACGATCTGAGTAAAGGCCAAAAAAGGGCGATTCGGACCTAAACGGCAATGGACCTTTGGGATGACGTCCAAGTTTGGTGGGGGGTCCAGGGTCTATAGTGTGTAATAAAGCCATAGCTCCACCCCGCCATCCAACCATGCAGGTCATCCTCTTCACACTCCATGGTCAGTCAGCGTGTCTAATCAGTTCGTCCACTGCCAATTTACGCTTACATCGCCGCAAGCTGGGTTTTGTCATGACTTGTCAATTTCATTGATCTTTGGCATCGTTGCTATGCTTTAATCGCAATAGCACAAGGAAAGTTCCATACTACTCTCCCGATCTACCTAATTACCCCTGGAGCCTCCGCAAATCCCTCGGCGAGAGAGTCGATGGAAACACATTGATCATACCATTCTGTGTTCGAAGTTAGCAAACAAGAATCGTCAATGTTCAGCAAGAAAGAATGCGGAGAGAAACATAGAATAACATACCATTTTGAACAACGCACTTAGCACCGCTCACACACTTGGTACATCCAGTCCTGGATATCTCTAGTCAGATCTGCAATAGGATCGGAATGAGTTTACATACCAAGGAACTCCATCATAATATCCTCCGCATTGATAATACAATGGTACAGGACATCTGGTACTACTTGGTCCAACCTCTCCACCCTCTGTTTTGGTAGGTTTTTGGGTTGATTTGATCGTCTGTCATTAAGTGTTAGCGATCTATCCTCACGACTTCTTTGACTGGCATAGGCAATATCGAGGCTTATGGTTGTATTTGTGTCGTTCACTTACCTTGGTAGGCGGCTCTGGTGGCGGCGTGTACTTGGTCGTCGTACTGGACTTTTTGCTGGTCTCTGGCGGCGGTGTGTATTTGCTCGTAGTGCTAGGCTTCTTGCTGGTCTCTGGAGGAGGCGTGTACTTGCTCGTAGAGCTCGGTTTCTTGCTCGTGGATGGCTGCTCTGGCTCCTTGGTGGTTTTAGGCGGTTGCGGTCCTCCGCCAGGAATGGTTGTGGGGATGCGAATAGTCGTAGGAGGGTAGTCAGTACATTTAGGCCCAAGGCAAGTTATCGTGAAGGTGACATCCTTCTGGCGCGCTTCCAGACGGTTTGGATGAGGGGCCTGTATTCATATTAGCATCTCGACAGAACCATATACGCATACTTGGTTCTCTTACTCCGAAGGAGACCGCAGACAATGAAACGAACACTGCAAGAAGGTGGGCTTTCATGGTGGCCAAATGGTGAACGGTCACGCAGAATCAGGTCGAAGGATACAAGGAAATCAAAGGAAGATCGTTTGGTCCAGGAGCTTTCAAGGCTCTTTATGAGACATCAACACGTCAAATGTCCCAGCTCGTATACGAGGTCTACAGCCTGTGCTATCATACATTCTATATTGCATCACGCACAAGATTCGCTTCACGCACCTTGGCCCATGATTTAGTTCATTGTGGGTGGCGGCTTATGGTTTACCTTCAGTCGGTAGACGAAGAACATATGCGAGTTCCAATATCGGCAGAAGAAGCGGCAACCAGGAGCGGCCCGGACGAGGTTGGGATGCGATAAATTGGTTCTGATGCTGCACGTTGGCAGTGTCATAAGAGGAGCGAATGCTACCGCTGGCTCGAGGACAACGATACCACGTAGCGCCATCGCGCCGCCGCTCAGTGGCCTTCTTGACCTCACTTTCTTTCCTGATACTAAGCTATCTGTGCAGCCGAGTTTATTTGCCTTAGGGTAACAGTACTTGATTGCGTCGTTTCTATTCTCGTTTCTATTCTTGAGTCAGAGGCGAGTTGGTTACATTTTAACCGTAAATTGACTACGACACCACCCCTTGTTATATATGCACAGAGGTTTACCGAACACGGGCCCACAGGCATTGAAAAGTATCTTAGCTCGGTCATGCCACGGGAATGGTACCAAAGAGACCTGGTTCCAGGCTTGCACAATATGAATGGAGATGAAGTGCAGCTTGCGCATATGCGGCCCAACGCATTGGATGGGATTTGGTGATAACGAGGCGTATAGCGAGGTTGGCCAGGGACTTGGCAATGAGGGCGGTCAAGTGTAAGTGGAGAAGAAACATGTGTAGAATAAACTTGGATAAACGGAATGTCGACTACATGAAGCCTTTGAGGACTACACTAGCTGACCCCAAGGACATGTCGCGACGCAGGAACTGCTTTGACCCAGTCGAGACCTAGGCCAGCGTTCTAGAATGGCGTAACAACTCTCCAGAGACGGAGAATGTTATTGGCATTTTACATGAGAAATTTTTCTCAATCTTACAAGACGTCTGTCTTGATCTGGAATAGGATATCTCAGGTTGCTGACGTCTAGGCCTTCGATATTGCTGGCGCGATGGACAAATCGGCTGCAAACATGCTGCTTTGTTCGGATCAATGTCCTAAGACAGCACAGACATGAGAGCAAATGGACGCCGGTGGTTGCAAAGCTCGCGGTGGATCGTCTCTTTTCTTCTTCTATTGACCACCTTGCACTTTTCAAAGTGGTCCTTCAGGTAGCGCCGCTTAACAAGTCGCTTGGTCCTATCCATCTTCTCACAAGTTTAGCTCCAGATGGCTTCAATTTCCTATAATATCCCTCTTCCTCCCCAATGACCTCGAAGCCTCTTGCCTTATACCATTCTAGACCAAGATCATTTGCTTCCCATACGTGTGCAGTCACACTCTTTATACCGTGTTCTTCAGAGGCTTTAAGTATGATATTATGCAGCAAATGAGTTGCGATTCCGTAGGATCGATAGGGAGACAGGAGACCAATCGTCGATATGTAAAGGGTTGACGAAGGCAGGATGCGACACCGGATGGCGCCTACTAGTTTCGGGGTTCCCGCTGCGAGAGAAGGATCATTTTTCACTGGTTGTGGATGCCACAATGCCATAAGTGTAATTCCGTGGAAAGGCTCTTGCATAGTCTCGGTATAGAAATCTCGAGGATAGGGTATGGGTAGCAGGGTCGAGTTCAAGCGTTTGAATGCGGGCATAAGCTCTTCCGTCAAAGGTACAAGTTCGACATTGGGAGGCAAAGCTTTAAGAGCAAAAGGCTTTGCACTGGCACCATTGTCGGTGATCTCTTCTTCAGGCTCGACTTGCTCTGTTCGGTCATTGTCTGGCTTGACTTCTGCAACCGTGTGTGAGATTCTTTGGTAGTTCTTAGGTGCGCTCTCAATGGCAGTCGTAGTGTCAGCTTGCGTAACAGACGCAGGCTTCTTCAGCCATGCTGTTATAGAAGACTGAAGCATTAGTAGTGCCAATTGTAATCCGGGTGGTCGAGACGAACAGGTAGAATAACACGACGGGCAGGAGATGCAGACGCGACATGCCTTGCCCTGTCCGGGCTAGCGCGGAGATGTGCGAACCCGCCAAGGCCTTGTTTCCGACTTCTACCCAGCTTCATCAACATCAGCGCCAGTATCCAGCACTTCCGGCGCCGCAATCATGGGGGCAGAAAACTCGAAACCCTCGGGCGAAGTCTCGCAGCACATTTTCACATCGTATGTCTCTCCTCCGCCGACCCAATGGATCACGTGTTGTCGGTGGATAAGTACTAACGGGCTTTTCCACGCAGAGATGCCCCCGTTCGATTCTCGAATGAATTAGTCAACTCGCTACAAAAGAATACACAGGTATGCTCGTTTGGTCATTCTAGCGTGGTATGAATGGGGATTGACGTCAATTGGCGGTAGACCGATGCGACTCGCTCGAGACAACAAGAGCTGCAATACCAACAGCGCCTGACTTCGGAGCTCGAGAAACTTCGTGAACAAGAGGTCCAGAACTTCTCCCAAGTTATCGAAAGCCTGTCTGGTGAAGCCGAACAGCCCCCGGCCGATCCCTCATTCGTCGAAAAGCTCAGTGATGCTACATCGAGCTCATCGGCTCTCGCCGAGAAACAAAAACAGAAGGAGATGAGCAGGGACAGCGTGACCAAGGAGATTGAGGCATTGAAAAAGAAGCTGGATGCTAGGAAGAAGTTGGAAAAGGCGGACGCTGAAGTGAACAAGGCGAAGGAGGATCTGACTAATTGTTTGAGGACTCACGACAGGCGACCGCTCGATTGCTACCAGGAGGTCGAAGCGTTTAAGAGGGAGGTTGGACGTCTTGAGAAAGATTTCGTCGAGAGGACGATCAGATGAGATTCTTCGTATTAAGCGCTTGGTATGGAAGCCGTAGTTGCGACTATAGTCGCATGTGGCAAGTGTATAGATAAAGTGCAAATGTTCGAGTATTGAGTACTGTCCGTCTACAGCTTTTCACGTGCTGCACTGGTTTTCACTATCTTCTCCAGCATGTTCGGACAGTGAGCTTCATCACTTCTTCGCATCGTTTCTTTATCTTGCTGATTCGATTCTTCACTTTTCGTATAAGAAAGGCCCTATCTGCAGTAACACTTCCCTCTTGCCTCTCACTTTGCCTTCACCGTTCCCTCTCTTTACTCTGATCTTAACTCTCTTTACTCTATTCTTACCTCTCTTTCCTCTTTTCTCACCTCTCTTTACTCTTTTCTCACCTCTCTTTGCTCTCTTTTCTCACCTCTCTTTGCTCTCTTTTCTCACCTCTCTTTACTCTCACCTTACCTCTTCCTTATCTTCTTCTCTCGCCTTCCTCTCTTTGATCACCTTCCTCTTGTTCCTCTCTGCGCCTTATCCTCCTTCACTTTTCATTCAACCTTGCCTTACCATAGCATATCTTCTCCGACCGACCTATCTGCCTTCCTTAGCACGATCACGCTGACTGGTACCGCGCCAAACCTATACTGCCCCATCTAGCTTGACAGCAGTAGCTTCCTTCAAGGACCCGCCCAGAGAACTCATATCTGCGATAACTCACCCGCGAGCTGCAACAGACGAAATGGATGAAACCTTGGGAACTCGCTATAATCCGTGCTCACTTCTTGACAATGACATAGAAGAAGAGGAAGAAGCTGGCCAGTCGATCGAAGAATCATTCGACTTCCTCACACTATGTAAGCCAACTATCTAAACCCTTATCTACTCTGATATAAGGCTAATCATCTCGCCACCAGCGGACGCCGAGTCAGAGGTTGAGTTCGTTGAGATTAGAGACCTAAACAAAAACAGCTCCACTGATGGCGCTAAGCGCCATCAGACAGCGTTGAGGCCATATGACGAGCAGGAGTGTCTCGTAGAGTATCCATGGAAGAAGATCTCGGAATTGTCCATCCCGGGCGTGGGTGTCATCAAGGCCAACGACACCATTGAGCTGATGAGGGAAGGTGGAAACGTGGAAGTGGCAGGAGAAGCACTTCACAGTGGGGACTTCCTTCGCGTGAAAATCATTTTGCGCAATCGCAGGTCCGGCGAAGTGAAGCTGCGAGGACATCGTCTGAAGAGAACCAAATACCATGGGCCAATTTTCAAATGTAAGTCTGACAGATATGCGAATGATGAGTTATCTGACGATGAAGACAGGGAAATTAAATGAGCTCGCCATGATCCTTCACATCTCCGAAGACGACCCACGCTCCGCGCTGATCCAAGGACTCGAAGATGTCACTGTCCAAGACGTCTACCGGAAGCGTGAATGCATACTAACAGCAAAACCGTATCCAATGCTCAATTGGAACGAATGCCCCATGTACCTGAGAGGTAATCCCGAAACTATGACCAAGGAGCAAGTAAAAAATCACGTCTTTCATAAAGGTCGGTTAGTATGTCGATGGATTCACATTATGGTAGTCCAGAAGTCAGGTAAAAGCTACGCTGGCGTGGTCCGAAGCATGTACAGTCATGAATCAGACGACCATCAAAAGCAACAATCATCCCCGGCAACAGTCTCACGAGGATCGTCCCAAGAGTCTCCAATTGTCCTCAACATTGACAGCAAGGATGAGGGATCCGTCAAAACTGACGATAAAAGCACCCCTCAGAAGCGAACCCACCGCTCACCTTCAATTGAGTTGCTAGCTGGCACACCGCAAAAGCGGCCTAGGATGTCGAACAGAACCTATACATTCGGCGATGTCTTTTGTGGGGCAGGGGGTTCCTCTGCTGGAGCTTCAAGGGCAGGCCTAAGTGTGAAATGGGGCCTAGACAATGACACTGCGGCCATGGAAGCATATGAAGCGAACTTTCCAGATGCATTCAGTCTGCCTATGAATGCGCATGACTTCAAAGACCAGAAACAGTTCTTCAAAGACTTCATAAAGGTGGATATTCTTCACCTTTCACCCCCGTGTTGTTATTGGTCGCCCGCCCAGTAAGTCTACCTATTCATGAACACCTATTCATGAACAATTTCTTGTAATAAGATTGACTAACACCCACCAAGCACTAGAGAAGGCCCCAAAGATCAAGACAACTATGAGGCGATCTATACAGTTGGTCCGATACTTGAAGCCGTTAAGCCGCGTATGGCCACGCTTGAGCAGACATCCGGACTTGTCACTTCAAAAGAGCACATTAAAAACTTCAAACTGCTCATAAACGACATGATTGTAGCAGGCTACGATGTCCGTTACGGCATCCATGACATGGCCGAGTTCGGATTGCCGCAGCAGAGGAAACGTTTACTTATCATGGCTGCTAGGTCAGTAAACTCTCCTTAGTCTTCAGACAGAGATGCATGTTTTGTACCATTTCATGCGTACCTATGCTAACGAAACAACAATGTCAATAGAAGAGGAACCCCGCTTCCTCCATTCCCAGTACCGACGCATGGCCCACCAGAAAGCGGTCTCAAACCTTGGAGCTCCGTCCACGACGCCCTGTTCCCGCTCCGCAACCTACCTTCCAACGCCTTCGACGAATACCACCAACCTTACAAGCTCAAACCAATCTCGAGGCACCCATACGACCCTGCTACTAAGGTGCTGGGCTGCATCACGACAGGTGGTACGGAGAACTACCACTTCTCAGGGAGGCGCAACTTCACGGCGAGAGAGCTCTCACTGTTCCAGTCCTTCCCTATGGGATACGTGTTCTCTGGATCGCAGACCCAGGCGAAGAAGCAGATTGGCAATGCTTTTCCGCCGCTGATGGCTGAGGCGATGTACCGGAGTGTTGCGCAGACACTCGAAGCGTTTGATCATGGGCTGATTGGCGCGGAAGACGACATACAGGATCTGCTGGGTCTTCTTGCAGAGAGGGGCGTTGAGCTTCCAGAGCGAGTATGTGGTGAAGGAGAAAGACGTGTAAGGGGGTTCTACCCAGGGCCTAGGGGGACGAACCCGCCCTACAAATATCTTTTTAAACGTGCTACGATGGGCAGCGGTGCCAACACGCCAACGAGGTCGCGAGCTCTGTTTGGCCGTGGTTACATCATCGAGCCGAAGAAGAGGCCGTCTGCTCAGGTCGTGATCGATGAGGATGAAGACGACGAAGATTTCGTTGAGATTGAGTCGCCCAGTACTTCTCGTGTTCGACCGAGCAGCTCCGTGACAGTCGATCGAAGGTCCACTATGGCGTGGAGAAATGGAGAGGTGTTAGAGCTTTCTGACTAGGGTTTGCACGTCTTTCTACCTGTGGGGACAATGCAGAGCATGAATACAGGCCTGCACAGGACATTTGAGCACGGGTGGGTTGATAAGGTCGGGATTGGTCATTCGACTGTTCGGCAGTATGCACCAGAGCTGAGACCGTGTGTGCCTGGCAGTGTCATGACATGCCACTTTGTTACAAATGATCCATTTGGGAGATTTGATCCATATCACAAACACGGATTTGATAGCCGAGCAGAATGTCACAAGGTTGATAGAGGGGAGTTTATTGGAGGCTTTCTACAATGAATTGCAATTGCCTTAAAGCAGGCGTGAAATGCAAGGAGCAAGCTATAATGCCATGAAGATTTCGAGAATTATCATTGATTATCGGGCCAAAGTATTTCAAGATCCTAATTAACCCGTCCCACACACGTGAACGCCTTGATGACGGTGATGATGATGGCGATGAGGTGCAAGCATCTTTTCCCTATGCCAGACGTGAAAGTATAAAAGCAATTGAACCCTATCGTTCCTTCCCAAACGCCACTTTCGAGGGAATGCCGTGACAAAAGAAAAGAGAAAGCGATTTTGAAACCCATAGTCCTTTTCCCTAACGCCTGTCCATGAAAAGTGAGCCTTTTGAGATAAAATGGATTGCTCTGCCCTCAAAACGAAAACGACGGCACCCTCTAGATCAGCGCAGCGACCTGTCCATGACGCTCTTAATACCAGCACTGAGGCCAGCATTGGCACCTACACTGGCACCGACACCACCGGCCCAAGTTCCCTGCTCGACATACGGACTCAAATCCGTCTTCTCCCTCTGCGCCCCGCCGTACGCGCCTCCGCCGCCCGCAGACCCCTTGGCCCTCCCGCCTGCGCCCCCGTTCCCGCCATCGAATTGGCTGAGCAGCTCGTCGATCCTGCACTGGCTCTGGCAGAACATGACCTGGCAGGCGAGCAGGAGGATGCTCTTGGTGAGGAAGACGTCCTTGCGGACGACGGTGCGGTAGTAGCAGTCCGGGAACTCGAAGCTGATGGGGATGGAGGTGACGGAGTGGGAGATGGCGGCGAGGGCGCGCGCGAACGTGCGGTCGCGGTCGCACATGAAGAAGGAGATGAGGCACTTGCGCGCGCAGAACGGGTCGTGGACGGTGGCTGTCAGGGAGAGCGAGCGGAGCTTGGGGGACAGGGACGGGAGGAGGGACATCAGGGCGTGGATGTAGGCCGCGCAGCCTGGGTCTGTGGGCTTCCAGCCCATTGGGAAGGCGTTACCCGTGATGGAGCGGCGCGGGTAGTACAGAAGGTCGATGGTGAGGTGCCGGATTAAGGGCCAGGATTCTTGGGTAAGGGGCGGTTCGAATTGGTGGTGGTGATGGCGAGGTTTGGGGGTCGGGGATGTGGTTTGGTAACGGTCGTGACCATTTTCTTCTTCCTCCTCTTCTGGTCCTTCTCCCTCATCGTCGATTTGGATGTCGAGATCTGGGATGCTAGTGATGTAGAATGTGTTTTTGGCGAAGAAGACAGATCGAGCCTCGTCGTAGATCTGGCGATTGGTGCGGAGGATGGTGAGGTCTAGACCGTAGCGCTCATCCTTGCGGGCGGAAACGCCACGGAGCGGCTGCTCTGCGACGATCAGGTACTCGTAGATGGAGAGCCGAAGCTCAGGAGGGAGCATGTCGAGCAGGAAGCAGGTTCCTGGGTCTGTCGGGGCTGTCATGGCGGGGATGGAGAATCGTGAGGTGCGCAGCCTGGGGTCGTGTAGGATTGAGGTTGATGCGCGCCGGTAGTACGAGTAGGGAGTGGGTGACAGTATCCTTGAGGGCATGGCAGCGTAGGTAATTATATCCCCAAAAATTTCCCGGGAGGAGAAGAGAATACGTTGGGGGTTCGAGATGTCAATATTATTAGGCCCTGGTTCTTGGAACGGTCGAGACAACTACTGGGTCATCTATTTCTTGTCTCGTGTGCACTGAGGGAAGGATGTAGATTGGATTGGACTGGACCGTGGACTATGTAGCAAATGCAATTGAGGGAGTGATTCTGTGGCATCGAGGCACTTTTAGGTTGATTAGTCGATTAGAAGGTGAGAGTTAAAGGGAGAGGGAGAAGGAGAGAAGAGGAGTAGTATTGGTAGTAGTAATGATAATCATAATCAATCCATTATGTGACGTTATGGTGTCTCGTCTTTTTTCCATGTATGTACTGTGTACACACGAGTACCATGGTCTATGGATGAGGCAAGTCATGGGTGTGGGTTTAGGCCAGGGGACCAGAACGAGTAAGAGAGAGGCGGGCCGGATCTCGGCTGGTCTGGCTGGCCGCTCATTCATTCATTCATTCATTCATTCATTGATCCATCATGATCCATTCACTACTCAACCGTTGTTCCTTCCTTCAACATTGATTCAACCAACCCCTGCAAGGAGCTCTCCGTGCTGCAAGACGAGACAAGAAAAGAACAAGAGTCACAAGACGAGGCAAACCATAATGCCCCCCATCAGTCATGAAAAGATAATCACTACCCTGGATCGTGAAACCTAGAACCTCACAGTTAGGCCTAGGACTGCCTCGCGCAACCTTGCGAATCAGGCTAGAAGTCACAAGAGGTGGAAGGATGGTTCCCAAGCTCAGAAGCTAGCATCCACCCGTCCTTGAATTCCAAGGGAGATCATCGACGTTCGCGCCATTCTAGAAAAAGTCTGAACGTGGCAACCGGCCCTTCTCGAAGGTCGTTAGACCACCACTCTATTGTGACCTACCCCAATCATGATCTAGACTATCACTGCCTAGATACATAGGTACGAGATAGTCACAATAACCATCACTCAACTCAAAGAGCGAGCGGCAGAAGCACACCATGACAAGCTGTGGCAAAGCTTTGAAACGGCCGACGGAGCCCCCATCCGAGTATCTCCCACGTGGCTCACCCGATCTTAACGTTCAAGCTACTAGATACGAGTGCTCGTACTTGTACTTTGATAATGTAAATGTAACTACAATATATGTGTGATACCTTCATGGATGATGCACCAATTATTGAACTGGCCCCCGCATCGTCAGATGCCCAAGGACACTTTCCGTCTCAAATCCTCTACACTCATCAGTACAATGACGTCTAGTTTACTCCCAGCATTGGACAACTAAGATCAAGGACAAGGAAATTGACCCCTCCCTGACCCTGTGAGATATGAACTGTGCTTCACCGGAATCAACTCCGACACACGCTGCATGGCAAATCATCGGGACGGAGACAGAGATAGAGCAAACATTCACTATTCTGATGGTGCAACACTCTACAAGGAAACATTGCCGATCTCGAACATGGTCCCTCCGAATAAATGACATGTAAAGGAAACATACAGTTACAAACATGCATACAAACACGGCAAATGTCATATCCCTCCCTTCGCTAGTGCCCCCCTCTAATCGTCATACTCGTAAGTTCATACTGTGTACATGTATCATTGTCGTCGTTGGCGTCATGGATTCATTGCTCATTTCTTGCTTGTGATGAGGGAAAAGTGATTTAGAAAGAAATGAAAACCCTCCACGGCCACATTAATATGCTCCTCAGAACGCTTCATGGCTGCAATCTGTCCTGGTTCTTCTCTTGAACCGCTCAGTCGTCGTACTCGCGTCTAGGTGCACGCCGTGAGTTGCGTCGTCGTCGGGTCCCGCGGCGGAAGTCCTCCGAATCCGAGTCGCTATACTCATCAAAACCGCCATCATAGCGATTGGAAGACCTACCATCCCGAGACAAATCTCGAGAACGATCTCGTGAAGGCGACGGTGAAAGGGAGGATTCGTCACGCCTCCGGTGGCTGCGGCTGCGGCTGCGGCTGCGACTTCGTTCGCGCTCACGCTCTCCTTCGCTAGCCACTCGAGAAGCTTCACGAAGTAGTTTCTTTCTGTAAAGGAAAAGAAGGAAAATCAGTCATGCGGCCAACAAATGAAACGTAACAAGCTTATCAAAACACTCAAATCGTAGACAATGCGCCGACACATGTCTGTCCACATGTGGTCGTCGTCGTGTTCGTCGCCGCCATCATCATTCTCATCAATACCACTTACTTCTCATGTCTCTTCTCCAACTGTCTGCCGCCCAATCCGCCGATAGCCGCACCTACGAGAGTACTTAGCGTGCCCTTGCCAACAGCGTTGCCAGCCAGTCCTCCAGCCAACGCACCTCCCACTGAAGCCGCCAAGCCTCGTTCACGTTCGTCAAGTCCATCGAACCTATCACGGAACTTCTCAGTGACTCGACTACGACTGCGGCCGTGATGACCAACAGACTTCGCCCTGTGGCGATGCCCGTCACTGTGCTTATGACTATGACGGCGCGAGGACGAGACGTCGTCTTCACGGCTTGGCGGATCATGGTAGGTGCTCAGCTGGTTGTCGTGGTACGGCGCGATCGATGGCTGGGAGCGCGACTCCTGGCGATAAAACGGAGGCGGGGATGGATAGGTGTTACCCGGCGCTCTGTAGCCTGCTGGAGGTGCTGCTGCATATTCTGCAGGGTTGTAGGTGGGATAAGGATTCGTCGGGGGGATGGGAGCATTCACAGGGGATGGAGAATACCCAGGACCCGGAGTATATCGTGCTGCAAAGGAAGACTGTGCAGTCGAAGTGTTTTGTTGACCCTGGGGCTGGGGGGAGTTAGTACTAGAGGTGCGTAGCAATGCCGCCGTTGGCGGTTCGAGAGAAGGTGAGAAAGAAGTCGCAAGCGGAGAGCCGCGATGCGCAAGAGCACCCCAAGTCGGAGATTGAATAGGAAAGAGATGTGCCAACGGCGCCGTGGCGGATCGATTCATTACCCTGGCCGGAAGCGTATGTGCCCGGGTGAATGGATTCGCCGTGGCTATCGTCGCACTGCGAGAACGAAAAGTTGTATTTACCTGAGGGGAGTACCCGTACTCGGCTCTGGGAGGGTATTCATTGCCCATCGGCGGTGCAGCGGGTGCCGCGGGTTGAGGTGCGTACTCTGCTGGATTGTAGGGTCGATACTCAGAGGTTGGGGGTGGGGGAAACTGAGGGACCCCTTGACTGTGGTCCATGTCTGCGTAGATGTTTCCTGTGCTGCCAAATTCAGAAGGGCGCTGTGTGTGTCTGCCACGACTGGAGCCCGTATCCTCGCGTGTATCTGCTCCTAGACTTTTCGCACGGCGACGTCGCTGTTTGTCGCGATATTCTCGTTCGTAGTCGGTGTCGTCGTACCCGCTGTAGTCGGAATAATCGGTGGTAGGGGTATGGTCGCGGCGGGATCGTCGGCGGTCGCTGTCTGATTGTCTCTGTTCGCTCTTGTTGCGAGTATCTCTGTTGGATTTGCTCTTCTTTTTGTTCTTTTTCTTTTCTTCGGGGGTGAAGAAGCCACCTGGAATGGATTCGAAGAATCTGTCAGGAATCCTGTCGGCACCGTAATCTATTGCTTTGAAAGCCAGCGCGGCCATTTTGAACCTGGGCGCCTGACAGGGCTGAAATCCGGTTCCTTAGGGTTGGTAGGGTACTCGTACGTGGAGTGGAGAGTTGACGTAGACGGACAGTAAACAGTGACGGTGGGGGGCTGTGAGGCTGGCTGTGATTGGCGAGATGGATCCAGGCGGGTGTGCAAGGGGCCTGAAGGTTGGATAGCGCCGACGATAGGGCGACGAGTCGGACGGAGGAGAATGAAGGATAATGAATGGTGGAAGGGGGTTCGAGATTACACAGGACAGGTTGGTGGTGTTGGTGGTGGTGTTGATATATGTGTAGGAGGTGGCAATTGGTCGTATAGGAAAGAGAGATGCGAGGTACAACAATGTAGGGTACGTGATGGGGAAGGTAGTAGCAGCTGTAGTAGTAGCAAGAACGGATTGGCACGCTTGTTTGCTGATTAAAGATTTGCTCTCTAATAGATCGTACGTATATCGTGACGGGAGAATGATAGTTGTAGTCGTAAGTCGTGAAGGTTATGGAGACAGATGGAGAGAGGGGATCGTATTGATTTTGAGAAGAAGTCAAGAGGGAGGTGGCGATGTAAATTTCTTAAGGAAAACAACGGGGGTTGGGGGTGACGAGGTGACTTTTCCAACTAAATCTCTTGGGAGATGATGGAAGAATAGAAAAGGAATGAAGGAAGCAATTGAGAGATATTGTAATTGGAGGGCAATGGAAAAAGTCACGATGTGTTGCATAATTGGGGTGCAGGGCAGGTGGGAGGTACGAGGCGGAGGAGGCGGCTGAGGAAGTTGACGTCATTCCCTGTCCAGAATAGCAGGGGGTGACCTCGTAAGGGTCTCATTACTCGTAACTCGTCTCTGTCTCGGTGACGCTGTCTGGACAAACAGCCTCAAACTCATCCCTCATGCTCTGTCAAATAATACGAGTATAATTGCCTATTGCACACAACAGCCGCTACTTGATCTGCCACTCCCACTGAGCACATCATTCATTCATCGTGACGATGGAAGGGAATGAAAGAACTGCATTGGTCTTCACCCCAAAAGTCTTCATGTCATTGCGGAACAGCTGACCATTAACATATCGACCACTGCCCAGGAAGATTCTGGCCCTGCTAGACCCGTTGATCTCGTGAACACTTGCATCCTCAGCTTCCCACACATCTCGACTCTCCGTCTTGAAGATGTGGGATAGTGCGCTGCGCTTTTGTTTTGTCCACCCACCCTCAACTGCCGATTCCATCTTCTTCCATCTGTGCACACTCTCGCCTCAGCATCAACCTGAGACCTTGCCGACGCCGCAGAATTTAGCCATCCACGGCCAAATCACCATCCACTAGAGGGCCTCTCCTCCGGCCCGGATCATGCCGCGGCGCCATCGTCAACTATTGTACAAGTATACTGTATTACTACTCGTACAATAATACCCCACAACAGAAGAGGGTCGTGTCACTTGCTGCCCACCTCAGACCCAGAACCACTGTGGAGCCCGCCCATATGCCCGATGACGAAATGTTTTAGGGTGAGATCGTGTCCTCACCGCTGCCCATGGGCCACTTCCCGCCCACAATTCTGCTCACCGTCACGTATTCCATCCGCAAGGGTATTGCTTGTACGTGCTATGACTTGTTCACGATAGATTGTCATGGCGTCAACTTGATTGGCACTTTTGGCACGGTTGGCATCAGAGCTTGGGCTGATAAGAAACCGCCCGAAACAGTGTTACATTTGCACTCTATAATAGGAGAGTTCAGACATCTTGCACTCAAAAAGAAGAGTTAGTACCATGCATAGGGTGTAATCAATGTAGAAAGACAAAGGTTGGTTGTAGTTTATATTGTAATGTCCGTTATGAAAGAGTATGAACTCTTTTCCGAAGTCAAGAATAACATTCCAGGCACATACTCCGTACACAGATAGTACCTACTACTCAAAATCCAGAGACAATATGCCTATATTCATTCAATCTCAATTTTCCTGTTGTGGTAAAACCTAAAAATGCGTATGAATACTTGAGGCCATGATCTAGTCATGAACTCCAACCACACCCAAAGCCCAACCCAATATACAACCTCATAATACCAGAAATCCCTCTTCTCTCGCACACAAACACAAAACCCGTCCAGCAAGACCAACCACATTCCCAGTCTATCCAACCATAATTCGCGCAAAATCATCCCCCAAATTCCCATTCCGCTTCCCTTTGCCGCGTGCATGCGACGCGCCATCGCACTAAACCCAATGGAGCATCGCCGCCATCAGGCAGACATATAAACCTTTAGAAAAGCAAAATAATCCTCTCCACGCCGAGAGAAACCCATACAAAACAACACGATATCTCCAATTGTTTTATTTTTGAGATACTGCAATCTTTCAATCAATTGCATTGACGCCAATGGGAAAGCCGAAGATTCACGATGATGGGGGAAGGTGGAGGCCTTCCTCGATCAGGAGAGACGGTGGCGGTTCCCCTTGGGAGCTGTGTTCTTCACAGTTTTCATGGACAAAGCAAGAGGAAGAGGTCTTTGGTTCCAGCTACGATATATTGAATCAAACGATCGATCAAACGTTATGCTGACTATCAAACGCCCGATCGAATGGGAATGGGGTCTTTCTCCTCTCCTTCGGATTGAACCGGGAGATAATTCTAATGCAGAATTTGGAAGAAAGGGGAAAGGGGGAAAAGGGAACATTAGGATTCAGAGGAGAGAAGAGGAACACTACAGATCACAAGAACATTAAGAGCGGGGTCGAAGAGAGAAAGAGGAGGAGGAAGAAAGCATTCGCCACGCGCCATTGTCATCGCCATCGCTATCGCCAATTTTGATATCCCACGCGTCGCCCGAAACCAGAGGGGAAGAAGAAGACCAAGATGAAGAACTCCAGATATGCCAATGTCGTCGTCGTGAACAATTTTGTTTGTGGAGCACTTCCATCACCGAGACCGAGAGGAGAAAACGCGATTCGAATTACAAGCAAGGGGTGGGAGGGGTGATTTGATCAACTGAAAAGGAGCCAAGGAAAAGAGAAGGGAATAGAAACGTCGCATCGACAGGAGATCCGAGATAAATCGCTTCAGTGTGGCCACAGCGTGACCGCAACGTTGCGTGGTCTCTTAACTATGCAAGAGACCAAAACCAAGGAGTAAGTACACATGCAGGAAAAGCCAGCCGGCATGACGTATATGGGGTATCGTATCGTGTAGGGTGTCCATGCTCGGTCTCTGCTGAGCGGTCCGAGATGGGGAGGAAGGAAAGAAAGGGAAAGATTTCGAACTTGATGTGTGTCTCATGATTGAACACCAATCACACTTGTACCACATACTTTCTCTTTTCAACGGAAGGGAGCACCTCCTATGGGACGTCTGCCTATATGCTGGCGTTGCTGCCCCCTTCCGTCGCGGCCGTTACGTGCCCGCCGACTATTATTGGTAAGAGTGTAGTTCAGCGGTGTCCGTGTCAGGTTGTGGTTCCCTCCCATCAATTCCTTCAGGTCTTGGTCATCGATGAGACGCTTCTGCCACAGGTGGTGGTACATCCTGAAGTCGGGCCTCGAGGTACGTAACGTCTCTCCCAATACCGAGTGGTGGAATTCCACATGGTCCATTCGCAGTTCCCATGCGTAGAACCCGCTTTCGCTGTAGGTTTTGAAATCACAGAGTGGACATAGGGCTTCCTTGGGTGGTTCTTCACCGCGCCAGTGGGATAAGCAATGTGTACGCCATTCCCGTGGATCGTGTGTTATGTAGTTGCAGTTGAGGAAGTGAAAGCAACACTCGTATGTCGGGTGTTGAATGTCATTCTCTGTGCGTTCAAGCACCCCGTTCCGCTCCTCCAGCAATGGGACCCCCGAGAGACGGCTTACGATGCTTGTGCTAATCGATGTCTCGGTGGGAGTTGCTTCGGAATAGTTGTAGAGAGAGGGCGGGTGCGTGGACGTGTCGGAGGGTTGGTGTATGCATGCGGGAGCCATGGAGGAGTTGCTTCGTTGCGATCGCGGCTTGGACGGACTGGAACTGAACGAGCCAGGTCCAGGCCCATCAAAAGACTGTGAAATTTGTGCCAGACGAGCGTGGATGTCTCTCGTGGGTGACGAGAGCCACTCGCCGATCTGGGGATGTGTGACGGAACTTTCGAGGATGGCGGCCAGCGACACGCTGGCGACCGCGGGGTGCTCGTCCATCAATAAAGTGTGGCGCATGAGGGGTCCACAAGCCGCAGCCATGCCCTTCTACAACCTCATTTTCTTCAGCCTTGTGTGATAGATTACGGGCAAACTGCCGTGCTGGGGCCTATCATGTGGGGACTCACTGGTGGTAGGCTGGCGTTAAAAGGGTGTCTCCCTTCTCACACAAGGCGTTGGCCGTTGTACACGGGCACCGGGCAGGTATGAGGTTTGCTGAAGGGTGGGCTAGACTTTGAAGGGTTCTAGCGCCGGGAGGGGGAGGGTTCGTCGTGAATCAGTCAGTGCTCAATTCCTTCATCACCAACTACAAAACCATTCACCCTCATTATCATCACACGCGTTCTCCCTCCAGACCGCGCGTTTCTTATACCTCCCGTGCCACAACGATGGCTACTAGGAAACGTGATGCGGCTCTGCAAGCTTCAAGTCGTCTCATTCGACAGACCCCTCCATCTCTGCTAGAGTCCTCATAGGCCATGAGCTTCCGAATTGAACTCGTCACCGATGGAGACATACAAGTATTGTTGCAGCATTACTCTGGAGTCGAACACGTTGGTGCCTCTCCCGATCGTCACTGTGGACCAATGAATCCCAACCCAGTCCCACAAGAGATGGAAAAGGTTTACACATAACCGCACGCTAGTCCGTATAACCTTAGGCTTCACCTGTGTCCTGTGTTGTATGCGTTTGCATACTTCCAATATCTTGCCTGAGCGGGTCAGGCATCAATCCATTGGTCCCGAAAACACTGAAGATGGCAGTTCTCCCCCATCTCAACGACTCTTGAAAGCGGGGTGCTGGCATGTTCAATCAGTAACTGACTGCCACTTTGGGACTGCCGACCGCCTTTTCCAATGGAGATAGAGGTCGTTTGTATGGCAATCCGTCGGTGAAGCTCCCCACCCCGGCCCTCAGTGTTCCAATATCGCTTAGGTTCTATCCAATGGCCTCAATCCTCATCCATCATCCTGCTCCTCTAGGAAGTACGTTTAAGCTCTGTGAGGGACCAAGCAGTCTAGCTGCTGTTCTCTGTGTTACGCTCTGTCCATCTGCCCTATTCGCCTTGCTATGCCGACATGCTTTGGAAACCGCCTCCCCTCGTCCAACGACTACCATTGCAACGTGACCACACACATTGATGTTCCCCCGCGTACTTCCAATCCCTTCCGAATTAGTTTCTCTCCTACAGTGTTGAGCTTGGTCTTATAAATCAGGATTAATGTCAATGATATACCTCCTGAGGCCCAATTTATGTCTCCGGTTGGCAGAGCAGTTGCGTTTTGTCGACCCATGTCGTGCTCAATCCCCAGAAATCTTCCTCAGGACATACACACAGAGTGTAAGACGGCGTCGTATCCAACTACCTTACTCTTCAGCAGCCTTGCCGACAGCAAGCAGCACGAACTTGATAAAAGTAAACGGTGCTACATGGCCAGTGCCCTGAAGGTATTCTAGTCACCAATCTTAGGAATCCCTTCTACCAGACAATTCTTCCATACGTCGTTCGCGGTTCAACGTGCTTTTATCCCCTTATCTGACGATGGCCGGCTAAAGATGCAGTACTCTGCCTCTAGGCCATGAGTCTCAAGGCTCGATTGAATAATGCATGTAGCAGAGTTCTCGTGGTACCATCAAAATCAGGGGGGTCCGAGCCTGCCAAATCGAGCGCATATTGATGCCATCTGAAATCGAGAAAGTGCCCACAGAGTCAAGGTAACGCCGTTGTCAGGAAGTTTTCCAGCCCGTTAATCTCGGCCTTCTGCCGCCTCCCAGGTAGATGCTACGAGAAGTGTTCTTCAAAAGGGGCGTACACTTATGTATTTACATGATCACTTACGTGGACATCAGGCCATTCTTGATCCTACTCTGCCCAACTGAGCGGGAGATCGCCGAGCAGGTATCAAAATCCAGAAATGGAGAGGATTGCAATATCGGCGATGATGATGAATGGACCTGATTTGCATGGTTTTCGGGAAGGAACATGGATGCTGGTTCTGGTGTAAGCAAGCAAGCACGGTCAGAACGGGGCGAGTGATGAGTTGTTGTCGCCGACCATGACACCACGCAAATCTCCGCAATACATACCATGTCTAGGATAGCATACTTACCCATAGCTTGTTGTACGAAATCGGCGAGGCTGGAGCTCCTGTTGTATCCTGCGACATCTTCGAGGAGTCACAACAGGAATCCCTACGTACGGAGTACAGACAACGGCGAATGGAGGTAATGTCGTCGCCGATATGCACACACTGTCGGCGAACATGCAATGCGTTAATGTCCATCGTTTCAGAAACCGAAACAATTCTTTAAACTAGATTACAGCCCTGTCAACGCTCGTATCTTCGGGTGGATCCACCGAACGGGGATACCAGGTACCAGGTGCAAGGGATGTATCACGTGACCATACACTTTGGGGCAACGTGCAATTCACCTTCAATAATGACACCGCGCCTATTGCTCTGTTTCATATCAGGATTCAGGAATACGATTGCAGATTAGGATTCCCCATCCGAAGAGGTGAACGGATAGACGCCGATAAGTAAGTATGGGATTAGTAACCGCCGAATCCCATAGAACGACCGCCCGTCTTCGCCGTTATTAGCGGAAGCTGAGGTCGGCGAGCTGGATGCGACATTGATTGAATGGAAAGCAAAATCTGCCCAAGCAACCAGAGCCAAGGCGGGATGTCGAGCTGGGTTCTTTACCATCCGCGGTGTTTATGCAACCCTGCAGGAGGGGTTTTGGGAGTGGCATTCATGTAATTATCCTTTTGCTTGATGTGTGACTTGTTTGATTCTGAAAGTTTATACCGGAGATCATAATCACACAGCTATTACATCCGACTTAATTCTTCGCAACAGAAGTAAGGCTGGGTCCATTATTATGGCTTTGCTCGGTTTCAAATAAAAACCGAAATATAGAAAAAGTATAGGTATCATCAATTACATCTTATCGACGCGTATCGAATCGCCCCTGGCTCCGTCGTCTTTTGAGGTCGGCGAGGTCGAATGGGCAATGCGCGGGTCGCATCCACTGGAGCGGCGGTCCTTCCCCACATGGACTGGAATGCGAACAACGAGATCAAGGGTCGAAAGACCTATCAAGTGATGGATTCTGTAGGAAGCCGTATTACAATTCACAGACTCTGAAAATTAAATGACAGAAATGTTTTTTTTTTCCTTTCCATGTCATCGGCGACCTTCTTCCTAGGTATTACGAGTATGCATGAACGTGGGCCCCGATCCATGTGCGGCCCACGTTCTATGTGGCTGTCAGCCTAGCCATCAGCGTTTAGTTCGAGAAGCCCATCCCTCCTTTTTGGGTAAACTCTCGAGCATCGATATGCCCCATCTTTGTCAAGAATACGGGGAGAAGCACAGGTTCTCGCTCGACCCTAATAGCGGACTCGAGTTTCGCCTTTACCCATCGCGTACTCGAACACCATGGTCCGCTTACAGCTAACAATTCGACCGTATATTAGGAATAGGCAGATATGTCGAGGCCTGCATGAAATATATAATGTTTATAGAGGGTCTAAGCAGGGACATGACATGATTGCAAACCGATGTCACTAGGCGCGTGTAGCAACTAATAGTGCCCATGTGGCTTGCGGCTTCTTATGCTACTCGTAGGTAGCATGGGCCTTCTGTTTGCCGCACTTCTGCTTGGTATAAGACTACATTAGGCACTAGCCAACCAGGAATATCTATATCGACTTCCGCCACTCTTCTCTTTTCGACTTTCTTCGACATGAACCAAGAAAATGTTCACTCCTGTTGAGACAAGCATCGGGGCCCTGTTGCTACACCAAGCAACAAGTGTCCTCCTTTACCAGAATGGCAAAGTACTTGGTGCCTCGGGCTACCTTCGACGGTTGTTGACTGCTCCTACGAAAGATATCCTTACGTTCTTCGCTGGAATGGCTCTGAGCGCCCCGGTTCTTAAACTTGTCCTTCCAAAATTGGTCACTCAATACCCTCCTGTTCCAACCACATCGCAAGCGGCCCTGGTCACGGTAGTAGTGGGTGCCATCGTTGGACTTGGTACGAAGGTGAGCTATGCGTATTGCGTTTCTACAGAATTTGTACTGATTCATCATTTAGTTCGCAAATGGATGTACCTCTGGCCATATGCTGTGTGGATTGTCTCGCCTCAGTTCTAGGTCTGCAAGTGCGGTGGCTTTGTTCTTTCCAGCTGCAATAGTGACCCATCACATCGTGCACCCGACTCTCATTACAGAGGCGTGTAACTCTGCGGTTCCCTGCTATACGCCAACGTATCCGGATGCCGCGACGTTACTGCCACTCATCCTTCTGACCGTCGTCACGGTGTCTGCTGCGAAGATCATCCCTCGATTGGCTCTGAAGCTCACGGAGAGTGACGATAAGAAGGAGGCAATGCCTGTAGCACAGCAAGTGTCTCAATGCTTTGCTGGTCTGGAGTTTGGGTTGGGATTACACATCAGTCAGATGGCATCTCCGTCGAAGACGTTGTCGTTTCTTTCGCTTCCTCACTGGGCTGCTTGGGATCCTTCTTTGGCTATGGTAATGGTGTTCGGTGTATTACCAAATCTCCTAGAGTATCGAACGAGGGGACCGCGTCCTCTTTTCAACAGCAAATACGAATTACCCACCAAGACTCTGAAGGATACAGACTGGAGGTTTGTGACCGGATCAATACTTTTTGGTATTGGTTGGGGGTTGACAGGTACTTGCCCAGGCCCAGCGATTTTGAGGGCACTGGCACAACCTCAATGGGGGTTTCTCTGGATGGGAGGCTTTTGGCTAGGTAGTCAAGTCCCATGATAGTCTTCGCTGAAAATGGCATCTCTTACGATGGTTTCGTCAACTTTGCCTCATCTCTTGCTGAGACCTTTTGAATGTAACGTGAAGCACCGGTCTTCCTATCTTGGCAGTGCTAATCTACAGGGATGTGAGAATGTTTGACGTATATCTACTATGATATTCCATATGAATGGGTATTAGGAAAGTCGCCCAAGTCCAGTATGTGGTTCCTACTCCTAAATCATAGAATGCAAAAGGTTACGTAATGACAATATGTCAATTGCTACGAATTCTTCAATGATTTCTGATTGTATGTATTCATGTCGTGTGAGGAAGTATTTTCAAGAAAGGAATTAATGAGATTAATGATGGTAATAATGAATGACCACCATCTAGTTATCATGATTGATCGATGGGACGGAACTGCTCTAGTCCGTTTCGGGAAAGGCTATGCCAAGGCCCGAGGTCTGAATTTCTTAAACTTTTTCTAGATCGCGGATGCGACAATAAATCTCAAGTACCCCAAGTCGCCAGAAAAGAACGATGATTCACTAAGTTTCCACTGATAACACACAAATAATACAATACACACACTATCACCAATATGGCTTCCCAATCTACCTCGAAACCCTCCAATGCACGCCGAAAACCCGGCCAGATCGCCGCAGAGGCTGAAGCGCAAGCCCTCGCCCGACATGTCGATTCCGCACATAAAACCTACGGTCGAGGCGAAGACATACGGCCCAAGTCTGTGAGGGACAAAAAGCTGCGCTCCAAAGTTAAGGCTTTGCAGAGTAAAGCCAAGGATGCAGAAATGCAAGCTAAAGATGCGGAGATCCTGATGGCGGATGCCACGCCTGGGATGTTGGAAGCAGAGAACGAGCTAGAGAAGACATACAAGGTCCGACAGGATGATATAAGATCCGCCTCGGGCGTTGAAACTGCCAAAAAGGGATTCGAACTGCGATTGGAGGGTCTCGGGCCATACGATGTCTGCGAATATACAAGAAATGGCCGTGACCTCTTGATTGCTGGTCGCAAAGGGTATGTTCCTGACAATATTCCGATACTGCTCCCGCTATTAGCTTCATTTGCAGGCGGGACAAATGTGACAGTTATGGGTTCAAACGCTGACTTTTCCTTGCAGTCATGTTGCGTGCTTCGACTGGAGAGCAGGCAAACTCGGTTGCGAATTGAACCTCAACGAGACGGTGCGCGATGCAAAGTGGCTCCATACAAACCAGTCCTTTGCCGTGGCGCAGAAGAAATGTGTGTACATATATGCTCGGGATGGTGTGGAGCTGCATGCTTTGAAGAAATTACAGGAACCCGTCGCTCTTCAATTGTATGTTTTACGTGACCTTCACATATATCCAGCGCTAACATCATCGCCAGCTTGCCCTATCATTTCCTCCTTGCATCCATTTCTACACTGGGAGTTCTTCGTTATACAGACATATCCACAGGCGCAAACATAACAGAGTGTGAGTGGTGGTTCCAACATGAGCGACAAGCCTGCGTTTCTAGATGCATGGCCTAATTACTGTTCCGTTGCTGACCATGACCAGTCGCTACCAAACTCGGACCCCCTACCTCCTTCTGCCAAAATCCAGCGAACGCTATCCTGCACGTCGGCCACCAGAAAGGTCTGGTTACACTCTGGTCGCCCAATTCCTCAACTCCCCTAGTCAAACTCCTGCCGCACAGCGGGCCAGTTCGCTCGCTCGCCATTGATCGAGCAGGTCGTTACATGGTCTCAGCCGGGCAAGATCGCCGTATGTCCGTATGGGATATCCGTATGTTCAAGGAAATGCACACCCATCATCTACGGCAACCAGGCGCATCCCTCTCCATCAGCGACCAGAACCTCACTGCGGTGGGCTGGGGCACACAAGTCTCGATCTTCAACCAGGACATCTTCACCCGCGCTAAAGAAGACATCAAGGTACCTGAGCCGTACATGTCTTGGGGTGGCGAAGGCAACACAATCTCTAGACTGAAGTTCTGTCCCTTCGAGGACGTACTCGGCATCTCGCACGACAAGGGCTTCTCCTCAATCATCGTTCCCGGCTCGGGCGAACCCAACTTTGACGCTCTCGAGTCAGGACTGAACCCCTTCGAGACCAGCAAGCAACGCAAGGAGGCAGAGGTACACGCTTTGCTCGAAAAGCTGCAACCGGAGATGATCTCCCTCGACCCCAATATCATCGGCAATCTCGACCTCGCCTCTGAAGAACAGCGCAGAAGAGAGCGAGACTTGGACGCCAAGCCCGAAGACAAGATCGCCAATCTGAAGAAGAAAGGTAGGGGAAGGAACAGTGCGCTCAGGAGACATCTCAGGAAGAGCGGACAGAAGAATGTGATCGATGCCGAGAAGGTCAGGGCGAGAGAAGCACTGCAAGCGATGAACAAGAGGGAGATCGAAAAAGTCTCCAAGATGAAGGCCGAATACGGACCTGCATTGGCGAGATTTGCGCGCAAGGGATTCTAAGACTCTTCTTTTCGTGGCGATCTGGGGACTCGTTAAGAAGCCCAATACTGCCAGCACATCGAAAGAAAAGGAAATCAGAGAAAAAGTGTTTCGAGTCATTTGCATAAGCGTACGGCGTTGTTGTAATTTGGGACATAAGAATTCGATTGTGGCACAGGATGATATATACCCTCGGAGTCAGAGCATTAGAAAGAAAAAAATGTTTAACAAGTACTTTTTAGCTGTACGACCTCTTGCTTATTGATAAGGCATTCAAACTTCTATAAGAAATGTCGGGTCATGATATCATTAAATCTATGCCATCCTTCTATTCATCATTACTTTGTCCTTTCAACCCTTCCTTACAGTTGCCATGATTTCGCCGGCCGGGGCCATACTCGCTTGTACAAGCTCACGGCCACAGCGTCCATGGGGTTGATTTTTCCATCAAACGTAGCCTTGAAGTATCCATGCGTTCCCAGGCTCTCCTTGATGAAACCGCTCCTTCCTCTCCTTGTCCACAGAGGCAAGCTCTTGAACCACTTCACGTCCGTGTCGTTGAAAAACATGTAACGCACTGTTACTACGCGTTTGTTGATCTTGAGAGGATGGCCAGTAAGGATAATGCGCTTCGCGATGACACGGTTGGTGGATGGTGGCAGGCTTGTGCCGGTTGCGATGAGCTGGAGCGACTTCGATGCCGATTGCTCCTCGGAATTACTGTCTGACATTTCAGAAGGAGCCGATCGCTGGAAGTAGAGCACTGGGACATTGCCCCAGGTAACGGGGCCGATGAAAGATGCGATGGCCGAGCGACCTGGATGCAAGAATCGGTCGAACTTGTGAACATCGTTCGGAGTGTTTCCAGCTTGGGAGAAGAGCTGCTTGGGAGTTAGTGATTGATTTGGATTCGTGCTCTGAGTAACTGCAACTTACAGGGTTGATGATCATTCTCCTTGGACCGCACTGAACAATAAGCTCTGACTTGGACTTCAAAGGCTGGGGATACTCTGAATTGAGCAGGATACTGTAGTTGCATGCAGTCTGCTTGTGCTCGTGACGGAGCAATGAGAACAGCGCGATTGGGCGCGACTGGTTCTGTTGGAAAGAAAGGGGAACACCTCGAATGCGAACCTCGACTCTTGTACCTGGTTTGACTCCTCCAGCCCAAGCCTCTCGAACTATTCTCGTAGCTGCCCTCTTGTAGTCTCCAATTTCGAGGAGCCGAGCCCACTCCTCAGGTTCGTACGGTTTGTCTTCCTCAGTTTCCCAAATACTGGTCTTGAGACTCTTCAGTCCTCTGTATTTAATGAGACGTTCTCTGGCATCCACGTTAGGGTGCAGCTCGATCTCGTCTGGGAACTCAAGATCCTCGTCTGCCTCAGCCTTCCTGGTTTGGCGGTACGCTTCAATGTCTGCAGCTTCGTCCTCGGGGGAAGGGTCTAGGAACATTTCGGATTGGGGATACTCAGAAGGACCAGCTTCTGTTGCGGCACGACCGTCGATATCCATACCCTCAACGCCATCAGCCGGATGGGCAGCCTCGCTCATCGCCTGGTCCTCGAAGTCGTCCTCGTCAAAATCCTCAAGATCAGAGCCTGAGTCGGAAACATCATCGAGGTACCATGCACTCTGATACTTGCTAGTTCCTTTGGGTAGCCTCTTTGGTTTGCGCTCCTTAGCGTCATCGCCCTCATCTGAGAAGTAATGATGATCGTCCAAGAGCACACCCTTACGTTCTGAGGGTGCAACAGAAACGGCGTAGCTAGTGGCATCTTCCATGATCGTTTCCTCGGGTGCAAGTGTGGCCAAGTCGTCCTGATCCTCGCCGGGTCTTTCCAGGACGTTGTCAACCTCGGAATCCATATCCATACTGTCATCTTTTCCCTTCTTGCGCACTTCTAGTGGCGCTGCTGTGATGCTGTCGATCTGGAAGTCACCCCAATCACCGACTTGAACCAACCTGTCTGCCTTCAAGCCCAGACCCCGAACAACACCTGTCAGTACAACATCGCCTGTGCCATCCTCGCTCACAGCCGACTTCGCGCCAGGCCAAGCTATATCTTCAATGAACATATAGCTTCTTTGCTCTCGCCATCTGACACCCTTGGTGGTCGTGTTGCATAACGATCGCATAAGATTCGAAGCATCCTGTCGGGTGTCTAGAGAAAATACTTTCTCAGTTGACGGAAGATAATGGGAGATGTATGATTTCAGGGATCCAAGGACTTGAGGCCTTCGCTTTGCGGGCTCTATCGAGTCAAGAGCCTGTACTACTGTGAAGCAATTGGAAACACCCTGACTCTCAATTGCCTTCAGAATCGTCTCCCCTTCCTCGTCGACTTCTTCATTTGCTGAGAGAATGAAGACGACAAAGTCGGCAATCCTGCAAGCATCGAGCGAGGCTATCAAGTCCCTCTGAACGACAAGGTATTGTACTTTCTGTTTAAAACGGTCCACGGTTGTACGAATCCAGCCTGCTTCCGGTACTTCGTCTTCGATATCGAGGCTCGAGTTCAGGCTCTTTACTGCAGCTGATGCTGAAACATCTCCACAAAGTGGAATGACCGCGACAACGCGCGGCGCTCCATCCTTTCCAGCGAAAACGTTCGAGGCTTTTGCATGTTCGGCGTCCTTATTAATGCGAAGCTGTTTTGCACGATTGCGGCGGTCGAATTTGGACATGACTTGTTGATGTGGCGTTTTCCGGCTTCCGAGTTCAAAACCTTCGACCTTGCCTGATACAGGCGTTAGGGATGAGAAAGAAGAGGGCACCAGAAGGGGACTGACCTTTTGAACGCTCTTTCAGAGCACTCTTGCTGGCATGGCGCGACTTGAAGGCCTTGTGCGGCTGCTTTGTGGTGCTCCTGTGGTGGTGCTGGGCAACCATGGGTGCCATGTTGCTACTTCCGCCTGCTTTAAATCTGTAAGGAAGCGAAGCCAGTGTGAAGTGTACAGGCTGATACAGGGGGAAAAGAGTTGTATCTCGAGGGTGCGGTGCCGAGTGGAGTTATGGGTGGACACTCGTAAATTTTGGCATGCGTGGGCTTATCGATAAAAAATGTTGGTTTGGAGGGGTTGCCGCATATATTACTATACGGTAAACTATACCCACTGTTTGCATGAGTAATCATGTTTTCTTGTATTAAATACTCTCACCAATTCAAACCTCAGGAACAATATCACTTCACCTACTCTACGAGCGAGTAGAGTAGACACCTTGACAACAAAACTTGAATCAGCAACCAGCTACAGCGACTATATAGAACAACTATTTGCAAATACACACAAGTACAATATACATAATATCGCTTGTTTCCCATATCTCCCTTTCTCTCACCGTTTATTCTCTACAAACAACCATCATGGTCAATGTAACATTAACACGCGCACCGACTATTATTTGTTGAATATCGAGATGGCAGTCGTTTCTGTAGTTGCCAACCTCTTTCGGCTTTCACTGTTTCTCACCGCCACATACAATAGCAACGACCAATACCTTTCACTCCACCCGTTTGAACTCTCCGACTGTCACTGAACCACTGCAAAGACTTGAGACAATTGCCCTGATAATCACTTCATAGAGTCGGTCTATACAGACTACTGCTATTCTTGGACTAGCGAGCAGCGAACTTGACCTGACTGCTCTTCTTCGCTCCTTCTCTCTTAATCCTATTTATACTCCCTCATCTCTGCCTTTACTATCTCACAACCAAGTGACACGCGGTCCTTCGGCACTCCACCATTCCTTTTCCTTTCACTCTTATTACCTCTTACTTCTGTTTCCCTTCAAACGAACTTCATCAGTATGGGGAAGGGTAAGGCTAGGCCTTTTGACCCCAAGTAAGCCTCCAAACCTCACTTTCACTGTCTGGGAACGCCTAACTAATGATGAATCCAGACTTGCTGCGGTGAAACTTCCTCCTAAGTAAGGATTCTCTTCACTGACGATTCGAACTTCTTATTTGATACTGACACTCAAAAGGCTAAAGTGCTACCGATGCGAGGTATGGCGCACAGAGAACAGCTACTCCGAGAAGCAGAAGAACATTGCCCGTGAATCTATCCTGTACAAAGGCCAGAGCTCTCCGCCCAACCTGGTCTGCAACCGATGCAATGGCGGGCCTCTCGTTGAGCTTGAGTGCACTTCATGCAATGTTACGAAGGGTTTAGAGGACTTCGCCAAGTCTCAGCGTGCAGTCGCGGACCACGCTAAGTGCTATGAATGCGTCGAGAAACACCTTGACTTGAACCCAATCATTGACAGAACCTACGAGAACCCTCTGAGGTCTCACGCTATTGGAGATTACTCTGATGGACGTGAGCCAAATTATTGGGAAGACACCGCCTCTCAAACGGACAGTTCAATCAAGGTGAGCGTCATTCCTCCATTGCATGTGGTATCACATCACTGACGGCATCAGGACGGCTACGACTCAATCGATGATCACGGAGGGATTGCTCTATCTGCCAACTTTCAGACAATGAGCATTCAAGGCAATTCAATGGTCGGAGAATTGATCCCCGGACTCTCCAGCAACTCATCCACGAATGGCACTGCCAAAATGACTGGGACCAAGAGTTGGGATAGCAGATCGACCTACCTCAGCCAAAACCAGGACTCAAACACTGCTAAGACCTTCAACTCAAGCGTGGCAGAACGTTCTAATCTATCTCAAGTCAAGGGTAGCTGGGCCAAAATTCGGGCATTTGTATGTTCATTGTCTCTATTGTCTCTGTCAAAGGCTCTTCACTAACAAGCCCGTAGACAGCAAAGGATGACTCGATCAAGCCAATGGCCGACGATGATTGGGATAGCGATGAGGATGAGCAGAAGCTTGGGAACGACGATAGCAGTGACGACGGTTATGGAGAGGACGACGACGTCGAGATCTGATTGATACAGATCTACCCATTTCCTCATCGAGTTTGAATCTATGGCCAGCGATTGCGAGCTTGGTTGGCTCTAGGTGGTGCACTGCCTGCTTATTGACAACATTCAAAGCAGCTATTTGCGGATTTCGAGTAGATTCCAGAGCCTATCTTTGCGAGGAAAAACACCCCGCCCCCTCCTCTGGTTTGGGGGCAATCTATCACACATATCTTACCTTGACAGAATTAGGAGCTACACAGTGAATCGAGGATACATTGCTACTGGAAGATTCCCGTAATCTAAGTCATATGGATAGTCGATGGTGAACACATGTTTGCCGGAAGTTTACCGCAGTATCGGGATAGTGAGGCTCTCTGGGGGAATAATATATGATTCTGAAATCCTAATGCAGCTTTACGTGATGGAAGGGAAGTTGCAGGAGAATAGCCTCACGGATTGATTCTTGGCCGTCTCTCCAGAAAACACCGAATCTGAGTTACACTTGCCATAATAGAAATGAGGGGGTAATTTTTGAATTTCTTTTTGATTCAATTGGGTGATTTGTGATAGACGCCCGTTTGCCAAATTGGGCGACTAATTGCCACCACGTGACTTCGCGAGCTACCGCCAAACCGCGTCTTTTAGTCACCCCTCAGGTGCATCCTTTCACTCATCTTGCACCTGGTTTGCCACACAACGTCTGCGACAATTACAACGTTCCTACGCTGTCAGATACCCTTAGGGCAAAATGTGAGTCCCTAAAGATTGTTAATTCCGAGTTGTTATGTATTAGAACACTGACTCAATGTAAAGGTCCGGACGTCGCGGTCGCAATGCGGCCGGCATTCGTGGGCCTCATTCTGCGTTGACGGATTTCCTTGCGGTAAGTTACCTAGAATTGACCAAGACCCCTTTATTACCCGGGGTTTCCAATCGGAATGCTCCATCTTCAGCAGTCGAACTAAGAATTAATTCAGTCTCACAACATATCTGCAAGAGAAATTCGAGATTCTGCACGCCAACGAATCGAACAAGCCGAACAACAGGCCGCCGCCGATAGAGCAGCAAATGGCGAGGCCACGCCTGAGGAGACCAATACGGAGCAACAGACAGAGGCAGATGTGGAGGTAGACGCAGAGATAGAGGAGGAAGTAGTAGCCGAGTCCTCTACAATGGCCGCAGAGCGGCCCAGGAAACGCAAACGCGATCAAGACGAGGCAATAGCCAAGATAAAGAAGGGAAAAGAGGCTAAGAAGAAGTCTGCCAAGAAGAAGAAAAAGCATGGCTCTGATGATTCCGATTCAGACTTCGATATTATGGATCTGTATAAGAAGGCGAAGAAACTGCCGGGACAACTAGAAAATTGCGAGCTTTGCGAGAAGAGGTTTACCGTTACGGCATACAGCAAGGCTGGGCCTAACGGCGGCCTGCTTTGTACACCCTGTGGGAAGGCCATGACTAAAGAAGCAAAAGCCACTGAAAAAGCAAGTAAGCCGGTTCAGCGCAAGGGTAGGAGGAAGCTCGAGAGCAATCGCCTAGACGGTTTCACGTCGCGTGGTGCCAGAACTCTACAGCAACTTTGCATAGAGAAGCTTGCGAAGCATGCCGAAGATATTGATGAGTTTGGCGAAATGCCAGAAGCAATCATGAATCGTCTCAGTGAGATTTTCTCCAAGAAGAGAGCCATGAACCCAACAACGTTCAAGCTGTTCTTGCAGCCAGACAGGGAGGAAGTGTCTATCCAGGAATCTGCATGTAAGTCTTGGAGCCCGAAACTCATTCATCTAGCGATTGACATTGTCCAGATCTCGAAACAGAAGACTTCGATCAGATATTTGCCATCGTGCCAGGTATCAAGAAATTAGCACTCCGAAATTGCTGTCAATTCAAAGACGTCAACGTGGACTACATGATTGAGAAGGCAAAGAAGCTTTCTGACATCCAACTTCTAGGAGCGAACCTTGTCTCCGATGACAAATGGACCGAACTCTTCATTGCCCGTGGCCCCGACCTGAAATCCTTCAAGGTTGAATGGCTTGATGCAGCCTTCACTGATGAAGTAGTTCAAGCACTGGTGACATTTTGCCCGAACCTTGAGCGCCTAAAGCTGGAACGCTGCAAACATCTCGGCGTCGAAGCCATCGATGCTATAGCCCGACTTGAGAATCTGCAGCATCTCACTCTGCGCTTCTGCAAGGAAGTCCCCCGAGAGCGACTTGTCAACTTAATTGGAAATGTTGGGCCCAATCTAGAGACTCTCTGTCTCGAGAACTTCGTTGAGAGCGACTGCGAGCCCACTGACGTAATTCTCGAAGCCATCCATACTTCTTGCACAAATCTCAGCAAGTTCCGCTTCACGGAGAATAACGTGTGCACCGATGAGGGTTACGTAAACCTATTCACAGATTGGAGCAACCCACCTTTGCGGTACATCGATGTCAACAGTACTCGCGATGTCGACAATGCAAACCCTGACGGTCCCGAGGAGTACACCATCGGTGTGGGGTCTGCAGGTTTTGACGCCATCATGAAGCACTCCGGCTCAAACCTCCAGTGTATCAACATCTCATCCTGTCGACACATCGATCACGAAACATTCGCCAACATCTTCGATGGTGAGAAACAGTATCCGAGTCTGCAGGAAATCAATCTCTCCTTCTGTCCAGTGGTAGATACACAAGTCATCGCAGGCATCTTCCGCAGCTGCCCCAAGATCCAAAAGGTAATCACTTTTGGCTGTTTCGAGGTCAAGGAGGTCGTCGTGCCACGGGGAGTCGTACTCATCGGAGCCCCCAAGGCGCAGGACGCCATTGAGCAGTTTGGAGACGTGGTCATGGATTTCCAGAAAGAACTGCAGGCGGAGATGGCAAAGGCTGGCGGGCGCATCGTGCCTGTCCGCGGTTAGGCGGTGATAAAGTCAGGTGGATGCTATTCTCGGATCTGTTACAGGCGCACATGGCTGTCGTAGTCAAAAGCGGGCGCATATTTTCCAGGGGCGCTATCCTGAGGTAATGGCGTTTGGGATGATATCACGGTATGCTTGAATGATTAATGGTTAACTATGAAGAGTCAATACTACAAATAAATGTGAGCACAAAGTTCATACGTACGTCCCGAGCTCGGTAGTGATGGCAGATCCTGCTAAGGCTGAACATGAAATATTGTGGGTACACTCTTTAGCCTCGAAACAGAGCACATTTGGACTTGACTTGATCAAAATTCTTAGGTTATCAAACTCCATATCCATACACTGTAACAGATAGCAAGAATCACATTGGAGGATGGCAGTTCACTTTGAAGGCAAATTGGGTATCATTGGGGAGCATGATCATCTAAATTTGCGATAGCAAACCCGATGAGCGTATACATTCAGTATCATCCTGTTCATTTCGCCATAATGCCACCACCGAGTCCGGATCCCATTGAATTTTGAGCTTTTGAAACATGCAGCAGCTAACAAGCGGCGGACAAAAAGAGATATTTCACTCCCAAACGTGGACAGCGAAGCCCGCTTAAGAAGCAGGGGCGCCACGTCCACGGCCGAAGCCACCACGGAACTCGGGCTTGAACTCACCGGGGGCACCGCCCTCGGTCTTCTCGCCGGCATCACGACGCCTGTATCCGTCACGGTCACCGCGGGGGCCACCACGGCCGCCGGGGCGCCTCTCGCGCTCGTCTCCACCGAGCATGCCGCGGGGGGGAGCGTGCGAGCGCTGCTGCTTGATGTGCGTCTGGGGGACGATCTCAGCAGGGAGGTGGAGCCACTCGCGGAGGTAGTCAAGACCCTCGGGGGTGAGGGTGTAGTAGTAGTACTGCCACGAGAAGCGGGTCTTGAGGTAACCGCGGGAGGTCAAAGACTGGCCTAAAGGGGGATCAGAATTGCGTTTCAAAGAAGCAAAATATGGGGGATTCAATGCGTACAAGCCTTGATGACGTAGAGGTTCTTGGTATCGATGTCTCCGTGCTTGGGGAGGTTGAAGTCTTTCTTCGCGACGAGAACGCCCTCTGTGGTGACCGTGTGTCAGCCTATCCTTTGTATAATTGCGGTATGAAACCGCGCAAGATAATGTATTTTTCTGCCATAGCCATGGCTCGGGAGGAGAATACTAACCTCGGAAGAGGTACCTGGAAGTATTGAAGTTAGCAATTGTTTCAATTGTGTTTAAACATTCTTGAATAAATGTGAAATGAGGCTCATCGTCAAATGTGATCAATTTCGTGCGAAATGTCTCAACTCGATTGCGCCGTAATAACTTGGAGTTTGGTGGTAGACTAACTCGTGAATCGCCTTGCGATCGGCCTTGGGAATAAGCATCTTGACGGTTGAGAAGAGGCTGGATGCAACGTTCGGTGTTGGTGGTGGTCGATGAGGATCAAAATGATGTTCGCGAACGTGGTGGATATTTCAAGAGTGCGAAGCTAGCTTAACCGAGATTGTCTCTGATTGGTTGTAAGGTTTTGATCACGTGCACCTGGCTAGAGGCAGATGGACTCAACCTCTCCAGCCTCCGAGTCTGACTTCAACATTTACATTCATTACAAACAACCCAAGCCAGACCCCATACCACTCCCAAACAAGACTCAAAATGGTTGCACAGTCTCCCATCACAGTCATCGTCGATAGCATTCGCGGCCAGAACATCGCATTCACCGCGAGCAAAGATGCACCTCTGTCTTCCATCTACGAGACGCTCCACGAACGCGCGCCATGGATCGAAAACTCAAGCTACATCCTTACAACAAATTCCCGAAGGGTCATATCCCACAGCTCCGATCCCGTCTCGACGCTCCTAGCATCTAATGCAGACACTTTCCTCCCGCTCCGACTCACAGTGCCGCTATGCGGTGGCAAGGGAGGTTTCGGTTCCATCCTAAGAGCACAAGGTGGCCGGATGTCCAGTCGCAAGAAGAAGAACCAAGCCGATGCCAACGCCTCATCCCGAAACCTCGATGGACGCAGATTGCGCACAGTCGCTGAAGCTAAGGCGCTTGCTGAGTACCTCGCAATCAAGCCCGAGATGGAGAGGAAGGAGAGGGAGGAACGCAAGAAAAAGTGGGAAGACATCGTGGCAAGCACGGAACGCAAGCAGGAGGAGCTCATGTCCGGAAGAAATAAAGTCAGACTAGACGGGCAATGGGTCGAGGACAAGGAGGAAGCGGAGGCCAAGACTAGGGAGGCCATCGAGAAGATGATGATGGCCCAGAAGGAAAGCTCGGAAGACGACGACGATATTGAAGCCCCGGCTGCCTCATCATCGAAGGCCGCTGCGCCAAGGGCCATGTTCGGGTGGGATGACGAGGATGATGAGTTTATGAGCGATAGCGAGGAAGAGGATGTGTCCGAGGAGGAAACCAAAGTGCAGTTCGAGGGCAAGGGCAAAGGGAAGGCTGCATAAAATTGTTACATGTGGGGAAAGGCATGCTCTTAGCAGGGAACCGCATTGTGAAGGTTGGCGTTTTGGAAACTTCTGTTTTATTTTTGATACCCCTAGTTTCCCGTCTTCAATCCAATTTCAACGGGATCTCATTCATCAATGACTATATCTCATGTTAACTCCATGCCCACTCCCTCTTTCCTTTTTTCACTAACTCATTTTGTTATCAATCTCAGTCTCAAGCCCACTCCCCGACTATGCACCAATGTCCTTCGCCATATCCGTCCCATTCCCATAACCCTGCTCCCTCCTCACCTTTGTAAACTCATCTTCCTCCTCTCTGAGCGCATCCGTGCCGCCGAAACCACCTACACAAAGAAGATTATCAGCATCGAATACTCAGTTCCTCCAAAGAACCTGTTTTCAGCCAGGCATTTCAGTTACCTACCTGCCGACACCGCCACCCCAGCCATACCGGCCGTCTTTCCCCCCATCCCACCTTCTTGTATCGACTGACCGTACCGAATCTTGTCCGCGGGCGTGACACCTTGGGTGTTGGGCACGTTAGATGCAATCTTGTGCTGGGTTGCGTCTGCCATAGTTGTTGCTGGGCCTAGTTCGTCGGCAGTGGCGGATCAGTGGACTGTCGTAGATATAGATCTGGGCGTTGAATGGAGGCGAGATAGGAGAGGAGGCAATGAACATACCGCCGAATTGGCCGCCTAGCTTTGCGTGCGGGTCCACGAACGTGTGTGTGCCTTCGTATCTGTTCCCCCCCGATGAGTTAGGATCTTGGACTACGAGCAAGGGCTTGTACGAGCTGGGAATGCGTTGTGGATAGGTAGAACGATTGAGGTATACTGGGTAGATCTGGTACATACTGCGTCTGTTCTCCACCGATCTCGGTATCCATGAGGTTTTGAGACATGGTGATCTATTACTGCTGCGCTTCTGTAGCTTGCAACTATCGGATCGAGTATTGATGGAGAAGCTCGAAATTGATTTGTAGTGAACTGACAGCCAATTGGATTAATCGTGGGAAATGTCTGGTAGAGTGAGTTGAAGTAGGTTATTATGTGTTCATATGAGGAGGGTGTAGCTCGTTGGTTAGCATTCCATGACGTAGTCTCTATCAACGATGCATTACCCGATTGGGCATATCACATAACAATCAATCTGCCCTAGTTTCCACATAGATCGTCAGTAGAATCTTGAGGATTGCAGCACATACAACAATTAAAGTACAAACGTTATATTCTTAGATCGTACGAATGTTGGAGAAGGCTTGGTGGTAAATTTCAATATCTTGGGTCATTGCATTATCGATTCAACGTCACAGTATCTTCAATACTTCACAACCTTCATGTAATTGCAGCTCTACGAGCAAGGAATAGTAGGGCTTCTTTGAAAGAACATTTGATTAGCGAGCCAAAAAGATTCTTGGACAGAATAATTATCTTCCCGGTTGTCTAGGGGAGATAAGGTATCTAGTCTTAGTGTTGATTACATTTGGGTCAAAGATTGACACTTCAACGGTCGAAGATCCAAAGGCCGTTCATGAGCAGACATTTTGCTCCGATAATGAGACGGCCTCTACCGTTGAGAAGTTGATTCATTCTCTTGTTTGGTGACCTTTGCCTCTGGTTTGGATGGAGTTCATGTACCCAAAGTTTGAACTAATTCCAACGCCCGTGTTTATGCAATATTGAAATTCCTATTTCTGTGCTCATGATTGAGCACGCATAGTTTCAGATACAGGATGTAGGCCTAGATAGTTCAAATGACTTGATAATATTCAAACAGTGGGGGTCTGGGATATATACATTACCTGAGCGTCTTCGTTCGCATCTCATTCCTTGCTGGCCGAATTCTTAATCCCCTCAGTTCGTTGTGGCTTCAGACATGTGTAGCTTGTCAAGTTGTCACTCTCTTCGCAGCGAAGACAGCAACTCAAGCTTTTGTTTTGATATCATCAGCAGCCCCCCCAAACGAAGAGTAGACTCGGCGGGTCCCACCGTCGAGGACACCTCGAGCAGTCACCTAGGCGCATCACCCACCATATTCACCAGCTGTGCAATTGGTGAATGCTCGGGGCGGTGAGACTGTAGTGCCTGATCTGGGTGCTTCAGCAGGTAAGGGCACCTCCTATGACCCCTCTCCTAAGATGTTCTTCCCATAAGACGAAACGTGTCATCCTTACGATGAGTAAGACAAGTGCACAACGGAGGGATAAGAACATTGAGGACGGACAGGGCGAGGAGATGTCGGGTTTTTCAAGTTTTTCTCCGCACCTTACTCAGCGACTGGCGGTTTTCGCAAGGCTGACCCTTAAAAAACTTGTTAGGTTTCTCGGTTCCGTTCTGTCGTTTTTGTCCTTCCTATCCTCAGCTACCACGGGTTCACCTACGGTCCCAAGTGAGGGAAAGCCGCGCTATGTACGAACCGTAGGCTTTTGCAGCTCGATGGGCTACTTCCAGCGATGTGTTGGGGAGGTTTTTTGGGGGTCGGGAGAACACTATCGCAGAATGAGAGGGGCGTTGTATATATCCCAGGTAGTTGTTCACACGAATTGAAGCTTTTGACGAATCAACTTATCCATCTTTCTCGCGCATAAGAGTGCAAGTCGTGGGCTTTGAGGCTTTAGTGACCCTTTTGGTTGTCAGATGGCTTGGCTTTGTATGCACCAGTACCACGGTCCTTAGATGTTGAGCTGCTGCAATGTATAGGCTGTACCAACTGGACCCTCAGCCCAGGTATTCGCGTTGAGGTGTACGTATGTTGGTGTGTTTTAGTACCATGGTTTGTGCTTTTGATGCTACGACTATGGACGCCAGATACCCTGTTGAAAAACAGATAGCTAGCAGCAGCGGAATGATCCAGAAATGCCCGTCAACTTGATTCCATACCAAGATAGTCTCTTATCCTACCCTAGCGATTCGTTGTTTTGGGACGTGGCTGACGCGTTCTATGTACTTACTCTGGTTGGGGTCATGCGGACAGCAGCAGAAGCAGATATGGCGGATCAGTTGAACGTCGGCTATGCGTATGCTAGAAAGGGAAGATGGCAGCGGGACAGCTGTTGATTGCCGTGTCAGTGTGATAACACCTGAATCTGGAACTGGATCTCGGCTTCCGGTGAAATGGCCCTGGGAACCGCAATGGATACAACAGGAAAAGAAAAAGGGGGGGGGAGGGGGAATCCTTTTCTTTTAGCAGCAGGTCAAAAAGGAAAAGAAAGGATGATGAGATTTGAGAGTAGGCACCGTTTTCTCGTTCAAAGCTGTACCTCTCTCCAGATCCGCATTTTAGATATCTCTTAAGTAGCATCCCGGGGAGGGTCAAGACAAGCCAGCTTTGAAAATGAATCAGAGAGTAACAAAAATACCATTCCTTATGTACGAGTACGACTCTTCTTGTTTTTCAACTTTTGTTCCTTTGCGCTCTAATTTTTTGGCTTAGGTCCGTGGTCCTTAACAGTTAGCATGGTTCGGGGGGTAGGATGCTCTGTCTTGGCGAGAAGGTGGGATGTTGAGACGAGAACTAGCGGGGATGTAGACCAAAACAGAGCATTGGAAAGATGGTGCGGGCCAGGAGGGTGTATTTTCAAGACGCACAATCGAAGCTCAGAATATGTGCGGGTGTTTGGAAATCTGATTGATTGATATATGTTTGTTTACAATTATCTATACCTAGCTTTAAGGAGCTCAAGTGGTTAACTAGCTACTTGGATACTGGATGATGTAATTATCTAATCGATCGATTATTGGAGGGGGAGGGGAAAAGTCGCCCAAAGGAAAAAAATTAGTTCCCTTTCCCGATCCACAAAACCGAAAAGCATCTACGAAGTACTACCTTTTCGTAGCGTTCGAGTGATTCAGATCCTCCTTCATCCATCGACCTCTTGGACCTTTTGGAACTGATGTCGAATTGAGCATCCTTCATTGTAGACAATTGTACTACTTGCACAAGATCTACAGTGCAAATATTGTCACGTGCCATAGGACACACATTCCATATCGAACATTTATCTCCCCCAAACCATTCGAATTAAGAAAAAGAGAAGGAAAAAAGGAAATAAAAGAGCTAGAAAGAGATAGAAAAGGAAAAAAAATGGCATCAACGAAGAATGACGGAAGCACCATATTCCTATCGGAGCAAGAGGTATCCCGCATCCGCAGCACCGTCCAGAACCGCATCAAGCAATGCGAGTCGATCCGTGGCCAGGCGCGTTCGCCCCGGGACAAGAAGTCTTCAATCAGCGAGGCCACGGGTGCGTCCCTGATGGCTGATATGGGCGGGATGCCGGACCCAGACATGGCGGAGGGGGCTCGAGGCGCGGCCGTTCCCGCGTTGGCGGTCGGGCAGCCTTATCCGCCGTGCGTGATACCGCTGAGGGAACTCGAGTTAATGAAGATTAAGGATCTGGTGCTGGACACGCATCACAGGGGTCGGAGGTTGAAGGTCAAGCGGGCGAGTCCCGTCGTCACGCTGACGGCGAGGTCGTGGACGATGGTGCAGGATGTCGAGGATGGTGGGGATGAGATCGAGCGGTTGGAGATGTGCCTACATAAGACTAGGCACGGCGAGGATGTGTTAGAGTTGAACGCGTATTACGAGATCAAAGAGCCGTATTTCACAATCAATGATCAAGGAGAGCCTACCTTGCGAATCGACCACCCTTCGGACTTGGTCTTGTACCGGGATGATCTTCCTAAGAGCAACGATCCGGCATCAAAAGATGCAGCAGCTGCAGAGAAAGCGGCGAAGAAATGCAAAGACAAGGGAAATGCGGCGTTGAAAGAGCAGGATTTCCCGGAAGCTCATGCGAAATACACTGAAGGTCTGGCTATTTCTAAGAAATTCCCCGATGCAGATGCATGCGTGGACCTTGCGAGGGACATCTCTCGCAATCGCGCACATGTCAATCTCATCCTACAGCAACTAGATGAGGCCAAATCCGACGCAAAGGCAGCTCTCATTGGTAAGGACGATGAGCGATTCAAGGACTTGGATAGCAAAGCGTACTATCGGGCAGGAAGCGCAGCATATGCACTGGGAGAGTGGGATGAAGCAAGCACTTACTTCCAAGATCAGCTGAGGGTAGCACCTACCGACAGGTCCGCGAACGTTTTCCTGAAGAAAATTGGCCAGCGGTTAGAAGAGCAAGAGAAGGGAACGCATGACCTGAGGAAGATCCGCGCCGGACTCTCTCGAGAAAGACCGCGTGTGGACGCTGCAACGTACAATGGAAATACAGAGATCAAAGACAGTCCAGGGCGAGGGAGAGGGTTATTTGCAACCAAGAAGATAGCCGCTGGAGAAATCGTGGCAATCGAGAAAGCCGTCCCCGCAGTTCTAGGTTTCGAAAGCGAGGCACTGACGGTGATGACATACGATGTTCGCGACGACAGAATCAGAGTTGCGCCCGCAGGCCTCGAAAAAGCACTTGTACAAAGGCTGATCAGCAACCCTTCTTTAATCAAGAAAGCAATGGAGTCGTTTGGCGATTATGAGGGTGATGGCAAAGGCATTTTCCAGAACGAGGACGGCCCCATCGTTGATGTCTTCCGGATACACGACATCATAGCTCGCAATGCCTTTGCAGCAGGCGCCCAATACGGCGAAGAGAACACCGGAAACACAAGTGTTGGATTCTGGCCATATGCTGCAATGGCAAATCATTCTTGTCTTCCTAATACTAAGAAGGAGTATGCTGGTGACTTGATAATCGTTCGGGCATCGAGCCCAATCGCTGCTGGAGAGGAGATCTTCGGCAGCTACAATGAAGCCGTCGACTTCGACACCAGGCAAGCCGCCCTGATGACCACTTGGGGCTTCGAGTGTGACTGCAAACTATGTGCTGCGGAGAAGAAGGACGACCCCGCTGTCAGGAAGAAGAGGCGTGATCTAGCGAGTGAAGCCGATGCTTTTGTCCAGAGGGAGTCGTGGGCGGATGCAAAGAGACTCACAATGAGGAAAGCGCAGAACCTTGCACGCAACATAGATGAGACATACAATAGTGAGAGGTTCAAGGATTTACCGCATCTCGCAACGCAAACGATTCAGGAATGGCTATCTAAGGCAAGCCCCCGACGATAATTTAGAGTTCATAATTTAGTAGCATATTTGAGGTTGATTAACCTTCACACGCCGAATAAGCTGTCTTTAGTCGAACCTTATCCGCAAGAATATTGTGAATGAGAGCGCGCAATCGGTACTAGGTCAGCCGGATCTAATATTTTGACACAACATATATGTTTTGGGATCGAAATCAATACTTCGGCCGGGCGCGCAGATGCGCCCTAAAGCCCAATAAACTCGTAGTCATATATGCTTTTTACAGTGCTCAAATATGCATCCTCCTATAACGCCCATTTGCTCATAACACAAGTCTCAAAATCGATCTTGAAGCGGTCGGCTTAGTCGAAGTCAATGCCCATCAAATGACTTTCGAAGATACGCATATACTTTGCGACAAAGGCTTCGAGGTGGAAGATGACCTTGCTCCCTTGTTTGCACCTGTGCTCGTAGAATGCGGCCCATTTGATGACATCAGGCTTGAGCTGATCGTCTGTCTTTTCCACCAGCTTCCAGGTTAGGGTTTTGATAATGGTAGTAGAATCGATGCAATGTGAAAGAAGGTCGTAAAGCTTTGCCCGAACTTGTAGGAGGCGCTGTGGACTGCGTTCGGCAATGATATCGTCTGCGATTTGAGCTATCAAAGCCTCCCAATCGGGCGGGGGAATGTGCGATTTCTCGGTCACGACCTCACTGTAGGTAGGATATTAGCAATGGAGAACCGGGCATCTTTGAAGAGCAAGGCACACATACTTCTGTGCATGAACAGCCTCATACATCAGCAGAGCCTTCCTTAGATTCCTACCACTCTCCTTCGCGATTCTGGCGTTCAAAGGTGCCACCTCCTTCCAACCCTCCTTCTTGCCGACCGACCTCAAAACGCCGCAAATCTCCTCTTCCGTCGGCGCCGCCACCCGAACAAGCAACGTTCGACTTCTGATCGGTGCAATTATATTACTCGTCGAGTTCGCCAGTAGTATCAATCGCAAATTCGGGCTGTACTTCTCCATCGTTCGCCTCAATGCTGCCTGCGCATCGCGCGTCAAATGGTCTGCCTCATTGATGACAACCACCTTGAACCGCTGTTTCGCGGTCAAGTCGACCTGCTGAGTCTGCGCAACCTCCTTGAGGAGATCCTGAACGACAACCCTGTCATAGTTTCCTACATCTGAGGGTGTGATTTCGAGGTGGTACACGGAAGCAACGATGTTGAATTCGAGTTTGCGATTCGAGGTGGTCTGGAAGACTCGGGCGTCGATCTTGATCTTTTCGACACCGGGACCGTAGAGTTCCTTCAGAGTCGCAACGATTCGGGTTTTCTTGCCGGCGCCTGAGGGACCGTATACGAGGAGATGTGGGAAATCGCCGCTTTGAGCCTGCAAGAGAAGCTTAGGATTGAGCAACATCGAGGATTCTGGGGTAGCATACTAATGCCCTCAGGCGATCTGATAGATCTGAGTGGTAGCTTAGAGCTTCGAGGTTGCGCGGTCGGTGCTTGTCCACGAGGAGAGCCATTGTGGTGCGGATTTCAAAAGTTGAGGTGGGATAGACTTGTCGAGACGCGTCGCGCGTAAAGTGGTTTATAGCGAGTTGCGTAGATCACGTGATCTGAACCATCCGGTTTCAATGACGCGAGCCATGACGGAATCTACTATATCTGGATAACACGCCTAGATCATAATGGAAGAATTATCGTTACTTGAAGTTGAAGACATTTGTGACTTATGTATGCACGGTGGGGAATAAATGGATACGACAATGACCGGGAGGCAGCTCCATGAGTCCAGAACATTATTGTACAGGATAGCAAACAGGGTATGAGGGATATGAAATTTGCCATGAATCAAGGAAAGATGATACAAAAGGTAATCCAAGTCTTATATGAACCATGTCCACACACGCACCGAAGCCTAATAGTTCTGCCGTTAAAAAGGAGATAAGTCGTACCCAACAGAAGCAAGTATCATAAAGTACAATTAATATCTCAATGGGTATCTCATAAACGTCGTCTTACTCAACGAAGGTGGCCGTTCTCGTAACAATCGTTTAATAGCGCCGCGAGTCGTACCTGCTGTCAAAGCCACTGGCATTGCTGGCGCTTCTGTCCCTATAGTAATCATCGTCGTACACAGACCGGGGCTGAGATTCATAGGAGCTATCGCTCATGTTTGTGTTACTTCTGCGCGTGTGTCCTCCGGCAGAGCCAGCAGAGGCCTCTTCCTCAGCCTGTCGTCGAGCCCAGTCAGTTCGTCGCTTGCGACCCTCCTCTTCGGAATCATGAATGTTGCTGGTATAATAGCTTCCTGGTATCTCGCGGACGCTTGGATCTGATCGAGTGCCATGATTGGAAAAGCTCGGGCTTCGTTGACGACGGCCAGTGGTTGTAGAGTTTGTACGGGCATGGTGCTGAGGGAGATAGGTGGAGTTAGAAGGCGGCACCCATTGGCTTTGGCTTGCCGTAGATTGCGTGCGTCTACGGAAGTCTTGTGAAGATGCTTCCGAATTTGGGTTTCGGCTAGGATCCTCACCATAAACCTTTCCACCCCCAGGGGCGGCCGAATACGGTTTTCGCTCTCGCTCTATCGGTACCGCCAGAGGCTCTCTGCCATCTTCCTCGGATTGTACCGTGCTAGAGTTCCGCGTATGTGGTTGTGACTGAGTCGCATACGGACTGCGCTCACGTTCCAGACTCGGCGCAGGTCCAGCGTCGTTGCTCACTGGGGGAGGTGGAGGAAAGGTCGGTGCCCGGCGAAGAGGTCCAACATTCTCAGCAGATAGGATTGCTGCGCACCGCTGCTGAGCATGGAGGTGTTCTTGCGTTGGGAACAACCGTCGAGGAAGCTCTTTAGGGAAACGTTCCTTGGCGTCGTCTGCATTGCTAATCGGCATGTCTAGGACTGCCATGGACAACCGCGCATATTCGGTATCTGGATAAGCTTGGATCATGACAGTCATCCATTCTTCGAAACCTTCGGGAGTCAGTGCGGGGACATGTGGGGTGTCCGCAAGGTTCTCTTGGATAAGATGATGCTCGCATCGCATTTCGCGATAGATTTTGCAAAGTGTCGTAGGCGACAGCTTTCCGAACATTGCTAGGTAGATGAAGATTAGCGTACATACGCAAGGAATTGGTAGAAGCTGCCTTACTGGGCCAAGGATATATTTCGTCAGGAAGCTTGACATCACTGTAGAACTTCAACATTTTTGAAGGTGGAATGACAAGGCTCCGTTTCGGTTCGTAATCATTAATCTAGGCATGTCCTATCAGTTTGTATGACTTGGAAAATAAAGCACTGTGTTTACTTACCAGATGCAATGCAAGACCGCGCAAGAACTGTCCGAGCCGCGGTGTCGGCTGGCCGCTGGGATCGAACAACCTGCCCCACATCTTCTCTATGGGCGTGAAGTCGGCATCTGTAGACATCCTCTGGACGGGAGGTGGTCGCGACCTGGAAGTTCTCTCTGATGGAATGTCGACAGGAGCAGTGGTAGCACCTCGTGGAGTTGGCGTATCACCAGCGCCGTCAAACATTGGATCGCGCGCTAGAGGGTCTGGGGAGGTGGTGCCATGGCTAGAAAAGTCATGAGGTTTTGGTGATGGAGGAGTGTACACGTTTCGGGGAGGGAAAGATGAGGACGTGGAGGTGGGTGATTGAGGAACATAGTGATGTGGCAATGTTGTCGTAGACTGGGGTTGGCCTGTAACACCGCCCACGCCGCTGAGCTTGATCTCATCGAGAACAGATTTTTTCACTTCGGCCGTGATCTGAGCGATGAGATCGGGATCGACCCTTTGGGCGCTATCGGATTTATCGAAAGCATTGTTGAGGGCATTCTTCAACGGTTGCGCCTGACCGTCGGATGGGGCATTGGAAGATGCGCGAGACCTTGGCCTGGGTGGATGATCGTGATGCAGTGGATTTTGGAACTGGGCGGCAGAGTGGTAAGAGCGCGAGTCATAATTTGAGTCGTACGAGGAGCCATAAGGAGGAGCGTGATAGTCGGGTTGGCTGCGGTAGCCGTCGTATGCGGCCATGGTTTATGGGTTATATTCTATGGTTCGTTGTTCTGGTTCTGTTGTGTGTATGGTCTTGAGTCTTAGGACTAGGTAGTATAGCCCAGCAATGACGACGCTACCAAGGTTGCAAGATCAGGCTATGCGGGGAGTGCAGCGCAGCACAGTGGGGAGTTCGTGCTGCAGCATGCAGGCACTCTTTGGGTCTTGGGATATATTGAGGTTGAAAAGGTAGGTAGGAGAAGAGACCAGCAGATTTTCTCGTTCCGTCGGAGACGGGGAGGTGCAGGATATAGGTTCTGGTGAACAGGTGGAACGGCGGACAGGTGATGTGGTTCTAATGGTCGCAAACAATGGGTTCCGAGTGGGAAGGTTTGGCTCTGGCGCACACAGCTGAGCAGTAGTATGGACAGTAGGCTGGTCTAGAAGGAGGAGGAGTGATGGAACAAAAGAGTAGCAAGACAGATTTCTCTTTCAGCTCCGGGCGCGATGGATGATAGTTTGGATTGGGTTGGATTGGGTTGGATTGGTATGCTGTGTAAGGTCGTGATGGGAGCAGGATTGTAGGAACAGGAAGCAGGCAGGAAAGAAAGAGGAGGATAAGGATAGCAGTGGCAATAGCAAGTAGTAGGTAGGCAAGATATCGTCAGGGAAACATGGACATGGGAAAGTGGCATGCATGCATGAGCATGTGCAGGACAGTAGTAGGAGTGATGTGAGTGATGTGAGTGATGTGAGTGGTAAATGGTATGAGTATCTGGGTAGTAGTCGTAGTTAGAGGGACTGGTAGAGGGACCATAGGGCAGTAGAACTGGTAGAACTGGAGGGAGGGCATGAGAGGGCATGGGCATAGCGTGGGTGGCTGCAGGTGCGCGCCGCCGTTGCGTCATAACCCGTTGTCCCGTCATACTTGACCATCGACCATCCCTACACAGTACAGTATCCCTACACAGTATGAGCACACTGCACAGTATCCATCCATCACGGAGTTACACTCTCCCCACCACTAAGAGTAACCTGTTCTACAACCCTTCTCTCCGTTCTTCATCCAACCAAACCATCCAACCAACCAACATCAAGACCTGCGAACTACTCCTAATTTACAGCACGTCGCTACCCCTACACATAACTACGTATCTCGTACAGTACACAACATACACCATGTGATATCCATACACTCGGGATTTGCCCTGCCTGCAAGTTCAATACCCACATGTTAGGTACCTAGGTAGGTAGTCAACATCAACGGACAGGGTGAAAAACGAAGAAGTAGACAGCAAACAACAAAAACAAAAACATCCATGGCCTTTGCAATTCCTGCCTTCCTTTGGCGTACTTAGATACGTTGTCGCGCGCTGGTCAGAGGATGAAAGAACAACAAAGCATCTTCCCCGTTGCTTGTCTTGTGCCCTGCAAAGAAAGGATGCTGAGGGACGGGACCATCCTCCTGCTCCTACTCCTTATTCCTCCAATGAACCTGCCCTGCTTCCTTTGTTTCAACCCGCCTCAGCAAACAACGGACTTGGACTTGCCCAAAGGAGGGCGGATGCATCGCTCATAGCCCCCAAGGATGACCACAGCCAATTCCCCGAGAGAGCCTCTCCTACCGTCCAGCCCAATATCTCTGCCTTGTTTCGCAAGCCTCTGACGATGGTTGTATTGCATTCACCCCGAAATACTGCGCAGCATTTGCCTGAGGACCATGGTAGCCCAGTCAAAGCCATCCCGTGCGCTTTCTTTCCAGATGCGCTGCCCCCGGCTACAGTAACAGAAGCATTCTACCGATTTTGACGTCTTGCTAAGCGCCTCCCAGTGGCTGTTCAGAAGGTATGTACACACGAGCATCTAACTGTATGCAGTATACATAGCAACTCGTAAAGCTGGGTTGCTGTGGCGGCTACCTGGGCGGCCAGCTGAGCCTCAAGCTTCGGTGGCCAGTCGATGCGGCGAGACAGAATCCGTGAGAGCTGGCGCAGCGCGACATGCAGCAGCGCGACAGGCAACGCGACCAGCCGGCATAGGTAGGCACGAGATGCTGTGTAGATGTGCAGATTCATGAACGGTCAGGCCGGGCGGGAACGCATTATTGACGGGACATTTGTTGACATGTTTGGGAACTCCAAAACAAACTCCTACTCCTAATAATGAATATCTCCCATCCTCATCCAGGTACCCCGGCAGATGATTGTCGAAATGTCGACACGACTTACAATGTTGATGGGCATGACGGACCGGCGCTCGCAGGCATAAGCCCGCAATCGCGCACAGGCGTCCATCGGTAGGTGGGGATAAGCACAGATCCTATACTCTACACGGCATCTACATTGTGATTGAGGGAAAAGGTAAGAATACGTTGTAGATACCGTACCTACCTAGGTACCTGAGTATATAGATAGCAACGGGCCCGCGTGGAGCGGACGTAGGTAAGACAAGGAGCCCCAATAATCATGCTTGTGCTCGCTGTTGCTGCAGAGTCGTGGCCCTCCCCTTATACAGTGTGGCACAAGTCAGGTACATGGCCCATGGGGTACGGAGTACGTGAAGATTGATTAATGCCTTCGTAGGTAGGTAGCTCCCCACTACTGACTGTCCAGTGCGTTCGTTTCTCTGCTTGACCGCTCCGATCACCCCGTGGGCCTCGTACACGGCACACAGTGTGCGCTGCGTCCGCTGGGTTCGGCGAGATATTGAAGACAAGAGAGAGGACGGTGCCTCTCGTCTACCTACAGTAGGTTTACGGCGACGACGCGAGGCATATTGCACGGGGCATGATGCTATGCCGTGGTGGGTTCTGACAGACCCAGGTTGGGTCTGAGCAAGTTCCAAAAGTGTACAAGGGCGGAGTCAAGAGATATAGATATCCATCTGTATTATAGAGACCGAGAGAGAGTATTGTTTGGACTAAACTACCTAGGTAGTTATTACTGTGTAGAAGAGGGTCTCCAGTCTCCAGTCTCCAGTCTCCAGTCCAGGGGTATAGTAGAGTAGCAGATGAATGATAACACAAGTGCTGATACGGAGTACCTACCTAGGTATCTATCTGCATGCCTACTTACCTATTGTAATTAGTAGAGCAATAACGATGATACAACAATAATACTGACAACAATGCAATCATCGGCGAGCAGTTTTTTTCTTTCCCCAGTGGAAATGGTCCAGTGGGTGTCCCAGCTCAGCAGCGTCAGTCGGCGATGAAACCTTAGCGTGTGTGAGATGGTCGCGATGCGCCTCCTGATTGGCCCTTAATCGGTCCCATCAATGGTCTGTGTCCCATTCACCTTCAATCCCCCCAATGGACCCATCCGAATCTCCTGAACCGCGACCTTTTCCTACCTCTCGCCTGCTTCGCTCGTGATATTTTGTTTCGACTGTGAGACCGCGCGTTTCCTTCAATAACTCACAGTCCACTTTTGCCGCCGCCGCCGTGTCCTCCGGGCCTCCCCTCAAAACACTTCCCTCCTTTCCAGCCAGAGAGAGAAAGAGAGAGAGAGAGAGAGAGAGAGAGAGAGAGAGACCCCTTCGTCATAAAGATTACAGACCGCCTTACCCAACACCTAATCACCTACCTACCTACCTACCTACCCTCCACCAGTGACCATACATAGCGAACCAACACACTCCCGACTCCACGCCGCATCAAATACTTTCCACTTCTCCGCCCATCGCCGCCCTCCCTCTCTCCTCTCACCACCTCTCGGGATTCAACCTGCGAACTCGCCGTAGTCTCCTCCGACCCTCTACCTCCATCTTACATCCCTAATAGCACGCCCCACGTCCGCCAAAATCACAACTTCACTCTCTCGCGTCACCTCCACGCAGCCTCCCCGCACGGTATCGACGACTCTCTTCCAGAAGCGTGCTCGTCTCCTGACCTTATCTCGGTTCCATGCTCGACTTGGTCCACTCCAACATGTGTCTTTGATCTCCTCCGTCACACCTGACAAACGAAGCGCTTAAGTGAAGGGGAGCAAATCCGACCGCTCGTACCCTTCCAGAACCGAGCGACTCAACTAGAAAATCACTACATAATAATACTCCTCATCAAGGAATGGCAATGCTTGCTTCAAAGTCCCCATACCCCACGCCTTCTCTGGGTGGAGGATCATCGCAGTCTGCCACCCAATACACATCTGGCGCTCCCGGCTACCGGAATCATACCACGACCGCTCGAAATGAGCATGCCTTCTTCGTGTCCCCGACCGACTCCACATTCTCCGAAGAGCTCTATGACGCCCCCGACTCTGTGAAGAACTGGGATGAAAACAAAGTGGGCGACTGGCTGAAGCGTATCAACTGTGCCCAATATGTGGATTTGTTTAAGCGTAAGTTTGTAGTACTCGTTTGGCTTACCCCGTAGATGATGCTAAGCCGCCCCCACAGAGAACCACATCAATGGCGAGAACCTCATGGAGATGGATCAGAGCCACCTGAAGGATATGGGCATAAAGAAAGTCGGCGATCGTGTCCGCATCGGCTCCCAGGCAAAGCAGCTCAGGAACAAGGAATACAAGAAAGCGTCCAAGCGCTCTTCCAATAGGGTAAGCGACGAAACACGAGTTGACCGACTGGTTGCTAATAAGTGTCACAGCAATCCTTGGCTACATTGGATAACACCGCATATACACCACCCTCATCAGGATCTCCTCGCCCGTTGCCCTCCGGTCGGTCGCTGCCAAGCTCTAGGTCAGAGAAGCGTATGTCAACCATGTTCACAGGATCGGATCTCAAATTCTCGTCTTCGTATGGTGGCAAGTCTCCTTCACGACCTAGCTCACCCCTTGTGGATCAAGAGAACAGAGGACTTCGACCCCAGCGATACGGAGCGTTGAATAGCCCCAAGGATGGAAAGGGCGAACATGGCGCATATACTGGGCATCCTCTCAGCGCCTCTAGCAGCTCTGCTAACATCCCCGGCCGTTACGGAGCCACATCGAGGACGACACCGACGGAGACCCCTCAAACCGCTGTCTTCAATCATAGCAGGGGTATGAGTCTGGACAGTGCTACCAACAGTGCCATCCTCCCCAACGACAAGGCCTTGATTCGAGTCATCTTCGACGGCGGCCGTTCGTCTGTCGTACAAATCGAGGGATGCAAGTCTGCCGACGATATCATCCTGAAGACTTTGAAGAAGGGCCAGTTGAATGAGGCCCATGTGAAGAACTATTGCTTTTACGTACTGGAGGGCTCAGAACCTAACCCTGCACTTTGTCGCCGACTGACCGACATTGAGCTTTTCCGCCTGTGCAAGGACTACAATAGACATGAGCGAGGTCGACTCATCCTGCGAAAGATCCACACCGGCGAGCCGGAGGAAGAACAGTTGAAGGCAGCTGCCGGTATCTACCAACAACAGGGTATCCAGCAGAACCAGAATATCATCCTGCCGTCCAGTAACCGAAGTCAGTTGAAGATTCAGCAGATTACCGGAGAATCATTGGCTGCCGTTAGCTACCCCCTATCCCCCACCTCCGCAAGAGAACGCGAAAGACATATTCACTCCACAGCACAAGACCTGGAGGGTCCCGCCCGATCACCCATTCAAGTACATGCTGCGCGCGCACGCAAGCTCAAGCAGTTCTACGGTGCACGCCCACCAAGCGAGTTGATCACCTCAGACCTCACATCGTACTTCCCAGATGTCGAGAAGGATGAAATCGATAAAACCATCCGCATGTCTGTTCGTCGCTCACGTCGCCTGAGCCGAGCAGCTTCTCGTCTGTCGATGGCTTCGAACTTCAGCGTAGCATCAAGCCTGCGGGATGCCCCTCCTCTACCCTCCATCGCCGACAACTGGCTGCAAGGTCAGGCTCGACCGCTTCGCCCCTTGTCTGTCATGAGACTTGGTCTGCCTTCTCAATCAGGCTATCGTGATTCAATGGCATCCTCCGTCCTGGAGCCGCTCGAAGAAGAATCTCCCCTCGAACCGAACCGGAAATCCTATGTCTCGTTCGGAGGTGACAGTGGATCGGATACACTGGCCGTCACAGACCCTGATGGACAGACCACTTTGCAGTCATACTTCGACGATGGCGGTAGCAGCCTTACAGGTAGCAGTGCCGGCAACACCGAGAATGGTGACTCTCTGAACAAACGTCTTTCCCAAGCTATCGCCGACGATGGAGAGGAGTATGACGACGAGCTGGCCGATTATCTGGAACAGGATTCCTGGGAGAATGTCAAGTACATGAAGGGAGCCCTTATCGGCCAGGGCTCTTTCGGAAGCGTGTACCTGGCACTGCATGCCGTGACAGGTGAGCTCATGGCTGTCAAGCAGGTTGAAATGCCTTCAGCCACCTCCCTCATGGATCAGAGAAAGACGAACATGGTCGAAGCCTTGAAGCATGAGATTGGCCTCCTCCGTGACCTCAAGCACAAGAACATTGTGCAGTATCTTGGCTCCAACTCCGACGACAGCCATCTCAACATTTTCCTCGAGTATGTTCCTGGTGGTTCCGTTGCCACTATGCTCGTTAACTACGGCCCTCTTGGCGAGTCTCTTATCCAAAACTTTGTACGACAGATTCTCCAGGGACTATCATACTTGCACTCTCGCGACATCATTCATCGTGATATCAAGGGTGCCAACATCCTCGTCGACAATAAGGGCTCCGTCAAGATCTCCGATTTCGGTATCTCCAAGCGTGTGGAGGCATCGACCCTACTGAACGGACCGAGCGGCGGCAAGAAGGGAGCACAGCGTGTCTCCCTCCAAGGCTCCGTTTTCTGGATGGCTCCCGAAGTCGTCCGTCAAACTGCGTACACGCGCAAGGCAGACATCTGGTCGCTCGGCTGTCTCATCGTGGAGATGTTCACGGGTAGCCACCCGCATCCCAACTGCACCCAGCTTCAAGCCATCTTCAAGATTGGAGGCAGTGGTGATGCCTGCCCGACTATGCCCGAGACCGCGGGAGCTGATGCTCAAGCTTTCCTGGCACAGACGTTCCTCATCGACCATGAGAAGCGTCCAAGTGCTGATGAGCTTTTGGTCAGCCCCTTCTGCGCCGAACAGGCAGCTTAGACGATTCTTTCTCTCATTCTTATTCTTCATTATCACATACAGGTGTTTCGGCACATAATGGTTTCAACGTGTCATGACATCAGCATCTAGCATGGAATTGGGATCAATACAGGGTGACATAACGGAAAAAAGGGCCCTTGGTTTTCATTTGGTGGCGGACTGAAGCATCTTTTTCATCGTGGGCTTCTTTCTCAACATCATCTCACCTCCCCTTTTTGGAACTTGGTTCCTCCTTTTCTCTTGATATTTGGATTTTTTTTAATTGTACGATACCTTTCTCCCTAGGAAGAAGAAGATTCTGATCTGGGAAGCCGCCGTGCGGACCTTTTATTCGCTTGGTAATGGCGCTCATGGATAATTGTGGCTGGGGTGTACTTATAGGCATTACGAACATAACTATAACTTCCAAGAGTTACATTATCAGATGCTCTAGTTCTTGCGCCGCGTGACTTTGTGTGGTGAGCTCAACACCGTCGATCATCCTAGAATATCTCTACAGGATTGCCGAGCAGATTGATTACATCCACCTGCAAGCAACAGAGGGCCTAGAATCACAAAGGTGTTCTTTGAGACTTCCAACCGCGTGGGACGTATCATCGACCTCGTCGAGTCAGCCCCTCATATCATTAAGATTTCGGACCGTCAACCTCCCGCTATCCGTACATAGTATGTACAATCGACGTCAAAGAAAAGCGCCGAACCAACCCTCGTTGCCATTACTATTGTTGCCATGGTCTTGCCGTGATGTCTGCCCCACCAATGGCCCCTACCTTACCCCTCGGCAATCATCTTTACCTGACAAAACATTCATGGTAGTTATGGCAGAGCGACCGTAAGTCGATGTCACAGTTCTCGACTGACGTAATGCTGTTTTCCACCCCGCGCCGGTCGTCCGGTCGTACGCACCCACGATCGATTTGACTATCGTAACAGATGTACATACATACATGCACGTACAGTACGACACATACGAGTAGATAGATTCAAACGTCCCAGATCCGAGGCATTGCTTCCCCCATTCCCATGTGCTCTAAAGCAAGCATGCATGCGCCGCCGCCACTCCCGGGGGTGAGCACGATCTTGGGCTCGCAGTGTTACTGGTGCTTCGTACAAGGCAAGCAGCTTAGGGACGATTCGCTGCCTCGATTGGGTGTTTAGCTGCCTTCCTGGGGTGTCGGTCGTGTGGGGACGCACCTGGCACCGCGCCATCGGACGGGCATTGTACAGCGGTTTTGGGGTGGAGGGGGAAGGGAATGCGGGGGAGAGGAGGGACCCTCATCGAATTAACTGCTGTCTTGTGGGTAGGAGAGGGGAATAGTGTAGGTACCTAGCTTATGTTCCTACGAGAGTAACCTACTCGTACCTCCCTAAAGCAATCGCCTGTATGTTGGTGTTAGGCATATGTATCGGTGACATATAACCGCGTCTTATCCTTCCCCTCCCTCCCTTCCTTCCTGCCTTCCTTCCTTTATCTTGTTGTACGTGAAATCAATTGCCTTTTCTGCCCTGAGTCAGATTTGCTTTTGCCTTCCATTACCCCTCTCCAATTGGGAATCGATATCCAACCTTGCGTAAGGTGTGCATATATACCGATCGATAACCGTGGGACGTCGTCACTCACCAACATCGCCGCACCTGACATCCCTACATACCGCACATAAGAAAGTACTCGGAATTGACAAGAGACGGTGATAAATCAAAAAGGAAGGATAATAAGAGAATAGAAAACCATGACTTCCGCAGAGCTCCCCAAGAAGTACAAGGCCGCTGTCTACGACAAGCCCGGCAGCATCTCGACCAAGATCGAGGAGCTGGACCTCCCTGAGCCGGGGCCTGGAGAGGTGTTGATTAACCTGTAAGTTTTCTTGTGCATATGCTTTGGTCTGGTATTCTGTTCAAAAAGTATATTTTGTTATAATGTGTTCATTGAGGATATCGTTGTATCTACATCGCAACTATATCCTCCTTCATCATCTTCTCGAATCTACCGTCTTCGAGCTTTTCCCAAGAACTCTCGTCATTGACATATGCACAGCACACACTCGGGCGTTTGCCACTCCGACATGGGTGTCATGATGAACTCGTGGTCCATGCTGCCCGCGCCCACGCAGCCGGGCCAGGTTGGCGGCCACGAGGGCGTGGGCAAGATCGTGAAGTTGGGTGCCGGGACTGAGGGATCGGGCGTCAAGCTCGGCGATAGGGTTGGCATCAAGTGGATGGCGGGCGTCTGCAATGCTTGTGAGGCCTGTCGAGCCGGCATCGACGCGAGCTGCTTCAATGGCGTGAGTTTCTTCTTCCCAGTTTCCTCTCGTCTACTACCTTAATCTTCTTGATTTCGCAAGGCCATGAGATGATGCCTTACCACGAACGAAAAGAAAGGATGGAGTATGATGGACTGACAATGTGCCAGAAAATCTCAGGATACTACACACCAGGCACGTTCCAACAATACGCCCTGGGCCCCGCAAACTACGTGACTCCAATCCCAGAGGGACTCGACTCTGCCGCGGCAGCACCGATGCTCTGCGCCGGCGTGACCGTGTACTCCGCGCTGAAGAAGTCCAACGCCGTGGCTGGGAACTGGGTCGCCCTATTGGGCGCTGGCGGCGGCCTGGGCCATCTGGCCGTGCAATTCTCCGCCCGTGGGCTGGGCCACAGGGTCATTGGCATCGACCACTCGAGCAAGAAAGACATTGTGCTCGAGAGCGGGGCGGAGCACTTCTTGCCCATTGACGGGACCGACGACATCGTGAATGCCGTGAAGGAGCTGACGGGTGGGTTGGGTGTGCACGCGGTGCTTGTGCTCACGGCGAATAACGCCGCGTACGGGAGCTCCATCGACATGTTGAGGTTTGGCGGCCGCGTCGTGTGCGTGGGTATCCCGGAGAACGAGCCCGTCCCCATCAAGTCGGCGTATCCGTCTACGCTTGTGGGCAAGAGTTTGAGCGTCGTGGGCAGTGCGGTTGGAGACCGGAAGGAGGCGATCGAGACGCTCGATTTCGCGGCGAGGGGCATCGTAAAGACGCATTACAGGACGGAGAAGATGGACAAATTGACGGACGTGTTCAAGGAGATGCATGACGGGACGTTGAAGGGTAGAGTCGTGCTCGATTTGCAGTAGCCGGGGATCGTGAACGGCGTTAGATATGAGCGTAAGTAGCAGTCTTGATTATCATGTTCATGACAAGTTCTTCTTCTGCTCTTTGCTGTGATCGATTGATGCTTCTATGGCGTTGAGACTCCGCAACACACCGAATTTTAGTCCCTTCTTGTGGATCATATGCTGTTCGTTTGGCGATTGACAAGTACCAATGAGGCCGTAAGTTGGCAATGAAGATCAATTACTCGCTATATTTACTCCGATCATACCTCTTCGATCATCGTTGCGTTAATCAAAAGCCAAGGGGTATATCAGGACCTTTAGTACCAACTGGGGAGAGTGAAGTGAGAACTCAACAACGTCTCTAGCATTCACGAAGCCCACCTCCTTCCCAGCATCATCACCATTGCCATCAAGCCTCAGCCCTCAAACGATCGTACCTCAGCACGCTCTGCAGCAGGACCTGCGCACCAATCGCACAATCCTCCTCCTTGCAGAACTCGGCCGGATTGTGGCTGACGCCCTCTCTGCAGGGCACGAAGATCATGCTCGTTGGACACCTCTTCGACGCGTAGACACTGTCGTGTCCAGCGCCGCTCGTCATCTCCATGATCTGGTTCTTCGAGTCCGGGCCCAGAACGGACATTGCGGCCTGCGTGACGGACGATATGCAGTCCTCGTGGAACAAGGTTGCGGGCGAGGAGAAGTCGCGGGTTATCTCCACGGTGCAAGGAAGACCTTTGGTCATGCCCTCGTTGGAGTTCAGCACGTCTTCGCCAGCGGCAATGGCGGGGAAGTCGGTGTTGATCAGCTGTTCCATGCGGGCGACGGTCTCGTCAGAAGGCGCGCGGATGTCGAGGCTGAAAGAGACTTCCCCAGGGACCGTGTTGGTGCTTCCTGGCTTGAGGGTCAGAATCCCGGTGCTGGCGAGGGCGTTGTTGGTAGTTGCAAGACGGTGCGAATGCAGGATCATCTTGGAGGCGGTGAGTAGAGCGTCTGCGCGGCTCTTGAGGTCAGTGGTTCCGGTGTGGCAGTCTCGGCCTTTCACGGTGACGGTGTACCATTTGTATGCCTGGACGCCCTTGACGACCCCGACCTTCTTGTTTGCCATTTCTAGCAAAGGACCTTGCTCGATGTGAAGCTCGAAGTGAGCGCCCATGGGAATTGATTCGTGCGAGGCAGGTGTCTGGCCAAGGTAACCTATCCTAGCCAATTCGGAGGCCATAGTTGCTGTCCCTCCACCAACTTCGCGCAGGTTGTGTGCGGATTCTAATGGGATTGAACCTGCCCAGACGCCAGAGGACGACATCGACATGGGGAATCGAGCTCCTTCTTCACTGTTGACATTTAGTTAGCAACCACTGCGTGCGTTTAAGCCCTCGTAGAAGTTTACGTCAGGGTGGGCTATCTCGAAGAGTTACTTTACGTACTTGGTCCAATTCACCACACCCACGGGGTATTCTGTCTCCACCCAATTGTCCTGCAGCACTTTCAGCATTTCTATGCCGGCCGTAACACCCAGAATGCCATCGTATCTTCCTCCAGTAGGTTGTGTGTCTAGATGGGAACCCGCGAACGTCGGAGGCTTATCGTTCCGAAGGCCAGGTCGGACTGCAAAGATGTTGCCCATGGAATCAATGGTGGTCGTGCAACCCAGTGACTCGGTGGTCTGGACGAACCAGTCTCGTACGGTTTTGTCGGAATCGGAGAGCGCAAGTCGAGACATGCCCGTCTCAGTGGGTTTACTATTCTTGGAGTTAGTTTACGTGGTTCGCTTGAAGCTATAGAAGCTTAATTCAGATGTGGGACGTACTCTCCCCATCGCTGGCCGATACCCCACTGGCATGAATGATGGATGTCCCCCATCAGCCTGCTCTGGTCAACCTTTAAGCTCCCAAGTTGCTCCTCATTCATCTCTGTTGTGCGTAACTGCCATGACGTCGTTGCGGAGAAGCTCCGCAATCCTAGGCGGGGAGCTGCTTTGGCTGTACATGGTGTGCGGAGTTGGGTCCTTGCAATGCGCAGTGAAGCGCAGACTCGAGGGGAGACAAAAGCCATAGTGGGCAATCTGAAGGGTCAGGAAGGAAGGAAGAACACATTGTGATCTCTGGGAGGGCATGGCACTATCATGCTAAGCATGAGGAGAACCATTGGCAAGGGTTGGGGAGAGAAATGATACGCGACCAGCCCACGCGCCTTTGCCGATAGCCACCCAGCGGTGCATCGGTGCAGGGACAGAACTAGCGCACACAGTATACCCGTGCGGACTTCACTCCCCGCTCAGTCTTGTCATATCATTTGTAAATAGGAACAAGTGTAAGTCATGTATACCGTATCTGGAGATACTGCGCTGTGCTGTGGTGGGGCTGGAGGTGGTAGTGTCGTGCTGGATAGGGAATTACGTCTTCGTCGGTTTTCCGGCGGACATGGAAGCCGGCGGGCTTCTCCGTTTATCAATGGGAGGAGGGACCATACTCCATCCATCCATCCTTCCAACATCCACTCGCAAGACCAATCTATTTCCCGCAGCCTTTACATTATTGGTGGCTGAAATATAAATAATAAAAGCTCCTGTGAGTAAACTGCAATATCCCTGCCGACCGATCCCTTGGTTTGCAGGAGTCGTTCATGTAGTTGCATTTGCCTCCCTCTATGATTCATATCATGGACAACGAAAGATATAAACTGGCATCACTGCATAGCGAAATGCCACTTTATTCTGACGTGCTATGGGAGAAAATCGAAGCACCACCTACTCGATTCATATGAACGAAGCTGAGTATCGCAGGAAAGCCGCACATCCCAAGTACGATAAGGTTATAGTCATTCCCGCTACGAATATAACCATGTCGAACGTCTTCCGTGTTGCAGTTCTTGAGTGCGATACACCTATAGATCCTGTCAAGGAAAAATACGGAACCTATGGCGACATCTTTTCTCGGCTTCTAAACAACGGCCTATCAAATTTGGAAGGCTTGAAGTCCAAGCCGACCCTAGATGTTTCCAAATGGGACGTCGTTGACAAGCAAGAATACCCCGAGCTTAGTGAGATTGACGGTATCTTGATGACCGGAAGCAGTATGTACTTTGCAGGCCGCCCTTCATTCGGCTTCCCTGTGTACAATGCTTATAGCAGACAGAACATGACTCCTTTGAAAGTCACCCCTGGATTCTCAAATTAGTCGACTTTACGAAGAAGGCGTTCGACGCTAAGAAACCCATTGTTGGAATATGCTTTGGTCACCAGATTCTCGCACGAGCAATGGGCGCAAAAGTTGGAAGAAGCGATAAAGGCTGGGAAGTTTCGGCTGACAATATCGATGTAACGGATGCTGGCTTTGCGTTGTTCGACAAATCAAGCCTTGTATGTGGTATCATGTCCCTCATTCCTGCCGCCACATCTAATGGATTTTCAGACTCTTCATCAGATGCATCGTGATGTTGTCTTCGACGTGCCTGAGGGTTTTCAGAATCTTGGGACCAGCCCGCGATGTGACGTTCAAGGTCTGTATCTTCCGAACCGTGCGTTTTCAGTGCAGGCACATCCCGAGTTTGACGACTATATCATGGACAAGATTCTGAAGAAGAGGCATGGGGATGGCATATTCAGTGATGATATGTATGAGGATGGAAACCTTAGGGCTTCCCTCGAGCACGATGGATTGTTAGTGGCTACCACGATCTGGAAATTCTTCCTGGTTCCTTCAAAGGCCTAGCTTGCCATGGTGAAACAATCCGTTCATGGCAAGTGGTGAATTCATGGAATTCTAGAATGTCAATTGGAACAAAAGTAATATGGTCGAAAATGAAACTCGGAAACATGACGTCTATGGATCTCTAAATATAGCAGCTCCTGTCACTAGTCTGTGCTGAGCCGCAGGTTCCTGAGCACCAAGTAGATCTCAATAAGGTAGTTAATGTAAGCAAAAGAATAGGTAACTAGGGCAACTATATAGCAGTCTCAACATCCACCCATCGTTCTTGTCTCGAACAATTAGCGATTTAATCTATTAGGAAGCTTTGCCAGTATTCTTCCTCCTTTCAACCGTGGTCCATTTCCAGCAACACATCCGCTCGGACATTATCGATAAACAACCCTCCCCTCCTCCTCCTGTTGCTTTACTTTCCCCCGCCGCCATCTACACCGACTTCTACAATCGCATTTGTCTTGGACGTTTCCGAACTAAGAACTTCTTCAATTCTGCCATACCTTCTTGCCCGTCTCTTAAATCATAGCCCTGCCGCCGCGATGAGCCTCACGAGCCCCGTCACCGACCCTACAACGCCTCTTTTCAGCTCAGATCTAATCTCCCCTGAGGTTGTCGCAGCTTTACCCGAAGGATACCAATGCAGACCGGTACAGCGAGGCGATTATCATAAGGGATTTTTGGATGTCTTGCGCGTTCTTACAACCGTGGGCGACGTCACAGAAGAGGTCCGTACCGAGAAAGCCCCCTAAATTCTTCTCATCGAGTCCCACCTTTGATGAGACTATCACGCAGTGCTAACATTTGAGCCATCAGCAATGGAACGACCGATACGAATGGATTTCGAAACGAAATGACGAGTACTTCCTCCTCTGCATCCTCGACTCAAACTCCCACATCGTCGGCACCGGCGCGCTCATCGTCGAGCGCAAGTTCATCCACAACCTAGGCATGGTCGGACACATTGAGGACATTGCGGTGGCGAAGGATCAGCAAGGCAAGAAGCTTGGTCTGCGCATCATCCAAGCGCTGGATTTTGTGGCGGAGAAGGTTGGATGCTACAAGACGATTCTCGACTGCTCGGAGGCCAACGAGGGCTTCTATGTCAAGTGTGGCTTCAAGAGAGCTGGTTTGGAGATGGCACACTATTATGGACAGAACAAGCCCAAAGGAGGTCAGTAGATTCGGCCTTTCGTGTCGTGAGACGCGGGATTGACAAGGTGCAGCGCTTTGAAGGATTCATTTCAAGATGTTCATAGAGCCCTAGTAGGGATGGAAGCAGGGATGAAAGCACATAGAGAGGCTTGGACTGTGGGAAGCAGCTCCAATAGAGAAACCCAAACGAATGCCAATAAAAACTCGGCATATCCAGAGACCTGGATATTCCAAGACGTACACTTTCAGACTCAATGGTCATGAACTTTTGCATGTGATACGTAGTCACTTTCGTGATTCCAATTATTGAACGACTCTCAATCTAGTTACTGTTACTAGTAAACATTCGATTATTTCTCGACGTTGCTATTTGTATTTGTTCCTTGCGTCTTCCTCGATGGAGGAGGCCGACTAGCGTGGCTTTCCTTACCACTTCGAGAGTCGAAAAAAGATTGAACAACATACGCCCGTCGAATGATTCTTGCTTGATCCTTGGCCCATCAAAACATTCACTATTAATGGGAACATAAGCTCTATAACTGCATCTGTTTAGAGGCCTTTCGGGATCCGCCTTCGATCCGGTTGGCTAAGACGACAAGCCACCCACTTGGACCTACCTAATCCTGACAAGCAACCCGACCCGACTACCAGTGTACCTGAAGCAATCTGGAGGATCAGTCAAGATCTCTGCAAAAGACAGAGACATATCGAGGCAATTGCTGAGCGGGAATTTCGATATTCAAATCTTTGTGAGCTCGGGTTGCCACCTGATCATTCTCCGTGTCTTACCCCACCTTAGGCACATTTTCGCGATTCTGATGTGCTGAGAAGAAATTGGACTAGTGAAGAGACTTAGGAATTTTCGAGGATCGATTCAACCTACCCATATTGAGGCTCAAAAAGGAGGGTGAAAAGGTCTCCACACTTGCTCAAGGCCATCCAACTATGTCAGATGACCTTTCGCCTTCATCCAAAACGGATGCCCCTGCTGTCAAAAGCATCGGGTTCAAGCCATTGGATCTCCAACATACGCCTACGATAGACTCCGGTCTACCTCCAGAGATATGGACTATTGTACAATCTGCGGCTGCCAACTTCCCTCCGCAATACTTTCTAGAGGTCAGTCGCAGTCTGCTAGAGAATCCCAACCGTACGGCGTCGCACCTCTCACGGGCAGAGATCTCGTACCAGAGCTTTGCAGACGCCTCCTATAATCCTCTTGCACAGCATCCGCACGAATTAGCGAGTATCGTGAAGCACATGAAGAAGGAACACCAACCTATTATCATTCCAGGCGGCATCCCAGACTACAATTTGGAATGGACAGTTGTCCGGAAACTTATCCCTCGCAATCCCAAGCTCGACGAACCATTGATACAAACATGCCATCTCTTCACCTCTACCTCAAAAGTAACCGTACGGGAAGACGCATCCGCTGGTCCCAACGACGGCTCTACCACCATAGACGCAGAACGTTACCTGGTCATCTACCTACCGCATGTCACATCCCCTGAATCCATTCCATTCTACCACCCCAAAATCCGAGCCCTTGCCATCTTGTACACCTACCAAGCAAATGGTCTAGGAAACTTATCAATCCACTACGACCTCTTCTCATCCTACCCGCTGGACAATCGCCTCACACGCACCGCCCTCAAGATGCTGGAGGTCATTCACAAGCACTCGCGAGGCCAAGAAGCAGGCTACCAGAAGCGCGTACACCACGACCTCATCATTGGGCAGAAACCCTTCCAGGATACGTATACTTTCCTCAAGGGGAAGTATGCGAAGGGACTGATCGACAATTGGGTCGAGCAGACGCTGGCGCAGAAACATGTCTTCGAGGATCTGGGTATCGCGGCGTTTTTGATTGAACTTTGGGTGGATATGTATGGTGGAGATAAGGACGACTCAGACACTAACCTCGACGGCAAGGGAATCAGTGGCGACGGTGATGATGTTCAAACGCGACTTCAGGATGCACGGAGAAGAACTGCGAAGAAGAACTTCCCAGGGTTCGTGGATATAGGTTGTGGCAACGGAGTGTTGGTCTGGATCCTGAACGAAGAAGGTTGGCGCGGCTGGGGCTTCGATGCTCGCAAACGAAAGACTTGGGATATGTTCGGGGCAGGCTATGAAGATAAACTGAAGGAGATGCTTCTTGTGCCTGAAGTCATGAATTCAACGGCCGTGACCAGTAGTAGTGGAGACGAGCAAGACAAAAATGAATCAGACCCAACAGTAGCAGCGGAGGAGGAAGAAAAGGAAGAGGAAGTAACGACCGCCTCGTCGACACCAGCACACAACGGCATCTTCCCCACAAACACCTTCCTCATCGCCAACCACGCCGACGAACTCACAGTTTGGACCCCTATCTTAGCATACCTCTCCTCCTCCCCATTCATAGCAATACCCTGCTGCAGTCACAACTTCGCAGGCACGCGGTTCCGAGCCCCCCACAAGTCCACCAGCAACATCGAGCACGGCCTGAACTTCCAGCCTGGCGGTGGCAGCGAGAACAAAGTGAAGGCTGGCGCCGGGAAGCAGCAGCAGGTCTCGGCGTATGCTTCGTTCTGCAGCTACGTGGCGAGCCTGACGGCTGATGTGGGATTTGTGCCCGAGAAGGAGCATTTGAGGATCCCGTCGACAAGGAATGCTGCCATAGTCGGACGGAAGAGGAGGAAGGCAGATGGTGAGGAGAAGGAGACGACGTTGGAAGAGAAATTGGAGTTCGCGAGAGGGGTTGTGGAGAACGAGATGCCGAATGCTAGCATCAAGCAAGTGCACATGCATTGGATTAAGAGAGGAGACGTGTTGATGAAGCCAGGTAAATTTCCTGGCCACTGATGAATGAAGAAAACGAAAAGACACAGTCTGTCTACTCATGAAATCATCATATTACATTAGCTCGAGTACCTGACCTTACGCTTCTATACCTATACCCATTTACTAGGTGAAAATATATGTCCAACCAATGACCCATTCATACTATCAATCATGTCGTGAATACGCGCCCTAGCCTCGCAATCCCCACTGAGCAAGCACTCTCTGTCCTACACCGTCTACACGCCGTCAACACCGCCTCAGCATCCAGGTCGCCATCCTCAGCCTCGAACCCCACGATCCTCGCCAGAGCCTCCGCCAGCTCGGTGTTCTGGCGCTGAAGGACAATGACCCGCTGCTTCAACATATTTGCCTCCTGGATTGCTTCCCCCGTGGCGGCGCCGCTCTCGCCCACACTACTATTGTTCAATGCAGACCTGGAGTTGCACGAGGAAGAGACGCTTCGGTACTGCGACAACGACGACGACGACACTGCCCCACCGGCTCTCGCGTCATCCTCGTCAGTCGTGGCGGACCCCCTCTGCTGCTTGAACTTCTTCAGATCCCTCAGCTTCCTCGCCCTCGTCAGCTCCTCTCTTGATGCAAGCGGGTGGTCGTTGCCAACCACCGGCATCATCGTGGACGACTTCGGTGGCGTCCTCGGGCTCCTGACAGTCGCCGTTGGTCCCTCGTCGTCCGACGAGCCACCATCAGCCGCATGGAATGGAGAGATAGCATTCTCAACGGCAGAGCTCCCGAGCGGGTTCAACATCTCGTCCGTGAACGTGATGGACACATGTCTCGACGGCTTGGTCCCGCCCGCACCCGCGCCGCAGTCCACCGGCAGCGTGATAGTCTGATCCTGCACGATGTCGTCGTTCGGTATCATGATGCGGAGATGTCTCGTGCCACTCGACGTCGTTGTCTCCCTCGCACACGCCGGCATCGGTGGCCGAGCAGCCCGCTGCTGCGTCTTCCCGGGCGACCCTTCCACGGATCCCACCCGCGCTGCGAGCGTCTTCTTCCCCCCGCCGCCGACTTTGAAGATCCGGAAGCCGGACTTCTTCCTCTGGCCTTTGATGGGCTCGGGTGAGGGACCCGTGTTCCGGAGGTAGAAGCTCAGGTCGTTGAGATTGGCGGTAGCAGTGAGGGCTTGGTGGCCTAGGATCGGGGGAGCCATGCGTCCTAGTGTCGAGGAGCCTACTCGGGCTGCCGAACTGGTGCGCATGCGGGTTTGGTTGCGCTTCTTGGGGACCGTGAGGCCGTGGTGGTGATGATGGTGACGGTGTGGAGGCTCCTTGTCGTAGGGTGAATATTGGCCTTCCGCGGCAGATTGGAACTCGCTATTGCCTGAGAACGTAGATGCACTTCGCGTACGTGTGGCCCACATGACTTCGAGCCTCTTGGGACTGCGAGGTGGGATATCAGGTGTGTCTTCTAGTTTGTCCAGTTCTTCAACTGGGATTGTGCATGCGCGTCCGGCGAGGGGACTCGATGAACCCGACAAGGGAGAGCTTGGAAGGGGGATGTCGTGAGGCTGTGGGGATGAAGTGCTCTGTTTACTCGCTTCGACCGATCGCTTTCCCGATGCCTGGCTGTCGAAGTACTCCTGTAGAGCCCGGAACGTGGACACTTCGGCGATGTCGTCAATCTCTACCTGTGGTGCTATCTCTCCGACACTGGAGCTCGTTGCCTGACTGGCTTGACGGCGGTGGTGCATCACGAGAGGTTCGAGTGGGGAATGACGGCTGTTGAGGTTCGCTTTCGGAATAACCATCTTGTAAGGCGTCTGGCGTCGTACGCGTTTGCCACGCTGCTGGGGAGTGATGGCAGGTTCTTCATCGTCCACGTCGTGATGATTGCTCGTCGATGACGTACGGTTCGGTTGCTGGTCTACACGACTGCCCGAAGAGAGACTATTGGCTTCATGGAACTCGGCTGAAGCACTCGGCAGAGTGTCCATGGCAAGATCCAATTCTTTGGAGTCCAATTCATGGGGTCCTTCCGACTCGAGGCTAGCCATATGTTCGATTTCCCACGTAGTCGGTGGAGTGCGTCGCCACGGCTGGCTCCACGATGAAGTCTTATCTCCTGTAGAGTTCTTGTGCGAGTGCGTATACGAATCAGTAAACGTTTCGCTAGAACTGTGCTGGAAACTGGGAAGTTTCGGTGACCGTATCTCGAAGACTCGAGGTGTGTGGTTCATGAAGTTGCCCCGACATCGCTGTTGTTGCGGCTGGCCACCATACTCTTGCACAGAGAGCTGGGGCGAGGTTGATCCGGGGAGCTCAATGCTGACAGCTGGGAGGGAAATTTTCTCATCATATGTCGTGGAGCTCACCGTTGATTTTCCCTTGAGGGACAATGTCTTTCTTTCTGTGAGGTGCTCGCCTCCTGCGAACTCTAATGCACTGAAGCCTGGATGGCCGAACATCGTAATGGTGATATCAAGGCTGAGGCTCTGTAAATGATTGAGTGTCTAAGGAAAGTCTGACGAATGCATTCGAATAGTGGGGGGGATGGCGTATACTCCAGCTTAAGAGCAGATAGCAGCCAACAAGCCAGCTACTACCACAGCGTCCCGACCTATTGAACACAAAGCTGAAGCATGAACGGTTGGCATGCAAGAAACCGGTCTTTCAAGAGAATGTGAGGGTAGGACAGCCAACGAGAGCAAGTGCGCGGAAGGATACTCAGCATATGCAACACTTGGTCGTACCTGGGACGAGAGTTTGACGTTGGTTATCGGTACGAAGCGCTGCTTCGTCCCTGGTCAACGTTGCAGTGGATAAGCAGCTCGCGCGTAGAAAGAAGAGGATTTGTCCGACGAAAGGGAAGATGCGTCGTGCAACATACGGCGTACAGAGACAGGGATCGTCGTTGCTCTCGACAGTGCATCGAAGGAGGCATCGTTGCACTACAGAAGCTGACAGCGAGTGATTGTTCAAAGTAGACATGCACGCTTATACCAGACGTTTGATGAGCTGATTATAGATTAAAAAGAGTGTGAAACATGTTACCACGTCAGTGTGGAGGTAAACGCGAATGATCTGTTTTGACGGCGGAAGAGGCCCAGTGGTGGCGGAGGGGCTGGACACAGTTGAAATGAACCACTGATCTCACAAGCTTTACCCAGGCACCCCCAAATCAGTCGATCAGTGACAAGGATGGGATGGAGCGCGGAGGTTTTGTGACGATAACTGGATAATGATGGGGTAACACAAGGCTAGACCGTGACACGTCGGTGTAATACGAGCCACCCAAACAAGACGGAGTCGAAATATTGGTCAATGGCAGGAATGAAGAAGCGAAAATCTTGGTGTGCATTGTGACTGTGGGGTCTCCCTACAATTGCATTGAGAGATGTCGTACTCAGTGTTTATGTCTTGGGTGTTTGGGCAGTCAGAACGATTTAGGGATGATGTGGGGTTGGAAGGCTTCGCAAGCAAGACGAGCGGCCGGGTTTGATGTTATCATAGAAAGCAAGCAGATGACGCCGACTTCCATGTGACAGGTACCCATATCTCCCTGATCTCGCGAGTCTTCATGAAAGACCGGTGCACGAGTTTGCAGCTCAATCGAGAATCACTGCTGGCGGGTGGCCAAGTCCAATGTATGACGAAGTGGTCGGTAGGAACGATGAAATCACGTCAAAATGCTCTTGGATCGCAGCCACTGTGCTTTGCCCTTGCAATGAGCATTCAGTGGCGCCCCAAACCTAAACTCCATTCAATTTGATCCGCTTACCGGACCGAAAATAGCAAGCTATGCTCTATCTCTATCTTATCAAAGTATCGAAACTCCAGAAAATGCTGACACCAACCATCCAGGCGCCATCGCAATGTTACATATCAAAACGGAGAATATAGGTCTCCTCTTTATTTTGAATTCCACCACTTCACGGTCCTGACCCTATCTGATGTAGAAACTAGTTAGGCCTTGACTTTTTCATCGGCTGACGTCGAATGAAAGGATCTACTGGTTCCTTCGGTCGCCTCCTAATCTTAGGTTTCGGGACGGCACTGAAGGTATTAGCAGGCCTGGGTTGTCCAGGCTCTACTTTCACGCCCTCGGGATTGGGTGTTGCGCTGTTGCGTGCCGAAGACGACGCTGCAGCTGGCGTTGACGTGTTGCTTGCAGAAAGTGAGTGGGAGATAGAATCGGAATCTATATCCCTCATATCCACATCCATATCCATGCTATCGCTTAGTTTGCGCTTTCCATTCGTAGGGAAGACAAAGTCGTCTTCATCCAGTTCCCTCTTAATCTCTTGCTTGATTTCCTGCTTAATCTCCTGTTTGATTCGCTTTGCCTCTGCTTCTGCTGATGCCTCGGAATCACCACTCTTAGACCGACGCATTGGGATGGTCTGTGGCTCTTCCTTGACTTGAACCGGTATCTCGTATGTTTCCTCCTTGGGTGCCGGATATTTGCTTGAATGTTTGCTCAACATCGTTTGAAGATTACCATCGGTGAAGCGATTCCTTCGTTGTGCATCTTCGACTAGTTTCTTCCAGAATTCGCCCCTCATAAGTGAGCCCGAGTTTCCAAGAACCCAGAGCGACGATTTAGCTCTCGTCAGTCCGACGTTCATACGGCGTATATCTTGCAAGAACCCAATGCCACCGGCAGGCGAAGCTCGCACACATGAGAAGATAATAATCTCACTTTCTCGTCCCTGGAAGGCATCGGTGGTGTTGAACTCCACATCCTCTACGATCGATGGGCCGTATTGATTCGTGAAACGAACCTTGAGTTCCCGTAACTGGCTTTTGTAAGGTGTGATGATGCCCACCTTTCCTTTAAAACTGAAGTTAGGGAAGTCTGTGACCACACGTTTATATAAGAGCAATGCAACATTGATCTCAGCAATATTGATGAGCGAATGACCCTTGGGTGCAGCTTGATGCTGTCCTTGTACGTCGTAGAAACGATATGGACCCAGAAGAGCACTTGCATGCCACGGTCGCTTACGCAAAGCAGCCATGTTGCCTCCATCAAGTAGTCTCCCGTCGTAGAATGTCTGGCTTGGAAAGAGACTGATCTCGGGATGCATACGATACTGCGTGTCTAGAAGATGCACATCTTTAGGATGATTACCCTGCATTCGAACGAACAGACTCTGCTCATATTGGAACCGTGCAGCTTCTTTGGAGAAAACAGTAGGGGGCAACTGCTTCGGATCTCCGACTAGTATGCACTTGGCGCAACCGTATTTCAGGGGAATGATGGCGCTCATTTCCACGCACTGGGCTGCCTCATCGACGATGACTGTCTCGAATTCTACATTCATCCCTTGGAACATGTCATGCCCACTACCACTCAACGTGGCGCAGATAACATGCGCTTCGCCGAGGATTTGCTCCTGTGCACGTCTGCGATTCAGCTCTGCATTGCGGCTTGCGAGTCGCTCATTGTCTTTTGTGGTATCAATCTTCGTTCCAAGTGCTTGTTTGCGTTTACGTAGAGCATTGAGGTCGTCCTGTAGCTTGGACGCCTCTGCGCCTTGCTTAGCACCTGAATCTAGCTCGTCTCTCACGCGTCGAAGTTGCTCAGAGACATCTTTGTGCTCCTGGAAAAGTTTTCGTGTGGCTTCCGCGTCCTTGTCTTTCGAATCGTTCACACCAAGTTTCTTGTTCACCAGTACTTCAAGAGTGACATCCTGGACGTTGGAATTGACGGCATCAGTTCGCCCAATACGGACGATATTGAGCTTGCGCTCTTGGCCACTTAGGGTTTTTACTCCATCCTTGAAACGCATCACCAACTCGTCCACTGCAGCATTACTAGGAGCGCAGACCAGCAATTTCTTTGCAGCGGTGGTGTCTATTCGAATTCCTTTATTCGGGACATCGATACGCGTACCTTGCGCAGCACGCAAGGTATCTGACAAAATGGCCCCGACAATTGCGACAATGGTTTTAGTCTTGCCTGAACCAGGGGGGCTGTATCAAGGTTAGTCTGATGATTCTTCGAATGACAGGAGATATACATACCCTTGGATCAACGTGAAGGCATCGTTGTCAATTGCTGACTTTACGGCCTTGGCTTGAGCCTTGTTGACATTGTAGACCTCTATCAGGGGATCGAGCTGGGCTTCCTTGTAGGTAAGGATCGGAGATGGCTTTGCGCGTATGATTTCGTCGCAAAGATCGTAGTACTGTAGACCAAGAAGTGCACCATATTCACGTTCAAGTGGAGTGATGGACTGAATCTTAGATCCGTAGACAGTTCCATTGGGCACCAAGACCGGCGTCAATGAGTTTGAAGGCATGACGCGGTAGGATACTTCAAGATGGCCCTGCTTACGAAGAACACGAAAGACTCGAGCAAGACAGTGGCGCTCGCGAGCAGAGGGGCTACCGGTCTCCGAAAGGAGGACGATGTCTCCTTCCGAGACCTGGATTTCGCGATTCTCTGCATGAGTCATGGTGCTACTCACCTCCTGAAACATGTCTACACTGGCTCTGGAGACAATGCGAATTTCATAAGGTTTGACGGTGTTCTCTTCTCTGGACTTCACGAACCCTTGCCATGCCTCTAGAATGACCAAAGGCTGGAAAGTCTTTTGATAATCATTTGGCGTTCGGAAAGACTTGGGCACGGCGCTATATATGTCCGGTCGAGAGTTTGGTGGAAAGTCTCCTTCATGGAAGTAATTCCAACTAAGGATCTCCCGATGCAAGGATGATAAGTCGGGTGCAAGTCGTGCACGCATATCCTTTGCTGAACGTTGCACCCTTCTTTTCTTGACAGGTCCCTGTACCTTGACCTCGTTGATGATGTTGGTTTTCGGCCCAGAAGCTTTCTTGATGACCTTGGTGCCAAAGAGTTCTTCATCGATATCGCCCTCATCATCGGATTCGTCTGAGGAATGCATGAGTCCCTCGCCTTTGGGAGCTTGGTCTTTACCCAATACACCAAGGCCCTCGAGGCCAGAACCTGCTTCAGCAGTGTGTTCTGACAAGCCTCTCTGCTGCTTAGCTCTAGCAGCTGCAGCCGCGCGCTCTCTTTGGATTTTCTCTTTATCGAGCTGGCGCTTCTTCATGAATTCGGACTGCTGCGCGGCCTTCTTCTCTTCGGCTCGCTTGGCAGCCGCTGCCTCCTTTTCTTTCGCAGCGCGCGCTTCTCTTGTTGCTTGGAATTCCTTATGGGTCTTGGTAACATCAGCTAGTAGCTTACGATCCATTGCCTTGCCTGATAATGCTGCAGATCCATCTCTCATCCAGGTGTCAATAGACCCCTGTTTCGGCTGCTTGGGTTCTTCTACCTTTGCAACGGAATGGCCTAGATGGGTCTCCAGATCACGTTGCAATTTCGCAATTTGTTGCATGCTCAATTTCGCCCGGACTTCTCCTGAGAGCACGCCTTCAATGTACGTTAGCGTATCAGGGTCAACCTCTACATCTACATTGCGCAGGCGCACAAGCAGTTTGCCGACGAGCGAGCACGATTTACTAGACAAAAATTCGTCCCGCAATCGGAGCCACTTGCAAACACCCTCCATAGCCTTAGCTGGAAGGTCTAGTAAATCCCGCTGAAGTCGTGTTCTACTCGAGGTGGACTCAGAGTTCGTTGAGTTTGCACCTAAAGCAGTCACGAAGATGCTACAATAATCAAATAACTGGTCCGCATATTGCATGGTGTCTCGGCAGAAATCCATCATCATAGTTTTGTCGTAACCCAGAGCACTCCAGTCTTCGGTGGTTTTGAATATCATGTTCAAAGTATCCCATTGGCTTTTCCAGAGGGTGGTGCTTACTTCTACTTCCTCTGGACTTAGATTCCGCGATCGCAATAAGCCATCCTGAGAGTTGCACATGACGTCGATGATGTCTGAACAGGTCTTGATTAAGCTTGGTGCCGGCGCAAAGGTTCTCTTTCTCATGACTTGCCGGCATGAGTCCGCCACTCCTTGCAATACGTTCTTGTAGTAGGATTGCAGTATATGCTGGAGTGCTTCTCGTCGTTCTTCCTGGCCTGCAATGACTTTGATCAATTCGATCGACGAATTCCGAGTGTCTTCAGTGGAGGAGAATAGTAAAGATATTAAAGCATTAGTCGCGGCAGGTTGCTCAAAAAGGGTTTCAAGCTTCTTCGCGTCGAATTCAGTCAGCCGTTCGACAACATCGGTGATGGACTGCGATAGAAGCTTGAACCTATCGTTGAAATGACGGACGGTAGGCGGAATTCGATCATGGCCACTTTTCATCGATAGAGGTTCTAATCCTATTAGATTCCTGCCGGCGATGAGCAGTTGCACTGCTAGATCGATATGGGCGGAGTCGATAGCTCCAAGCACCGCCTTCCAGATAGGGCTTGAAGGGGGAGATTCAGTTGGTGAGGGCTGTTTTGCAGTTATCAATTGTCGCTCAACTGCCAAAGATTGAGACTCGAGGGTAAAGGCTTGCTGTATAGTCGAGAGCGCTAGGCGCAAGTCCTCTTTATCGGCTTCAGGATCGAATCGCTTCAGGCTTGCCACGATGATGTGTATATGAGCTGACAGCATTTCTAGCATGCCATTAACTGTAGGTTGGCCTACAAAACTTGATATAGTCTTCCCTTCATTCATTCTTCGGAAGGAATAATCGAGCACACGCAGGCCCTGGAGAAAACAGTGCGCTCTGGCAGCTCTCGAGAAAGCATCGAACTGCAGACGATCAAAGAACATGACCGCAAAGGCCCTGCATGCAGGAGTAAGATTTGCAGGCTTGATCGAAGATAAGTAGGGTGGAATCCAGATGAATGCATTACCCATATTGTTCATCTGCTCCTCATTATCCTTACTCACGACGCGAAGAATTTTATGAAGTGTGGGGTTGTTGAGAACCTGCTCCGCGATAGTTGCGGGGGTAGCTCTAGTTGCATCCATAGCATCCCAGAAGCTGGTCGGCGATTTCTCCAACAAAGCAGCCATGGTGGCGACCAGGTCGATGAAGCCGCCCGACTGAAGAGGGAGATGGTCGATCAGGAGTTTATAGAAATCCCCATCCAAGCCGCGAAGGGAATCAGTGATCACTTCTTTATCCATCTTGTCTACGATCAACCGCGCCCCATTCCAGAAGGTCGTTACCCAGTTCAAATGTTGCTCATTCTCGCGCTGAATATAGTCACGCTGGACCCGCAACATTGCATCTACCAGATGATCCCGCACCGCCCACTCAAACTCCGACGGGAGCATGTTCCGCTTGAAGCCTGTCCAAGACAGATGGGCCCATGTTTGACGAACTTCCACCTCGGAGAACAAAAACCGGGTCATTGCGGGTAGGAATGTTTGGAGTTTTAGGCGTTTTCTTGTCTGGACAAGCTGAAATGGTGTATCGAAGTGCCGTCGCAGAAGCTCCTCGTTCCGAATGAAGGCGTCGCAGCTCAGGGCCTCGAAGAAGGCATAGATTGCTTCGTTGGGTAGAATGCGAACGCCCCGCTGCTTCGGCTCGGCCTTCAGAAGAACCGCGTTCGCTGTGTCGAGGCCGCTCCGTATACGATCGATACATATGTCGTCCACCAGACGTAGGAAGTCTCCAATGTTCTCTTCATCATAGACCCTAATTCGCATGTTAATTCCACTCCTCTTTCCGTTACGGTTTCACATACTCTTGTAGCCGTGCTTTCCACTCTGCTCTTGACTGGTGGAAGACACGAACACAGACATCGCATGATGTCATGAGGTTGTTCAGACGCTGCACTACCCATTCTTTGTGCGGCTCAGCCTCTGCTCCATCAAAGGCCAATATCTGTAGCGCATCCAAGGTAAGCCATTTTCGCTCCTGTGCTTCCTCTATTCTCTTCCTGCGCTCCAATGTAGCCGCGCTGTCCTCCTCGGTGTAGCCTGAGTTTGCGAGATCTTCGTCGAAATAGATTCCCCCGTCCTCGCCGTGGCGCGGGCATAGCAGGTGCTGCTCTTCGGGTAGCTCTCGGAGGGTGCTAAGGTGAAGGTATAGTCAGTTCCAAATACCGGTGTGATAAAATGGGTACGTGTAGGCTCACTTGATCTTCTCAAGCAGCTCGGCCATTGTAGCTAGCCGAAGCTGCTCACAAGGCGAAGCTGGGTTACTGTGTTCGTTGTTAGATTAATGAGGTCTTGATCATGATTTGACCATGAAAGAGGGCCGGAATGAGCGAATGTGAACAAGTAAATTGTTTCTCTGTAATTGAGGGCAGTGGGTTGAGTGCGAGCAGGCAGGTTGATAATGTTAGGATGGGAAGAACAGTGGAGCTAGGTGAATGAGACCAAAATTGATCACAGAGTGTTTGTTGAGGCCGAGTGGGTAGGACCTAAAGAGGCAAGTTAGAGAGCGACAAAGGTAAGCAGGAGCAGGTCGTATTGAATTAATGATGTTGGGAAGTTGAGCAGCCAGAGAAACAATATGTAATTAGAAAGGATGATCCAGAAGTAGATGCGGCAGGTGCCGTGCCCTTTGGCGGCCACCAAACGCGCGACGCGAAATCAAGCCGCACCGCTCCTTTAACCTCAACTAGTAACACTAGTCTACTTCGGGTAACACTTATGAATCATGCTCGATCTTCATGATCATGCTCTCAACACTGACCGAACCAATGCTCTGAAGAGTAGTTCTATGCAAGAAAAGATTTCTGACTACAAACTTTCTACAAACATAGTCATCCTCGAATCACGCAACAACTTGTCACCGCGTTGAAGTGCCACTCGTTTTCACTCTCACTCGCCCCGAATTTACAGCACCACAGCACGGCTTCTCACACCCAGGATATTTGTAATTGGAATGAATCACTTTTGTCAATTTGAGAAGTATGGGCAAAATGCTCATTCAAAGTGGCGATGGAACGCCGACCGCAATATTATATATGTACCGACGCAAGTATTCGTCAAGGGGCTGCTGGTCCCCCTCTCCTACAAACATCCCAGGTCGCCATTCCTTTCCATGAAAACCGCAAAATAAGACATAAGAAGACAAAGCAGAACTGTAGGTGGGTGGGTAGACAGGTAGATAATGCACATGAGAAAAGGTTTTCCGTTAAGGATTGGAATCAAGAGAAGTGAGGGGAAGTGCGATGGTGTTGTGTTGGACGACTCGCCAAAAATAACGCCCAATGCCTGCGTCAGAGAAGTCTTACTCGCTCAGTATGTCCGCTCGGCGATGGCAGCGGGAAACAAAGAAACAAAACAGTCCAAGAACAAGATAGAGAAATGCATGAGCGTCGGTAATGTGCAATCCTGGCTCTCTATACAAATAACGCCAGTCCATGGTGGAATAAAGGTAAAGCAAGCAACAGAGATTTTGTGCAGGGTTAGATCGGCTGTACCCAAGCCGGGCGTTACTATATACAGTCGTAATCGGGAATAATATGCTATAGTGACTTATTACTTGTGTTGTCGAGTGTGACAGGAAGTTTATCGCGGAGGACTTCGCGGTGGGCTTCCTGGCAGTGGGGGATGTATTTCGTCCAGGTCAGGTGCCTCTTCTCGCGTGACTGTAGGTCTTCGGAAGGCATTTCGTAGTCGGCTCATTCTCTGACCTGTCTGCATGGTGTGCGGGTCCTGAGCCGGCAAACTATTCCGGCTGTGAGAAGACTCCATGCGAGTCAACATAGCCGCAGATGTGAAGTCATTGCTCGCCTCAAAGCTGGGCCTGACGCGGTCCATGGACATCCTAGCACGGTCGTAGGAAGGTCGGGGGCGATCCATGGACATCCGATGTGCAGGAATGCCCTCCACGGACTGTCGGAATGTATAATCGGTGCTTCCACTGCCATTCTGGCTCCGGGGATTGTGGGTAGTGGCCGTTGGAGCTACTGAAGGTGGGTAGATTGGCCGAATGTCTTCGTCTCCCATCTGAGCGTTCGCGGCCTTGTACTTGGCCGGTTCTGATGAAGCCATAGAATCCATCTTCTCAACTGGTGGAGGAGGTGGAACGAAAGCTTCGGTTTCCTTGAGATAATCGAACTTGCCTTGCTTAACTTGCTCACGGATGATGTCCACGTCGCGTGGGAAGTAGATCTTCTGAATGACCTTGACGGTGAAACGTGGAAGTAAGCAGATAACCGTGGCGAGCAGTATGACGACCCAGAAAGTCAACGACCCATATACTTCTGCGCCAGCCTTGTAGAACTGGGCGCTTGCTGGGAAGGATGAGTAGATCCCCGTCCACAACCAGATGAAGAGTGTGCTGATGATGATTACGACAACAATCAACCAGTCCCATCGGTATGAGTTGAACAGGACGTAGAAGTTGGCAGCCATGACTGCGATCGTAGCTATAATCACACCCATTCTTTTGATGTCGCCGATGCCGAGTCCATTGGAGGTGTTTACGTTGGCTGGGGAAAAGACGAGATATACCATGAAGAATGTTATCGCGGATTGATAGACTCCGTCGACCATATAGCCCCTGATTAGACATTAGCACACATGGAGATACAGTAGTCAAGATCGATGTTTCTTACCAGAACTTTCGGCGCGTCCATTCCTTGCGTTCAATACCACGTCGATAGAGCTGAGGAACCGCCAACGAGACTTTATCATTGACATCCTGATCGAGAACACCCATCAAGATGACAGGTAAAGAGGTGAATGCAAGATTGAACCATACAATGTAGCTGTAGTCGAAAACGAATTGGCTGTCGAAGTTCGTGTAAATCTGGTACCAGAAGAGAGAAAATGTCCAAACGATGTTCTTGTAGAAGAAGTTGGCGATACATTCGGCGAGTCGACGGTAAGACCATCGACCATGGACAAGTACGAGGCGGGTGAGGAAGCGGAATTGGCCAATGGCATAGTCCGATGCCATGACAGCAGCGCGACCTTCAACACCCGCAATGCCCACACCAACGTGAGCTTCTTGGATCATGGCAACGTCGTTAGCACCGTCTCCAATGGCCAGGGTAAGGCAGTCAAGGCCAGTCTTAACCATGTTCACAACAGCTGCCTTCTGACTGGGACTGACTCGGCAGCAGAGTACCGCGCGGCACTGCTTGCAGAGTAGTAGGAATTTGCGTCTCGTCTCTTCCTCCAGGACGAGCTTTAGTGAGTCTCCGTCAATGACAATGGCATGCGTTGCAGCGGGCGGCTCGTGATTATTCTGTGCAGCATCAAGCTCCTCTTGGGAACCAGTCATCCCGAAAATGGCCAGTTTCTCGTCCAGCATTGCCTCGGCTGTAGCAACACTGTTGTCGTCAACCTTGAAAATGATCAGATCCATATCGTTGTCGAGGAGGTTGCAAGAAAATCCAATGTTGATGGCAGTCTCCACCTTGTCTCCTGTAAGCACCCATAGCTTGATGCCGGCCTTACCAAGCAAGGAGATAGCGTCTGGCACGCCATCTTGCAGCCTGTCCTCAATAGCAGTGCCACCAAGGAGCCATAGATGGTTCTCGATACGGTCCGAAACCTCTTCCAACTTTTCTTCGCGGCCGTTGACTGAGTTTGCAGCGATATCGTAGTCTCTGTTCCACTCCTGGTATTCTTCTTCTGAGATTTCTCTCTGTGCAATGCACAATGTTCGCAAGCCTTCCCGGGCAAACATTTCGAGATGCTCTCCTGTGGCCGCGCGGAGTTCTCGTTGCTCACCGGGAATGAGTCGAGAATAGACCATACTGTCAGCTCCCTTGCAGAACAAGATGATTTTACCATCGGGCATGCGGATGATGGCACTCATACGCTTTCGAGTCGAGTTAAATTCGAGAGTGTTCAGGACAGTGTATCGACGCTCCTCTCCCAGAACATTTACAACCAAACGGTCGTCTTCACGGCCGACGAGAGTGAACCCAACGTCACGAGCTGTGGATACCAAGGCCTCCTCATCCGGAGACTGCGCCTTGAATTCAATCCTCGGGGGGTCGCCTGGGGTCCTCTCGGTAATGACAGTGTGGCACAAGGCCAGTGCAACCATGAAGCGCTCATTAGCAACGCGTTGTTCTGGTCCAGAATCACCTGCGAGATCTCCGATATAATCCGGTGCGATGAAAGTCAAGTCGTCGTCGTTAAGATACGGGTTATTGTGCATTTTCCTAATTCCCTCAAGCATACGGACACGATCACGTGCGATTTGTTCGCGGGCACGAGCACCTTCCTGCTCAACATCAATGCCTTGTCGACGCTGCATACCAGCTTGAGCCTCTGTGTATGCTTCACCGTATGGGACACCGTTGATGGTCGCCTTCTTGAATTCCATGACATTCTGAGTAAGCGTGCCAGTCTTGTCCGAGAAGATGTACTCGATCTGCCCGACATCGTCGGAGATGTTCCAGGACTTGGGCGTGCAGGGATAATCGATCTTGTCGTAGTACATGAGAACGTCGCTGTAAATGAAGAAAGCCTGCGCTGTGCGAATGATTTCAAGAGTGATGTAGAGAGAGATGGGGACCAAATTCTGAAACAAGATGACAGCAGCCCAGAAGCCGATGACACCATCGAGGGCAGGTTTGTTATTTCCAAAGGATCCGAACTCAAAGTAGGCGTGTGATGTGTCGGTTTTTCCCCAGTAGACACCCAGAACAATGCCGGAAACCAGACACATGAAGAACAGGATAACGAAGTTGTAAATGACGTTCCAGTTCAGGTCTTTGGTGATCTTAGCTCGCTTGCTAGGTGTAACTCCTGAATTGATCATGATTTTGGTATCCTCGCCAGTGAAAACGACGACACCGAGTACCCACTCGGTGTTACGAATCTGGCAACCACGGAGGAGGAGATTGTTGATGGAGATGGGTTCGGCCATGTCGTAGGCGGGAACTTCGGGATCCTTTGCATCGTACTGCTTCCAGCGGATGACGGCGCTGTACGAATAGAGGTTTGAATGGGCACCTTCGCTCTCAATCACAAACTCGGCGCGTTCACAGTGACGCGCATGCTTAACGTCGCGGGTACTATGAAGAGCGTTACGAACCTTCAAGTTGGTTTCGCCATCCAGGTTCTTCGTCTCAACGTAACAACCGCCGTCTTCGGACGATGTGGATAGAACAATCACATCAGCTGGGACCTCCTCGTCGTTATAAAGTCGCACAAAGTCGCCGACCTGTACGTTCTTCCACATGTCCTTCTTGAAGCGAGCCTTGTCGGGCGTGGTGGTATAAGGGTCCATGACGCTACCCCAAAACTTCTTCGTGCCGTTTGGCGGATTTTGGGCCCTGGCATTATCGCCTTCCTTGACGTGCGTCTGATCACCGAAGCGGATCGCGTCCGTAGGCGGTGATTGTCCCGGAAGAGGTGACGGTACTGGTGTCATCTGAATTCCTTCCTCGCCGTTGCGTCCATGGTCCGTCTCGAAGTAAGACGACCTCTTCGTTGCAACCGATGCACGTCGCGTTTCGATCGAAGGCCTCGATACTTCGGGATCCTTCTCACTGCCAGCCTTATTCTTGTTGCTTAATTTCTTCATGCTCCTCCAGGTCCAAATCACACCCCTGGTGCATGCTTTCTTGATCCTTCGCCAGTAGTTAACGACATCTCCAGCAGTATTGACATTGTTGAATTCGACCAATCTATGCACGGGCGCGTTGTTGAGTTCGTTGTCGAGGACGGTTCGGCGCCAGTCCTCAATGGCATCTTTGATGGCAGTAACACACAAGATAACGATCAGAGGTGCAGCATTCAGTGCTGGATTTTCGGCTCCAAAGATGGAGAATATCTAGACAATGGTATCAGTCGCGAGTCAGTCCGCATCATTTGGAAAAGGGATAACATACACCTAGAATAATGATGAACAAGAAGTAAATGTTTGCAACGTTGTGGAATTGAAACCACAAGTTTTTCGGAATAAAGCTGAGCGGTGTGTATTTGGCGGTCCGTATCTTGTTTCGTGCGTAGTGTTGTAACGGACGGCCGTCTTCGTCTTTTTCTGAAGAGGGGAGAGGGATGTTGAAGTATACCCTTCGACCTGCTTCGTCCTCTTCGCTGCCTCCTTCTGAGCTTTCAAGATCACCATTCTCTGACGGGCCTGCCTCCTTGCCGAATGATTCCCTCTTCTTCTCGCTACCAGAACCTATTCTCCTATGCAGACGTTCCTTCAACGAGTGACGCTTGTGCTCGGCACTTTGCGCGGTGGCACGGTGGGTGGCCCATCTTATCCTCTTGACGGGATTTGTGACCTCGCTGTCTTCCTGGTGTTGTTGGATGGCCATGGTCGCGAGGGCGCGTACGAGTAGCGGAGCGACGCGGAGGTGGAAAGTCAAGCTCGGGGCTGTATGTATGGCCGGCCCTGGCCGGAAAGCCCTTTACGCCGTTGAGGTTGCCAATTTGAGGTCGTTATGGGATATGACGATGGAGGAGAAGGGGTAATTGGAAGAGCCGAGTGTTAAATCGCACAGGTTTCGAAGGGGGTTGAGGCTGGAAAGTTGTTGTGGTTGTCGGCTAAGGCGGATATTATGGAAGGCCGGGAGAGCGAACGAGCGACGTTTCCCCGAATGCTATGTCACTCCAATGAGAAAAGTAACGAGGCGAAAGGAAAGGGCGGATGGGATGGTGTGGATTGCGACGAAGATGGATGGGAGGGGAGAGAGAGGAGAGAGAGTAGTGGAGTGTGTGAAGATGAAAGGGTTTCAGGCCATGTGTACCTATAATGGTACGTAGGGGGAAACAGAACGAGGCGCGGTGGGCGGCGGAGTTTGGGATCGGATTTCTTTTGGGAGGGTGTGGATGGGATGGGGGAGTGGAGGGTACTCAGTAAGAGTAGGGCATGGCAGAGTAGAGTAGAGTAGAGTAGAAGAGTAGTAGGTATTACCTTGTAAAGAAGATAGATGGGGGTTAAGGACGGTAAGGATAGTCCTAACTCCAGTCTCCTAGTGGGTGGTTTCTGTAATAACAGACTGCGCGAGACAGCTTTGCTTCTGCTTTGCTTTGCCTGGAGTGGCTGCTTTGCCTGTCCTTTCTTGAGACTTGCAGCTCTTGCTTACGGGAGCGCGAGCTGCTTCGGCCGGGCAGCGGTAGCGGGTCGCCCGTTTAGAGACAAGGAGATTAGCTAGGGCCCCGAGCAATGACCAACCGTGACCAGCAGTGACCAGCAATAAATGACCCAGCAATAGTCGAATACGCGGGATTAGCAGATCTGTCGAGATGAGATGGTTGGACGGACGATCCGCGGCGCACCGATTGAGCGAAACAGCGAAAGAGCGAGAGTGCCGAATGCCCTTCCGTACCAGTCTCTGCAAATCGGCGAACCAGACAAAAAACAACGAGACTAGGTATTTTCGTAGGCATGTATCGGCAAAAAGAAAAAGCCTGAACGGAGAGATGAAGCACTCGAGCTGGGCAGAGGGTTGGTGACGTTTGAGGTGAAAGACAAGACGAGAGTACGGAGGGATGTACCATACAGTGTATGGTAGGTATGGTAGGTAGGTACCTGTGCCTGTGCTTGTAACCACCTACCACCTACCAGTCCAGTGACCAGACCCTGTAGGCTTTGAGTGTCTGTGCCTGTGCCTGTATCCCAGCGCCTTGTCACGACGAGGTACGCCGTGGAGTACTGTGTAGACTGTAGACGATATTTTCTATCTAGACTCAAGATGGAGTAGCAGAAGAGTCAATTGTTTGGTAGGTTGTTGATGCGTGATAATGAATGAATGCTCAGTCAGTCACGGTCACCCCTACACAGTACACACACACAGTTACGAGACTATGAGACTAGTAAGAGTGCGGTTACCGGTATTGTACTAGCTTTACCACCTACCTAGGTAGAGTTAGGTAGAGTTGCTGGAGAAGCTGACAATTGCCATTTGGGTGGCTAAAGGGCAAAAACAATTTGGTACGAGTACTGAGTAATCCAACACTAACCAAACTCGGTCGGTAGATTACTAATTGGTTCAACTGCTCATGAAAGTGCAATTGCAGACAACAACCACTGATTATTATGAATACCTTAGCAATCTATGATATCACTAGTATCACCAATATCATCTTCATTCCCCATGTAGAGGTATAGGTAGGTATGGTATAGGTGTAGGTATAGGTATAGGTACTCTGTATACCTGCAAGGAATCGATGCCTACCAACTGCGCCATGCTCGCCCGCGAATATCAATACCGTGCCAGATCGAGATAATGCGGTTCAATTGGCGCTCACCATCACAAAGAAGAAACGCTCACCGTCACTATTCGACACTGCCAAAACGTATGCATTCGGGAGGCTTGGTTGATTCATCATCCGGTCCTGTCAGAAAAGAAAGAACGGCTGACTGCAAGCTGCCGAAGCCGGTCAGGACTTGACGGGCACAGTCAAAGTCAGTGTGCAAAGGGTCCGCCGCTATGCCTCGCTTTGCCTCGCTTTGCCTCAAGATTACGCGCTATCTATCACTTGGACCTCCGTCATTCTCTGTCCGATCTATTATTGTTCAATGGTTGTAGGTATTACACCTACTGCCCTAGGCCCCCTAGCCCACCCCAGCCGTAAGCCCCTTCTAAGCTTCAAGCGTTGCAATAGGATGAGCCATCCTGACGTGTACAATTCACATTCATACTGTGCCGTCACTGCTGTGTAGGCACATTACGGTATACTGTGTTTGTATCAAGTACACTGGCGGTGCAGCATAACCTGCTACAGCCGTACGGTATCTGTGTAGTCGCATGTACACGTTGGTGTAGGTGTAGGTGGACTGTACTCGCACATTCAAGACAGACTACAGTACACCTATCACGGATCTACGGTCACCCATTTACCGAAGACGGTGGTTCACGCCCATCATCACCATCACTGCCCCATCAGTTCGTAACAGTATGCACATTAGCACCGCGACCTACAGCCGTGTTCCGTACGTGTGTACCATCCTTACCATACGGACTCACCTTTTACCGTGTGTGGAGTACGGAGTACTTGTAATAATCATTGCTGCACTTCTTGCAGATGTTCGTACAACGCGACCCCTTTTGATAATAACTATGCCCATGCTACTATGACCACCCTTGCACTTGGCCTGGGCTGCCTTCCACTCACAGTAGGCGATTGTCTCGACCCACCCCTCGATACACGCAAGCCTCATCTCTCTTAATTCTCTCCCTGGTTGTACCTGTTCGGTCCTGGCCTCGCACTTGTACTTGTACTGCACATGCAGCGACTATCCAGGCCGTTCCTCTGCAACTGTCTCTACGAAGGTTTCAAGATACCCCATCTTGGTTAAGCTAATTGACACTTGGTAGCAGTGGTAGGGCGTTCTAGGTCCGAAACTGCAATGAAATTTCATATTTGATTAATTGCCCACCGCCTTAACGTCCTGCTCGGGGAATACGGACGGATATTGCATGAATGTCAAACCCGAGCTGGTGCACGCGCAGGGGACTCGCAGCAAGCATTGGACAATGCGAAACCTCGAAACGTCCCTTCTCCAGTCAGAAGGCGCCTCTGATCGCAGGGTTGAGTGCTCTCGGTGCAAGGTGAGAAGGACCACGTTCTGCTAGCAGTGTCGAGTCTCTCAGGAATTGGAATCATTCTCTTGCAAGCGGCTGGAATTGTCCATTCCTGCGCATTCGTGCCTGGCTGAACGCGTGGGTTGCGCGCGCGATCGGATTTTGGACCAGCAGCGTGGTAAATGCCCATTGCGGGTATAGCCAGCATGATTGGAAGGCATCTTGGGGGAAATCTGAGAGAAGGCCACCCACCAGCCAGCCAGTCAGCTAGTAACTAGGAGTGGGGGCGGGAAGGGATAGAGCACGCCTGTGAAAGTACGTCGGTGATTAGGTTTAGTGTCCATCTCTGCCGGATGGGAATACAGAAAACGTTCCGCCGATATTACGGATGTAGTCCTCCGATCCGCCGCTCACTGGTTGGTCACGTGCCCTCGCGCCCACGCTCTAGCTTTTGCGGGCGCCAACGCGCGATCGCGCCAAGACTGCCATTGCGGGCAACTTCACACGTTCACGCCCTTGCCATATCGTCATTTGTGCTGCCGGGCCTTGCGGGCACACGAGTCCTCTCACGATGCCTCCCAAAAGAGACATCCGGGACTTCTTCAAACCAAATCCTGAATCGCCGCTTGTTGCTAACCCCGCGCCTTCCCATTCTCCAGGTATATTATCAACCCCTCCACATCATCTTCTCCGGTATCTCCAAAAGCTCACTACTAGACAGGCGGAACCGCGAATCCCTTTACATTAAATGTGAAAGGAGATGAATCTTCAATTGACCGGAAACCACTCCCCCATCAGACGACCAACCCAAATGAACGAACAAGCACAGCGGAGAATGACTTTTCTACCATTCCGAACGGCGTCCCACCCACGTCACAAACCTCGTTCAACTCCACCGGGAGCAAGAGGAGAATATCAGCGAGCGGTGAGGAGATCATTCTGGACTCGGACTCAGGCTCGAGCTCGGATGAACTTGAGGAGCTCGATCTCAGTTTCTTGAGGAATGCTCCGACTTCCAGAGATGAAGATAATTCGAAGACAACCAAAAAGTCCGAATCTACACCTATTACAAGATCAGCCATGTATGCTAGATCTCGCGATGATGAGCTACGCAAACCTTCGGAGAAATATACCATGCCAAAGCCAACACTAAGTCGGCTTATTCAGGCCGCACACAATGATTTCGAGAAGGAACTGAAGATTGCCGCTGGCAGAGAGGAAGTTTCCCGACCACTTGAAGAGGAAGTAACCTCAAATATCGAATTCAGTGAGGAGACATTAGCTACCATTGCACATGAGGGCGGTGACGACGAGAAGTCGAAGCGCCTGTATCTAGCTATGCAGCGAACTAATGCACACGACACCGCCTGCGTGTTCCATCTCTTTCTAGAGCAACCTGTTCGCTCACGTCGATCAGAGCCGTTCCCCTATAAGTATATTTCCGCGTATAGCTGGGCAGCGAGCTTTCAAGGTACGTCACTTGAGACATCTTTCCCTCCACCGTACTGACCTGGAACAGATCCGTGGGAGAGACAACATGCTTTCTTGAGTGGCTACGCGCAGCGTATCTTTCAATACACCACTTTACCACAAGAATTAGCTGCTTGGCTAATCGACCAGCGTACGTCCTAATCTGCTATCTATATTTGTCTTTCTGCTGACCAAAGCAGTCTCTCTTGAGAGGGACGACGTCCTCAAAGACAAATACCTACTGCTTCTTGAGGTTCGTTTAAATGTACATTTCGGTAGACGATATCATTAACATTTCATAGGCTCACCCTCATCACCTAGAAAGCCTGCTAAGTCCAAAACAGTTGAACCATATTTTTGAGCGCATTGGGACAACCCTTGACTTCTCCGATCCATCTCAGGAGCTCCCAACGAGCTACGAATCTCAAGAGAGTGAGTATTCACTCCATTCTCTTCGTTCATTTGACTAACATGGTCTAGGTCCTGCCAGGCCAATTCCTTCATCTCTAAGGTGGATTTTACGCTTGCTCCAAGTCTGTTCAAGGTGGTGAGCTAATTCCATCAGCATACTGCATGGCTTTTCCTGGTCACTAATTGCGAAAAGGCTTTCCCCTGAGTCGAGCGGTCACGCGCTTCTTATCCTTATTCACGCGTGTTTCGATGATAGTGTGATGTCGGACGCAACAATATTGCAAAACGTTCAAGATGCCATCGAATCATTGATGTGCTCCATACTTGAGCTGACACCGATTGTACGTTCTCAAGATTCCATCTTCTCTTGTCAGCATTACTGACCTCTGAACAGCTAGCAGACATCGTTCCCTTGCTGCTCTTGCGCATTACAAATCCCATTCTTCAGAGCAACTGTATTCTTTCTCTCCCCGGAAATTCCCCGTTGACAGCTTCCTTTCGACGGCACCTTGCCTTAGCGTTCCTCCTAAATCCCACACCCCTCAACATCCCTCTATCTCATCCGGAGCTTCCAAAGCTCATCCACTCCCACCTAGACACCTCTAAAGATTTCGTAGCCGACCGACACTCAGATTACACGGCACTCGCTGCACGACTAATCCTCCTTGACATAGGCATTGGCCCAGGTCTTATCGAGGTACCTTTTCCCCGGCCACCAGAATCGCTACAAGAGACTCCCCTCGTACCGAAACAATCTACTCTGACCATGGAGGAGACTGCATTCAATAAACACGTCGACGCACTCGCGCGGCACGTCAAGATTATCAGTAACAGTATAATAGAGACGGGTGCGCTCAGTGATCCGGCACGATCCGACGCGAAATCAAGCGCCGAGAAGCTCTATCACCGTCTTGGGAACGCTGTACGGATCGGTGGACGCAAGAAGGAGCTCATCTTCGGCGGAGACGAAGAAGAGGGATCGAGGAGGATCATGGGAAGATTCTTTAATTGGGTTCGCACAAGCGAATCAACCACACCTCAGACACCTGAAGACGAGGGTAGCACCACGATTGTTGATGGTCAAGGCCAGTCTTCGTGACACGATGAAAACATTTAGTCAGTGTGACGAATTTACGAATATGAGATCAGGGAGACCATGGCGGCACAGCATCAGCGTTGGCGTTCGATACCACATGTATTGTCATTGCAGATATCTTCTCACATATACACAATATATTGCAGTCATTTCTCTACTCGGCTCAATCTTTTGCATGTTTATAGTCTATTGGGTCCCAAAGCAACGCGGCAACTGAACAAGAAAACAAGAACAATTGCCCACTGATCGCACTCTTCTCTGATATAAATTCTGGAGAACAACTATGTACAAGTAGGCTTTTAATTAAAAACTAAAAAAAAAAAAAGGAATAAAGCTAGAGGTTTCCTTCGAACACCTTTGGAATTGTAATCACTCCCTTGAACTTTCAATATACTTGCCTGTATGGCCAGTGACGATGTCAATAACATAAGTGTCGTATTGTATCCATCTATTAAAGAAGATGTAAATCAACATAAAAAGCCGCCATAACCACCAAACCCCGAAAGTACACTTTTTCGTCATAAGAAGAGAGTGTCTTTGCATTAACCATACCTGAAAAAAATAAAATAAAAACTAGACTACACAAAGAGCACTGTTTACACTATGTATCGGTATGGTTCCACGCCTGAACGCACCTCACCAAGGATACCAAAAACACTGTACCACGAGCTTCCGTATGGTTTCTGCATTCCCAGCCAGTTATCGCACATAGGCTAATTATATAGGTGCATATTTTTGTTTTCTTGTTCCTTGCATTTCGAATCTAGGCATATTTGTACATCTTTCTAACAATCTTCAACGAACACAAAAACACACGATAGATGTATCACATAATTGATAGATGATGAATAAAATCCTGTCTTTCTTATAATCCAACGTGAAATGGCTCATTCAGGGGCGGAAGAGGCAGGAAATAAAACGGGAAATAATGATGATAGTGATGAAGACATAATGAATTCGATTTACATCAATCAATTAGTTAATTGGATGAAGAAAAATGCATGCATCTAAAACGAAGTTACACACACAAAAGGTTCGATATCTTGACTATAACTTCCATAGATACTTCGTTTCGTTGGTTTTGAAATGAGCAATCTGATTGCATGACATAATAAACATGACATAATAAAGGGTATCTACGAACATGAAAATTATATCCAAACGTGTTGCCTCCAGAACCGAATATACCGCATCTCCCCTCTACTCGAAGAGAAACCTTCCTCCAATATCGAGGGTCGGCGATGAGGTACGACACCACACGGTGTCTGCATATTCTCTCATAGATGATATCAAACCGTGGCTACCTTCTTCTTCCGTACCCACCCACCCACATGCGCCCCCGAAACCACCACCCGCATTCTTCAACCAGATATTATGCAATGCACTCACTGTACATTTATTGTGAAAGGGCGGAAAACCAACAGCGCATGGTGCCATAGGCGGACAACACGGCACGCTCGGGCGTTCTAGCGGAAAGTGGAAATTTGGATATTCGCCACTAAAATAATACTTCCCTCGCGTCGTGTGCGCGTTTTTCTTTTTGGCCGCGTTGAAGCTTACCGCCCTAACCTGAAAAAAAAAAAAACGATGTTTCTCGTGCTCTTGAGAGTGAGAGGATCTTTGGGGCGTTTATTTGATGTAGGCGTGTGCCCATGGGAATCTGTACTTAGTTTACGCATTTTTATAGTACATACCTGCTATCTAGAGAACTTTTTTATACGCGTAGATCATGTTCTCACTTACGCTCATCAATGAACTGTTGTGCATTCGTTCGCAGGATGTTTTCTTCCTTTGATATTGGTAGCTAGTACGAGCAGTAGGAACATTGTAAAACCCACGCTCTCATCACTCATGCATCTAGATATCAACCCCATGAGATTCTACTTACTAAATTGGAAAATTGCCGATTCGGAACATTCGCATCGCATCGCATCGCATCGTGACGGCAACGCCACCGGCATCGAATCGCGTTTGCATAGCATTCTAAGCAGGACAACGAAACATCCCCTCCCATCGGAAACATGTACCCTCGCAACGCACCGAACCGTCTAGCAACGGATGTAGATACCTCCTCGTAGCGTCACGTTCCTCAACGGTCGAGACCGACTGACCTGCCGATCAACCAACCCACCGCCCATCCAATCCAATCCCCAACCGAGGGCCCAGAACCTCAAGAAAAGAAGGACATCTCAATCCAACAAATTCTGAGTGTTCTCCCGTTTCTCAGTGCGTGGGGGGCGCGAGGGTCGAGAGAGAAGGAAAGTCATACCGACGATACCGTTGGGACGCGCACAGGCAGGACGGACGGGATCGTGTGCCGAAGATCCGGGTTCGAACGTTTGAACTTTGAGGTGGATTGGTGAGAGATGCTGGCGGCTGTGGTTTGGTGTGTCTTTTGTGATGTGTACAGATTGGTAATTTCCTGCTGGTCAATATGTATGTATCCTGAAGATGTATGTACGGAGTATGTGTAGTTTTGTTGCTCATGATAACGGTTTTGTATTCCTCTCGTTTTGAATTTCAATGTGAAGACAGAAGAATGCAAGGAGGGAAATACTGATGACGAGGTGAGGTTTTTCAGGTTTCGTAAGTCTCGTGATACCTGGGCGTACATGATAAAAGGAGTACATGATAAAAGGATTCTTCCGCCGCGCTGGAGAGTAGAACATAGTGAAGTAGCGTATTTACAGTGATTGGCACCGTCTCCCATTCTATTACTGCTCGCTCCTGGATCGGTCAATTCACAATAAGTCCAATGATATATGTATATACGAATGGAAAATGGGGGAGAAGGAAAAAGAAAGAAAATATGGTCAGAGATTTGGGTTGGTGGTTGAACAAAAAATCATCATATTTACATGGACCAAACCCAATCAATTCATAACCATCTCTTCTTCAATTTTTTTTTTTGTTTTTCCAAATTTCTACCCCTCTTCTAATATGCCAATGATTCTACGCTCCTTCTCTTTTGACATCATCCACATGAAAGCTCCCTCTTAATCCAGGCGCAACTCTCAATCCCAAGCAGACGGTCCTACAACCTACAATCCACCCATACCGTTCTTCTCGTCAATGTGCCTGTAGCGCTCCTGCTCCTGCCTGTACTTGAGGACCATGGCGACGCAGAGCACAAGGATGACGTCGATGCCAACGATGCCGAAGGCGGCGGTGAAGATGCGGTCGAGGTAGGTGTTTGCGAACGCAGAGAAGGGGCCGATGCAGCCGCCCTTTTGCGCGGCGACCAGGGCGTTCTTGCAGGTGTTGTCGATGACGAAGGGCGGGGATGTCTCGTTGAGGTAGCCGCAGCAGTCAAACTGAGTGACGTATTGTTAGTTTCGGTTGTGGATTATTTAAAAATATATGGTATATAGATAGAGAGGACCGTTCAATTCATTGGTGCCAAGGGCGCTAAATCGAAACGGGAGATATGCGATTCGAAGGATATATATAGAAGGTACTCACTTTCTGCTGGAGGAGACTTTGGATCAAGGTGGATTCGCGACCCCAGATGCCCTCCAATCTTCTGCGGGTTTGAAGGGTTTCCACCCAGACAGACAGACCGAGTCCAAGGGTGAAGGTTGCGCAGAAGACGACAAGCCAGCCTTGGGCGCGGAGCCAGCCTCGGTTGTGGGGAAGGAAGAGTGCCGGTAGAGAGAGCAGGAAGGTGACGAAGATGAAGATTGAGTTCACGACACCGGCTGGGATTGATTGTTAGTAGACGTTACTGCAGGGCGAGGTTCTTGGTCGTACCTGTTAACGGACACTGGCCTAGTAGGAGGTTCTGTGCTACGTTGTCGAGGGTCGGATCGGCCCTTTGGTTCTGCTCTGACATGACCGAGAATCCCATCAACAATCCTCCACATGCGGCGAAGATGAAGTCGAAGCCGACGAAGACCAGCATAAGTTTTGTCGGCATGTTGGCGGTAGTTTGTAGTTGAACTTTTCTTCTTGTTCGATCTCTTTTCTTTTGCGCTTATGGGATACGACGTCCAGGCGGATCAATTGAGAATTGGACGAGAGCGAGAGACGGTCACCAGTTAGGGAAATGGGACGAAATGGAGAAACAAATGAATGAATGGAATACAAGTCGATGCACAGAGACGTCCGGCGTGCCCTCGCAGAACGACGATTAAAAGAGTTACTATCGGATGAGGAAGAATAGAAGATGAAGGGGAAGAGAAAGGAAAGTGGCTAGCACTTGGTGGACGATGGAGTGGCAACGGGAAAGCGAAAGTAGGACATGGCAAAGAGGGTAGGAAAAGGGTTTTGTTAGAATTAATTAATCGAGAGACTCCATTATTGCGGGCGCGTCGCAGTTGTGGTGATGCGAAGCGTACAGCGTTTCAGTAGTGTGAGAAAGGGTGGTGGGCGAATCAGGAGGCAGAACGGGGCCAAGGTCCGAGTGGTTCGACGTTTTGGAAGCGCCTACGATGAGCATGATCCAATACGGACAGGGAGAGCAGAATTTGGGTGGTGCGACCATGTGTATAGGTCTGTAGCAAGAGTAGTTACAAGAGGATACCTACAAAGGTCACGTCACGGGAGTGTGCGGGAGAGTGCATCGATCTGAAGGGGACGGGAGGTGGTACGAAGATCGTGGATAACCTATTTGAGCGACATGGTGTTGAGTTGTGTTATTGAGAAGAAGGGTGGTGTGGGGGAGAGAGGGAGACCAGTCGTTACTGAAAGGGTGCGTGTGCATGAGAGACTGAGAGTTGAATCGATTGCTGATGTGGCGAGTACGTGTGAGGGTGAGGGTGAGGGCGAGGGCGAGGGCGTGTGGGTGTGGGCTTGTGGATGACAGGGAGAAGAAGAGGCGGTCGCGGTTACAGTTGGTGGCGCACGCACGTCCTGCAGGTCGCAAGATGGGCCAGCCGGCGAGAAGAGCCAAGATAGGGCCGGGTGGAGGTACACAGTACTGAGGAAGTTGACAAGTGAGTTAAGTCCAGTTGAAGCAGAGTTAGACAGGACAGTGGACAGAGTAGATTGTAGTGTGTAGATACTAGGATAGGGTGAACAGGTCGAGTGACATGGTCGAGTCGAGTAGTCGAGTAAGCGTAGTAAATACTCGTAAAGGTTCATACCTAGTAGTATCTTCATAGACTCCGTCGAGCAGTATTAGAAGATGATACCTCGCAGTAGTAGCTTTAATGATGGCAGCGGTAACTAGTTGGCAGTATTTACGGAGTACTTAGTGATGGGGAGGAGTATTACGAGTGAATACGGGGTGACGGGACAAGGGGCAACGGACAACGGGCGAGGCGACATCGGGAAAGGAAGCGGGCGGGGAACAAAGAAGAGGGAGAGGGCGAATGAGAGCAGAGGACACAAGGGTAAGGGCAAGGAATGAGATCAAGATCAAGGTCAAGAACGAGACCTGGCCTGGGACCATTCTGTGTAAACGATGGTAGAGGAAGTTAGGGAAACACGAGATGAAAGGTGAATCAGTGAATCAGACCATATTGTTGCAGCTTGTATGGCATGGCATGGCATATGATCAACGATCAACGCTCAACGCATAACCCTAACAAGCCTAACACGCCTAATCACGACCTAGTAATGTGAATGGATGATTGATGGCGCTAGTCGATAACCGGAAGGCGGTAACCGGTGTAACCTGATAATCATCAACTGAACAGATAATCACACAGTCAGCATCTCTGCCGTCTCTCATTGGCCACAGCATCCCACTTCGCTTTAGCTAGGTCAAGTGACCCGCAACTCATGTTCATATCCACCCATGATTGGCTGCTCGCCCCTCCTGCACTCTTCTCTCCCCCACCCCTTTCGGGCAATCCGAAGGTCGAGGTAAATGGTGGATTAACAAGACAAAACATATCTATTCACCAATTACTCCGTACTGTGGACAATAACGGACGAGATAGAATGTACAGACGAGCTAGAGGCAAGGAGGTTTCTGCAAGTCTGCAAGTCAACAGTTCCCATCTCTCGTATTATGGCTTCTTAGTCTTTAACGTGGTGAGGGAAAGGATTTGGTCTAGTGTGTCGACATCGGACTCGGTAATGTATGTGAATATGTACTAGTGGTGTTTTGTTTGTCCATCCAACGTCAAGCTGTGAAGCTGTCAATCCGTCTTTTCTGCCACTCCGAAACAAACTCCGAGACAGACTCCGAACGTGAATAAAAGAACAAAAGAACATGGACGAGTAATTGATTTACTACTCCGCACTATGAGTGGATTGAACCAATGGATAGGATGGTTGGTTGGATGGGTAGATGGCCGATGAATGGGATGGCATGGCGTGGCAGGATGGCAGGATGTGATGAACATGGTCGACCACCCGCCATACCCGACTAAGCTGGTGCTGGAAACACGCGCACTTGGTCTAGGTCGGGTCTGGCGCCTTGGCCTTTTACCCTCCTTCGGTTGGCATGAATAGCCCGTGTTGGTAAGTAAATTGATGCTCCATCTTGCCTGTCTTGTCTCATCTCATCTCATCACTCTTTCTTTGACTACTGTACTCCGTACGGAGTCTGTATGTATCTAATAATGTATCTACAGGTACTGTTACTGTACGACTATCTGATTGCTTGCTGTTTTCACGGTCAGCCAACCAACCAACCTGTCTCACGCCGTGCCATACCATGTGATGCCTCGGCTTAAAAGGGTAATATCTGGAATCTCTAACAGCCAACTGACAACCGCTAACCGCCAGGCTTCCTCACTGCACTTCTGCATTGCACTTACTACTGCACTGCGCATACACGTACGGAGTACTATATGCGCCTAGAGGTATCTATCTCGCGCATTACAAAGGCCGAAGTCATAGACGGTACATACCTTGCACCCCTACAACACTCGTGGGATATCGACAGCCTCTATCCTGCTCCCACTACCATGTTCCCATACTCCTGATCGTATATCAGATTCCAGGGCAGACAGATGGAAAGAACGGGTAGACAGATTAGGCAGAGCCAATATGACAATCTTACTGTAGCAGTTGTACTGTACGAAGTACATTGGACATATAGCGGTGGACAGTAGGGTGTTCTGTTCCGCTCTGGACGGAGCAGTGGAGTGGAGTACATGCAACGGTGTAGGTATGTCGGCTCGGTGGGCGCACAACTGGCGCGGCCCTGAAGTTCCGATGAGCGATTCAAGATGCCAGACACTTGCCAGGCCATATGCCACCAAGAAGGTGATGAAAATAATCACAGTCTGCCAGGATCTCTCTTTACGTTTCAAACCCCCATTTCCTTCGCCGAGCAGCGAGACTATCAAACCGGGGAGCAAGCAAGCAAGCAAGCCTTCGTTAAGCCGGCGAGGTAGCAAGCCAGTTCTGCTAAATCCAACCCGCCCCCAGTCACATTTGGCCCTTGAACTAGTTAAGTCAAACTAGGTACCTAAGTAGATGGGAAGGTTTACGAGTTAGTGTGGTATCATTTTCCTGCACAGTTTAGGGTCCTAACATGATTAACACACACGCCCACGCCCACGTCCATATCCACATCCACATCCATTATCCACGCACCTAATTGTCCACATCGACAGAGACACACAGACACGCGCACACTAACAGGTACAAGCACACATTCACACACATACGCAGACGACGGGCAACATTGAACACATCGACAAGTTACCCTGGATCTAACCAAACCTAACCTAACCTAAAACCTAACCTGACATTGACTAAACCCACCCAAGTTACTCTACACACAGACACAACTGACAGTTCTACTCGCGCGCGCGCCCACACACACAGACACAAGACACACGCTCACCCACACCCACACCCACACCCACACCCAAGTGACCCAACCGACAGGCGGAGCTCAGGCATTCGCGCAAAGTGACAAGCCGCCTTTCCTTATTCCCCTAGATACCCTTTGCAACTCTTGGGGATTCTCCTACTTTTGTCACTTTCTCGTAGTGAATATATGCCTGCCGCCGTTTGACTTTCCCCAAATCTCTTTCGTCCTTTCCCTCTCTGAGACATACAAGCACACCTTTCCAGTTCCTGTCGTGCACCTCTTCTTCCCTTTCCTATAGGCACAGTACATACTTTGTACGGTGTGTACCTGTCACTTTACTACCTACCACTTGTACCTGTCATACAATCTTTGCACTGTATGTACATCTACCTGCTATAGGTACCTGTTCTGTCCATCCGTTCATCTATCCACCGATCTATCCTATCCTATCCTATTCCATCCGATCTATTCATCCATCTACTCCATCCGATCCATCTATCCCATTCCGCTACCAGAGGCCAAGCTTCAACGCCTTTCGGTCTTCTACTCACCTTGTGTGAGCTTACTTGTCCTCTACCACGCGCCGTTGCCGTTCAACTTTGACCCAATCTGTCAAACGAACTCTCTAAAAGGGTCGAATACCTACGAACGCCCACACACTCCACCACAGGCCATTCTCCTCTTCCCTACGACGACTACTATTCCTGATTCCGCTTTCGATCAAGGAAACTGCACATTCCTCTTGACCAGAACGAATTGAGACGGGTACGTACTTTTTCATCCCCATTTCCATTTCTACTGTTTTGTCTACATTTCTCTATTCCTGTCTGTCTTCAGCCGTTCCATCCACCTACCCCTGCCTTCCCTGCCCTGTTCTCAGCCAGCAAACGCACGTCCGCTGCCCGGGCCCGGGATCTTCTGCCTCACCCACTTTACTGTATCCTCCGCCTTGGTGCTAGACGCATGCCCGCACGCATGCCCGCACGGCGCACGCACGCAACTCCCACACGCACGCACACCGACAACCCAACAACCGCGACCTCGACCGCGACTGCGACTGCGACCGTGGCCGTGGCCTTGAGTGCGATTGCGATTGCGATTGCGCCTGAACCTGCGACTGCGACCGCCACCACCGCCGCCATCACCAAAGGCATCAGGCACAGGTACAGGCACACACCACGCACAATGCCGATACTCCACAAGGCCACAACGTATCACTTCACCACGAATCTACCTGTCTACCTACCTACCTACCTCAGGGCCCTCGGCGACGGCGTACTGGACACAAGGCAGTGGGCCCCAAACTTCTTGCACCGTTCCCCATACCCATTTCCGCCTCGCAGTCCCAATTTCCAAATCCCCAATTCCCAATTCCTAATCCTTATTTCCACCCATGCCATCTCAATGTCAAACTCCCCCTTCTTCCAATCGGCTCTCTCTACAGCTATGCGACCATACCAGGGTGGGTATGGGCCAGCCAAGAACAAGGCATTTCCCGACGAAGCGACGAGGGCAAGTTGGTATTATTAGCGCTGCCTGTCATGCCGGGTTGGAGTCTTTGTAGTTTTGGCTGGCCTATGCTCACTGTCTGTTGGCTGAAGCTGTTGGGCGGGTCTTGCTCTAGTTTCTTGTGTGTTTCTTTCTGCTGCTTGGCCTGTCGGCCAGAGAGGAATGAGACATGGAGAGCGGAGAGAGGCGAGATGTGAAGAGGTCAAGAGAGACAAGAGAGTGAACTGGATGAGATGGGATGGGATGGGATAGGACAGAGGAGAGAGCAACAGAGAGGAAGGGGACTAGGGCCCACACACACAGTCGGTCACTCAAGGTCACTCACTCCACCCAACGCCAATCCACCAATCCCCGTTCACTTACAATACCCATACCCATACCCATACCCATACCCATACCCGTACCCATACCCATAACCCACATCCACCCTCCATCGCACCTTCCACCTCCCTCGACTCCTTCCCGCCCGCCGAATGCGCGCTGTTTTTCTGTTGTCTGTCTGGTCTGTCGGTCTGCCTGGTCTGTCTGGCTGTGTGTGTGGGTGTGTGTTACCGGCCCCCTCATCCCTCCCTCCCTCCTTCCTCCCATCCAACCACCCCTTCCCTCCTCCCCCGTCCTTCTTTCCTTTTTCGTTCTTGTTCACTTTGGTCGTTCCTTCCCTTGCATTCCTTTTTTCCCTTTTTCCTTCACCCGCCACCGACTTGGACGGTTCACTGTTGACTGTACTGTTCACTGTCACTGTACACACATACACCCTCTACTACCCTCTACCACACTTCACACTATCCACTACCACTACCTAAACACTCCTACATACGCTACACCCTTAGTTCCTTCCCTCTCTCTCCACACACGGACCATTCAAAAACACACAGACCACCACGGGCCAACAACCTATCTCTTTTTCATTCCAAGCGCGCCTGCTTTTCCTCTTTCATCAAACCCTCCCATCCTCCCTCCCCCTCTCCCCATTGAACATTCCCCCCTTCCCTTTTTCCACACCCCCAATCCCTCCATCCAGTTTCTTTTGGGTCTAACCCGAACACCACAACAGTCTTTGCTTTACTGCTGCTTGCTTGCTTGCTTGCTTGTTGCTTGCTGCAGTCATTCGCCTTGTTACCTGTTACGAAAAGAGCTCAAGCCTACTCTTCTTTTTTTCTTTTCCGTCCTGCTTGCTGCCACAGGTCGTCCTCTAACCTCCAAAAGAGAAGTTCCCCACACACAGTTCGAACACCCCCCTCCCCGACCACAAGCAGTTAGGGCAAACACCTGCCACAACATCTGAACCACCAATCTCAACCTACAACACAACAATGGCTTCTGAGATCACCGAGCACGACCAAAACGCGTCGCCTTCCGTTCACGACGACGGCACTGGCAATGGCGCACTCACCGCCGCCGATGCCAATCGAGGAACCAAACGCCCTCGACCGACTGCCGACGACGATGATGATGACGATGACAAGCCCGGTCGCGAGCGTAGGAAGATTGAGATCAAGTTCATTCAGGATAAGTCGCGTCGCCACATCACTTTCTCGAAGCGAAAGGCTGGTATCATGAAGAAGGTACGTACAAGATTCGAAACCCGGCGAGACGAAGATGAATTGTCGAGTTGGACCGACGCGCGCGCGCGACACCACCAAACATCCCAACTTTTCTCCTCGCATCGCGTTGCGACTTTACCCGCGTCGCATGAGAAACATCGTGTATCCACGCTTCGTTCCTCGCTAACTCGTTTTGACTCGCAGGCCTACGAATTGTCCGTCCTCACTGGCACCCAGGTGCTTCTGCTCGTGGTCTCCGAAACAGGTCTCGTTTACACCTTCACAACGCCTAAGCTGCAACCTCTTGTCACGAAGCCCGAGGGCAAGAACCTCATCCAGGTAAGCCAACTATCCAGAAACTACGTCCTACATGTTCGCGCTGACACGCGTTTCAGGCCTGCTTGAATGCACCCGAACCCTCGTCTGGCGACGCCAACGGCGTCGATGATAACCCCGTCGATTCTCCCGAGGATAGCCATGCCCAGGTACCGGCTGGCCGACCTCAAGGTATGCCAGGCAACCAGGGCATGCCTCCTGCCTACATGACCCCCGAGGCCGCGCTCCACTACCAGTCCTACCTCCAGCAGCAGCAACAATCAAACCAGTACCCAGGCATGCCCCCGCAGGGTGGTATGCCTCGTCACCCGGGTCACCAGTACCCCCAGGACCAGAAGCTCAGTTAAACAAGTACGTATGGATTCCCCGAATCCACAACCCGTCCTTGCAAGGGGCGGGTGGCGCATCGCTGGTTCGGTCGGTCGGATATGGATACCCCACATAATGGCGAAAAGTAATGGCAAGAAGCGAATCTGCAGAGTGAATAGTTCCCTTTCTGCAAGAAGGCACGGCCAGAGTCTGTAAAGATGCAGAAGGTGTAGTCCGTCTTGGGCGGTATGCAATGTTATCATGTTAGGAGCACCGTGTTGGCGAGTGTGGTGTGCATTCCCTTTGCTTTGGGTCTGGTCTGGGACGGTTGAACGTCTTTTACGTGGATATCGGCGTGGATGTTTTCTTTAACACAAGTTCTTCTCTCACTCTCATCTCTCATCTCTCGTATCCCGTCTCTCATCCTCACATCATCTTACCCTCTTGTTCGTGTGTCGTTTCACGAAGTATCATGTATTTTTCTCAAAATTCCCCCGATAGTTGGGAGGCAGCAGCTTCCGTCCAATATCATAATTCACAAACAAACATACAAACAAACAAGGCTTTTTGAGTGTCCTTTTCCCGCCGTCTCTCTGATCCGTGTTTTCCTCTTTCATCGCGACCACGACTAAACAGGTTGATTTAGATGTTATTCCCCATTTGGACAGACGATTGCCCGAATAGGAGGACTATCACCAGCGGCACCCGGCGCCTGCACCTGACCACATATGCAACACATGCAGGGCCCTCGAAGGGAGAGAAGGACTCGATGCACATAATCTTCCGTGCCGGCGTGTCCCCATATGTCGATCCGAATCTGTCTTCATGAAACCACGACCTTCCGGTTTTTGGTCCTCTGTGCATCCAGCGAGTTGTAGTACGAGTACCGGCGGTGAAACAGTCATCATCATTATTGTCATCATTATTATCATTGCTACCATCGTTAAGTACCAAAGGAAAAATAAGGCAAAAAGGCTCACCGTTTGTACGTCCATCCGTTATACTCGACATCCCGCGACCACATCCACGACTGCAAAATCTCGCAACAACAGCTCGACAATTAATCAAGCATGCGCACACACATCTAGAAACTTCAAGTATCTTTGTTATGTCTTTTCTGTCTGTACAATCTCAACCACGTCTACGCTCGTCCTACTCTCAATCCTACTCTCTTCTCTGAGCGAGAAGGTCTCGTGTGCATTGATGCATGCACTCGTTGCATTGCCATCGTGCGCAGTTCACTGTCCGTCCCCACCTCTCCCCTTCACCTTCTTGCCTTTGCGTCTTCGCGTCTTCCTGTAAGCTTTCCCTTTCTCTATTCTCGAGTGCTGGGATGAGAAAACAAGTAGGTGGGTAGATGGGTGGGAGTAGCATGGCGGGTGATGTATTCCATATCGTTTTGTTTCGCTTTCGCATGGTAGGTAAGGAAGAGTGAAGGAGGGGACGGAGGAGAGGGGATCACATTGATATTATTGCTATTATCATCATTATCATATTATGTCACGTTGTGCGGGTTCTCGTGCTGCCTCGCATGCCTTTTTTCCCACCGAGTCCTCGACTTCGCTCAGTCGGTCAGTTATGGTGTCGCTGCCATCCATGGGTTCATCCGTACATCTACCCATGCCAAAAGGGCAGGACAGTATCGAGCGGAGATCAGTACATAGTGTAGGATGATCATTTTCTTCCTCTACTGTTGTCGTTGAAGAGGGAAGGCAGAAGGAGGCGAGATTATGTTCAGGAGCGTTACGTTTGTACGCCGTGTGTATGCTGCTCTGTACGAGGACACATGTACAACCTACCTAAAGTACCTAAATTGTGAGTAACCACCGAAGTCGAGGATGGTGCGAGGACGAAGATTACGAAGATGACGTGAAAGACGAAGACAAGGACCAGAAGGATGATGCGCCCTTTAAGTCAGTGTCTATCTATCGTCGCGGGTCGAGTCGCAACGAACCGGATCGAGTCCGCTCGAGTATCTGTAGTGACTCCGTTCATGTTTATGTCTTTTCTCATAATGATAGTACTGCAGAGGTCGCGAGTGGAGGAAGAAGGGCGCAATGTACGACATTCACTTCACTCGCTCACTCAAACAGGCGCGTATGAACGTTCGTTTTATGTAAGTACGTATATATTGGGCATGTATGCATCGAAACCGACGGGAATTTCTGACCGCTGGAATATGTGTCGCTCAATGATCAATCGCGTCACTCGATTTTCACAGGTATATTTGTACATTAATGCTGAAGACATGCAGAACACCCCGACTGTAATGGCGCAGAAAGAGAAATGGAGATCACGTAAGGATACAGAGTACACGCAACGCAAATCATTTCCCTAAACCCGATGACGAGGAACATTTCTTGACGTTAACATTATCGCTTTCCCATTTCAAAAGTAGCGAGAGATGTGAAGAAGGTGGAGGGAAGAGGAGAGGAGAGGGGTAAGGATGGTGGATGGATGGGCGGAGGGATTCGTTTTCCGAATTCGGTAGTGTTAGTGGACGATCCAGGTACGCATTTTCAGAAAGGTCATGTTTCTAGATCATCGTCTGCGACTTACAAGATTGTGTCTTGGTGTTCGTCATTGTTTTCGTTTTCGTTTTCTGTTTTGTTGGGGCTTTGTCTTACTTTGGGTTTGGGATCGGAGATGGGGATTGGGGATGGCAAGGACAGAGACAACTGACGGACGGACAGATGGACAGAAATGATGGGATGTTAGTTATCTAGCAGATGCGACGGAACTGGAAAAGGAACAAACGACCCAGAGCTCTGTCGTCCCTCTCTTCTTATCATGAACGCCACCGACACGGAGAGCAGAGTTCCACGAAACCGTTTTCTCAGTTGTTGTGTTTGTTTCGGCGACCGGCCTGGTTGAACAATGGGACGGAGGGGTTCACGACAGCGACGCGGTGATACTCGAGTACCTAGGTAATTGCCCTTTTCTCTTCGAGTGTTACCCGTTCGAGACACACGTACACCCTGCCCTCGAGTAATGTTGGGGGTTGTTTTGTTTCCGATAGGGTGGGATTCTGGGGCCCTGGCATGAGGGTTTGAGATGCGATATGGATGGGGGTTTCGCAAACGGGGTTTTGTTGGTCTACCTACGGCGTATCTCGATCTGTCATGCTTTCTTCGTACGAGCAGTTGTTTGGCATCGTTCAAAGAATGAATGTACGAGTATCGCAGCCATTATGCAAGCCAGTTCTCTTGCTTATCATGTTATCATGTGGTGTAGGATACCTGGTAGGTACTGGGTAGATAGATATCTCACGGGTGGATATCAGCATCATGCATCGATGAATGCTAGCGGGGGGATAAGACTGATGGCTTGCGACGGCGGACGCCTCGTTGTGGACCAAACCCCGTTCACATAAAAGATGCGATGCTTGTTTTTACCCCTCATCTCATCATCCAAGCGACTTCTGGAGATGACGACCGTTGCGGCTTCTTTGATTATTGGTCAACCGATCGGTCGGTCGGTCGCAACCTCAAAGCAGAGCAGAGCACAGAAAAGCAAAGCAACGCACGGCAACGCACGGCGATAATGCAGACGCCCTCATCTGACGACTGACGACTGACGACCGACGACTGACGACGGACTCCAATATATCTACCGTAAGCTACGCCCCGTTAGGCTTGAAGATTGGCCAAAAGTCGAGGCATTTTCGAATCCATTGCTTGTCGACCCCGGTCCTTGATCCTTGGTCGTTATTCCTTGGTCCTGGGGTGCGGCGGAGGCGCGGGAGCACGCGCTTCCTTCTCTCCACTCGTCGCATGGCGTTTGCTGATGCATCTCGCACCTGCAATTGGAAGCGTATGTACGTACCTCTACCTCGTACCTCATCTGTGATGCTTTTCGATCATGCACTTGGCCTACACATTACCTGGAGTCGCGGTGAGTCGCAAGTCGCACTGAGGTGTAGGCACTCCTTCAGTCTTCAACACCATCATTTACTAAGAAACCGTGATATCTGCTGGTGGTGGGAGTCCATGGAACTTACTTCAAGAGGCATATCGTATGTACTTGGGTGTATATTCCGCAGAGGGTAGCGAATCAAGGAGAAGTGGTGGTTCATAGTCATACTGGTACCTTGTAGTGGTTCATTCAAGCTAGGGGGGGTTACCATCATGATTGAACAGTTTACCCAATGACATGTCACTCCAATGGCACCGAATGGTCGGCACCGCGTCGCCTCTCCATCTCCCATTCTCCTCCATCTGCCTCCTCTTCTCCTCCTCTCTATCTTCAATCCATCCTTACTCGTCCTTACTCGTCACTCTTCCCGATACCACAAACCATCAACCCCTCCCCTTCTCTAGCTAGACTCGGGCCGTTCTCTTCAAGCGACCCTGCTATCTTGCCCATCCTATCCTGCCCTGCCATCTTGCCCAGCTCTGCATTTTTATCCTTCTTACGGAATGGCCCCCTTCATCTCTCCGCATGTCGTTGGCGGGTGATCCCAGCCTGGCCATGCGATGCGGAGACGCCAGCCATGCATGGTTCCCATTATCATCAACCACAGCTGTAGCGGCACAGCACCGATAGCCATGCCATATAGATAACCATTATGCCTACTCTCTATCTCTATATCAATACCTGTGGATCTCCCGAGTCCAGTAATTTAGTCAAAGTATCACTCTCCCAGGCCATTGACCGGAACACTACGTCTCACTCCATCATAACCATACATCCGAGTCGTGCTCCATCACTGGTTACCACTGCTACTCTGCCTGTACATCAAGGCCCTGCAAATGAACGCCCTCATTTGACACTCGTGTGTACGTACAGCGCAGTAACCCGACCATCTCGGCATCTTTTATTTGCCATACCCTCCATCGTTGCAGCTCACGTTGCTCCGTACACCCATTCCCGGGGAACACCATCCCCCTTGAAAATCCCGGTCTGAGCCCATTCAAAATCCCAGTTATCCCCTACATTCCAGTCAACTGCACGACCTGGCATAAACCAACCGTTGCGACCTCCCTTCCTTGAGCCGACGTCGTTTCAAGCTCCCCGCCAAGCGCGACCCCCCCCCCCCCCCCAAAGTCACTTCCATATTGGGTAGACTGCACTCGGGCTCTCTCTCACCTCTCTCTGTGACTTTCCAACTTTATCTTCCCAGTATTAACACTCAATCTCACCCTCCGACAGCCAGTCGCACAAAATGGCAACACACTACGATCCGGAGAAGCCCCCATCGGGCGGAGACATGGACGTGATGGACGCTAAGAACGCCCAGTCACTTGACATGGACGCGATGAAGCTCGCCGAGATGGGCTACCGACAGGACATGCAGCGAAATTACTCTGTATGGTCCGTCCTCGGCGTGGGCTTCTCTCTCACCAACTCGTGGTTCGGCATCTCCGCCGCCCTGGTCACGGGCATCAACTCTGGCGGGCCTCTTCTCATCATCTACGGCATCATCTTACTCGCAGTGATATCTACTGGTGTCGGCATCTCCCTGAGTGAGCTTGCGAGTGCGTTTCCCAATGCGGGAGGTCAGTACTTCTGGGCCAACGAACTGGCACCCAAGAAATATGCAAACTTTGCGAGCTACTTGACCGGCTGGCTAGCATGGGCAGGATCCATGTTCACGAGTGCAAGTGTGGCTTTGGCCATGGGCAGTGCCACAGTGGGCTGCTATCAATTGGCCCATCCAGACTTGTAAGTTTGATTCTTTTCCCTCGAAGAAACACATTTGTCGTCGTCGTCATCTGTTTCGGCTTCTCTTGCTCTCATACCCCGGAGGCACACTGACCGTTCATTCCAGTGCGATTCAGAGATGGCACGTGTTCGTATCCTACCAGCTGTGTAACATTTTCTGCTTTGGCTTCAATTGCGTTGGAAAGATCCTCCCGGCGGTCGCAAAAATCACGCTCTGGACGTCTCTCGTATCCTGTTTCGTCATCCTCATCGCCGTTCCGGCCGCTGCACCAACCCACCAGCATGCCAAGTTCGTTTTTGCCACCTTCATCAACAATACTGGCTGGTCTCAGGGAGGAATCGCCTTCATCGTCGGCCTCGTCAACACGAATTGGGCGTTCGCCTGCCTTGACTGTGCGACGCATCTCGCAGAGGAAGTCCATCATCCCGAACGCATGGTCCCCATTGCCATCATGGGCACTGTAGGCATCGGGTTCGTAACGAGTTGGTTCTTTGGTATGGCCATGTTCTTCTCTATAGTGGGCGATTTCTCCGAGATCGTCGCCTCGCCGACACAAGTACCAATCCTCGAGCTCTTCTACAGGGCACTTCGTGATAACCTAGGAGGTGCCATATTCCTCGAGGCCCTCATCATTGCTACTGGCCTGGGCTGTTTGGTCGCGTCCCATACGTGGCAGAGCCGCCTCTGCTGGTCATTTGCTCGAGATCGAGGTATCCCCGGCCACAAATGGCTCAGCAAAGTCCACCCGACACTCGACGTCCCCATCTTTGCCCACTTCACGAGCTGTGTCATCGTTGGCATTCTAGGCTGTCTCTACCTTGCGTCTCTCACTGCTTTCAACTCGTAAGTCGCGTCACTCCTATCGCGTAGTTAGCCAGCTACTGACAGACCAACCAGCATGATCGCAGCGTGTGTAGTTCTCCTTTATATCTCGTACTCAGTTCCTGTTGCTTGTCTATTGATACGCGGCCGCTCAAACATCAAGCCGGGGCCCTTCTGGCTAGGGCCTTTTGGCTTGGTTGCTAACATTGTTCTCCTTGGCTATACTGTTTTCACCCTCGTCATGTTCAGTTTTCCCTACGCCAAACCCGTCACGGCAGGAAATATGAACTACGTCAGCGCCGTTTACGGTGTCGTCGCGGCCATTGTCGCCATCGACTGGTTCGTCCGTGCCAGGAAAAGCTTCAGAGGTGTCGGCGAGCGGAAGACGGACGCCGATAATGTTGTCCAGGGCGTCAGAGTCGGTAGTACCGTCACTGCAGATGGGTTCCAAGGCCATCATGACCCGTTCGACTCTGGCGATATCCGTGGCACGGCGGGTGGCAACGGCGATGGGCGCTCCGCCGTGAAGGAAGAGCCGAACAAGGCGAATGACGGGCCCCATGTCGTCCGATGATTTTCACGTCGATTCTGGTGACGATTTTCCCATTCTCCTGTATATACACAACAACCATGGATTGTGTTACGTTCTCGATAAAGGAAATCATGAGGCTTCTCAAGCAGACAAGACGGAATTAATATATATACATCCACGGGTGGAGAGCATAGCTAGTCTCAAGGTACTGCTCTCGAATAATCAATTGATCCTTTCACCTTCAATATTTACCCCTACATCTAAGTATCATGTTTGTCGTGAGGTCCGTCTTTTACTGTATCAACATTTAACTCTTCGATATGTCTTGGAGTGTAATATATATATACCTAACTTTGAGGCCTCACGCCTTTCCCGAATGAACAGAACAAAGTAATCTCAATAAAAGTTTCTCTACTCTAGGTAACATATACTGGGGAACTCTAAGAAGAAAACAAAATAGTAGTAATGGCAACAGTAGTTCTTCTGTTTATATCATTCGTAACCACGGACCATATAAACGACCAATTCCTCACGAAATAGTCTAAGTGGTAGCACAAATGAACAATGACATCGAGGCCAAAACAAGGACAATATACTTCCACGCCCTTGCTTAATCGGAAACCTTAAAGCGTGCCAAGTAGAAGATGTCCAAGACATCAACAACACCGAAATGTCTTAGAAAAACCACGGAAGCACGAAAAGCACGGCTGAGGATGGTAATGGCAATGGTGATAGTAGCAACGATGATTACTATTAAGTAAATTATAATTCTACATGATTTGAAATATACACACGACAATACAATGGCTGGTCGGATCAAGATGGAGTTTACGACGAGTAACGTCTTCGGCTTATGTTTTCTCGTTCTCTGGTGGTGGCGTAATTGAGAATGAGAGAAAGTGATATCGTGGGACGAGGTTTTGGGGGATGGAGGATGTTCGATATATATGGTAGGGTGGAAGCTCCGCGAAGATGTATTTGATTTTCGGTCGCTGCGGGGATATGGACCTGTGGTAGATGGGTAGGTTGTTCGTTGAACGATGTAGTGGTTTCCTCTTTTGTTCGCAATTCTGTCAGATCAGAAAGAACTTCCGCCTTATGATGGTCGATTGAATTGGAAGCTCCTTCACGGCCGCCTCTTGCCCCTCTTGTCTCCAGTTCTCTTCCCTGGACTCGCCACCGCCGTGGACATGTCAGTCGCCTCGTTCCACCTGCCAATTCCCTCAAAACCATACGGCGCCGCGGTTGTCGACATCCTGGTGCGCGTACGTCCCTGAGGCGTAACTGTACCATCCCCCCTTTGCGGCGATGATGCCGACGAAGATGGCCAGGCACTCCACCCAGCCTTGCCCCCGATAGCGGTGCCAGCGATCCGCCGCCGCGGCGTCTCCAGACCTCGACCTCTTCCTCCCTCGTCTTCATACCCGACGACAGTATCTGCCTCTTCCTCCAAATCTTCAACCTCGCCTTGGCCACCAACTTCTTCCCCCTCGAAGCCGCACCCACATCCACATCCAACAACGCACTCGCCTTCCTCCCACCCAATGCCAGCACCTATGGCAGTCTCTTCATCGAAATCCATACACCCAAAATGTGCAACGTGTCCACAGCTCGGGCACAAGAAGAACCGACCGCCGACTCTCAGCCAACATATAGTACAACTATATATTTGCTCTTTTCCCCCGCCGCCGCGTTTCGTCGTGGTTGTCGCTGTCGCTGTAGAAGCAGCAGCAGCAGCGGAAGAGCGCGCGGAATTTCGTGACATGGTCGAGTGCTGTCGGCTTCCAATGCTAGGGCGCGAGGACCTGATGGTGGACCTGCTACTTTCTAGGCTGCCGGGGAACGCGGGAGTAAGGGATAGAAGCTCAGGTGCCGCAGTGCTATGCGAGGGCGAATGTCCTGTCGATCGAGGGTATTGCTCGCCGCCGACGCCAGGGATTTGGATGGCGGATGATGGGCCTTCCAACGTGAAAGGGTCATTGGATTCGCCGCCTGGTCGGAATTCATGGGCTTCAGGGTTGAAGGAGAATTGGCGCGGAGAACTGGTGGGCGTGCGGCGAAATTGGGTTCCCGTTGGAGGAGCAAGTGTCGAGGACCGTGAGAGTGGGGTTGAGCTTGGTTGCGATGCCTGATATTAAGTATCAGTAATTAGATAGAATCGACGATACCAACAGAGACTGGGGAACTGAGAAGTCGGAGTTTTACATCGACCTTTGAAAAAAAAAGGCAAAGAAAAAAGAGAAGGGTGGCCTGGCATGACGACTGCATACAGAAGCTATAGAAAAGGATATACTCACGTTCTCGCCAACTTCGCTTTTAAATGCAAGGTGTACAGAACCTGCCTTTGAGCCTGCCCGTGATGACTCTGGGGGAAAGTACGATATCAAGCCGTTGTACTTCAGTACTTCCGCTCGTTTACTGATCAAGCCCCAACGACCTAACATCTCTGCATACTGCTCCCTCCACGCCTTGTAGAGCCAATCTTTGCCCATGTCCAGTAGTGGGGCACTCACACTAGCTTCGTCGTCGAACTGATCCTGGTTCTTCAACGTGACCTTGATACTTCCCTCTTCGAGATCATCTCTAGGCGTGAGGGGTGCCGTGTATTCGGAAATCGCATCTTGCAAGAGTGCAGCGTCTCCGTACTCCGAATCAGAATCCGAGTAATAGTCGATGTTTATCCGATCTGCCTGTCCAAAACTGGCCCGTTTTCCATGCTTCGAACGTGGTGGGGGCGGGGCTGGAGATTTCTCCTGACTGCCGCTGTTGAAGAACGTGGTAGTGCCCCAAGTGACACCAGCAGTAGGCGCTGAAGTCGAGAGGTCGGCGTCGGTTCGATTCTTTACTGGAGGCGAGGACGAAACTGCGTTAGCAAAGGGACGCGAAAGTGTGGCGATGGCATTCGCGAAATTGGCCGTGGACGACCTCTTATGAGTCGGTAGCTGCTCTGGCGAGCTGGAGTATGGAGTGTGGCTCGCCAGTGAGCGAAGCGTTGGCACACGCGACACTGTGGGTGGCGTGCTTCCTGTAGAGTATGGCGTTACGGGTTCGGATGGCAATGTATCGCTGCCCCAGGGTCCATTCGACGATCCATGGGATCCATAAGTGCCCAGGGTTCGCGTGAATCGGTGCCACCCAAATTCATTCACTGGTGTGGCATAACGCGAATGCGCGGGAGTGGACGGGATGGAGATTGTAGGCTTGAACAAACTCCAAGCAGCATCGGCCGACGAGAAGTAGTCCAAGGAGAACGCGGGCGCCTCCATAGACATTGGAAGACTCGATTGCTTCATCCGTGCCATGGCGCTGGTGACGCCTTCGCGCGCGGCAGGTTCGCAGAATATACAGGACAACATCGCGAGCATCTGTATGTCGGCCTGCCTTTCAAAGTGGTCAAATAGAGCAGGAACCAGCCAGGTCACGACGGAATGATGCCCCCACTTGATCCTGCCTCGCAATTTCGGATTTGTCACTGTGTCCGCCTCATCAAACTGGAGATCCAGTCCACTATCTTTGCGCTTGATCCGTACAAGAGCTCTACGCGCCAGCACCAATACTTGCTCTCGCCTATGCTGCTGTGGCAATATTTCCAATGGCACCTCATTATTCAAAATGAGTTTACAGAGTAGCCAGATATCCGCTAAATCGTGCAAGCCAGACTTCCGAGCCACCTCCGAATTATGCAAGCAAACGCTGGGTCCATCTCCAAAAATCCGATACTCCTCAGCAAGTTTTCTCTTGCTAGGTATCAAATCTTCCACAGAAGGCCCCAGGATTGTTAAAACGGATCGTGCCTCATTGGTCTTGGAAGCCCCGAGAGATGACGGATGTGACTGCTGCGTTAGGAACCGCACGCTGCCCCTTTGCCACGCGAGGGGCGGTTGAAATTGCCCAATTGGCCCATTGGTCTCGCGACCAGAGCTGGACGAGGTTGAGGCGGATGATGCCATGTCCCATGAACCTGTTGAAGATGTGGGCGACTCTGACCCATAGCCGCGTTCTGGGTCCAATCGCCCAAAGGATTCAAAGATTTCATTTCGAGGACCTTGAAGTGGCAATCTCGTCAGCCTTACGGGATCGCTTAGCCCTGTGCCGTTTAATGGCTTTGGTGGTCTCGAGAGTACGAGAAACCCAACAGCCGCGAACCGTGCAGTGCACTGGATTGGTACGGGAATGTTAGCATCAGACAGCGAAGAATCAAGAAGATTTTGTCCGATACCATCATATGCGTCTTCATCCTCGTCATCACTAGACGTGCTCCTAGACACTGCAGGAGGCCATTCGGCGTCCTGACTTTGTGTGGAGGCGGCCGCTAGGGTGTCCTCGAGACTACGTTCGCCAAGGGCGTAGCACACCACAGCATCGAGGGCTTCAAGGCCTACCGTTGCGAATCTGTCGGCAATGGTAAGAAGATCTTCTTGAAGCTGTGCAGCGGTGTTTTCGTCAATGGCGGCAGTGGTCTTGTGAAATTTGACCTCGAGAGGATTAGCGATCAAGCCAGTGATGTTGGGATATGCATCCGGGAAATATATTGTAAGACGTAGAAAGACCAGCTTCCTATCGCTCTTGCGGCCGATAGAATGGTCGGGTTCACCCCAGGGTCCATTTAGTGTGACGGTGATAGATCGAGATTGGAAATCGGTCTTCTCGAATTTGATATTGCTGTATCTTTGGCCAACATGGGATATCTCAGCTTTGAGATCCTTTTGTTGTTCAACAGAAGTCTGATTTTTAGAAGCAGACGAAGACTGAACATCTGCACCAAGATCTTGGTGGCGCTCTCCCACCTTCACACCATGAATCCATCTCATGTTATTGGCGACGTCGGCAATGCCAAGCTGCCGAATGGTCTGAGCTGTCATCGTGGCTCTCTGATCATCGAGCTGCATTCTGTTGACAGAATCAAGTCGCCCTGCGTTTTGCATTAGGGCTGAGAGACCGCTTGCAAGCGGATTCGTGGGTAGAGCCTCCTGAGGTCCGTCTCGATAGCTGGCATAGTCTGCATCCTTTCGGGTATTGGTGATGTTCTCAACGACCGGAACTCCCTTCTTGAAGCCCACGGCGTTGAACAACGTCTGAGACGGTACGGTGTAGAGATTGAGATGCCGATCGGTCCCAAGAGAGACGAGCTGAAATTCGCGATCGTCAAACCCGCCCTCTGCTGAGCCCCTAGCGCGCCAGAGAAATTCGAGAACCTCAGAGTTTTCGGCATGCGCCTGGAAGACATGTGCAGGTTGCGCGGCTCCCGTCTTCTTGTCGACATCTTTGGGAGGTGTCTGAGTATAGAGACTCAGGCCTGTATCGCCTCGCTGAGGAATGGAGAGAATGCCATTGGGGAATGGGGTATGTCGTGCACGTCGAACTGGATGCAGAGTCCGGATTGTGGTGGACGGCTTGAAGATGTCCGATCGTATTCCAACATCATCCCAGATCTTGATGGTTTTATCCAGAGAGCATGTCAGGATGGTAGTTTTTATGGACCGATGCCAATCGATGCCGCACACTTTGTTGTTATGGGCCAGAATGGTTGTCAGGGGAGTTGCGCCCTTACGAGTATCCCAAATGTGAACATATTTATCGTGAGACGAGGCAAGGATGAACTCATCCCTGCGGTTCCACTTGACCTGCGAAGCGGCGGCCTCGAAATTGGCGAATTGTTCGGTAGGCTTATGCGGTTCTCTGTGGCGACTCGTTGGCAAGTCATCGAGTTTAAACGCGAGCTCAGACATATCAAGGGATTCATTACGTGTCCACTCTTGGATGGTGGTGGGGGATAGCGGGAATCTACCATATCTATTGGCCTGGAGGACACCTGTTTCTCGACCAGGATCTCGCAAATCCCAAGTCATGATGTAGCTGTCGACTGCACAGGTGGCGAGTACGTCAGGGTTGTGGGCACTGAAGTTGATATCAGTGATGGCACGCTCATGGCTGTGAAGAGTGAATTGGATGGGAGCATGGTAAGTCTGATGGCTCATTCCAACATTGTAGATGAGTGCCTTTTGATTACAGGTTCCGGCAATCCAGTTGGAACGACTTGCAAAGGGAGACCATTGAACATCGGCGACTTCCCAGTCAGTTTTGTTCAGAATCTGGCGAGGCGCGGAATAGGGATTGTCCAAGTCAATTATTTGTAGTCCGCGCTTGCTATTGATTGGAAATGGATCAGTCAATGTATCTGTAATATTGTGGAGGAAGCCACCCCTGAGAGGCACGTTCTTGGTGGTATTGTTTGAGGACTTACTTTGCCAGAACGACATCGCGGCCAGACGGCGATATTGACGCGGCACCAATGTCCTCGTCCAACTCGATGGAGACATCTTTGCAGAAGGTCTCACTCTCGAAAGGAGAGAAGGGACCTTTGGGAGGCTGCAGGGCGGAAGCCATGTTGGTGGACAATCCAGCAGCTTTCTGACCGGTGTTGACTTGACGGGGCGGAAGAAGGGGATAATAGAGAATGAGAGAATAGAGTAGAAGGACGCAATGACGTAATGACAGTGGATGAGGGTGTAGTGAGGAAGGCGAGTAGCAGTATCAGGAGCGATGATGGCAGTAGTTATCTGCCTTGTCCTAATCACGTCTTTGCGCCAAAGGCGTGATTCCCTCCTTCCTTTTGAAAATGAGTCGTTCAATGAAATCAATACAAGTCCAAGGTAATTGCGAACAATTGTAAAGCCAACGGCCAACAGTCAAGTCAAGCTAGCCAGTCAACGAAACAGTAAAGGAGAGGAATATGAGAGCATCATTCAGCAGCAACAACACAGCAACACCAACAGGGGCCCAGCATGTCCAGGGCCGAGCTTGTTGACGCGCACAATGGCGCTTATAAGCCTTTCAAATATTCCAATTGGCAATATGATGAATGGGATGAATGCGATGCGCGAGGAGATGGGTTGATCGGGAGTAGGTGGAGATGAAAGATAATTGGATGTATGTACACAAGGGAGAGTAGTTAGCAGTCGGAGCGGAGGTTGTTCCATTCTATTCCCGTCCAATAAGAGTGCGGAAACAGGTGACTGTGCTTTGTAACGCAAGGCGGGAGTGGAGCGGAGTAGAAAGTCTCAGTCAAAAGGTGGACTTGGCAGGAAAGGCAAGGTTTATTTGCTTGGGAGGAGAATCCGGTCCAATCAGTCTCCCCGATACTGGTTGGATGTCTGATCCGCTCCGCCCATACCATAGTCCGAGATGGACGATACTTGCATCCTCATCGTCATCTTCCTTTTTGTCTTCTTCTTCTTCTTCTTCTTCTTCTTCTTCTCTGTCTCCAGGTTCGATAGCGAGGAAAAAATGCACGAGAAGTATCACGCGCTCCAACATTCACAAAAGTCGCGTGCCCCTTGGGTGTTGCGAAATACTGGCTCTTGATCCCTTACGCGTTATTTAGTCGACCACCACCTTTTCTCTTTACCGCAGCCCATCCAATCCCGCAGGTTTCGGGGCTTGATACATGTTGCCTTGAATTTAATCAATATACAAGACAGTTAATTGATTGAAGCAACAAGATGGTTGTGATGGTGATGATGGGCGCTTGTGCTTAGTGACAGTTACCAACGGTCCAGGGCGAGGCGCGGTCCCAGCGGGTGCCACCCACCCCCCACATGAGTCCGTTGTGTGGCCCATCCCACTTCCATCATCTTCCTGCTCGTACCTTGTACCTACACAACTGGACTTGCCCGGCCTTGTTCCTCAACTCTGGACTTTTCTCCCGCCCCGCTTCAAAAGGCCATCAGTCGCTTGATCAACTCTTCTCTCTCCCCGTACACACGTACAGCTATCTTCTCTTCCTAGAACCGCCACAAACCAGGTATTGCCAACCATGGCCTTACCCAAGAGGATCATCAAAGAGACCGAACGTCTCATGAACGAGCCGTAAGATTCATATTTTATAACGCCTCTCCTTCCTCTGCGTCTTGGGTTGAGGAACTTGTCTCACTGATATCCCAAACAGTGTTCCAGGTATCAGCGCCGTTCCTCACGAAGATAATCTACGCTACTTCGACGTTACCATCGACGGCCCGTCACAGTCTCCTTATGAGGGTACGTACAGATTACCCTGAGAAGCTCCATCGTCTTCGCCACCTTTCGTCTTTGTTCTGACCATGCCTCCAGGCGGCCTCTTCAAGCTCGAGTTGTTCCTGCCGGACGACTATCCCATGACACCCCCGAAGATTCGCTTCCTCACCAAGATTTATCACCCCAACATCGACAGGCTCGGGCGTATCTGCCTAGATGTCTTGAAGAGTGAGTATTTCTATTCATGCGCATATATACACTGCTGATGATAGTAGGCAACTGGTCACCCGCATTACAGATCCGTACCATCCTCCTGTCCATCCAAGCACTCTTGGGCGCTCCAAATCCAGATGACCCTCTCGCGAACGACGTCGCGCAGAAGTGGAAGGAAGACCAGAACGCTGCCATCGAGACTGCGCGCCAGTGGACGCAGGAGCATGCGAAACCTTAGGCCGCGCACACAGAGTGTAATAGAGGGATAAATGGATGGAATACCACAAACGACCATCTTGTGGGACGCGACCCTGTCTCCAGACATGGCATTACGATGCTACGGATTTACGAACACCGATAGACCTGGATTTAGGCGGTCTTCAACGGGGGAGATCTTACAACAATGGCGAAACTGCATGCGCCGAAGGCACTGGGCAAAATAATCTTGAAGCAGATTCATAGCGAATATTATTAAATGGCTACTAGCCTTTCATTGTAAATGGTACCATTCCTAAATGCTGCACGGAGATCCCGTGCCATTCTGATGTGTACCGAATCTATATGTCGTGTTGACTTACTTGCTGCGGAAGATGGATGGGTCTACTACTATTGATGTCTAGATAAGTGGATTACAGCAGATAACGAAGTCAAAACTTACGATTCTTAGCAGTCACTTGTGTTGCCGTCGACCTCTATGTCATCAAGGACTGGGAGTCCTTCCTAATCTGTTCACTTAGATGTCAGATAGTGGGATTTTCGAAATCTTGTTGCTCTTCTCCGACCCAAAGTCAGATCTGTTGAACCATGGCCCGAAGTTCCCATCTTCCAACGTTGCTGATGCTTATAATGCACTCACGAATTTACCTGGTCTCGCAAATCGTACGCCTTTAACATGGCTAGGGCTTTGCTGCACTACAAACGGACTTGTTTTGGACCAGTTTTGGTGGATATCTCTACACGACGAACTGCTGGTAAGCTTGTTCGAAATATGTAGGAAAGGGCGCACACAATTTCATCCTCGATGTCCAGGGGTGTGAAGTGTTGGGTGGTAGGCCTTCCTTCGACCCGACTGGCTATTATAGCAATCGATGGAGCATCCTATCCTCATGTCAGCTGGGGTGATGTCAAAGGGGAAGCGGTTGGTGGTTGTGAATCATCAATCTATGCGGTGATTCATGAGGCCACAATGTTCATCAAACGTGGCATGGATTGTGTATGAGGTTATCTCAATCACCTATTGTTTGGCCGACCGCACTGATTATTTACAATGCTTAACGCTCGCGTAGTTCAATGAGCACCCAGCTCCTGCTCACTATTTAAGGACGCATCCTGATCTCGTTCTTCTGCTCTTCTCCAAACAAGTCAGTTCCAACGGACAATATCACAACCTGCCGTGGGTAAACTAAATCTCATCGCCACCTACCTCCGATCCCAGGAAAAATTAACAACTTGTTCCAAAATTCACCATACACAAACGCATTCAAACGCATTTCTATCATCATGTTGACTCGTACGTCACAGCAGTCATCGACACCTTCCCACGAGTCTGAGAATGGCACCAATCCCCCAGTCTCGCTGCGCGCTGGCCCCTCTACAGCCCGCCCACCTCTAATGGATGTTGACGACGTGCAAGCCACTATTGAGATTCCGAAGCCAAGTAGGTATAGCAAGTTTCCAGAGTCACTCAAGTTTCTCGAGGCCTATGCATCAAATCCCCCAAGTCCAACGGAGGATAACCAGACACGTCAACTGGGTCCATCAGAGAACGAACACTTAACATCATCGAACTCACCAGAGGACGAACAATTAGATCCCGAGTGGGTCAGAGAGCGAATTGAATGGATCCAGGGGCGAATTAAGATTCTTGAGGAATCTATAGTCAATTCACCCAGCTCACCAATTCAACCAGAGTCTTTCGACAAATCTATGTCAAATCCTCCCCTTCCATCTCATCCCGGCAAGAACCAGGATCCGCTTGCGTTCCTCGATGCTGTATCGCCGACTCTACCAAGTCCACCACGTCGAACAAGGTCCCAACAGGTTCACGATGGTTTTGAACTTCTCGATACGGACAATCCGGATCCATCCAGTCCACCACCCCGAACAAGGGCCAAACGGGTCTGCATGGGCCTCGAGGACAAGACGGCTAACGAACCTACGAAACAGTCTGGAGCTCAGTCAAAGCTCGCGACGACTGATCAAGTGCTCCATGAACGCAACATGAGTACGGAATAGGACAATTTTTTGTACAGCGGAGTGATGCCAGATACCTTTTGACCTGCACTATATGCACTCTGACGTACTGTGCTCTATCATTTTGTGCTTGAGTGGGAGGTCTATGGATTCGTAAAACATATAGACGGTAGCATCACTCTTGTAGTGAAGATAACAATAACATCCTCAGATTTCAATTTAATTCCAATTACGTCAAAAAGTGAATACTACTACTCCACGTCCCTCGGTGCGGGTCTTCCATCCACGTGCAGTTTATGATCGCTATGAAAACAACACTATTAAGAATAATGCTATGCAAGGCAATATCCCACTCCCCTTCCCTCTTGACTAACAATGCCAATGTTCATACGAGTACCCCCGCTCAGCTCTCACCACCGCCAGTGACCACCACCAGTCATTGTAGATCTACCCCTCTCCAACCTGCATGGTCTATAGCGTGGCAGCTGATCCAACCAGCCCAGCCAGCCTAGCCCAGCCCATCAAGCAAACATTCATCCTCCAACCCGGCCAACGGCCCGATTAATGCACCATCATCTTCGATGCTAGAATCGCATGTCATCCTCCCATCGTCGGCTCACTTTCCGTGCTACCTCTACGACCCCACGCGGCGGAGGCTGATCCGTAAGAGATACGAGTGAGCTGTCAATCACCTGTCTTTGCTCTCTACTGTCGTGAGCGTTCTTCTTGAATTGTGCCTAGAAACCCATACATGCAGATTAGACTTATTTCTCTTTACAAAAAAGCAAGCTCTTTATTGCTCCTATGTATCTATATATATATATATATATATATCCTATAGTTCTTGCCCCACGAAGATATGCTGGTCGTTGAGACGGCGATCGCTGTTTGTTGTTTGCCACCTGTCGTCCGGAAGACGACAGTGGTGCGAAAGAACAAAACAGACTCAATGACAGGCAAAAATGGTCCTAAAATGATGCAAAATATAGTAAATACAACGAGCTCGTACATGGCCAAACCCGAGACTCGAACCTAGAGCTTCCCGGCGAGGTAATGCTAGGTAGGCGTATGCTGTCTGGCATCCTGTCACACCCTACCCTAGGCTTCGTTGTTTGATGGTTATTGCCAATGGGTATATAGACGACGTTAAATAGGTGAAGGACTGGTGACAGTGGTAGGTACGGGATGCTGCCTGGGAAGGCGAAGGCCCTTTCACGATTGATGATTGACGTTTGTTGGATGAATACATCATATCATGGATACTTTTCTTTGAGCTTTCTTCTTTTCTTCTTATTGGGTTGCTTCCTTCTTTTCCTTTCGCTTGTCTGTCTCAGCGAGCTCTCTCAGCGTTCGTTTTCTCTTGATCCCCGGAGTGAGAAAGTGTATGTGATTGGTGATTGGTAGTTGGTGGTGTAATTTTCCCTTCACGATCTATCAATGAAGTCCCACCGGCACTGTTACTCTTGAATCCTCATCTTGGTGTTGATGAAATTCAGTGCGCGTGTAGATTCCATGAAGTCTCACAGGGACCGTAATCGAAATCGATCATCCAGAATTTGATAGGACGAACCTTCCACCTCATCTGGTATTTCTTTATATCTCTTTCCTTTGTCCCTTCATCCGACCCTTAAGGAGAAGGGACAGAGGGGAAAGACCTTTAAGTTATGGAGACAACACTGTCTCTCTTCTTTCTCGCGAACAACTTGGTGAAGTCCGTCTCCAGCGCCGAGAAGTCTGTAGCGACGACCAGGCCGCCTACGCTTGATGAAGATGGCGATGACGACATGTGAGAAGTTAACGCTTGTTCCTGTATTGCACCCAAGATAAGAATCAGCAAATGGAGTGAATGGTAATGGTGGCAATGTTACATGATTTGAATCATGTCGGAGGCTATTGGATGGAAGGGGGACGGAAGGGGGGGAAAGGGGGAACGAATGGAAAGACGGGGAAAGCGTACCGAAGACATGGAGGACATGGAGTCGGAGCGTTCGCGTGCTTGGGCTTCATATGCGCGGGCCTCGTAGGTGTGAGTTATGCGGAGGAGGTCATGGATTGTCATGTATGTCGTTGACATCTTGGAAGGTTTTCGTGTATATGTTTGATATACGAGGTAGGATGGTGGATGTTGTGGTGTTTGTATTGTGATTGGGATTGAGAGGTGGATCGGACAAAATTGGAGACAGAAGATTGGAGGACCTCAAAGGGATGTATGCGTATATCAAGAGCAGGTAAGAGATTCGTAATGGATAGAATGGCTTAGTGTTTCTGACGGAACGGATAGATTATTGTTCTCAGGGACAGTTAATGACTTATGTATTGTAACTCGTTTCAGCAGGGAGGAGATGGGAGTGAGGGATGCATCCAGTCCAGATATATATACATATACAGATACAATTATACGAGTCTACATGCATACATATTCCACCCCCGCTTCCTTGCAGCATAAGACGCCAGCCCACCCGCGCCAACTAGAGCCCGTCGGCGTTAACGACAACGACGACTATGACTCTGATCATCCTGTTCTGTCCTGTCCTGCCCTCTATTAGTTAACCGTTAGTCCTGTCCTGTCCTGCTAAACTCTCACACCACGCAAACCGCTCAAGCCGCCCCATCCCTTCATCCAGCACAGCAGGCTGCCCTCTCACATCGTAGTGTCATCTCCGTTTCAGCATCTGTCTTTACTGCTTCAAGTCTAGCAGGCATGTTGGTCTTCGGCACTACCGGCCAAATTCCATACTTTTACGCCCGCTTGGGGCAAAGCAAGTGTTCGCCTTGATTGTTGATTAGTTCTCACTAAGTTGCTGTCTTGCTTGTCTTTGCCTCCATGCGCATCACTGTCCATAAATGTCCGTGCGCCCGCGGTCTCCGCGATATCCGCTGTTAAAATCCGAATAGGGCCGCGTCAGATAGGCACTATTCACTTCTATTTTTTTATATAACGTAGGTGGCATACGAGCCGTGGGGATGGACGAGCCGTGGGTCGTGCCAAGCCCCCACCAAAATCGCAACAAGTTTGCAACAAAGATGGCTTTTACAACAAATTACAACAATTTGCAACAAAATCGTGAGAATCAAATACAGCTTGCCTTACAGGCTCTTAAAGAAGACGCGACACTTCCACTTCAACGCGCTGCAGCACTCTACAACGTGCCTCCAAGTACTCTTCGTGATCGCAGGAAAGGACGACCATCACGACGCGATTGTGCACCCAATCTTATGAAGCTTACTCTAAATGAAGAGAGGGTAATTCTTGAGCATATTATCGACTTTGATATGCGTGGATTTCCCCC